GCACAGGTCAAGTATGAATGCTGGCTGCCTGAAGAATTTAGGCCTCTGTACATACGGTGAATGGTGTAACTGCTTTTACTCCTCTTTTACAGGAAAGTGAAAAAACCCTTGACTTGTTCACAAAACAAGACACATTGACTCAGGCTTTGAAAAACAGTAACCAAACATTTTTAGTATATTATGAGCCAGTCTACAAAATGATGATTTAATGATATAACAATATCTGATCGGCTGAAGAGTACAAAAAAATCTTCAAAAGTAAAGCCAGTAGATGACTACCCCCCTGCCCTTATTTCAGCGTTTCAGCCCCTGTGAGATACTTTTGGTTTATGTCAGTTTTGGCAACCCCTGTGGACAAAGCAGTCTTTGCTCACCTTAACCTTTAAATGCTTAAATAGAGACTTGAATCCAGAATCTCATCCTGCTGACATTTGATTGTCAAATATACTATTCAGTGGTGATATTTTCTGTAAAAACAGGGCTGTCTCTTCATCTGCTTGGTTGACACAATTTCCCTCACTTTGGTTTTAGGCTTTAAAATTAAATATAAATGAAAATATTACCAATCTTGTTGTTGATGGTTTTGTTTGCTTTCAATGTCATGAAAAGCCAACAGTTTAGATTTCAAAAACTCCTCATAGGACCTTTAAAGTAAGCTAATAATAAGCCCACTCATACTGTAGAAGTGATTCGATTTCTTGTACACGTCATCGATGTCTTTCTTTAGACAAATTTTATTTCTAAATCACTGAAACCATCGAAGAAAGTCTGTTAAGTTCTCACAAAAATTTTTCTAAGAAAAACACCTCCCAGACTGGAATCACTTTCCTGACCAAACATATGAGACTAATGCCACTATCACGTTTCTCCCCCCTGCTCCAAAAATATAAATATCTGATTCTCTGGAACCAGAGCTGCCTTTTGTCTGTGGAAGAGTTATGGCTATACGAGACTTTGCCCTCTGGTTACATTTTCTTTTCTACACGTCCTCTTTTGCAGATGTTACACACACACACACACGTCTTATCTTGTCTTTTGTCTTTTTTTCTTGTAAGGTATCAGAAAATATTCCACCTTTCATGATGCTGTCCTTCATTTGACACACGACATGCTATTTAACACCCAATAGTTCTGCGGAGCCTCTTCCTTCTCCGCCTCCCCCTTCTGCCTGAACTCGGGGTCATGCATCACTCATCTGACTGGGAGAAAGAGATAAATATTTCTTTCAGCTCTGTCACATGGTGGCTTCCTGTTGGATGAAAGACTTCCTTCGCTCCTGACAAGAGGCTGTGTGTTTCTAAATCAGAATAATTAACATTTTTTTAAGGTGGCGTAACATAACCCCTCTTTTCTCTGCATGTTTATGTCACAGAAATCGAGCAGATACCTCATTCTTTATCTGCTGTATTTTACTTTCTTTAATCAAATGAGTTTCCTCTTAAGTTTGCACACACTCAGACACTCACACACGCACACACACACACAGCCTGTATCTGCCTCTGGCTACGTCCAGGCAGGAACATTGTCAGATCCATGCATCATTGGTAAGAAAATCTCTCCCTCCCTCCCTCCCCTTCTGTACCAGCAGCCCTGCTCCTCTGAGGCAGACCTGAAAAGATCCTTTTGTCCCTCATCACCCCCCTTCCTAACCTCCTGCCCCTGCTCCTCATGCAGCCCTGTGGTTATGGATACCTGGGACTGTCTCACACCCGGCTCCCATGTTGGGGTAAAAGCAACCTGCAGGCACCAGACCACAAAAACAGGCCACCGAAAAGTTTGCCTCAGTTTCAGATTCTGTTCGTATTTGATAGATTCTGATGCCAGAGAAAACATGAAGCCTGCTGAGGCCGACTGCTTGCACTCATGCAGGCTACTCTCCATGTTTATTTGCACACGTCAGGGCCCTTTCCTGCTGTTGATTTAGAGCCACTGCCACTTACGCCTGTGTCAAATGAAATGACTGGGCCTCTGTTTGCTATCAGCAGCTGCTCTTACTGGCACAGGCGCCTCCATCTTTTGTCATGTGGTCTATATGCCGAATGGAGCACTTGTTGCATGGTGGGGGAGAGGAAGACGCAGCAGCTCGTAGATGTACGGCTGCAGTTGCATTTGAAAGCAGGGATTTGAGCTTGATTAAAAGCACTGTCAGAGTTTCCGCGTTGGATTGATTTTAGTCTCCCGCGCATCCTGAAGGTGACCCTGCGAGCCTCGCTCTGTCATGTGGCACAGAGCCTGTTTAATCCCCGCTGTGTCTATGTACCCTGCCGGACATGTTGTCATTAGATTAACAGGTATGAAGAGGCACTTTGGTGGCTTTGTGATCACCTGTTTGTTAATTTGTGAATATTCAGCTGCACTGTGTGCCAACAGGGAGAGACACGTGATCTAGTCAGTGATATACGTGATGTTCAGGGACCTCTGCTCTCTGCTGACCTCTGCTGATGTGACGTGCAGGCAACACTGTGGGATACTCTGAGATGAGGGCTCGTAGTATATTATCAATCATGTTTGTAATGACACAACAATACTTAAACTTCAAGCTGTTTTTATTTACAACCATTTGTTGGTGCCTCACTGTAAAAAATTGACCTTAATACTTATGATCCTTTCTTTTTTCAAAATCTCACTATATCTTGAGTGTGACTGAGCAGTACAGCATAAAACTTTTATTTAATAAGTTATCATTTTTTAAATAATTTAACTTTGCATGTTAAAGTCATATGTCATTTCACATGTGGTGTAATTTACAGGGAGATGCATATGCGATACTTCAATACATTTACAGGCCCTAGAAGAAATGAAAAACTTGTATTTTCTGTTCTGAATGTTGAGGCCCAGCCAACATTCTTTCTAACATTTGATTCCTAACCTTTCTAGGTTGTGCAGTTTGATGCGATTTAAAGCTGCTGTCTCTTAAATCCAAACCCCAATTCCACCACCTTGATGAAATAAACGAGCTATTTCAAGGGGTTTTTCAGACATATCGGCTAGGTAAATGTGCCTTTTAGACTTCAATTTTAAAATTTGGCAGGCAGGTTATAGCTACTTTATGTTACAGATGAGTATGAATAATTAAATCAAAGTTTTGATTATTTATAGTGTTGCAAATTTCTTAAATTAAGCCAATTTAAACCCATGTGAAGGTACGGTATGTAAAAATATCTAATAGTCATATTCTTCACTGTAATGACCCCTTGGTTAGCGCTCCTGTCAGTGAACTAACACAGGCCTTCGAGGTGAAGAAACCCCTGTGTTGCATGATAAGCGTTATCCTCCATTTGTCAAAATTTTACCATCTAAAATATCAATTTATACAGACTCTTCTGCACAATACAACAACCACTGTCTTCATCACCCTACAGTCAACCACTGAATACAAAAACCTGTGTGTTACTAGTTTGTCCGCCCTATACTACAGGAGATTACGGCCTCTGTGGAAGGGGACCCAATCATTACTGTAAGACAACAAAAACCTATTGATTTATCATATTCAGGTGATTGATTATACATGAATTTAAGCATGCTATTGAATATTGTATTTAATTATACCAAGTCTGTTCTGCTAAATGCTGTAAAACCCTACACACTGCACCTGTAAATGTTGTGTTTACTATATTTCTTAAGGGTTATATTCCTTTTTAAAGCTGACATTTTGCAGACAAAATTTAGTTAAATTAATCAGCATAACCTAAACTTATGTAGCTTTAATTCTTACCTAATACAAAAAGACTAAAGCTTTCCTGCATGATGAAAGCTTTTACCTCTAATACCTCATAACATTTTGCTGCTAAAACTTTGTATTTCTTTTGTAAATTTGGCATCCAAGGATTTGACATTATATTGACTCTTTTAAAAGTGGCATTTCTACCTCACTCACAACAATGATCGAGACGATTCTCCCACTATTCTCTCTAAAATGTAAGAAAGCACGACGAGCAGCTTGATGGAAGGTCTGCTGAGGACAGCCAGACAGACACATCACTCAAACAGGCCATATGGAGAGCTGTACGTGAAAGATGGGGGGCACAGGCCTGGTGTTTTCACTCGACCTGAGGGGTTCAGAGGGAGCGAGAGGGGAGGCCTCTGGGATACTAGCTCAAGGTCCCTCCAGTGGAGCCGGGCGCTGCAGCCCTGCAGCCCTGCAATCTTTGCAATCAGGCAGTAATGCTAGCAGCGACTGTTTCAGATTATGCTCAGGAAATCCTCCGTGCTCTCTGCTCAAAACAATTTACCCTGACATGAGCCCAAAGAGAGTGTGGGGGGCAGGGGATGAGAGAGCTGTCCTCACCACAATCTTACTCCCATGAAGCCAACATGTACCCATAATAAGTAACAACAATAATCATGTGTATATTATTGTTAATTACAACCTTATAAACAGATACTATTTAAGTTTAGTGTGTTTATTGTAACTGGTGTCAATATAAGAATTGTTGTTGTTTATTATTGGAATTATTAGATCTCATATACGCCCTAAAGTCAGAGCACAATAATATTAGTTTTTTTTTTAAGTGTTTTTGTTTTGGTGTCTTGTCAGTCAGTAAAAATACAATTTTTTTTAAATATATGATATTTTTTTCTCATGTGGGATGTTTATCTTTTCTTTTTTTAAATCTAAATATCCAGAGCTGGTAAAAGTTGAGTGCTGGCTCTTTCCCATGGCCCGGAACCGACAGAACAAACTCTGGGAGAGAGCAAAGAAAACACGGCCACAAAAAGCCAATGATCCGCAGCACGAGCAAAAAAAAAAAAAAAAAAAAAAAAAAAAAAAGTATAACGGAAAAAAAAACTCTTTCTCTTTCTCAGACATGATATCCAAAAGGCTGCTTCTTTGTGTGTACACAACAGCCCCCTGACAGACAGCTGCTAATGTTGACTCACATCATTTGTGTAATTAAATTTCCCCTTCTGACTCTGTGTTTGAATTCATGAATTACCGTAATTATTGTTAAAGAGAGCCGGGAAGCAAAGTGACTCATCATATTTTGATTTGAGCTCATATCCAATCACTTCAATTCAATGACATTACTGAGCCTTTTTTTACTTCAATTCAGTGCTTTCCGTTTTTCAAAATGAGTGCTATAAAATCAGCATTACGCTCTTTCCTACTGTGGTCAAATCTGCCTATAATGTTTAATTTTTTAAGCCTTTATAACACCGAATCGTTTGGTTTCAGGGCCTGAGTCTTTTTTCTTCACCATGAACACAAACAACACAGGGACATTTTTGTATTTTTGTTTTATTGGAAACTAATTACCATGACTAATGAAAACGTTACCTCTTAGTTTCCAGGAGGTTGCTCTATTTCTTTTTTTTTTTTTTTTCAACAAAATCTCATAAATTAAGCAAAAGGGCCAGTCCAGTTAAGTTAAGTGTCTCGTTGAGTTTAAGAGTTTCAGTCAGGTCCTGTTTGTGTGTTTTGGGCTATATGCAGGAGATGAGAAAAAAGGGGGTCTCCTGTCAGGGCTGATACACAGGTTAAGCGCATAAAGGATTTTGTTCTAACCAAATTTAACGACAGACAGTCAGTCTATATTATCAGGTAGGCTACTATAGTGTTATTTCATACATGTACTCAATCTGATTATCAGTCTCCTTTTTTTATCCACGTTTTCGTAAAATGAAATAAACTGGCAGCCTCTTTAAGAGCCCAAATCCACGAGACTGGACGTTAGAGGTCCCAACAAGGAGTCCTGCAGTTGGTGCGGGTGTCCGTGCATGCTGTGCACCGGCTGAGGGGCCCCCAGGCCGGACATGGGGTACGCGGAGGCCCCGGGATGGCTCATGTTGCCCTGGAGCAAAAGCGCTGAGTTCTGATCGGGGCTCTGAGGGGGAGAAAACTCGTCCTCCGAGCTGGACATGAGAGACTTTCCTCCGTCCAGCGGCGACAGCTGGTTCTGTTTGTTGCCGCCTGCGTTATTGTTTTCACTGTTCTCTCTGGAAATGACAGCAAGAGGAAAATTAGAGGGAAAATACGCACTATTCTTGACTTGTATTAAAGAGGCATTTTACGCATGTGTTGGGCCTGTTGGGTGACGGCAGCCATAGTTGTTTTGCTAAAGCACCAAACTATTAAAAGCGTCACATGTTTTGTACTTTCCTCATTTTTTTCTGCTTTAAATATATTTTCTTCTAATTTTTCATCACGTTTACAGCCTGTTTATTACGTCTCTTTATCCAGATGTTTCAATGCACTGTAACCTAATTTAACCTCCAGCTCCATCAAAAAAAAAAAAAAAAGAAAAAAAAAAAGTAAGACAAATTTCTAAAATATGATAAAATAACTGCGTATTTTTAAGCTGTAAAAAGCCTAAAACGCTATATCTCTGTTTCTGGTGCAGATTTGAGATATTTCATGTTAAAATTCAAGACAAGACGAGTCAAAGTGTTTTAGTTGTTGCGAGGAAAGCTCAGCATTTGTCAACAAGCAGCTTTTCTTTATCCATCAGCACCGTTATAAGGATGGGTTTGAATAAGGAATAAAAATAGGAATCAAAATTTAGAAATAATTCACAATAAACAAGAAATGAGTCAATTCCTATCTGTTACACTTTACAATGTATTCTGTGCTTTCTGTCCGAGCATTGTGTGGATCCTGTGTTTTCGTCTTTGGTTACTTGTGGACACAGTTTGGAGACATAAATAAAGTTGCACCTTCATTTTCTCGTCAACTTCAGTGTCTGTCTGTCTGTCTGTCTGTCTGTCTGCGTAAAAGCCTACCTCTCTTTGGCCTCCGCAGCTCTGTCCCTCTGCCGTCTGTTTTTGAACCAGTTGCTGACCTGTGTGGTGGTCAGTCCCGTGGCCTCGGCCAGCTCTCTCTTTTCACGCGGGGACGGGTAAGGGTTGTGTGTGTACCACTCTCTCAGGACGCCCCTGGACTTCTCTTTAAAGCAGTAGCTGGTCTCCTCGCCGTCCCATATCGTGCGGGGCAGCGGGAATTTCCTCCTCACGCGGTACTTCCCTACAGCTCCGAGCGGCCGGCCGCGCAGCTTCTCCGCCTCCACGTAGTGCGCCTTCAGCCACAGCTGCTGCAGCTTTGGGTGGTTGTGCGGGGAAAACTGATGGCTCTCCAGGATCTTATAGAGCTCCCTGAAGTTCCCACGATGAAAGGCCACCACCGCCTTAGCTTTGAGGACGCTCTCGTTCTTGTGGAGGTGATCGCAGGCAGGCAGAGACCACAGGAAGCGACCGAGTCTCTCCAGGTTTCCTCCCTGCTGCAGCACCTCACAAACGCACGCCACTTGTTCCTGCGTAAACCCAAAGGACGGAAGTATAGACATGATGTCCGAGCTCTCTCCTCCGCCCTGAAAGTCGGTATCCAAACCGAAAGCTGTTCTTTATCTTAAGCGTCTATTCGAGCTTCTTCTCGCGATGCTACCCACTCCAATCCTTCCGCGCAAGCGAGGGCCTGTAGGATCTCCACTCCTCTCTAGCCCCTGATGCGCGCAGCAGATTGGGATGTTGATTGTTGGGACAATTTGTTCCTGTTGGAGATATGTCAGGCTTAAAGGGAGCCTGTGCGTTTCGGTGATTGGCTCTCCCTCTGCCCTGCACCGTGTACAGCAGAGCAGGACTGAGTTTGCGGCTCCGTTTCCTCCCCAGAGGCAGTGCGTCAGGGGCTGAAATAGGAGCGCTCCCATGCACCTCCCGCCCCCACAGTCCCTCTCGCGCTGCAGCTGAGGGAGCAGAGCGGCACCTAAACACTAATCAATTATTACAGACCTCTTAAAAAGCCGTATTAACATGTTGGGAATATACATCTTCTGCTGGAGGGGACTATATATGCTTTCAAGTTTTCCCACGTGGGAGAAACCACACTTTGCATATTGTCCTGTGTTATCTGTAATCACAGTCAATGAAGGGTGAACCCTCAATAACACCAAGGTTTTTATCTTTACGGGAGAGGCTGAAACATCTTTATAAAACACTTCAAAATAAACCCACTGCAGTAAAGAGCATTTGGATTAAAATACTGCTTCAAAAATCTAACACCTTCATTATTTTTTCTCATTTTTGTGCATTGTTTTTTACCTTTAGGTCTATTAACTGTCACAGCTGATCTTGGTCGACGCCCACCACCTTAATTACACACAGACTGACCATTTCGTTGTTTCCCCCACCTTCCATTAATTACCTGAGCCGTTTATTTTACGAGGCGATATAATTTAATAAGCTCTTATGATAGCTGGCTCTGTGCGCGCAGTTACGCACGGCTTTTATATGAGAAAACCTTAACTGTAGTACCTGCCAAAGGTGTTATTGGGCGTTTAGACCACCAGCAGGAAATCAAGCACTTAAGTGTGTGAGTTAAAGAGAGTAGGGGAGACAGATAGAGCAGAGATGGGCTGATTATAAACCCAAAATGTGCAAAACGTTTTGGCAAATATCCCAAGATTGGAAAAAAAAAACAAACACACAAAAATACTAAGAACTCACACATTTATACTTTGTATATTTGTATATGTTTTTTCCACTTTAAGAGCAGTTTCGTGTGTATTTTGCTTTTGGTTTGATTTTTCTCTGAAGTCTGGTTTCTCTTATTTATTGTTTCGTGTTATCTCTCCTCATCTCCATGTGTTTTTTTGCAGATCTCCTTCCAGCCTGTAGCCCACATTTATATTTCAGGGATTAGACGGGCACCGCACTGGCTCCAGTGTTTTCTGGTGGGTGAAACACTAAACCAATCCATTAGTAAATGAGTTCTCTGCGACACTGCTTCTTGGTGGGGCAGTTGCTGGTTTGAGCCATATAGCTCACATTTCTTTATCTGCGACAGTCTGAAACGAAAACCTCCCCTCTGTTCGAAATTGATGTTTTAACTTCAACAAATCCACAGTAAAAGCTTTGGAAAGAGACCAATTGAGCAGAAGTATTTACTTTAAAGATAAAATGCTTTGAACTTTTGTTTTTACGCACAGAGACAGCTGAAAAAACGGAGATCTGATGGATGAACATCCTTTGATTACAGTGAGAGTCGTTAAAAAATATTCAGCAATTTGAGTAAAAGTGTAGACTGATAAGTTATCAACATGATGTGTAGTTCTTTTTGAGTAGAGTCATTTCAACAGTGGATGTTTGTTATTGGCATTATTGGATTGGAAACACTCCATATTGCGCCCACTGCTTTTTTCATTCATCTCAAACTGAACCCAAAAAAGACAGAGGAAATATAATAAAGTGCAAAAAATATATTCAAAAGATTATTCTCTGAAACATAATCAGAATCCCTGAAAAAAACGGCAACATTTTGGATATTTTACAGAAAATTTTAAGAAAATTTATCTATGCTTTAGTTGTTATATATCTGTATCATTTCAGACGCTTCAAGGTGCTTTTGTTTTACGCGTCGTTTTTTGCGTAAACCTGCTTGCTGTGGTGCATCTTCCAGCCTCAATGATTCCCTGTATCTTCAGTGGACACTCCGAGCGCTTGAGCCGGATCTTCATCCTCTCTCTGTCTGTGTGTAAAAGCTCAGTGCTTCAGTAAATGAGCTGTCTGATGAGCCACTCTCGGGTTTCTCTAATATCTCTACCACATTGCGCCGCGCCTCCTCCTTTAACCCGAGCAGCCCGGGGGGCCAGATTATTTCAAGATGTGGACTCTGCGCCTCCACCAGTGCTGCATGGACTCCTCACAACTAGACCAGTAAGGCAACACTGAGGTGCACTAACACGCGTTACTCCGTGCAAAACGGGATTTACACGAGGCAGGGATTCCTCACTCCTCTTACGAGTTTTTCCACAACAATAACTCAAACTGTTTACATCTCCTGGAAAATCAAGACTGGTGGTTATTACGGATGTTTAAGTCACTGCTTCTCCGGGAAAAAGTCTCATGAGTCAGAGTGTTTTCATCCCGAGAAAGTCAAAACCGTTTGCCATTTCTCAACACAGCAGTTTTATGAGATGTAGGCCGTATGAAGGAGGGTGTGTGCGCGCATGTCTGCACCTTTAAATTCAATTAATCCACCTAATTATTGAAATTTAGACTCTCTGATTAATGAATGAGGCAAACACTGTATTGTAAATCGTTTTAGAGCAACAAATGAAATGTCAAGATGACTTTTAGTGCTGTGGGAGGAGGAAAATGTCTCGATTAAAGCATTTCATCATCTTGACATCAACAGCAAGCTCATGTTTTAGACCGGAGGGTTTATATTTTTTTTAAATATAGGGGAAAATTGAAATGACGAATGACTCACCGAACAGATGGATTTAACTCTGTCTAAATCCAAAAATACCATTTCAGCTGAATGGACTTGAACAAAGCTGATACTGTTTAAATGACATTAAAAATGTCAGATTAAGTCCCAACTGTTTTTCATTTCATTTGATTCAGGCTTTTCTCAGAGGGATTTGGGCAATGTTAAAGGTGCCCTCTCACTGCACAGTAAAAAAATGTACAATTTATAATGATAATCTCTTTATTCAAAACATTAACCACAGCAAAAAAGCAGAAACGTTCCGAATATTCCGATATATTATTCCGATATTCCACCTTTATTCCGATATATTTATTTTCATATCAATTTAAAGCACTATTTATTTTTATTATTTTTTAATTTTGACCATTTCTCAATGAATGTATTAATCCAGTTGGGTGACTCACTGTTTCGTAGATTTACTCTATATGTCCTCGATGTGATTTTAATTAAAAGTAAAAGCGGTGTATTCTGAGAGGTGAAGAAAGGCGGTGAGAAAAAAAGCAGCTCCTTCTCTCAAAACAAAACACAACTGTTGACATGAGTGAGTTAAATGAAATTGGAGCTGCAATTATCAGCTTAACAGAGTTTCCTGTCATGTTGGAAAATTAGACCTGGTACAAGTGCACCGAGGGTTAACCCCCTCCTCCCCATCAAAATCATTAGCCTACGCATTTCCTCCGAGGACCACCTCCACAAATATGCAATTATACGGCCTTAGCTCTTTACAGTCTTCTCCTCTGTAAACACGCCTCGAGCAGAAAAACGAAGATTTTTTTTGTTTAAAGGGAAATTCTTTTTTTTTTCTTCTTCCAATTTTGCTGCAGGGCCAGCGTGAGTAAACAAACCAGGCCGCCCGTCAAATACATAAACAAACAAAAGGATTTAAAAGACTGAGGCGTGCTGCTGCTGGCAGAGAGGGGGCGCCACTACAATGCAGTCATACAAATTCAAATATAACTCCAGGAGAAGAGAGTCTGCTCGTGTGTTTTGGAAAATGTTGTTTTTTAAGGGGGACAATAGATCAGCAGAAGGCGTTTGTGTCCTTCTGCGGCCTGCTCCTGTTACAGAGTGCTGTTTTTCCCTCTGTTTTGACCACTGTGGTGAAGACAAGATGCTGCTGCCTCCCAGCTGCTGCCTCTGTGTCTCTGTGTGTCCCTCTAAAGATGATCTTCTGTTTCTTTCCAGGACCAACATGTGAGTCATGATTGCATCTTCCTTCCTGCCCAACTCTTCCACCCTGCCTGCCAACCAACAAACAGCTCACCTATTTTAACTGGGACGAAGAGGAAAAACCAACAAGAGCCTCGAACATGAATTCCCCTTCAACTTCATAAACACCAATAGCAGATTCATGAGCCAATAGCAGATTTAGTTTCTCTCCCCTTGCTTTGGCCGCTGGTGGAGGGTCTGTGCGAGCAGACTGGTACCCGCTGACCCTTGCCCTCTCATTAGTGGGACGTGGAGCAGTGGAGTACCGTGCTCCCCAGGTCATGTTACATATGGCTTGCAGTCTGCTGCGCCGCATTAAATGTCAGCTTTGAAACCATCCGAAAGAGCAGAGGTCAGTGTTTTTAATAAGGCCAGAGTTCTGGGGGAGTTCCCTAATTTTTACTACACTCAGGTATGTTTTATGCTGCATGTTTGAAATGTAGACAAAATGATCCTCCAGTATAATATCTTTATTTTCCCGTATACTTAAAAAGGTGGAGGATGTTATAACTTGGTGAGTAGCTGTCCCTTCACCATGAGAATGTACGTTCTGTGAGGGGACCATTCTTCTTCTCCTCTCCTGTCTAATTTATAGTCACAATACAAAGGTGGAATTGGGAGTTTTTTTAGTCCCCCTCCCCGTGAGACCTACAGACCATGAGCCTGTCCCTGCTGCGAATGGGATATTGTTCTGGGCTCCAACAAAGCTGTTTTCACCCTCTTCAATATTACAGGAGGAGTCACCTGATACCTAACAATCAGCTAATCCACTGCCCATGGCGACGAGGTCACCTGTGCACAGGTAACTTTATCCCTCGCTTGCCTGCCTCTCCCTCCCCTTCCCGCTAAGTCTCTCCCAGTCTTTTTCTTCTTCTTCTCTCTCTGTGCCTGAACAGTGAGCACAGACAAATAGCCTCTGTTTATTTAGGTCATCAGTTAGATCATATATAACTCCTGCAGCCAGGAGGACAACTCCTATAATCCACCACAGACATGCTGTGAATAAAACAAAATCCCCTGCTGTTTGTCCATTTGTCAAACTTTGTCTCCTCTCTTATCTCTCTGGGCTGGTTTGGTCGGGTGCCCGCAGAGTGAACAAGCATTGAGTGGAAGTTTTATGAATTTAAAGAGCCGAGAGAAGAGTTCAGGGTGTTTTCTTCTGAGTGACAGCGCCTCAGATTCATTCTTCCACATGTTGAAGCAGGGCCAGTCTGGCCTTCACTCTGGGGGGAAAAAGGCCATAGGATTGGACTGGCTGTGGGGAGCTTGCAGACCCCCCACCCAAAAGGGGCTTTACCTCTGGAAATCTCATTGCTGTTTATTTGAATTACAGGGGCTGAGATGAGAAAAGGAGGGCTAATGAAGTCCAGGTTGCCAGGCATGTGCAAACGATCACTGCAGGTTTGCAGAGAGCTGCACCAGGCTCGCTGGATTACTGTGTACCCCTCCCCATCCTCACAATTTGGCCGCATGAATTGGACCCTCAAATATTTGGAATACATTTACTTTTTCTGTGCCATGCATTTTAATTTGATACAAGTATGCTTTGCCTAAAAACTCCAGAGACAACTCCTTAATTTCTACATTCTTCTTGAAGCTCAATTTGTCCAAAAAAAGGTGGAAAGATATGTTTAATGTTTTTATAAATATAAACTTTTATTGCAGTATGGAGATTTAGAAAAATACATTCACATAATTTTAGATAACAAATGTATAATCCAAACTAAGATTTAAAAAAAACAACACAAATGACCACCTTTATCTATTTGCCCACAGCTCATTTTTGGTTTCTGACATTAAAGCACTGAGAGTACGCCGAACAGTCCATTCAAATTGATGGGATTAAGTCATTAATCCTGATAAAGAAAAAGCATTACAAGTCCATGTGTGTAATGCACTCAGAGATGTGCATCCTTGGAGTTGGCTGTGAGGCTGAAATGAAATGTGCTATTATGGTCATGAACTTTACGACAGCAAGGAGAGGAATTAGGCCCCTGTTGTGAAAAGCACCGGACACGCTTGACAAATGAGCTGCACATTCTCTCATCTTTTCCCTTTCGACGAACACCCGACACATATGTCAGGGAAGACACAGGCTTACTTTCAGTGGTATTCACAAAACACAAAGTAAAAGGCACTAGTGTCCATGCAAAGAGAAAAAGTTACACTCCCGTTATAGAAAAATAGCATCCATGACAGGCAACATTTTGGAGAGAAAATGAAACAGGATTACAGAACAGCATCGTCACATCAAGTTAACATACAATGAGCTGCAGCTTTTAAACAACATCATGACTCTGAGTGACAACTCTGTCATTGAGATTTTCACCTCACAGGTTGGTGAATAGGCTTGAAATGTGAGTTGAAGCTGAAATATTGTGTGTTTGTTAGGGTGGGTTACACGTGGCAAACCCTCCAAATCAAAAGTTGTACATTATGGTAGTGCAAACGCAAAGCAGGCCAGTGCTGTGGTGTTCTTTAAAAAGCAGAAAGGCACATCAGTCTTAACTTGTAGTTAATTTGGTATGATATAAAGCACTAAAGCAGAGTTTTGCAGCAACTTAGAAGCATTCAGAGATTTTAAGTTGATTTCTGAAGGACACTTTTTCCTAAATCAGCAGCTTTGTGTGTTTAATGACCTTTTTCTTCTTCTCTGTATGTAAGTGTATGTGTGTGTGTTTGTGCAGTCCTTGAGTAAAGCCCTCGCTCTTTAACTGACCATTTTCACACAGCCCCTCTCTCCCTTTTCCCCCCCTACCAGATGACCTTTTTGGTTTGACCCAGATGACGCATTTAGTTTTGGAGGAACATCCCCGGTCACATGACTTCGAGGCATTCCAGCACCTGCTCCTGCGGATCAAATCCACTCAACAGGAAGTAGCAGGTGTTGTCTATAAAAATGCACATTTAAACATGGCTCAAACTCGTACATGACTTCTTCTCGGAGCACGTAACAGTCGTTCTTCTTACAGGCTGGAGCTTTTCAAAACATGTCACAGACTTTTTTTTCATTTTTATGACAATCTGATGAAGCCCACCGACGGGGCTCCTCTCTGACTAGAGTGCATGAACACAAATAATTTAACATTTAAAGGAAATCAATGTAATAAAAAAACAACACACACACACACACTCACACACGCAAAAAAAAAGGTTCACCATATTTCTGCTTGGGCAGATGAGGGGCTTCAGTGAGAGGAGAGGTTAAAGGTCGGCCATGTCCTCCTCCATCTGCACTGTTTGTAGTTTGGCGAGATCCTTCCCCTCCACCGCCTCCATCTCCCCGCACATCGCTCGCACCATCTCGTTTACACCTCCCGACACCTCTGATTTGTTCTCTGAAAGGTTCATGAAGGTGCTGTTCATTCCAGGCCCGATCAGGTGTGAGGATGGGGGGCTTCGGAGATACTCTGTGGGCTGGAGGTGATGGCCGCTGGGGTCTGTATGAGCCATGAGCGGTGTGCTGACAGTAAGGGTGGTGTAGACTTCTGGTCCGGAGCTGGATGAGCTAACGGCGGTGACCTCGGTGGTGGAGGCAGGACCTTGGCTGGAGTGATCATCTTCTGAGTTGGGGGTGGTGTAGCTGAGCTGTCCAGTGGGGTCCAGGTGATGGAGGCTGTGGTGGTACGAGGAGTAGACGACCCCCTCCAGAGGCTCCTTCTTGATTGAAGGCTGGTTTTCGCTGCTCATGTTGTAGAGGACGGTGCTGTGGTGGAGGGATGACATGGTGAGCTTGTCCTGCTGCTGGAACGAGCCATCACTGGAGGAAGTCACGGCTACGTTGCTCAGAGGCAAAGAACCTGCGGCGACACAACAATCCATCAATACACACCGTTTCTCTACATCTTTTCTCACAGTTTTTCATGTTTCATGCACAGCGAGTCTTGGCCCTTAAATCGCTGTTTCATGTCTCACACACTTTGCACTCTTAAAGCTCGACCCTGCAGAGCCCCGGAGAACAAGAGCCAGGGCTCAACAGCATGCTGCAATTTTCTCCTTTCCCTTATTATTCATGCTGATGTAGATTCTCTGCTTTTTGTCAAAGGCAGAGCTGGAACGTCGTATTCCCCGTTAGTGTGTTTCAGGGCCTCTGATTGTCTGAAACATATTTCTCCTCCTCCCTCCTTGTTCTGCACATCAAGAGCGCAATGATGATGAGTGATGGTGACTCCACAACTTGTTTTTATTCATCTCTGGGGTTTTCAAAGGACCACCTCTTTTGTTGTGTGTGTATGTGCGTGTGTATGTGTGGCCCTGTTTCTTCTGCTCTGTGATATGTTCGGCATTAGCCTTTGGGCTACAACCCAAACACAGACAAGCCAAGAATAAAGCAGCTCAGATATATTTCACGTGGACGTAGTAGAGACCTGTTGACAAACTAGGTTGGATGTGTAGCAACGGCCAGAACAAGAGGGCAAAGGTTACGTCTGATTGTCTTTAAAGCTACAAGGCGCAGGAGTAAACCATCTAAAATTTGATATAAAAGCAGAAGAGTATATGTCTTGATTCTGGTTATCTTATCACTGCAGTTAATCTTGATTTTGTCTCCTCTTTGTTGTATTTGCTGTAATAAAGTCAATCGAGTCAAATCAAAGTCATCAGCTGCTCTGAATTCACTAAATTTAGGGGAAAATAAACTTTTCATATAATTATCTCCATTGATTTTACTGTAGAGCTCCAAGATGGGTTAATTTGAATCAAATAATCACAATATTTAAGCTTTTAAGAGGCTTTAGTTTGTATTTTCACCTCTTTTCTTCATATAATCTGATCATACCCTCAGAGTGAAATAATTATAATCACACATGGTTCAATTGTTTTCTCAACCCACCTTGTTGTGTGATTGTTGAGGCAGGTGAGGCGGATGAAAGCTGCAGAGGAGGAAGGCCTACATCACTGTTGAGTAATGAGCTGCCATCACTGTCAGAGACCCCCCCACTCGGTACCTGGACCAGGCTGTAGCCCCCCAGCTGCAGTGGCCCTGACGAGGAGCTGAAGGTAAGCACGGAGGATCCTCCGTTCTGGGCCGCCATGGTGTGAATGCCCTCCAGCTTCACCTCAGCTCCGTTCACACAGCCCTGGTAGGAGGCGTACTGCAGGGCTGAGTCCTCCGCAGAACTGCCCAGTCCTTTCTCCTGCCCGGTCTGCATCTGCATGTCCACCCCTGAGCCCCCCAGTAGCACCCCTCCAGACGACCTCAGAGGGTTGAAAGCCAAGGGTTGGATGCCCAAATTGAGCCCGTTGAAGAGGATGTTTCCAGGTGTGTGGAGGTAAGACGAACCTCCATTGTGAAACACAGTGGAGGGGGTGTTACTGGTCACGAGACTTCCATTGTAGAGGCCGCTGCTGCTGGATCCAGGAGGCAGCTTAATGTCCCCGATCTGCTGGATGACCACCCCACTGTCCAGAGACCCTGTTTGAAGGGGAAGGGTCCCATGGGTGATCACACCATCTGAGGAGTTAGAGAGGGGCCGAGGTGACAACTCCTCCTGGCCTTTGCTGGATTCATCCTCTGTGCTGTGGTTTCCATCAGATTCACTGAAGAAGAGACAGAAACATTATAAAAGACATCCTACAGAACAAACTTTGGGCCTTTTTTCAAACAAAGAAAAATGAAATGAAACTAGAATCTAGTTAGTCCCATTTTCGGTTTGGGGGATAAACTCTATTTGAATTCAACTGGACTATCTTTTTAAAAATTTCCACTCTCTTTCCCTGAGCACAGAGCAGACAGGGTCACATTTGTTGCTGTTATTACACAGCTTTGAAGAGCCGGCTGTGTTTGTCAGTGTATAGCCTTCTCTTACCTCATGGAGAGCTGCACTGACAACAACCACCTCACACCAACAACCGTGCAACCATTTGGCGCTATAAATTCTGGTGTGACAAAATGCCAGCAGCAGTGGCGTGACAAATGGCTAAGGGCATTTATTTGAATTCGTTCCTCTGATTTGACATGGTTTTGCGATTTGAAATCCCATTTTCTGTTTCCCTGAAGCCTTTAAAATAATTTAGATTTAGTTGTTACAGCTTGTTAATGAATAACTGGTATTCGAGATTGATTCAAACAGCTGCTGCCTCTTCAACACAAACAAACAAACACGCACACACACACACACACACACTCACACACACACACACACACACATACTCACACTGTGAGCTCTCACCCTCACTCCTTGGAAGAGATATAAACAAGGACACTAGTTGCCAAAAATAAGAGTTAAATATCCACAAGTTTAAAAGCTATAAAAGTGTTTTTTTAATGAATAGTTTTAGCTCTTAAAGGCAAACACAATAAAGTGTGTGTGTGCTGTGTGTTTGAATGTGCGTGTGTAAGACAGAGAGAGAGAAAGAGAGGGAGAGAGAGAGAGGGGTCACCTCCACCAGGTGTGCCTCAGCTTTGTTCACAGAGAGAGAAACATGAAAGAAGCCACACTTCAGTCTGTTTGTGTGGAGGATTATAAAAGAAACACAGAGGCTATCAGAGGATCTAAGATCTCCTTTAGTCCAGGAAATAAAAGATAAAATGAAAAATGATTTATGTGCTCGTGCACGCGCACATGTGTTGAGTGTGTTTGCCTCTGACTTTGTGCACACATACACACACGAAGAAATGAAAGCTGACTTGTTTATCGTTTTATCATAATTGACAACTTTTGATGCCTGACAGTCAAATCGCCGGGCTGTGGAAGTTACTATGTTATTTAGTTGCTTATGGTTTCCATGCTCCTTAGCAGCAACACAGTTGAAACCGGATCTGAGTGGCAACCGCTTCATATTTCAAAACATTAAAAGCGTGCTCCAAACCCTTTTACGCACACTTTTGTGCTTCTTCACCATCCACTATTTATCCTTCTCATTTTGAAAATAAGAAAGTTCAGTGGAAAGAAATGGAATACACGGAATATTGCCAGTAAGTGAGAATGATTTTAAGATATTGGCGCCTCTCTTCGGAGTAAGGTTTAAACCGTTTGTTAAAAATAGCGTCTGTTTAATGTGCCCTTTACGCACAGCATAGACTGAAAAAAAGTGTTCCAACGCGTTATCATTTGTTGTATGTGAAGTTTGTAGCAGATTAATCCCGTTTCTTTTGTTTCCTCACCTTTTTGATTGTGCCTCAGACGGGTTTCTGTCTCTCTGTCTCCTGTTTTTGAACCAGTTGCTGACCTGGGTCAAGGAGAGTCCTGTAATCTTGGCGAGATTCCTCTTTTCGGCCGGAGAGGGGTACCGATTCTGATTATACAGATCCTTCAGCGCGTTCCGGGACCTCTCCTTGAAACAATACACAGTCTCCTCGCCGTCCCAGATAGTCCTTGGGAGAGGATACTTTCTCCGGATCCGGTACTTGTCCACGGCGCCCAAGGGTCTCCCCCGCGCCTTCTCTGCCTCGGTGTACCGGGCCTTGTACCACAGATCCTGCAGAAAGGTGTGGTTGGACGGACTGAAACTGTGGTTCTCCAGAATACTGTACAGCTCCTGGTACCGAGTCTGGTGGAAAGCGACGAGGGCTTGGGCTTTCAAGATGCTTTCGTTCCCGCGGAGCAGGTCACTTTGTGGCAGGGACCACAGGAACCTGGCCAGCCGGTCCACATTGCCTCCCTGCTGCAGCGCCTCGCAGACGCACGCCACTTGCTCCGGGGAGAACGCCAGGGAGGAAGCGGCGCTCACCAGCAGCTCCGTGCGCACCGCGTCCGTATTGGGAGCCGTGCGCTCCATGGACAACTCCGCTGCGTCCAGCGCCACAAGCTTGATGCACTCCCGCGTATCCACCTCCTTCACATTTTCCCTCTTGATGTCATTTGCTGTTGTGACTTCTCCGGCAGAAGAAGAAGACATTTTTTTTGTTCAAGCCTTCCCTGGTAAAGTCACTCCTCCCAGCTCGATCAGGTTACCTCCTCGCCATGCGAGTGCGATCGGATATCTGACAGCAGCTGTAAGTAGATATCTCTCTCCCCTTTTCCTTCCAACGTGACTTTTACTCTGCGGGGACTGGAGCTGGACGGAGACACGCTGGGGTCTATCTGCAGGAGAGCCACGCTATTGGCCGCCGAGGGCCCCATTAGGGAGGAGCGAGCGGGATTCAGACACGAATGTTTGGTTTCCAGCTGTCACTCACATAACTTACTGTAGATTCTCGTAGCTCACCTGTGCAAGGTGAGTGCTACTGGGATCGTGGGAACGGGATATCCTTGTTGTCTGCATTGTCAGGAGCTGACTAGGCTTTATGTAGAACATAAAAGCAATTATATTCCCATACCGAGTTGTGGAAATCCAAAGAGGGGTGGGAGGATAACCCATGGACTATTTTCACTTATTGTGCAGATTAAAAAAAGCCATCAAAATTAAATTAAACATGATAAGAAAACTTGAAAAAAGGATACTTTATTGATTTTTTTATATTGGCTCTATCAATGATAAGCTCCATAAAGAGATTTTTAAATGTTATTTTCCAATCAAAAATATACAACATTGTCGGATACAGCCAACACACAACAACCATTTTACAGGAGGGGATTTATTTTTACAGATCAGATGCAAAACAGTTAATGCTCCTTCTGTGATTGAAAAAAAAAATGTATGAATGTGTTTTTTTTTTATCCTTTAAGCTTCCCACTTATTGAGTCATAACACAACACAGTAGTGACAGAGATATACCAATATCCTCTCATGAGAATATTTAGTATTTACAAAACAGAGACTTTTCATCAATGCAATAGTAGCCTAAATTGTGAGTGTCAAAAGTTGCTGAGATTTATTTTGTACTTTCACATCAGTCTAATCCCCAGTCTCTCTGGGCACGGCTAACATTTAAAATCACATTGTTGTATCATCCTCAAAACATGGATTGGTTATGCAATGAAGCCACATAAGTCTGCAAAATTCAACAGTATTATCTATATCCTTTGAAAAGACTGGAGAGTACTTTTAACCAACTTGAGCTGACTTTTGTAATTCTCTTTTTCTGTCATCATATTAAACTGATGAGATCTATCAACAATCCAATTATGATAACGAATCTCTCAAAAACAGTTACACCTGCAGCTTTAGTACATGACAGATATCCTCGGGGGCAGCATGAGTGGCATGTGTAGAGGTTTTTGGTTTTAACAACTATATGTTTCAATGCAGACTGAGATGTAATGTGCTGGAGACAGGAGACCCTGTTATTAAAACAGCCATTTTACGCGCTATCTATTTGATTACAAGCCTTGTGTGTATTTGAGACAGCCCTTGGTGTGTATTTATCAGCCCCCCTGGGTCTCCAGTGGGACCCCCCAGTGAGCCAGCATCGCAATGTGAGCGCCACTGCTGGAGAGCCGATCACAGAGCAGGAACCTGACTTTAGCAGTGACGTTTCCCGTCGGTCCGCTTTCTGTGTGACGCAGTAGATAGCCGCTTGGAGAGTGACAGGAGAGCAGCTAGTTGTTGACATTTTTTCTCAGCCTGTATATTTTGTATTTCACAGAGTGAAAAATGGACGACAAGGGGTGTCCAAGATGCAAAACGACCAAATACAGGAATCCGTCTCTGAAGCTGATGGTGAATGTTTGCGGGCACACACTGTGAGTATTTACAGCTAAAGAGGAGCATATTTAACGGCGTTTCTGCTTCATATCGCGCAAAATGACACCTGTCTACTCAAAAAACTCTAAATAGGGAGTTTAAGTCATAAATATGAGTATTTATAGTCAGCTTTAAAGCTTAACTGCGAGGCGGACAAAAAAGCGTTAGAGACATTGAGAAACTGCACGAGCTCTCTGCAGATAAAGAAGCTGTAAACCAACAAAAATCTAAGTTTTATAAGAAAATAATACACTAAATGATCATTGTGTTGTTAAAAGACAATATAAACAGTGAATGCTCAACCCTGCTGATCATATTTAGCAAACACTGTGGACCTTTAGCTCATAATAGCACTTACTTTACTGTTACTGATATCAAAAATGTAATGCCTTTCTGAAAAACTCCATCAAAACTGAAGACTTGGTATTAAGAAATGTGCTGTTATCATCGGAGCCTATTGTTAAGGACCAAGAAATACTATTTTAATACTATTTTTGTTAAAATGTGCAAAAGAAATGGATGATTAGTACACACCAACTAACCAAACAAATAAACAACACTCCAACACATCAGCTCAGATTCTACTTTTATTTTCCCTCTTAATACTGAGGACATAGTGGGTGACAGTAGTAGTGTACTGAAGTGTGTTATATTAACGGGTGTTTCTTATATTTTTTTCCACTTTCATAACAAACCAAGGAGAGCAACATGTTAGGAACACCTTTTACTATAATGCACTCCACCATGCCACCAACACTTGCTTTACAGAAGTAAAGCTCATGCTGGAGCTGTCCTATTGAGTTGCATTTTAACACCAGGGTGCTCATAGTGCTGTAGCTGTTCTGTGGATGTCTGAAAAACTCCTTAAAGTTTGGGAAAAAAAACAGTTTTCTAAAGGCTGACTGTGAAACAAACAATTTTAACCTACTTACTATTCTTCATGAAGTCAAGTTTGCTCATTAAGTTACAGAAGACCCCCTCAAATACTCTTTTGTTAACTCAGTGCATTTCAACTTTTTTTTGTAAAGCATCTTTTATTCATAAAAGCATGAAGCCAAAAGTTCTTCACAGTTGCAAAAACAGAAATTTGTGAGAACTAACATAGATATACATAAGAAAAGTATTTGTTCATGAGCAAAGCTAAAAGCAGACAATATTTGTAAAAAAATGTGTTAACAATTAGATCACAAATGTATAATATTTAAATATTATATTGCTAACCTTATTGTTTTCTATCAATTCAATTCAGTTGTGCTTTTTTGGCATGAAAGTCAAAATGCTGTAAATGAATCAAATTCAGTTAAAAAGTATACAGGTTATACATATGACACAGTAAAGTCTACACGCAGTTATATCACAGTGAAATAAAAACAGAGTGTGAGTCAAACAGCTCCTCTGTGTTTGGGCTCTAACTGTGTGGCAGGCCCTCAGGTTGTGTCAGGCAGAATCACACTGAGCTGCTAAAGGAGATGTTGGTCCTCCACACAGGAGGACTGGCAGCTTCATTCCAGGAGGTTTTACAAAACCTGAACTGTGTGACTATTAAAACTCATCAATTTTTTTTATACCACAGTTTTGTTTCAATCTAAAGTCAGCACTCAGTTAAACATGTTTACTGAGCATTGCCTGGTCATCTGTTTGAAAATCTGCTCATTCGAACGAAGGGGACATGTTCTCTACGAGCATCATGCAGCGACAGTAACCTGCCTGATGAGAGCATCTTTTTTCAACCCTGTCTGTTTATTGACCGTAGCGTCAGGAAGTAGCCGTGCTTTGTCATCAGGTCAGCGAGCTCATAACTCACTGCCTCTGTCTGGATGCAGGGCCACACACAGAAAATTAAAATGATTCTGCAATGAGGCAATATGGAGAGATGTCCTAGTCCAGGTCACCTTGGATTTGTTCCTCAGAGCTGGTGCAACTGTGTATTAATGCAGTGCTCGGAAACTGCTGCATCCTAAAACTGTTTTCGGATACTCAAAACTGATGTCATTTATCTTTCTGTTTGCAGACAGGCTTACTAAAGAGATGATATAGACTAAGAATGAGCAGTGCAGCTACTCAGTACTAAACAAAGTGAGTAAAAAGCAAAGAAAATGTAAAAGATATGAATTGAAAAAATAGCAATGTGCAGATGTAGATATAGTTAAATATATGTATTCTCAAACTCCCAAACAAGCCCATACATCATATATCAAGTGGCATGCATGGTTTCTGCCTGATGCTCAGCTACTTCTGCACATTATGAGAATAATATGTAATGAATACTGTAATGACTACATTAAATTCTTTAAATCAACGTATAGCAAAGAGCACATAAAGCCTGGTCTCTGTGTCTCCATGTGTGTTAATACAACACTGATCAAGGAAGCATAGCAGGTGAATGAAAAATAGTTTTAAATATTAACAATTCATCATGACTTCTGTAATGTTTTTTGTCATGTATACTTAGATTGTGGGAATAATCCAATTGTGATTATTGTGTGGTCCTACTCTTAACCGTTGCTGTTTTTATCAGAAAAATGAAAGTCTAAAATTTAGTCCTACGATATTATTCGCATGTTTCATCACCCTTTTAGATTCGCTTTAAGAAGTGCTTAATAGTTATTCAGGGCTGCTTCTCACAGCTCAAAGTGCCAGTCACATTCACTCATTCACTGCACATTCATATACAGGTGGCAGAAGATGCTGTAAGGCAGTTAGATTTCGTACATAATTTAGAGGTCAGCGTCTTGCCCAGTGAGGCAAGTGCTGGAATACTTTTCTTTGTATGATACCAATAAGGAAACATATGTTTAGATTTTCAGATTTCTTGGAAATAATGTTGACCATCACGCTGGAAGTCTGCAATTTGTTTACATTAGCTTCATTATAATATAATTTATAAACAAAATAATGAACATTATAATATATACACAATGTAAGTGGTAAATCTTGCTGCACTTTCACTCGCCCAACTGGCTGTTATCCTCTCTTTACATTACCCCTGTTGAGCATTCATTCCAGCCTGAGCTGACAGGGCTCTTCTCCGTGGCAATGCATTGCAGTATTGAGCCTCTCCTCCTTTAGCATGCATCTAAATATAAACCCCACCACAGCACATTTTGTATCCTTGTCACTGGGGGCATTTGATGCCTGTTATTTATTACCTTTTGCACAATGACACCAGGCAAGTGTCCTTTGGCATTTGACACTGGGCACGGTCAGGCTCAAAAGATAGTAGCATAAGCATACAGTGGGGATTAGAGGAGTCCACCCAGTGAATCAAGAATGACTGTATAGACACATACCTCATTAAGTAGAGGCTAGCTTTCTGCTGGTGTTATACAGGAGTAGAAGACTTTTTTTAGGTTAGGGTGCCACCAAAAAACCTCTGAGGGCGATTTAACTCAGTGGTTAAATCATGAATCCCATGTTCAGAGGCTGCAGTCCTCAAGCAGGTGGCCTGGATTTGATTCCAATCTTCTGCCTTCAGGCATGTCACTTCCAGCCCTCTCTCCTGGCCCCTAGCTTTATCCACTGCTGTAGCCTCTCAGAATAAAGGCATAAAAAGACATAATTTACAACTTAAAAAACTCCCAGCTAAGTACTTACAGCAAAAAACAATAACTTTGTCATCCCAAAGTCAAAGACATAGATACGCTGGAGAACGGCTAGCATGGCTTTGTCCAATGATCACTTAACCTGTTGTAGACCTACAGCTCTTCTTTAACTCCTCAGTTTAGCAATTGTAGATTTAAAGAAGAAGATATTATGCACTAGATAGTAAGCTGTGAAGTTTTTATCTTTTAGCGTGACTCGCTGATTCCCTCCCTGTTTACATTCTCTATTCCATGCTAAGCTAACAGCCTGTCTGTAGCTTTCTATTGAGCAGACAGGCAGGAGAGTGTTATTGATCTTTTTCTTCCAGGTCTGGGTGAAACAGCTGATAACCATATTCCCAAAGTGTTGAAATATTTCTCAAAAATAGATTTCAACTACAAGACCCATTAGGCGTCACTATAAAAAGCAGTGCATTAGCAAGCTTGAAGTTTTGGCGTCTTTGTTGCTTATAGAGATCCTCACAATCCTCAGTCAGCTTTTTTCATTTTTCAGATGAAAATGATTTTTTGTCACGACATGTTTTTGAACCTGTGTGTCTGTCTGCCCACTTTGCACCTCTGTAAAGTACACAGAATCACAGCTTTATTGTTTTTTAGTTCACCCAAGCTTATCTACACTCTCTGTGTAAGCAACTGACTGAGGGGGCCTCAGCATTTTTTGCCTGTGCTGCAGCCGGTATATTAGGTCACAAGGCAGGACAGAGCGCCGAAGCAGGTTGAGATTTGATGTAGAACCCGCTGGGCTCTGTCTGGACTCTTTGGAGATGATGAACTTTGTGGGAGAAACAAGTTAGTCCTCCTCTTGTTTGTTCAAAGTGCTCTCCTTTTTTTTTGCTTTTTCTCATAAATGAAGATGGCAAGGATGCAGGCAATGTCACCAAGGGCCTTGGAGTGGGGTGGGGGAGTTCTTTGCTGAGCCAGGACAGTGATTCCCCTCCTCCTCTTCCCACCCCCTTCTTTGACCTGCTGACAGCTGCAGATGGGAGAGATAGGAGCCTGAAGCTGTGAGTAGGACAGGTGAGTGAGGGAGGAGTCGGGAGCACTCAGTCAGCGACAACAGCCTTGGGACACAGAGATGGCGAGCTGCTAGAGATCTGTCGACTTACTTTAAAGTCTGTTCAGAACGCCTTGGCAAAGGATTACTGAGTCCCCCCCTTTGATTGTAAATTGCAACAGGCACACCATCCAAAAGCTGTCACTCAGAGAAGGCATATATCAGAGGAAAGATGGCAAATTGACTCTTAAAAGTCTCCTCCCTCACTCTTAAGCGTTCAGCCTCTTTGCTCTAGAGTTACACAGGATTTCCCCTCGGAGAGTTCTGTTGTGTGGTCCATTTATGGGGCAGGGGGCAAGCTACGCCCTACTCCTTACTCCATGTTGATGAATGGGCTCTTTGTGGGCCTGTGGAAACAAGCCGAATCCTTCCATCTACCTCCATATGGTCAGGCCTATACATCTCCTGCAGCCTGAGGCCATGGTGCACATCTGCCTCTTCCAGGGTGCACTTGAGCAGGAGGCTCCTCATGCTGGACAACGCAGATGTTCCTGTCCATCGTTCTGCTTTCATTCTCGTTTTGTGGCTTCATCCAAGCCAAGCCAAATTAGTCCCCTGCCATGCTTCATCTAAGTTTTATGTGTTTGTTGTGCGGCTGAGAAAGCTTGGTGACATACTTGGCAAGTTAGGCTTGTTTGACCCATAACAGCCAAACTACACGGCTCTGCACTTTCTCCTTTAACTGCTTTTTTTGTTGTTTTGAATCCTGCTGATGAGGTGAAATGTCTTGCATGATAACTTTGACTGTGATTGTTGTAATAGGCCCAATCCCCTGGGAGCTTTAGACTAGACACCAGAGTCTCAAGTCTAAGACTTAACTCTGGAAAGAAATGACTCAAGCATACCATCAATGACGTACGATGCCGTTTCCCGTCAACTTCTCTGTATTTTATTATAAAATCTGTCAGTGCTCAAAAGCAGATAGTACCATTTGGAAACCAGATGTTGCCCATTTTAGTGAAGGTGGTCACAAGCAGGAAGGTGAATTCCTGTGGAAATAAAGCTCCACTGAGACTTAATTAAAAGACCGTACTGTGCAAACGTTTATCCAGACCCTCCACCCTGTCAGGGGAGATTAAGGAGCATTCCCATTGTCCTAAACGTCCACTCCTCATTCTAGTGTGACTGATTGGTAAACGCCTACCTGCATATAGGTGTGATTGATGGCTAAGCTAAGGGTTGTGCCCTCAGGTAACTTTGACAGTAGCCATAGCTTTCTGTCAAAATGGTGCAGAGAGTAAACTTTGCTGCTTAGAGCAGGATCGAACCCAAAATGCACCACCAGTGTCTGCAGACCGTTTCTGCCTTTTTGTTCAGAATTGGTCACAGCTCGAGAAACGTGCTATTTGCTGAAAAGAACCAAAAGACCAAAGGACACCTGAAAATCTCATCATGACTGCTCTGGTCTACCACTTATGTGGTCTTGGAAAACAATCATATTCATTTAAACACAGATTTAAAATTCTTACTTTAATCAGCACCAGATGAGATTTGCCCAGAATTTAAAGATCTGTTCTTAACCTGTGTAGCTTCCTCTCATGTCGTGTCAAGAATGATTTATGACAGAAAAGGGAGGACCTTTGGAGTTTCTTCTGATGTCAAAACTTTTACTTTTTTTGGATAAATGAAAGCCTTCAGAAATGAACATTTATCTCAAAACCCTTAAACTCTCAGAGGAAGGACGTTTCAAAGATTTCTTATTTGGGCCTCAGTTTGAATTCTTTGCCTTTTTTCTAATTACATAAGAGTCCACACTAATAATAATAGACTACACTGTAAACGACTGGATTTTATCACATTATGCAACGTGGCAGAATGAATGAGGTCTGTTGAAAAAACAATAACGCAAATGTTTTTCCAGTGCAGACAGACACTCCACTGATGGGGTGTCAGACTAATTTCCTCTTGTCTGAGAGTTGGAAGCAGCCTAATCGACATTCCAATCATAATCCCGGCCATCTTTGAGCACTCAAGAGGAAATATTCATGTGCCCCATTATCACCCACTGTGCCTGATGATAACTTGCAGACATTTGAAAAAAAAAAAAAAAACTCGAACTTGCTTCACTCTGAGGAAAACTGTGTTTCAGCTGCCAGAAATGCCAACACATGCTCACAGCTGGCTCTCAAGGCTGCCTGGGAGATTCACCACCTAGCTTGATGATGTTTCCTATTTGTCTCCTCTTCCTCACAGATGCGAGAACTGCGTGGAGATGCTGTTTGTGCGCGGCTCGGGTAACTGCGTGCAGTGCGACACGCCCCTGAGGAAGAGCAGCTTCCGCGTGCAGCTCTTTGAGGACCCAACCGTAGATAAAGAGGTGGAGATACGCAAGAAGGTGCTGAAAATGTGAGTGAAGTGGAGGGGGGGGGGTCGAGGGGTGCGGCCCTGCGTGTTTATGTGTCATCTCATGCCTCCTCCCACTTCTTAAGCCACCTTTGTCTTTCTCATTACGCTGTTTGTTTTGTAGACAATGAGGCTCCCCAGGGGGGGCTCAAACGGGAAGGCTCTTTCCCTGCCAGGTTTTTACTTCTCAGCCCCTCCCTGCCTCCCATCTCTCCCTCTCATCTGTGCTTTAATAGCCCCTTAATTGACATCTAATGGGTGTCTATTAGAGAGTATGCAGACATGGTATTATAAAATGGTTGATTTAATGGAAGCTATTAATGTTGGTGCATATTTGCTTTTATCTGGTTTTATTATTTGTGCCATTGTTCTGTTCTTCCTCTGCAGATACAACAAGAGAGATGTTGACTTTCCCAGTCTGAGAGACTATAATGACTACCTGGAGCAGGTGGAGGACATAGGTAGGGGGGCACCAGCTTATAGATTTTGAGAGAACAGATTCTGGCTGAAATTATCATTTCATATTGACTCAGGCCGCACAGATGTTCTATAGTTATCAATGTCAACTAGTAGGCGAGGATCACAGCCTCTACAGGCGTCTGTTAACTTTATTTAAAGAAGGAATTTACATTTTAAAAGAGGACATTTTGTGTGTGTGTCACTTTTGACCAATGTGAAGTCAAAGGACTGTGTGGGACAGAAGAGACAGGGCCAGAAAGAGAGACAGCAAATGTCACATATCCAGTTTCTGTCATGCAGTAATGACTTTCACTTCTTCATGGAGTAAAAAAAAAACAGCTCCAGGGTCCAAGTAAGTTTTATGCTAGGAATTTACTCATGCTTACTTTACATATTTCTCAAACCTTCATTATTCCATTAGAATCGCTTTGCCTTAAATTTCCTCTCAGCAGATAAGGCTGTAGGAGTCATTTCAAGATGATTTCTCAAGAAGCCAGAGAAGGGAAGGCTGATAGAGTTTTCAAAAGCACCATAGCTCTTGCGTTTTCTGGCCTCTATAACCTTGTTTTTGTGTCTTTTACGTAGTGTTTAACCTGACAAACAACATCGATGTGGACAACACCAAGCTGAGGATGGAGCAATACCAGAGGGAGAACAGAGACAACATACAGAGGAACAAGGCTAAACTTGTACGTATCGGAGAATCTGTCCTGCAATTGCATAAAACCTTCCTTAATTATGATTTTAAAGATTAAAAAAATACAAGATTACAAACATTACTTTCTTACTTTCTCTTGTTTGAGAAATCAGCAGTAGGGTCAAGAACATCTTGACAACATCTACAGCATCTTTGTCTCATATGGTGCGTGAGTTTCTGCAACATCCCTGTTTTATTTCCCGCTCTCCTCAGACACGAGAACAAGAAGAGCTGGAGGAACTTTTGTTGCTGGAGCAGCGGGACAACGAGCAGCGGAGATTGGACGTCCTGCAGGAGGAGCAGAGGCAGCTACAGGCCAAGAGGAAGAATAAGCAGGCTCTGCTGGATGAACTAGTGAGGAACATCCACAGGCTGGCGCAGCAAAAAGCGGCCACATTATGACAGATGCTACATGTCTGACACTCACATACACACCCTGAGCCTGAGGGTTCATGGCTGTGAGATCATTAAGAGCTTATTACCAGTCATTGTGCCGCATGCTGCATTGTTCTCATTCTGTGATTCCAAAGCCTCTTGGCTCCATTGTGTTGACCTGCAGGCTTTGGAAGTGATTGTTCCTGTAGAGCAGGCTGCCGAAGGACCATTGCAGATAGCAGGCTAAGCTGTGTGTTTGTTTGTTTAAGGCACAGGGCCTGTTGACTGTAGGCAGATGAGATCAGCTCCCACACCCCCCAGGGGGAACTATCCTGAGCTCTGACATCTGTACATCCCTGTGGCTCACTGTGCTCACACATAGTGCAGCACATACGCCAACACATACACTCAGATTCCCTGTTACTGCAGCGGCAAGCTGATCAGTAAAATAAACCCTTGGAACTTTTTGTTCCTTTCTTATGTAAACACTAACTTACAATACTTGGCTGTGGTATTTGTTATCAGCAATATGGACATCTCTCTTAAAGTTGTGGGTGAAATTAGAAACTTTTTAATTAAACATGGTCTTTCAGATTAAGTGCTTTAATTCACACAGATCCTGTCAAGATTAAGTGTCACTCATGGTGGTTAAAAGTGGGTAAAATTTTTCCCATGTAGGCCCCCTCGGACCAGTTTTGTTTTCTTGTTTAATGCTAGGAATTTTCTAGACAGTCTTCACGCTGTCGTCCACGCCATCAAAAATGTCCTACGTCTATTGTGAACAGCCTGTCCAAGCTTGTGTTCTTAGACCTCCGTGCTTGGCAACACTCCACTGAAGAAATTGAAAAGTCCGACCTTGCATTTATTGGAGGTGAAGGCAGCACAGTGCGCTTGAGGCAGCGTCTCCTGCAGTGTCACAGTTTTGTTAATATGACTTGTATCAATAATATAGCAGCTAGCCTGAAAGCAGGGATGGAGCTAGGTCTTAAATGTTGCAAAAAGGAAAGGTTTCCGCATATCAAAGTGTGAGCTGATGCATGAAGTTTTTTGTTGCATGCATTGCACACCTGAATTTACATTCTCATCAAAGCTTATATCCCTCCCGTTTCTCCAGGAGCAGTCTAAACTTCCTGCCACCCTCTTGCTTGCTCAACACAAGGTCCGTGCTGCCCAGCTGGAGACCCAGATCGAGCAGCAGAAACAGGTGGTCAAGCCTACCAATCTATTTTCAACAGGAATCCATATGGTGAGTCTAACACTTACTCACTCTACGACCCCAGTTCTTACAAACACATTTAACATGACAGGCTTTCTCTCACTTCTCACAAGGCTTATCTGGGGTGTACAATTAGCACCAAGCTGGTGATTTACATTCTCATTTCTCATTCATTCACACTCTTTCAAACAGCTCATTTCCTTTATTCTGTTTTGTTTAAGTCCTGGCAACTCATATAAGCTCTATCCCATCTCAATATCAAATTTTGACAATAACAATCAACTTTTTCACCATCTTTTAAAGTGCTTTCTGAAATTGAGTACAGATATTTGTGGCTGTGTTTCCCTGGGGAATCAAATATTCATAACCCAAAGTGAGATTTTTTTTTGAAAGTGTAGAATCTGTAGTTGGGGGTTGGGATTTTCAGGTGGTTTCTGTTTGTAGTACAATTGTAGTTTAAGTTGTAATGACCAATCAGGTATCAAGAGACTTTGATGTATGCAAGATAAACAGTCTGTGCAAACAAAAAAGAGCGCGCTGAAGACAATCCACTGTCATGATAATCCGCCTCTCATTGATGGTAATCTGAAAACAATTTATGTACATATCTGCATGTGACAAATCTGCTTGTCCACATGGTGCCAAAGCCTGATTACCTGGAATATATCAGGAATGAGGAATCTGATATGATGCTTCGAAACATACTAAGGGCTTCATATTTGTGGACCTTAACTTTCAGGGATGTGTGTGACAGCGTAGTGTTGCTCAATAAGGTCAGTTGCACAAACATGGCATCAATGACTTTATTTGACGCAGAGTTTATAATGTAAGCAAACAATTACAGCTTTGAAGTAGCTTTTAGTAAATATTTTTGCTTGGTCCCTCAGCACTTACACTGCATCAAGAGTGACAAATACATAAGGGGACTAAAATCCCTTAACAAAACTTAAATTTATCTTTATCAGAGTGGGCTTTTCTGTTCCATTGAGAGTGGGGAGAGCACAGAGTTAAAGAGTTAAACATGTACCAAAAGTGACTGAGAAATACCCACACTTCACATGTGTTGCTTGTTTACAGTGGAGTAGTGATAACAGACCAGACCCTTAAAGAGAGGATGTTCCTTCATGTCTGGGTCTTCTTTACTGTGTGAAGTGAACAGGCCTGAAACCTTCAGTCATGTCATCACATTCCTCTGAGTGAACACTGGGACCCTCAGAGAGAGGATGGGGGCTCAGGGCTGTGGCTGTTCGAGCTCACAGCTTTGTGCTCACCCTGCCTTCTCTTTGGCTGTTTTTCAGGTTTTCAGTAGTTTATTTTCATTTTACTGTGATGGAGATAAGCTGTGTCATCACCCTCACCTCCTCCCCTGCAGCCCTCATGAGGTATGCTTGTCTTCCCACAGTTCAGTGGTGCGTGGGAGAGATATGTGCTTCGGACTCACCTAGGCTCAAACAGGAGTTAGCTTTAAACACACTCAGGTCCAACTCAACTTTTCCCATCCGTCTTGGCCCTTCTTTACTATTGTTTATTTTTTCACTGGTTATTGAATGATCCTGATTAAATTATCTGATGCGGTGATAACTAGAGCTGATTTCACTCTGAAGCTCAAAAGAGGCAACAGATTCATCCACCATCAGTGGAAAAGCACAGAAATAATTCAAATGGGGGATGTGGTGCTCTCACTCTCAACCCCTTGATATGCAGCATGAAGTTAAACTTGCTGATGGAGAGAGGAACAGCATGATTTTGTTGCTCTTGGATTCTTCTGTGGCTGTTTTTCCTCACTTCTTTCTTCCCTCCTCTCTTCATCCTCCCAACCCTGCGCTGCTGTTGGTGGAGCAGAGCTCCCACCATGCATCTGCTGTGTTGGACTGAGACTTGAGTCGGGGGAGGGTGTGGGTTTGGATTTCCCTTCACCTCTGAGTCCATAAGAATGACTTCTGTTTGACTTGGTGGTGTTTCAGCACAGAGCGGTGGATTCCTGCAGATTGCTGGAATTCATTTATCTGCTTGGTTGTGGTCCCTTGTTCCATGCTGGGTTTCAGTTTTTCTTCAGGAGGAATCAGTGGAGACGAATGCAAAAACACATTTCTAAAGCTGGGTCACATTTACACCATATCCATTTACCCTCCTTAAACTTGTTTTTTGCTCTTCTTTTCAGTGACAGGTATCTCAACTAAAGCGGAGGTTTTTGGCCTTTACATTATCACTTATTTTGCAGATTATTAATCGACCTGTTTTTTTTAAATCAGTCATTTATCAAAATATAGCTTCTGGTGCTTTTACCTAAAGTTTTTAATTGCAGTTTAGTTCGGGAGACAAAAGCTAGTTTGATAATGTCACTTAAGGCCTCAGGCAGTTTCCAGTAAAACATTACAGCTCCAGAAAAACAAAATTCAACATTAAAAGCAGCTATTGGTCAACAACACAATTTGAATCCCGTCCAGTGAAGCTGTGGACTAAGGAGGCCGTTCTATTTGTGACCGTGTTGGTGCAAGTTCACCAGTCATAATAGCAGAAAAACATGGTGCCCCCTCCTGACACCCCTCACCCATTCTCGTGCTTCACCAGCACTTAAGCCAGCTGCCTTACCCTGGGCCAAGGTGAGCCGTCACCGGTGGAATGACATATCTGCATGTCTCTGAGCTGTGCAATCTATGGAGCGTGAGGAAGCCGACTCTTCCTCAGTTTCCCGATGACTCCACTCTTTATTTAAAGAGTGATCTAATGTTGCATCTAGTTGTGTCATGGTGTTTCCTGGGAACACACAAGGAGACATTTCAGCCATCTTGGCACATCTTTTCAACCCTGGTGATTTTCCAGGAGTGAGTTCAGGGGATTCCGACTATTCTGATTCTGGTTAACCTGCTTGGGTGATAACTTGCTGTCAGATGGATGCTTGCGGAAGTTTGCCGATCCTGGGGGAAAGTAGTCTTGGTCCAGGTGTGATGTGATGTGGGACGGGCCTGGTCTTGCCCGAGGAATGGTCTGGAATCACTCACTAATCCCTCACTTTGTAGGCATTCTATTGAACCGAGACACACATACCCGCGTACGGGTGCGTGCACGCACACACATAAACGACACTCCCCTGAGCCAGTCTGAGTAAACATCCTTTGAAGAATAAAGTGTCTTTCTTAAATAGAGGTCCGCTGATATCAAAAGAGACTCTCTGTGTGGGGAGAGGGGCAACTATTCACCGTTTAAACAGGTTTCTTGTTGTTGTCTGACACACAAGAACAGCTCCAGTGCCAAACATGATGACGAAAGTCATGAAGTCTAGTCTAGTAATCAGTTTTGCCACCTGCTCAAAGCAAAACATGGACATGAAATGAGGGTGATTAGCATATAAATCATCTTTTGTTTGAGCGCTGCATGAGTCAGAGAAGTTGTTTTAGTAGTTGCTGATTGTCTTAAAACGGGATGGCTTTGTGTGTGTGTGAGTGTCTTAGTGTTTGCGTGAGGTTGGCGATTGTCCTCAGCTGCTGCAGGGTCCAATTCCTGAAAGCAGTTGACCGATGGAGAATCTCTCCACCTTGAAGCAGCTTTCAGCGCCATCTTAAATGAAAGGTCCCAGGTTCCAGTGTTGTTGGCGCCCGATCCACTCTTCGCAGGCTGCGGAGCAGCTGACATACCTGATGAGGCCGGCATGGGCACCTAATGAAAGCAGGGTGCACACACAAACAAAGCGCAACTCACACTGATACATGTGGGTGGAAAGTTTATCCCTAAACATAGATGTGTAGCTGTCTGAAATAACCTGGGTTCTCTGGCTTTGTTCTATTCTACTCTTAAGGAGAGGAATTTAGATACCACAAAACAAAAACACAAGCGCACACACACACAGACTCTTTCTAACATTGGGTTTTACCCCAGCCTATTTACTTGGTGAAGTTGTCCTCCACAGTGACCTCTGCTCTGTAGACATACCCATCAAACTCTGCTCTCCTCTGGCAGACTTGACAAACCTGTTTTGCGTGGAAAGTTGTTGCTAAGCACTCCCCCAACCCCCACTCACTCTTTCACTATCTTCAGTGATATTTCCTGTATTCTCACATTCACACAGAAATGGATTTGTGATGTTGTTAAGACTTTTTGTATTTTGAAATTTTGAGTATTCACAGGACAGTGGTTGGTAATTAAGAGGGAGAGCGTAACCCCCTAACCTTTGGCCTTTTTATTGAATTGATGGCATGTAGGTCAATAGCTGCAGGGGCTGGTGGAGATGAGGGTCATCCCTGATTGGCACAAGCACATGTGGGCATTCACACCTCTGCCCCTGCCTATGGCTTTGCCTCTGTTTCGGTTGGCCTCAGCAACCCCTTGCCCGCGGGCAGGCTGGCCTGGCCTTGCGGAAAAAAAGGAGTTGTCAGCTTTAGGGGCTTTGCGCCGGGGCAGCTGCCACTGGTCAGGCAGTTATATTTAAACTTGTAAGGCAAGGGGAGGCACTATGTGGGCAGCAGCTTTTACACTTGCTACTTGCTTGCTCAGTGGGCAGCTCAAAGCTCTTTATCCATACAGAAGCGCTGGCAGTGCCAGGGCAGAAGGTGGAAGTAAGAGCTGAGGATGAGATGCCACAAAGCTCGGCCCTAACAAGGCTTATTAATATTATCCCCAATACAACACTGTCCACTTGTCCCCTTTTCATTGTCCTCATTATCACCCTGTGCATTAGTGAGGAGGGCTTCACTGCCCCTGGAGCTCAGCGTAGGTTAGAAAGGATTCAGAGACCCCTTTGAAAGAGCATGGTTTCACACATGGACTTGTGTGTGTGTTCCTGTAAATGTTGAGGGGAGGTGCTGATGGAGAGGTTGGACTCTCAGGGACCTTGATTTGTCCTGCTGAGCTGCAAAGTCAGAAGAGACGGGGGGGCTGGAGGGTGCTGATGACCATGCAGTGTATGTGTATATGAATGCAGCACGTGTTTTTGGTGGTGTTCGTAGTGGTGGCACATGATTTAAAATGAAAACTTTTGGTCAATATTTTATGGTGCACATAAAATCTACCTGGCAGCACTTTGCATCTTTAAATGTAAAAATTAAAAATGATAATGCACATTTTACAGGTAACCAGAGAGGATTGTTATAAAATAAATAGAAAAATAATGTATTAAACATCTACAAAAGTATTGAAAAAAACTGGCTTTTCAAGAGTTTTGTCTCAGAATGTAGGAGCACCTCTGACAGACACCTCATCCATCATGTTGTTTATGCAGGCTTCGGTGCTATACCTCTGGGGCAGACCACTCAAACCTTTAAAAGACTTTTATGAGACCCCGTCCCATAAAAGTCACACAAATGTCTGCCATATCACTCTGTCAGATGGGTCAACCTTGTTGCTTTCTCAGATGGATGGCAGAGTTGAGAAAGGGTAAGGTGACGGCACATCACAAGCCCAAATCAACCCCCCTCTGAAAGGCGTAGTGCTTAACAGTTTTTCAAGCCAGCACACCTGTCCCCTTCACCAACACGAGGATAGGCACCAGTGACGGCTTTTACTTGACCTTTTCAAACAGTTCCACTCCCAGAAATTGGAGCCGGTATTACGAGATCACTATTACCCTATCTGGGTCTGAGATAGGTTAAAGAGGATCCCCAGACCAAAAGAAGGACGACAACTCCCTCTGGCGCGATAGTGATTTCCTCAAATCACCCGTCCCCGCTGTTTTATTGAGATGGATGGCCCCCAGAGTTTCATTTTGGTGTCACGGGGGTATTAAAGGAAGCTAGGAAACAAGGTATACACAAACTTAAAAGTGCCATGAGGACACACATAATGTTGTGTAGGCAGTAAGATGGGCCTCTGTGATGTTAAAAGCAGATGTTTGTGTTGGCTCTTTCAGTCGTGTTGTTCCACTAGCCCCTCGTTCCTAAGCCATTTATTCTCTGCTCGGCCTAGCTTGGCCCCATCCCCCTTTCTCATGCTTTCTTCCACCAGAGCATTTGGAAAACAACATTCATGTGCCGTAATTCATACTAGCTTTTAATAGGACGTGATGAGTTTATGATTGAAAGTTTCAACAGCGTCATTTGGTGGAGTTGAGGACAGCGCAGGCCTGAGGGGACACAGCTCTATGTCAGATAGGCAATCAGTCAGATCGCCTGTCTTGTCTCAGAACAGATTAGTACAACAATGCTTAATTTTACACATTTGAGTGAATATATTCTGAAGGACACAGTCTGCTCTTGTGTATGCACGTCTTATGCTGTGTTTGTCTAGGATGATGTGTCTCTGCCAGATTTCAAGGTGCCCTTGCAGAGGAATGCAACAGAGATTTCTCCAGACTGAGGGTTGGCTGTACTCTGTCTGTCACTTAAAAAATCTGATTTACTGCACTTTAGTTATCTGCAACTCCCAATTTGCTGCCCTCTCTTCCTTGAAAAGTCCTCAGCTGTAGATTTTCCCCCTTTAACCCCCTTGGCTTCTCCCTCCACCTCTGTGTCTCTGTACATCTCTTTGATTGGCGCAGCAGGGGAGTAAAACATTGCTGAAAGTCCGAAGGAAGATGGATGGAGGGGCTAAAGAAGTGCGAAAGTGAGGGAGAATGGCTGGGTTTGGGTCGGTTGGTCTGGGTTTCATTAGCCTGTGGTGGGGCTCCACTGTGTTGAATGAATGTATGGGACAGGAGAGGGGATCACTGGCACCTTGGGGTTAAAGGGTGACTGAAGACCGTGGAGAAGAGGGTGCCTTGTTTTTTATTTGTAAGAGAAATGCAGAGAGGTTTAGATGGAGGTATAAAGGAAAAGGCTTGAATCTTTCCTCCGATATCAGACTAGGTGTTTTTTTTCTCCTGAATTTTGCATACAGCTTTTACAGACTGTTTGCAGTCGAGTGAAGCCAGTATCTCTCTTTTAAAACCTTTACAAATGTCTCAAGGAAGAGGACATTTAGTAGACATGAGCAAACTGCAATAAAGCAGCACAGACAGATCTCACACACCTGTAATGTTATTTAAAAAAACACTCAGTGAAAAAATAAAAATTTTTCACATGAAATTTCACTGTCCGTTTTTTATGGGTTTGGGTTGCATCAACTAGAAACCATAACTCAAATCAGTTTATCCAGTGCAATCCACATAATATCCAGTTTATTCACAAGCAGTCAAAGAGGGACCAAACATGGATTTCTGCGGGGGAAAGAGACAGATGTTATGTGATGTCATTAAACAAATTTTATTCAATAATAAAAAAAATGTATTATTGTTAATTTATTAGTAGTGTTTCCCTGTGAATAATTTAACTTTCCAAAAACACTTATTTTTTTGAGTTATAATCACAACAATGGTATTTTTTTTTCTACAGCACCTTTTAAAAAGAAATTACAAAGTGCTGAACAATTAGAAATAGCTGAATCAAATCAGAGTTGTTGTTTTTTTTTTTTTAAAGCAATATACCAACAATCAGGCTTCATAATGGCCTAAGCAAATAATAAATCACAACATTTAAGTAATGAGTAAAATTCAGTACTTTAAAGAAAGTGTAACAAAGCCAGCGGTCGAGAAGAGCCAAACTATAAGAGTAAGTTTTAAGAAGAGATTTGGAAGAGGACACTGAGTTTACCTGCCTGATGGTCGACCCCACTTGTGACCAGTCAAGGTTCAGGAACCAAGTTTACAGCCCTGCTAGAAAACCTCAGGTTGCCGTCAGGCTCATGGGAAGTTATCAGCTCACAGATACAGGCTGGAGCCCGGCTGTTTAAGGCTTTAAAAACAAGCAAACAAATCTTAAAATCTATTATACAACTCACATGTATAGTTGTAGTTAACTCCTTTCTGTTTCTGCTCTGATGACAAAAGAAATAACCTTTCTGTGTTTTTTTTACTCCCTCTGTTGTAATCCCTGCTGCTTTTCCACCTGCACATATAAACCATAGCTTCATACAACAGGTTCAGACCAGTTTTGTCAAGGCAGCCAAAAGTGTTCCCAGAAAAAAGGGGAACAGGATCTTGGGTAAACAAATTAAATCTGAATTCATCATTTTTTCAGCAACATTGAAACATGTCTGCATGGATAACATTCATTATTTCACGATAAGAGCGTGATAAAGGATGTACTGAATTTGTGTGTAAATGTGTGACTGTGTTGTTTGGTTTAACAAGTTTCCACAGGAGCCTGCTAGAGGCAGTCACCACCATGTTGTATTATAATCAGAAACTTATTGATGTCTCAGTGTGCATCGCTTGGTGCTTCAGTAATTTCCAGCTCAGCTTTGGTTGTTTCATTCCCTCGTGGGTGCACTAGCAAGGGCCAAAGCATGTGTAAATGCAGGCAGTCTGAGGCCGTGGGGCACATGTTACTCATTTAGTTTGGTTTTCATCAGCTCCCCTCTGTGTTCTGTTGTTTATATATCCCCCACCGCTCTTTTATTTGCTTTCTCTCTTTATCTTTTTATCTTTCTTCTGTCTTCCAGTTCCTCTGCTACTTGCTAAGAAAGTCAGTGTTTGTTTAGACATCATCTTTTTAATCCCAGGTTTGTTTCATGACTTTGGTTCATCTTCTGAGTCTTATTACTCTAATGCTGGTGAAAGCTTAGTGGTCTGATGCTGGAAATTCCCCTTTGATGGCAGAGCCCCAAGTCGAACATTTCTACAGTGTCCTCAAGAAGTATCAGGTTTCCTACTCCATCTCTATGGTCAGGAGTAGAGTTGCCTGACTGGATTTTAAACTTGAAGAAATTTCGGACCAAAAAAAGAGTTTTTCACTTGACACTACATGGGAACCCATAAATGTAACAGTTTTAGCTTTAACAATAATAGCGATAACTTTATTATTGTCGTTATCATTAACCTTAGTCAACTAAATTTAATTGAGACAGATTTCTTTTATACGTTGTTTTGTGTATTGCTTTTTTGGTTTCAGAAGAAAACACCAAAGACGATATCTTATCAGAAATCTGTTATTATTTCCTCATCAACCCCACTCATTTTTTTCATGTTACATTTTGTTCAGGACCAGGTTTGACCACATTTAAAAGCTTTGTCATTGTCCGAATAGTTTCTCCACAAAACCAGCCGTACCGGGGGAAATCAAAAATGACATAACTCCTCTTTCCAAACCAGTCGGTCAAGAACGAGTGGTTATAAATGCTGCCGTTTGTCTGACATTGAGCCTTTTCCAAAAAAAAATTTCCGTTAGTGTCATGCTGATTGTGCCATGGCTGAAGTTCCCAGTGTTGCTTTTGTAAACTGAAATAGGACAATGAAGATTATTGTCTTGTGCTTAATTTTGTCTCTGTATTCTTTATTTTTGACCAGCGTCAGACGGTGTCCCTTCAGCCGGTGCCCAAGATAGAGGAAGTTCTGTACCACTACAAGCCCCTTGAAATTGAAATCTGCGGACCCCCGGTGCCTGAACTGGAGCAGCTCGGCAGACTTGGGTAAAGACACACCATTTTTTACTCATCCTGTACAGCCAAGAACATGTTAAGGAAGTTTAGTTCCCCTAGGCTGTCACAAAAGCAACAAAAATAGACAAATTACTAAAGCTACGTATTATTTGTGCCAACTCAATCAGCAGCTGATGTTCGAGAAAAGTTATCTCACCTGCAGAGCACCGACTCTCTGTATGTAGTTGGGGTATGGGAAGTGTTTTGCTCATTGGTTTTAGCATGTTATACTGACCCATAACCTCTCTCCATAAGGGTATGAAGAAAAACCAGTCAGTACGGAGTATGGAGAGCAAAAGCAGGCGGAACACAGTCTACCATATAATCTGGCTCCCATCCACAGTAATCTATCCACCATTATATATCCCCTTAAACATATTTGTACATGAAGGTGCAGTTGACGATCTGTTCTTGATCAAAAACCACAACATGAGCAACAAATCAGTTGAAGCTGTGTGCATCAGAAATGATGGATTTGACCGCCATCTAAAAACAACAGGCTTTTTTAAAGTTACTGGACCTGACTCTCTATTTTACTTTTTAAAAATCAGCATTATATACGTATATGTTTTTTATTTCAACAAACGTACTCTGTAATCACAAGTAAATCAGCCTGTTTATTTGGCTCATACTGCTGACGTTAGTCTTCACAGTGAAATGAACTTTTCACAGTGAAAATGAGACGCAGGAGAGACAGATGACCTAGCATTCCTCCTGGAGATGCAAGGAACCAAGAAATGACAGCCTTTAGCCCCAAATGGCCTTTGATTCTAAGATTGAAACTCACATCTTTGTACAATCTCCGTCTAACTTTAATTGATGCCAACTTGCTTTCTTTGCAAGGATCTAAGATAAATTCAGCCTGAAGTTATTTTCTGGGATATCAAAGAAAACAATGGGACATTGCAAACAGTAATTCATGATAAAACTCTTGGTGTGGAATTAGAGAGTGCCTGGGAAGTCTGTCTTTTCTTACTGGACTCCGTAATAAACAGAAGAGTGAACGCAAATGTGAAGGAGGAAGAGAGAGAGGCAGTAACAACCATCGCTCTGCCACAAGCCGCCACAGTGCCTCTGCAGGAACGTCCATTAACACACAGGAAGTGCTTTCCCCGACGGCCCCTTTGGGCCAATCAATCCACGACGCCATTGGTCCAGTCTTTGCCGAATGTAAGCTATCCATCAGACAGCCCAGCGCCCAGGCATCTACACTGCAACTGGCTGGCACTAAAGCCTGCCCACACACCGAGAGCAGCCTGCTTTTATTGGGTGACAGGAGCAAATCGGGGTCATATTCTTTTTGGGCAAGCTCTGTGACTCGCAGCACGGCTTCACCCTGACAATAACCTTCATTTGGCTGAGATATGCAGGTTTGGACATAATGTCAGCATGTTTACAGTCAGGATGTTCTATTGAATTCTCATGTTGTCTGTAGGTAAAAGTTGCTGTTGACTGTTGTTGTGCAATCCCCTTCACCTAATTAAATATGGTGATTTCTCCTACTTAAGGTGAAGCATTTTTCCCTGAAAGGATAGCAGGAGAGTTTAGGCAGAATAACTGATACTTATTTACATTATGTATTCAGTGAAGTGCTGAGGTCCTACTTCTTTTGGCCAGGCTGATCAATATGCAGATGAAACACATCTCACAATTTTTGCCGCATGCTGTAGCTCAAAGGAAGGGAGAAAAGGAGGGGGGTGGTGTCAGCAGTTCAGGGGTCCAGGAGGACCGACGCTGGAGAGGAAGAGCTCTGCCACAGAGATAAATGAGGTTCACTTCAGTCAGAAACAACAGTCCCACTGCTGCAGGCCGCAGGCAGCGACACAGAGAGGCCCTTTCAGACAAACCACAACTCCCAAGATGCAATGTGCTGTTAAGTAAAAGCAGGGAATAGTGCTGACACTTCTGCGCAGTTGGCAGTTTGCAAACCAGCTAAGTTTGAGGTTTCGTGCATGCAAGCTTAGATTTACATAGACGATCAAGCTAACACACACTCGCACTCTCAGACGGTGTCCCTTAAATGTGCTATACATTTTATGTCATACACACTCACTCTCACCCCCGTTATTGCAGCCCCAGCATTTTGACTACAATAGAGCTTGTGTGATGTGGTATAATTTCACAGTGTGTGTGCAGAGCACAGAGCAGGCAGACAGCATGGAGAGGGTGAAAAGTTGGTCCCCTGTGTGAAGCATTGGACTGCAGCTCTAGTCCTATGACCTGTGAAGGGAATATGCTTGAATGTGTTAGGAGATATGGACGTGCCTGAGTGTGGATGAGGTGAGAGGGGCTGTGAGGGGGCAGGTACTTATTTTAAAACACAGTTGTTTATCTTGGTCAAGGCCCACGGTGACAGCAGCACCGCTGGTGATTTGTCTTGGACACAACCATCAAGTGAAACTGGAAAGTGGAGCTCACACACCCCTCCCTGGTGGCCCTGGGGCCCTTCGGGGCAGGTCTCTCGCACAGGATGTCCAGTCAACACGGGAGTAGAGCCATGCTTTCTGATTTCAACTCAGTCTCTCCCTCTGTACTGCTCTCCTCCTTCTGTCCTCCTCCTACAGTGTCTGTGTCTTTTTCGCCTTGTCCCTTTGCCCCCCAAAAAACCGCAGGAGAGCTGCACGGCTGCCAGGAAAAAGAAGGGCCACGCCTCTTCAGTGTCTCTCCCTCTCCGTCAGCTGTTACCTGAATAAATATGGGCTGAGCTGAGCTCTTCTATTAAAGACAGCTGCCTTAATACTGGAGCAGAGGAAAGGCTGCATGTTCAGGCAATAGGGGCCTCCAAAAGTGCCCATTCAGCTTCAACATCTGCCCCCCTTCACACACACATACATGATCAAACTGCTCCTCCCCTGATGTGCAAAGGTGCTTATGATATGCCACAGAGGATAAGACCCTGGCTGTGTGAGGTTTCTATAATGGCAGTATAATGCTGTCCATCTCATTGAATGGCACATACCCAGAACCATGCGTGAGCCGTAAGAATTATGAGTCAGCTCTGAATTTAAGATTACAGTCAAGACTACAAAAGTCCTGCCATGGCTCCTTTGCTTTTATGCATAACAGTAAAAGCCTTTTAATAAACAAAATCAAGGTTGAGGTAAATACCGCTTTTACGACACAAAAAGAAACATATGATGTTTACGTTGACATGGCTGTGATATGAATTCCAGCACACAGAAATTGAAGCAGTAGCTCTTTTAACTCCTGCTTCCTCTTGCCAAGCCTACGCCTGCTGATGGATATAACCTGAACAGAACTCTTGAAAGCATCAAAATAAGGAGTACCGATGAAGTCATGCTTGTATTATAGTTAAAATATGTCTGTTTAGACACATGAGCTCATTAAGGCACATGCTGGTGGCCTGAAAGAGAAATGTATGTCCATTTTTTTTGTTGTTTTTGTTTATTTGTGTAGGAGAGCATATGGGTTTGAGTTTTCCCTTTACAAGAACAAACTTTAAACTTTTTTTCACTCTGACTGCGTAGGCGTTGAAAGACTGACTGGGATCTTGGACAAGAACAAATCATATGGGGGGGAAAAAATAAGGGGAAAGAGAAATTGGCTGCAGAGCGTTGAAAAATTCGACTCAAACCTCAAGTGCTGACAATGAAAGCTCGCCAGAACAGTTGTTTGTGTTGGCATGGGTCGCCCTGAAATTAGCCCATCTCTTTCTGACAGAGGTTGCTCAATGCGCTTCGCCAAATGCCAGTGTGTATAATATTATGGAGTTTTGCCTCCTCCCCCCTTCTCTGCATTGCTCTCTATAATTGGTGGAAAAAGTGAGGTTTTCTGCTGGGAGCTCTTGTCAAGCATCCGTCTCTTGTCGGTAGAGTGAAGGAGAGCAGCTGAACGAGCAGTGTTTAGTCTGGAGCTCCTCTCATGGGGATATACTTCTGTGCAGGAGGAAGCAGTCTTCAGAGCACTTTCCTCTACCAAAACAGACAACGGGTGACCAGGTGGAGGGTTGAAAAGCAATAACTAGTTCATTTTTTAACCAGTCCTCCTGTACCCCACAAAGATTTCATTAAGAGTGACTCAATCTTTCTGTGGTCATAAGTACTTACATGCAGACACACAGGAGTTATGCAGAAATTACTTGAGCATACAAAATCAGTTATAGTAAAAGTAATAGTTGGGGTTAGGGTTACCAAACCAACTTTAACCTTACTTTCTTTCACTTCAGTATTAAAAATATGCCCTACTTCTTGTCTCACAGGTGTTTGGCAGACTTAAAAGCTGATATAAAAGCATGTGTTTTGTCTTTCACGGCATACTGTACCTTCCAATCTGTCTGTTTATTCCCTCTTGGCTTACAGATTGTGGGGCTGGCGGTGATATAAAATCAAGCTGTGGCTGTTTAGATGGAGTGTCTCCTCCTTGGTCCGTTGAGCAAATGTGAGCTGTACCTGGGTCACTGTTGTTTGCAGCGTCAGCCTCTCTGGCTATTGCTTTGTTGAAATTACAATCCCTCGTCTTGGTGGTGGAGAAAGTTTTAGATTTAGTTTTAGATAGATTTTAACCCACTGCCTTTTCTTGTCCTTTACCTCGTGGAGGGAAAAAACAATACAGGTATTTCCAAGACAGAAAGCTTAAGCCTATATGATCATCCGCCATTGTTTGTGTTTCCTGCATAAGATAATCTCTTTCCAGGATGCCTCTGTACTGATTTATGCTTAAGTTTTTCCACCAAGTTGGATGATCAGTCTCACATAGTTGCTTGATATTGACGTAGAGAAATGAGTGCTTTAACATTTTCTAATTGTAACTGTGTAATTGAATTCGAAAAGTTTCTCAAAACACTGATTTATACACACGTGTAGACATGTTGTGTTCAAAGTCTACCTGAAGGATGCTTGCTCGCTGTTCTGGTGAAGAGCCAGGGATTAATGGGTCTCAGAGAAGTGTTACCCTCTTGCCTGTCTTTCTAAGCTTTCCAAACATCCCCTTGCGTCTGCGTGTTTACGTGGACGCTGTGTGTATCTGGTTGTTTGTGTGTTGGATCATTTTGCATGTTAAGTGCTTTGGTGGGAGGGAGATATCCAGAACAGTCAGTGGTGCCATCACAGCCCTCAGTTCCTGGCAGCTGGCTTCACTAGCCTCTCCCTGCCTGCTTGGCCTGCCTCCAGGTCTGAACTCTACATCTCGCTGGTTCTGGGCCTAGACGGCCAAGCACTACCAGTGACCCTTGATTTAGCTCTATGAGAGAGCAGGACCTCTAAACATGGTCCACAGAGTCCTCTTGACTCCATTTCTGTCATCGCTAAATTAAAGAAAACGAGGTTTAAGTGGCATACAAATCAGTCTTTCCTTCCCTCGCTCTCTCTTCTCCCTTTGTGCTGAAAGTGCAAGTCAGCCATGATGTTGGTCTCCTCCACATAAAAAGTAATGATCAGCTGCTTCTGAGAAATTTTCAGAAACAGCCATAAGTAGTTTTTGCCATGTACCCCAGGTTCTCAGATCCCCTCAGGGTGCATATCCATCTGAAGGGCCTGTTGGGCCTGGAAAGGCCAGAGGGGGAGGGGTCAGAGGTCGCTGACCCTGGGGGAGCTGAGGTGCAGAACCAGAACGTTAGAGTGCTGAGACTGACAGGAGCAGAGTGATGACACCTTAGAGAGGCAGTTCTCGTGTTCTTGGCCTCAAATAGTCATGCACTCACGCACTCGTTTCACACAGACACAGCTTTGATGCTGAAGTTATGAGCTGGAGACTGGGGCGCCGGTTAGAATGACCTCAGATGAACTCCCACAGTCTTTGATCTACTTTTACTACTATAAGATAATGTCTCAGGGCAGATGTTTTGCACTCAGTCAGTCAATTAAACATCCTCTGACGTTGTCTAATATTTCCATTTATGGGTAGATTGTTTGTTTGGCCCTCACAAAACAGCAGGGCTTTCCCTTAAATACTTGGGGGTTGCCACCATAACAAGACCCAAAGTTGAACTTGGTTTCTCAGATATCTGATATCCTCCATTCTTCCACACTACACACTCATAGCGCGTGCCACTGTTTTGTGTTACTAGATCCAGCATAGCCAGTAACCATAGACAGCAGAGCAGTGCTTCTCTGACCGTTCAAGTGTTTCCAGAGCCCAGATCTACGCTTGCCTGCAGACGCAGCTCCCAGATTTAAACATTTGCATAGCAAAACAAGAGTGCAGGCAGAATAGAAGTGTGGAGGTTCAGGTCCGGCTATTTGACTTGCAAACATGTCCATGTCAACAGGACTCCTCGTCTTCTTTGACAGCATATAGCCTCCACCTTGCTTCAGCTTCTTGTACTTTATGTTCTCATCGTTTCAGACTAGATGAGAAACAGAGTGGAGCGCCGCCACTGTCCGATTCCCCCACCCAGGCCATTATCCCGTCTGTCTAAGTAAACAGACCATTAACAGACAGAGCTGGTGGAGGCCAGATCACTATTGTTTTCCCTCCCATAGATCTGTGCAAATATTGATCCTCTCTTGAAGTATGAGTCAAAATAAGCACATGCTGTCGTTGACTGGAGGCTTTTTACTCGTGGGTGAGTCATTTGTGACCCAAAGAGCGGGCGGAAACAGAGGGAACAGAGCGGGAGAAACATTTGTCCTGTGTGTATTCTGGTCATCTGAAAGAGCTCTGCTTTTAGTGTTATTGTTTTCCCTTGGTGGGCCGTGTGCCAGACAGACCAGCAGTCTCCTCCCGGGATGAACCCAGGCCGGGCTAAACCAGGCCATTGCTAGTGTAGGAGACACTGGCAGGCAGGGAACTCCAAGACATCAGTGGCAAATTTATTTGTGTTGCAGCCGAGGGGCAACTGGGTCAACACCCAGAGGAGGTGAATAGATGTCTTCTGACTGTCTTAACAACCATGTCTGTGTAGAGGTTTGCAAAGCAGCTCCATGTTGTGGTTTTTAGTCTGCTGGTACTTGTTTGGTGTCTTTTTCACTCGAACTCTGTCAGACTTGAACTTTGTGCTTCTCTCCTGCTCTTCACCCCTGGGGCAAAGGGCCCAGCAATGTAAAGGGGGATTAAACGGCTCATTTTGCCCTCTTAAGAGCTGGAGAAAGAAAACAAACTCCCACCCTGTGGGATTTGGCTGAGGGGACTCACCACATACACCTCATGGTTGGAAGTGCTTCTTCACCCTGATGTATGAATTAATAGCCCCTCTGCTGTCACCTTTGTTTTCTTCACTCCCTCCCCTCTCTCCTCCCTTGCTTTTTTTCTCATCTCTCCTCCTAATTGAAATCCTTTTTTTTTCCCCCTCTCCCTAGTGCTCGAGGTGCTACAGTAACTGATACCTGTGAAGACAACCCCTCTCCCCTCAGGAATACCCTATTCTTCCTCTGTGTATCAGTTCTCTATTCCCTGAATGGGACATCTTACTGTCAAGGCTCCTTTGCTTATGCTCCCGTATGGGTGTGCCTTGTGCTAGCAGCCATTCACTGAACAGCATATGTCCTTCCATTGTTTACAGCCCCATTTGGTTAACGATGACACTGATGTCATGTTATTATCCTCCTTCTCCTGTCTGGTTCACCCCCACACCCCCACCTCTCCCTCCCCCTTCCTCTAAACTCTCCGGGGGGGCAGAGTTATCAAGTGGCAGCTCTGGAGACGAAAGAAAGATGCTCTCCGTATCAAGTGGCCAGCGGCTTGTGTGATGCCTCTCCAAACCCAACGGCTGCTGCGGTTAGATGCAAAGGCAGCTGCCCAGGCTGTCAGCCAGCCTTTACTGCCCCCATCAGGGCAGACGCAAGAAGTGCAGGGCCGAGACCGGACAGAAAGCTCTGGATAAGAAGTGACAGGTGACACTTGGACCAGGAAGTGAAGTGGCACAAAAGGCCTTTATCTCAGGAACTCCATAATGCTATCATTTATAGACAGAGCACATGTGTACCTCTCTGTCATTATCACAAACGCCAACAAGCTGCTTTCTTGTGGACAGCTTACAGCTTGTCAGTCACTCTGTAAGAGAATGTATTTCTATAAGCGTTAATGTCAAGTGTCACCCAAAGCTTCTGTTAACACTCTAAACATGCTCTCCCCTTAACTAAGTGTCAGTGATACCCGCCTCCCCGCTGCTCCTCTCTTTTTAGGATGCAGCCTCAGTTTGTCACTGGTGATGATAAAACACTCGATAATGGATAAGGGGTCCGCGGACTCCTGAGGATATGATGTAAGCGCACCGAACCCCCTCAGACACACTCACAGAGCACAACTTGAGATAATCTAGCGGACAGCGGGGAGGCTGACGGCCGAGGATCTGTCTCACACACTCTCATGTCCCAGAGGAAGCTTCATTCGATGGAAGAGAGTGTGACCTTTGACCTGTAGTGATGAAAGACCGCTGTTGACAGATATAGTATACCTGTGAGAGTCCTCTGTGTTTAGCTTGTCTGTGGGGGTTTTTGTTTCTGGATCACAGCCTGGACCAATTCACAGGTCCTCATAGTGGTAAAAACTCTACGCCGTTGCTTTTTCATCCGTATTGATACAAACAGCTCTGGCCTTAGATAAACATGCATTCACACATATATGAACACACATGGGGGACAAAAACACACACCGCACATCCACACAATGATCTCAGTGTGCTGTATCTCTCACAGGGGTACATTTTCTCTCAGGGAAGAGTGTAAGAAGGAGGGGGGGGGAGATGGGGTAGATGGTGCTGGGAGTGTAACCGGAGCTGCTTGAGGAATGCAGGGGGTGTTTTTGGAAGACTGGAGTGGAGTTTGAGGGGTGAAAGGAGGGGGGATGACTCAAGGGGTAGGATGGGTGATTAGGGGGTGACAGCTGAGTGCTGACCCCTCTATAATGACAAATCATCTGGCAGGTGTGTGGCTCACCCCCCCTCCCTCCTACACCCCCTCCTCTCCGTCCTCAAGCCCCCAACATTTTCAAGCCAGGAATCCTCCACCGCTGCTGCCGGAGCGGAGCGCTAAAGGAAGACTTCCGGACATCCGCACTGCCAACCAGCAGCCTCATGACAGGCCCCTGAAGTATGAGGCAGCTTCTGTGTAGATACAGGCTGCTCCTTTGCTCATCATGTACTCGACACTCACAACTAATCACCTGTGCTTGAATGAATGAGGCTAATGAGGCTTCAGTCCTTGGTACAGTCTCAGGTTGGGTCGGTTTTATTGATTCATCTTTGTAGTCCTTTTTTTTTTTTTCCTCCTTCAAGTGTAGATTTAAGAAAACAGGACTTCATCTTCAACTTTATGTCAGTCAGCATACACTGCGTGGGTCATGAATCATGCTGAGGACAAGCTGAATCCAAAAAGCTTCTGTTCTTTTCAAGAAAAAACAAAGGCTGACCCTGGATCAGTGAGGGGGCTGTGAAAGCTAATCTAAGGCCAGGTCTGAAGTTACAAGGTTAGTACAGCCAGACTTTATAATCCATGGATCATTTCTAAACATCCCACTCATGCAGATTTGCCTCATCTGTTCCTCTCTATGGACTGAGCCGGTTTATCGTTGTTGGACTTTACGTTATGTCTGAATGTTTTTAAGCCAACAAAGTATCTGCTTTCTTTAGTAGCCGCTGTAGCATTACAGGCCTCTTTTCTTTTCCATCTATCCCCCTGCTTCCACATCTCCTCTTAATCCAATTCCAGCCAACACATGGAGTCTAGACAGGAGGCCCAACACAGCCTGCACCTCACCCTGATATCTACTCTTCTCCCTCCAGTCCTGACCTGGCAGCTATTTCCTCTAAGAACCCCCAACACCCTGAGTTCCACCGATCCAAACGCAGAGAGGAGCCGCGCATTCTTAGCTGGAAATCATGCAGAACCCGCTGGAATATTTCAACACTTATCTTTTCACTTTGAATTAAGGATGGGGCCGTGCTGTGTTTTCCAGGCAGCCGTAGCAATAGTCCTGTCAGGAAAATCTCTGAGTGTTGTTAGCATTAGCAGGAGACATTGCCCAGGTATACAGAGTTTCAGACTTGAGTGGAAAAATGTTGTTTGATGTGAATATGTTTGATCCAACTCTACATGGACAAAAGACAGAGGGGAATCAATTAAAAGCAGAGGATATAAAAAGCACCAAACTAAAAAGAAACAAACCCTGAATTTTACTCATGCTGCACTTTTTTCCTGCGAGTATCTTGTTATACTATCATTGATAGTCTTGATGCTATTATTTCATGCCTATTGCTTCACTTCATTGACGAAGAAATGGAAAAACCTGCCAAAACATACAGTAATATCACTCCTTCTCCTGTGCATGCTAATGGAAATCCCCTGCAAATATTCCCTTGTGGCAATCACTCCAACACACAAACCGTCATACTGTGCCATTCAGTTGTCTTCATCACCTGCACCCGTCTTTTCCCACTCCACCCCCCTAAGCGACATAATGGGCCAGTCCAAAGTGACCCATATTTACCCAATAATACAAGGCTTTGAAAAGACCCATATCAAGTTGCAGCTAATGCTCCAGTGGGGCCTGGAGAGTGAAAGATGTTACCGGCCGAAACGGCTAAGGTTTCAGGGCCCTGCGAAACACAAAAGGCAGTCCAGTCCTTAGAGGGAAAGGGATGGGGAGGGGAGTGGGAGTGGGAGAGTGAGTGCACACACTGTGAAACAGTAGCGTCAGAGGGTCTCGTAGCGTCTGTTTGAGAGTGGTTTGTGCGTTGTTTTATGACAGGAAGATGTGTTAAGAACATGAGTGTTATTGTAAGAAAGCGCGCCACACATTTCAAGGCGTTTCATGTCGATGCATGTCTTAGATCGCTCTTAATGTCTCCGCGTTGTCAAGTACAGTCATGTGGAAAGAGTTTATCTTTCAGCTTCACCTGCACCCAAACCTGGTCATGTGTACGTACATGCAAGCAAGCTGGCCTTTACAGGAAGATGCGGAAACGGCCGCTGAGTTAATGGAGCAGAACTGAACTAACCTCGGGCGTTTGGGGTGAGCAGAGGGCAGACAGGGTTGGTTAAAGAGAAGAGGGTTTGTGATGATGATACCCAAAGGTGATTTCACCTCACATCCTCCTCTCTCTCCCTCGCCACTTCCCACCCCACCCTCTTACCCCTTACCCCCATCCTCTCCCTCTCCTTCATGTTCTCTCTCCTCTCCTCAGGGGCAGGCAGGTATAAAGTTACACAGAGCTCTCAGCTTTCTTGGAAGGAATGACCACATGAGTAGCTTGGGGATTAGATTAGCAGGAAGAGCAGACTTAGCCGGGCTGTAAATAGCCCACTTTTTTCACCATTAAAAAGGCCTTAGTACAATATAATCAATAGATAGCACTCATCTGATGCAGGAAGCCATATGAGAAGACCTCCCTCAAGTGCTCTGAAGGACAGGCTACAGCAGCTTGTGCCTAATGAAGTTATTATTAATCACTGGGCCTCCTGTTTTGAACTTGTGTGTTGTTTCTCTAGTGGCTGATGAGTGGTCTTTGTGTGTGAGCCTGATTGACATCATGTGCTACTCTTCTTTTCACTTTCACTGTCTGTACTGTAAGACTAGCCGAGGTGATGCTGTGACATTCAGGAGTTTTTTTTGCCTTTGTGTCAGAGTCATTTCAGTGACCTTTCATCTGTTTTTTTTTTTTTAGTCAAGGCCACAAACAAACTACACTTTAGAGTCATCAAACACCAAATCCAAACACAATCTTTTCTGTTTGTAGTCTCACCAACACCTTTTCTTCCTCCCTGCATATCTCTCTTTCATTCACACACACACATACACTCTTCAACTCTCTCAGTCTCTCTGAGCCTCCCCACAGGTGTTAGGTTACTCTGTAAAGCAGCTTGAATGGGCACAGAAATCACAGAGGGCCGTCTGTGCTCTTGATTTCTGTCTCACTTTGAAGTTTTCCCGGCTCACAGGAACAGGGGCCACAAAGCCAGACTCGTGTGAGGGCTTTAGGACTATATGATTCCTGCAGGGTGGGGTGGAGGGGAGAAAGTATTGACAGGCAGGAGTACGTGTTGTCTCAGTTGTCGGAGGATTTTGCTTTTTCGCTTTGTAGTCAGATGCTGCAGGAAAACAGTGCAGAACACATGCGGCACCGCTTTTTGACAGAACAAAACAGTGAAGGAAGGATTAGACTCAGTGGGGGACAAAGGTCAGTCCCCTTTTTACATATACACATCCTTAGGAGAGGGGAATCTTTCAGTGCAGGGACGAGATGTGGAGACTAAATTAAGAGTGTGACAGATTTTTTCTCTGTGCTGGACTGTGAAAATAAACAGTGACTTTTGGCTTTGCTTAAGAACCTGAAAAGAGGCTTTGGCAGGCTACATCTGTAAGCACTTAGAAAATAAAAGACACCCATAATACTTTAATAGAGCCATGTTGGAGAGGCTTTTAGGCACAAGGTGTTCCAGTGTTAGTGTATGGGTACGTCTGTCTTGGTTGATCTCATCAAAGGGCCAAAGGGTCGCAGAAAGCCAGAGAAAATAACTCTGAGTGTGGATTTAATGAAGAATAAACTTTCACTCAAGTTACACTCACAGGAACTGCTTTTTAAACCAGCGCCCTGCCTGCCACTCACTCACTCCCTTAATTTACAAAATAGTTCTCTGCTGTGACTGACCAGGACTCTCTCTGTGTGTTCTCAGGTATCTGAACCACGTGCGGGCTGCCATGCCTCAGGACACAGCTGGAGGATACACCTCGGCTTTGGCTTGTCATCGGGCCATTCAGGATGCTTTCAGTGGACTGTTCCCTCAGAGAGGATGATCGCAGCCACTGGTGAGAAATGTGGAAAAAAAGGACTTAAAAGTACCCTACTGCCGCCGCCATGGAGCAGGGGGAAGCTGCTGCAGCACACTCAGACTTATTTCTGGTCAGGGTTTGTGTGACTCTTTGTTTCACTTTGTATTCTTTTTATATTAAAATAAATCACAATGACAATGGCTTATCTGTCTGTCCTTTCACAGATTTATTTAAAACCGAAAAAAAAAAAAAAATTAGTACATGAAATGATGCAACACATGTCTCTGAAGGGACAACAAAATTTTTAAAAAAATTAGAAATGTACCAACAAAAAATTCTTCACTTTTTTTCTCGCGTCTCTAATGTTGACGGGGTCGGTGTGATATCATGTTGAATCTGCAGCTCCCTCACACTTCTGTCTCTTCGGTGCTGGTTCTGCTGAATCTGTGGAAAGACCAAAAAACAAAAAAAAAGTTGTAAAAACACAAAAAATATTCAAAATATTGATATACAAGAAAAAAACGAAACAAAATCAATATTTATTTCAATGCCTTAGAACCAAAACACGAACCCCTGAGATGGCTAGTTGTTGATTTCTAACCCCAACACACTGCCAGTACAGAAAAGCCACTAAACACAGACTACAATTTGACTTAATGCTAACAGCAAAGGGAGGCCAAATTAACGAGGTGTTTTTGTGATATATTCCAGGAGACCAGTGTGATGGTGCATATCTTTAATGTTCTACTCTCACTCTTTATTATCTTAATTGTTTATATTTTGATGCTTTATAGCATCAGTCATTGTGTGGTGGTGTGGCGCTTACAAACAAAAATAAGTTTTTAGGTATTCAAACACTTAACCCCCTCCTGTGTTAATGGTCTGCACCATTAGGACTTTTTGACTTTGTCAGGAACCTCTATTTCAACAAAATAAAAATAAAAAATTGACTAAATTGTAAAAAGTTCTTATGAAAATTATGGCACTTGTCATGTTTGTGTCGCTGTTGACCCAGTTATTTTATTATCTAATAATTAGAGCAAAAACTAAATAAAGTGTGGAGCACTGTCAGGCACCACACTGACAGTCAGGTCTTCTTCCCATCATGTGAGATTCAGGAAATTCTCATTTTGCCATGTTTTCCCCTGCACAAAAAACAACGTCAGGGATGTCCAGACAAGTGAAATCAGTTCAGTATAGATGTCCGTGTGAGGGGTAAACTGACAAAGAAAGGCCCAGAGGACCACAACAAAAACTATTATAAGCAATATTTTCATGGATAATGAAGCCTAACAAGGTAACCTAGAGATGAGAACCAAATTGGATGATAGAGAATTGTTTTTAGTGTAATTTACAGATGATTTAAGACACAGGTCGAAACTTACCCTTCACATAGTGGTTGTATAGTAAAAGTTAACACAGGAGGAAGGTTAATAACCCTTAGGATGAATATTTTTTACCTATCCATTCTGTTTCTCTCTCCTAATAGCTCCTGTTGTAAAAACTTGTGCCTGTTGCATTGTTGAATCCTCACCTGTCTGTTCTTCATCACTGCTGAACAGGACCTCTTTAGGGATCGTGAATGTCACACACATCATCTCTTTGTTTGGTGCTACATTGCGCACATTATGCACAGAACATTTGTCGTCTAGGGGGAATCCAAGGCTGCAAGAAGCCCTCTTAATCACGTCTGTGTCTGGGTTGTCGTCTTTAGAGAAACCATAGCAGTGCACTGTGGGTAGTGTCTCCTCGCAGCCAGGCTCCTGGTTCAACAGACCTCTGAGTGCATCCAGGAAGTCCAGAGCCAATGCAGGCAGGTTCATTACCACGTGGATACCAGCTTTCTTCTTCAGCAGCGCAGGTAGCTCCTGCTTCATGGGTCCCTGGATGAACGCTCGGCCATCCATGTTGTAGGTCCGGACTTTGCTCTCCACCTTGTTGAGTTTGCAGTTGTGCTGAAGCCATCTGTAGGATTCAGGGTTTAGATCATTGGCCAAAACGTTGGCGCCAGAGCGAGCAGCCGGGATAGCAAAAGGTCCAACGCCGGCAAACACATCGAACACAGTGTCACCGCGTTTGATGAGCTCAACAACACGTTGGTGCTCTGTGCTCAGCCGCGAGTTCCAGTAGACACGAGAAAAATCGAACTCATATGTTACCCCGTTTTCTCTGACCTACAGCACAGACACAGAAGATCACAACATGAAGTCACGATGGGGAGATTTTTTAGTGCAACTGAATGGTTCTAGGAGTAGATATGTAACATTAATATAAAACATCTGTTTTTTTTTTAATCAACCTACTTTGGTGACCATGTTTTCCTCTCCAGCCAGCACCTCCATCTTGAAGTTGCGGTAAGTGGAATCAATCACGTTAGTCTTGTTGACTACACAAGTGATCCCTGGAGTTTTATCCATGATGACTTGCCCTAAAGTGAAGGATATATGAAGGATATTACAAAGATGGCAAAAAATGACACAAAGTCCTCTGCTCCGTCTTGCTTTTGTAAATAAATTAAAAGTCAAGAATATGCTCTGATCATCTGTTTTTAGTCTATTTTCTGATGCTCTTTCCAAAAGCTAAGAGGTGCAAATAAATTCATCCCCTTTCACTACCCTGAGTGATATCACAACACAGCATGTAAATGTTAATAACCACGAGCTAAATATGTTAAACAGACACTTAACACTGTTTAGGTGAAAAAAAAACGTTCCCCTCTAATTACTCTCACTGGATCACAAAGATACCCGAGTGGATAAGATGCTCATATGCCCTGAGATTTTGTGGAACCAGGAACTTTCTCAACTTTACTTTTTTTTTAAAGATAGAAACAGAGAATACTGTAATCTAAGTTGTTTTTTTTTCTCTGTATGTTGGCTGATAAAAATGTGAAACTAATCCTAATTCACTGTGATATGTCGAGTAGGAAGGTGTATGGGTAGGGTTTGTTTTAGATCTTGTACAAATATGTTAATCCTTTTTGGTCTGGATCCGATACATATTTATACTGTATGATACTAAGTTTTTCAACTCTTGTAACTTTTTATGAACCTGCAGCAGAGAGACCTTTGTTTAAAAAAATATATACCTCTAACATTACATCTCTAAAATGTTACTGAAGCAGCAAAAGGTGGTGCCATGTAGTGTCTACTTAACAGTTTATCAGCAGTTTTGATTAATCTGACAGGCTCGAGTTGATGAAAGTAACTCAAAGTCTTGATCAGTTTGATTAATCTGAGTTGTTCTCACATACTCCAAGTAAATAAAGACAGCAGAAACAGCCCTCCACTTCATTTCATCACCACAAACGATGTGACGAATGATGTTCATCATCCCAGTTTCGAGGGCCTAAACACAGAGCTGGCCCATATATATATTTTTAAAGTATTTTTTTTTCATGTATAAGTGATGCTTTCTGTATGATCAAATATATATTATTGTAAAATTAAAATAAAATAAAGTAAAACCATTTTAGTGCTGCTGCTGATGTAGGCCTATGATCCTTACTGCCGATATGTCGAAGCTCCGCTACCGTTATTTACCTCCTGCTGTGTAATGTGCACTGAGCATCCAAAGTGCAGGTAGTTGTGAAGCAAAACAATGTTGCCAAAAAGGCATATCCTTCAGGAGCAGAGAAAAAAAAAGACAAAAGGTATGTTTGCATGTCATGGACTGTTAATTTAAGAGATTTTTGAAGGTGTGTGAATGATTGACAATCAATGTTATTGGCAGAAATAGAGGGTCCTAAAATCAAATTTTGCTTAGGGCCCCGTTGAGGCTTGGGCTGGCACTTGTTGAATATCAGATTCAAATGTTTAAACAGAGAAAACTAAAAAAATCCCAGGGATTAAACAGATATTTGACTTGATTCTTATTTTATCGTGTTCCTCTCACCTATGAGGTTCTTGTAAGGGAGCTGATGGTCCCTCAGGTTCATGTGTGCGATGTGTCCCACCCTGCTGAAGGAAGTGGTCACATCCTGACCCTGTGGGAGAACTGCCTCCAGCACCTCTTCACTCTTCAGGTTGTCATAGGTGAGTTTAAGCTCAAAGTCCTGTAACTCCTCAGAGACACTGAAGGACCTCAGGGCCTCGGCCTCAGCCTCACTGAAGGAGTCTGAGGACTTCACCCTGTAGGGGTCTAACAGGACCAAACGAAAGTCACCACTGTCCTCTGCGTTTTGGACCACTCTGGGTATCCCAGGGCGCTGGATGGTTGACTTCTTCAGGCTCTTGACAACTTTATTTAAGACTCCAGTGGGCACCCGTAGAGCTGGGACACTGATGGTCTGTGTGAACACCTCTTTGTCCAGGGAGGTCATACCCCGGACATGTGGAGGGGGCTGGTACAGTTTACGCTCCATGGTGGGCTTTAAGATAAGAGCAGACCCAGCTGAGTCTGAGGGGGGTGACTTAGACCTGAGGCTCCGGTAAACAGCAGCAACTTTGGGGTTTCTCTGAGTTTGTAAGAAAGCAGAGACTCTTAAAGTTGCACAAAGGTTTCTGTGATGAATCAGAAAAGACCATTAAACATCTCAACGTTAGATCAATAATAATCACACAATACACAATGATTCTCGTTTTTTAGTGCAGAAAATGCCGCTCACCTCCTCATCCTTCGCTCTCAGGCATGCTTCAATCTTGTCATCATTGATCGACCAAGAGCCGAACAACGATTGGTCGAACAAGAGGATAATCGGCCTCTGATTGGACGGTCTTTTCCTGTGACGCTTGAAAATGCGACGGAAGAGCGCGGCACGTGACGCGAGTGCTCAACAACAACAGCGATCAGCTGACTGAGAGGCTGATAAGAGGAGAGTTTAAAAGAGCTGCAAGTCAAGATGGTTTCATTGAGAGTTAGCTGTACATCACGGTGACAGCAGGAGAGTTTGTGAGGAGACTGACCGAGCAGCAGGAGTTTGTTTCTTAAAGTGTCCTGAGTTTGTTTTAAAGATATAAGATGAGCATCAATGCAGATAGAAGCACAGACTTCTACGATGAATGCACCGCCGGAGACTCAGAACGCAGCGAAACTACACCTTTATTAGCAAATGTAAGTATTTAAAGAGCAGTCTGTCTGTGAAACAGTGAAACTTTAATTCAATTGCATGAACTTAACCTCTATCACGTGCGCGCGCTGAGGGTTTCAGGTTCCTGTCTGCTTTCTGCTTCAGTCAGCACTTAAAGGGACAAATCAGACCAAAGCAGGATTCACACGACATTATCCATGTATCTTTACTTTAAGAACACATATATGGGTATTTATCCTGCACTTATTCTACTGATTCATTTGAAGATATATTTTAAGAATGAAAACCATCAGAAAAAGCTCCTCACAGTTGAGATTTCTGTTTGTAGATCATTAACTACTTGCACTTTTCCTTGTGCTCTTTGTGAATTTTTTTTATAGAACTTCTGCTGTGTTTTTTATGAGAAGTTTTGTAATTCTCTACATTTGACATTGACTCAGCTACAGATTTAAAAAGAATTGAAGGTCAGACAGGGTACGAGCTTTCTGTCTGACTCGCAGACGTATAACACCTCATTATTAGGTGAACTATCCTTGAGGAAAAGACAAAACCTTCAAAAATCATCACTTAAGATTCTGTTGTAAAGTTAGAAGTGTATCTGTCCTCTCCAGTTCAAAAACTTTCCATTGATTGTTTGGTTTTCATTTGTGCAAGGTGTCCTTCTAGCAGAAGAAGCATAGTTTGTGTCAAACTATGAACAAGGCTGTTTTCAATCAATCTCAGCTGAGGTTGAGGTTGAGATTGCAGACATACTGAACAACTTCAAATGAAGTTTAAAATTTTAAAAATGAAAAAGCAGGAAAAAAAAGTGCTTTCATTTGATGTTTGTGTTGAGTTAATCAGTAGTAGTGATTTATCTGACAGGCTTAGCTGGTAACTTTAGAGTTGTTTCAATTGTAGTTGAGTACTTGAGTTGAATGTTGTAGTACTCCAGTACTTGAACCAGCCCTGGTTGAGTTCACCATCAACAAAATAAACTAATAGTGAACATTTTTAGCTCTCTACTCTACACTAGTGATTGACCCTGTAAAGGGTAAAGTAGTATCATTAATCTCTAGTCCTCTGATGAGATCTATTCCAGTTGTCCCCATTAGCACTATCAACGTGGATTAACTGTCCATTATAAGGGGGTTTGGGTCGAGTTTGTGTCAAACGATGAACAAGACTGTTTTCTGATCAATCTCAGCTGAGGATGAGCAGAGGGTAAAGATTGCAGACAAACCGAACAACTTTAAATGGAGTTTAAAAGTTGAAAAATGCCAAAGCAGGAAAAATCATGCTTTCATTTAATGTTTATGTTGAGTTAATCAGTAGTAATGATTAATCTGACAGGCTTAGCTGGATGAAGTAACTCCAAGTCTTGATAGATTTGATTAATCAGGATTGTTCTCACACCGTCAGAGGAAGTGGATAAACGGCTGTTTCCTTATTTGAATGAACTGTTGTCAGACTAAGTGGCTTAATTAAACCGCATAGTAAAAACAAAACAGAACAGGACTTATATGCACTACTATCTTAATGAGTCATATCTTCAATCCAAAATCAATCACAAGAATCAAAGTTGAAATGAGACTAGTGAGATAAGCAGTGATAAGTCAGCTTTTAGAAGTCTTGTTGCTTTACTCAGCACTGAGCATGCCGGGATATATTGAACCCTCCTGTCGCCTCTTTTGACACAAGCTGATGAGAAATGCGTCTGTATGAGTAAACCTTTATTTTTTATCATGCTTTCATAGTACATATTTGTTTTCATTCCTTCAGAGAATCAGATTATTTGATTTAGTGTCTTATCAGTTATGTCAGAACTGCAACTCATGGTAATTCACATTCAGCAGCTCACAGGTCAATCCAAGCTTGTTGTGACACTGACACCAGAGTTGCTCACTCGCTCTCTTCAGGATATCCCCTATTACAGAGGTCAAGCAGTTCAGGCAGCACCCCTTATCCTGAGCTCAGGCAGCTGTCCCACAGCCAGCAGCTCAAATCCAACCCCAACCATTCCCATTTCCATTCCCTGATCCTGCATGCCTCTGCAGTGTTGTTTCATGACATCCATCATCAGGGGCTGCCAGTTGTTCCTTCCTCTCTTCAAGCTCTTATAAAAAGAAAAAAAAAACAGATTTCTCTTCTATTTTTTTTTGTCTTCAAACTTTAACCTCTAAATATTTTCACTCCTCCATGTGCAGGGATCATCAGCACAGACCAGGGCAAAAGGAGCGTCCTTCGCCTCCTCTGTGTTCAACCTGATGAATGCCATTATGGGCAGCGGCATACTTGGTCTAGCTTATGCTATGGCTAGCACTGGAATAGTTGGTTTTTGGTGAGAGTTCAACACACTGCTGTTAAAATATCTGCCCTTTATTTTTGAATAAATTAGACAAAATACAACTACTGTAACACTCATTTATCCTGTGTTTCTTTCCTCTGAAGTATCCTGTTGATTGTAGTTTCCAGCCTGGCAGCGTACTCTATACATCTCCTCCTGAAGTTATGTGATCAAACAGGTGAGTGACTAACAGCTGATAGAGTATCACTCAAAAGCACATCCTCCTTTATCCAAAGGAGGTAAAACCGTCTTCACTTGTAGTTCTTTTAAACTCTCCCCTGTGTCATATTGTCACTCATGATCAAATTGCTGTAAAGGGAAGCCAGCCAACAGTCATCAAGATCATGTCAGCTCTTTGTGTCTGTTTTCTTTCTGTATTTACTTACCAGTAGTCATCTGATCGGAGATATTTAGATAATGTTTAAAGTGCAAAGAAACTGGACCAGAATAGATCGTGGTGGGTTGTTTTCTCATTAATCACGAACCAAATACTGATAAGATTTATTTCATGAAAGGAGGGCAATCCTTTAGTAATTTGAACAGATTTGATTGCTCAGGACGTATGAGTTGAAGTGTTTGAAATCAACCAGTCTGTAAATGACAGCGTCATCAGCTGCCCTCCTCTGAACATTGGCCCTTACTTTGCCCATGAAACTTAAATACTTGCTTTGCATCACTTCAGTTAAGTGGTATTGTGCCAGTTTAACTAGGCAGCCTACAAACAATTTTATCCCTATTTTTTAAATCGAAACACTTCCAAATCCCGCTGCACGACATAAAGCTACCTATCAACTGATTTTGTGTTCATTGGTTTAGTCGAGCAATATAACATCTGAGTGGTGGCCTTTAACCTGAGCTAAAGCCTGGCTAGAAGGGCATGGTTGTGCTACACTTAAGGCACAGCATTTGACTGACATCTCAGGCCTACAGTAATGAAAATATTAATTAATTATTCAACCATTGATTAATTGGAAGCCCCCTATGAATGGTATGGATATCTAGTAATTTAGCTGATGAAAGCCAGACATACTTAGTTTTGACAAAGAGAGGGAAAACGTACAATAAAGAAAGAAGACAATTGCTTCCGCTTGATTAGTCTCTTGAAACAAGAATTATTTGTTTAAGTTAACTAATCCAGAACAATTTGGCTTGAAATATCTGAAAACAAGATTTATATTTGGACCTGTCAAGTCAATATAGCTTAAATTCAATGTAATGAGATATATTGATTAGAATCGAGAAGTCCAGTTGGTTAGATGTCACATTTTTGTGGTGTCGACATCTTCTAGTCATGCAGTTCCTGAAAAAGCTTTGCTACTTTTTAAAAATATTTCTTCATCAGTCACTGAGAGAAAAGTCCCTAAGTGCAGTACTGTCCATGAAAAGTAGTAAAGTAAATGGGCTGATACCAAACATGCTACAAGTACACAAACTTTTGAATCACAGTAATATGAGTACATGTAAAAAGTGACAGCCTGTAAAAAGACTCTTGTTAAGTTACCGTGTATTTCTGACTGACTCGCAGGTATCAACTCATATGAAGGCCTCGGTGGGAGAGCCTTGCAAAAGCCAGGAAAAGTGAGTGTTGTCTTCTGGATTAGTGTCAAAGGGATTCACTCACTTAACATCTCTGTATCACCAGGAGACATATTTACACTCACCGCCTTTCCCAAACTCTTTTATAGGTTCTGGTTGGAATCACTATTCTCATTCAAAACATCGGAGGTAAGTCAGCTCCTATTTAACTGAACGGTTTCATACATTATCTCTGACATGTTGGACATTGAGTGAGTTTGTGGTTTTATGGAAGCAGAGTGGTGAAGTATTTCGTCAGACTCCAGCTGGTTTGTCTTAGAGGCAGATAGCTCCTCCTACTGGTGACCAAAAGATTCTTTACTTTGGTCGTCTATATACAGATTCTTTGATAACCTTTGACCCTGTAGCCGCTGTCCTCTCAGCCCCCTCCCCTGAGCCTGAAACCTGATTTCTCATCTAATTGATCACTGATGGTAAACCCACCCTGCATTGAGTAACCTAATGGACCCCCCAGTCCCTCCACTTCTCTCTCTCTCTCCCTCTCTCTTCCACTGTCCCACTTAGGCACACGCTGCCCCTCTCAGACAGTGCAGAGCTGAGGTGATAGCTCCTCTGCAGTCATTAGCGGCACGTCTGAGTGGATTACTGCCGTGCCCCTTGGTATGTTTGTGGTTTCCCCAGCATGGGGCAGTATGTGTGAGAGTGTGAGAGCCGGCACTCCAACACGCATCTGTCCACAACCCCGGGCCTCCTTTTATAAGAGTGCAATTAGCCTCACTCTGGGTAAACATTCATCTGCTCTGCCAAAGCCTGATGGGCCAATTGACCTTAATTACTGACCAGCCCAGGGCTCTCTCAGCCCGCCTCTCTGCTCTCTCCTAATGAAATGAAAGTGGCTCTGTCTTTTGTTGAACTCACTCTACTGCTGAGCGCTGACCACACACAGAAAGTTTACGTCAATTTTCCCTATAAATTTTTACATCCTTGCTCTTTATTTGAATGTTTTCACCTCTGCGTTTGCCAATAACAACTCTTTTTCTTTCACTCAAGGGCTCTTTCTTGTTTAGATATGTAAGTATGATCCAGGGATTCCCATGAAAAGTGTTGTTGTGCTAAACATCAGCATGAGACTAAACCATTGCATCATGCTTGCTGTGTGATTCCTGTCAGTGTGGTTACAATTATTTTCAGTTTTTATGGCTCTGTTTTTAAGTTGATGGATAAAAAACTCAAAAGCCATCCCCACCTCAGAATAACCTCTTAATGACAGATTGAAGTGCTCATATTCACAGAGAGAGTGTGTCCTTGTGTCTGTGTGGGCTGAGAGGGTTTTTAGAGGAATTTTCTTTCATAAACAAAGACAGGATCTGAGGGATTATGGTCTAGGCTTATTTAACGGCGAGTGCAAGACCTGCCCCTGGGGCTATAAGGTCCTGGCTAACTCTAGCTAGCTCTGCTTGGCTTCCCAAATTGAAATCCCTTCACACACACACTCCCTTTATGACTGACCACACACTGCATCTGCATCCCCACTCAACCAGAAACGCCTTCCCCACTTGGTTCAAGCCCCATCTCTAGTTTCAAACTTTCCTCCTGGTGTTATTGAAGCTGGTACGACCCTCAGGAAGTGACCCTGATCCCCTCTCTGATTGGCTGTCCATGGAAGGATATCAGAGCCTGTCGGAGGCTGATAATATCCTGTTTCCTCGAGAGGTGGAGCAGAGGGGAGAAATACCTGGATTAGCGTCAGAGATCATTATTGTTAGCATTCCTCCCTCTCTCTGCCTTTTCTTCAACTCGGTTGCTTCTGCGGGGTCTCCAGCAGTTGGAAGATCTGCATAACGTCTGCTCCTCCACACTGAGGGCTTTTCTGGTGATCCCTTTTAGCTTCCCGCCCCACCCATCTGCATTAACTCAGAGCCGCCATACCCCATCCACCCTGACTCCCATTTCCTTCTGCTGGAAAACACTCAAACCTCACACAGCAATTCACAGCCCTTTGTAGCAGCGCGCAGTCGTGTGTTGTGTCTCGTAGTTTGTTGTAATTATGTGCATGTTTTTGCTGTCTTTAACTCAAACTCAGACATTTGTTCTCTTCTCTTCCTTCAGCTATGTCATCATATCTGTTCATCTTAAAGACGGAGCTTCCTGCAGCCATCAACAGCTTCTTGAGCTCACACGGCACAGGGTGGGTATATTCATCAGTTTGAGCTCGCTCTTTCACCAGTGAAAAGGTTTGATTTAAAATCTCTCACAGCTGCGGGGTAAAACCAAGGCCTTTTTTTAATGTATGAGCTGCCTCAGCAGATAATGTATGAGTCATTCCTGTTCCCATGAAGATGTAGATCGAAGATTTGACTTTGAATATGTCCAACCTGACACATCTGTGCCACAAAGAGTCAAGAACTAGAAAATGAAAAAAGATATGAATAACGCATGGAAGATGATCTCGAAACAAACCACACTGCAGTACTTCTATTCTGTGTGTGAGTTATAAAGCTGAAAGCATGTCCAGAGGAAATGTACTCATGTCGTAGAGCGATCCATCACGCATCATCAGCGGCTGCTGTCTTTCATTGGCCCATGAGGACAATCCTGCAGGCCAAGGCCAAGAAAGTAACTCCTATCACTTTATTATTGGCCACACTGGTTTAAGCAAGGATATGTAGCTGCTCTCAACTCGATCTGTCAACATCTGAATCTTCCGCACACAGCTGCTTTGTATTAGCACTCTCCTTTCACCCCCAAATCTCTCGCACATGTTCCTCAGAATCAGACTGATACAAGGGGATATCAGTTTTGCCATTCTAATTACAGCTCGCTGCTGAGGGAAACAAAACATTTCTGTTAATGAGCGGCTTTGGGATGTTAAGAGACACACACTCCACCCCGTCAAAGCCAAAATAAACGAGTTGTGTTACATTAAAACCCATCTTTTTTTCCAGCTCGTTGATCACTACACAGCCGCAGAAAAGCAGTTATGCATGATCTTGTCCGTGCTGTTTTAAGTTTCTCTCGTCATGTTTCAGTTTTTTGCAACAAGGCCAAATACATGCGCAGCTGTAGATTTGGTTTATGTGCAGCATTGGGGAGATTTATGCTGATCTTCAACACTATGTGAAGATTGACTCATTGGCAGTCAAACTCCAACCTTAACCCAGAGCGATCCTGCATCTTGTTAGAGCGTGAAATGTTCCACATTTCATGGGTCATCTAGGTATCCTGCATCTTTACAGTAAGCCTCAAGCTGGATCCTAGCAGGACTGGGGATTTCTTCTTAACATCCCCGTGTCTGCTTATCACTCTGTAAAAGTAGGATAGAGGGTTAACTAAGCTGCGGTCAAGCACTTTGGCTAAACTTAGGCTGAGGTAGAAGTGATTGGACAAGAGGGAGTCGGGGTCAGAGCAGAGGTCTCGCTGACATCCAGTAACGGGGCAGAAAAACTAGCGTAGACGCAGACAAATCCATCCGCGCCTCTGCTAACGCCACAGCTGTGAAACTGCCAAACAGGGGTCAGTGGGTGTTGATGTGGTCCGAGCAGGTGCTGCCGACTGTGGGAGCCCCATAAAGAGTGCTGGAGCCAGTCCCTCATGACCCCCACGCTGCGGTCCAGCTCCAGGCAGCACCCTTCCCAACCCGACCCCGACCCCAGCAGAGCCAGCATGCCTTCCACATGTGTCACCTCCGAACGCCACACCTCCTTCCCCCTCTCCTCTTTTTCCTACTCCTTTAGCTCCACAATCCTGAATAAACGGCCAAGGCTATCCCTCGGCAAAGGAAAATATTATTCCCCCCTCCTCGAAAAACCCAGCAAGTCAAATGTGGTCTCAAATGACAGAGCGACACGACTTTTGCATGTGAATTACATAATTGTTATGGTTTGCAAGAGCTAAAGCCCTTAATTCATACCACATGATGGATCTGTCGCTCTGTATTTGAGCACGAAATGGAGACAAATTTTCCAGAGCAGGTTTGTTTTAAAGCTCTGAACATTAATCTGTGCTGTTCATGGTATCCACTACAGGAAGACAATGATGGGAAACGGGGCTTGTTTCAGCTTTGCTCTTTTCAATAATTCATGTGTGGTTGTTTTGCAGAGATGCCTGGTATCAAGATGGCAGGTTGCTCCTGATCATCGTCACACTTTGTATTGTTCTACCTCTGTCCATGTCACCTAAGATAGGTGAGTAAGAACAACTTGTCGAGTCTTTATTTCCTGTACCAGACGTTTGGATTGTTGTTTCACACCAGATTTGACTTGAATTCTCAGGTTTTCTCGGCTACACCAGCAGTATTGCCTTCTTCTTCATGCTCTACTTTGCAATTGTGGTGAGTTTTTTAAAAATATATTTCCTCTTTTTAAATATTATATTTTGAATATTTCTGTTGCTGACTAGCTGTAATTTCTCCTCTTCAGGTTGTGGTGAAGAAATGGTCCATCCCCTGCCCACTGCCTCACAATGTAACTACGCTTTCAGATACCTTCCAGGTAATAACAACATCCTCAATTTTCCACACCAACCCATGCACACACACACACACACACACACACACACACACACACACACACACACACATACACACCAAAAGTAAAAGAAACTTTAAGCCTGAGGTCTGTAGTCTGGACCAGACGGTCACGGCCACAGGATTATGAGGGGAAACCCAGGAGACCAGAGTTTACCGACTGTGTCGACTGGCTGATGAGGACCAGAGGAGGCTGCATGGTGAATGGTGCCAGTCCTCCTGAGGGGGAAGGAAGTTCATGTGACCTCGCATCAGGCTGGAAATAACCTCTGGCCTTTTGGAATTATACAGACCGTACTGTGGCTTCAATCCGAGCGTGGTTTACCTGGAAGCTTGTTTTGCCTTTTAGCTCCAGAGCTAGGCATTTCCAACACAGATCTCTTGTTTCTCTTATTTGCAGTAGCAGCACTGTTAAAGTCAGAAATAACTCTCTCTATCTTCTCTCTTTGTTATACAGACATCCAATTCCTCTGGCTCTGAATGCACACCAAAGCTCTTTGTCGTTTCCAGCAAGGTACGTTTATGAAAACAAGTTCTTTTCTCACACTGAACCTCTCAGGTGGCAAATGAGAAGCTGTTGAAAGTGGTTCTGCTGTATTTGTAAGTGGTTCTCAGTATGTGTAAGTTAAGGAGTGCACTGTACAGCTGCTACTCACATGTACCTAACATGTAAAGTCCATATGTGCATGTGGGTTTGAGGAAATACATCCCTTCTGTTAAACTGAACTGGACATTGTTTTTAAAAAGGAACCTCCAAAAGTCATAAACATCTTCACCCCCTAACAAAAATATCACAAACTTCACCTTGACCCACCTCTCCGCTCACTCCAGTGTTACACTGTAAGCTGATAATCTGTAACTGACAGCTGTGATCTGACTGATGTGTCTTTTTTAGAGCGCCTACGCCATCCCCACCATGGCTTTCTCCTTCCTGTGTCACACAGCCATCCTGCCGATCTACTGTGAACTAGACCGGTCAGCACCATCTTACAATAACCTTTTACTGTTTCGGCATAAGCCTGCTTTGGTGACATTTTTCTAAGCCAATGTGTCCTGCTGTCTTTCAGACCCACAAAGAAGAGGATGCAGAATGTGACAAATGTCAGTATCAGCCTCAGCCTCCTGCTTTACCTTATCTCTGCGCTGTTTGGTTACCTCACCTTCTACGGTAAGCCTACAGTTAAACACAGTCATCTTTGACTACTCAGAGCATGTGTATCAAATGTTATCTTGATCGTAAAATTGTGCTGCATCTCTCTCGTCCTCTCCTCAGCTCACGTGGACTCTGAGCTGTTGCTCAGCTATGACGTGTATCTGCGTCATGACATCATGGTGATGACCGTCAGACTGGCCATCCTGCTCTCCGTGTTGCTGACCGTGCCTCTCATTCAGTTCCCTGTAAGTGCACTGATACTAGTTAATTCTGTCAACACAGGAAAACACCCGAGAGTCTCTCTTTGTTGAATGTTTGATTCTGTTTGACTAGTTTGAAATGTGAAATGAAATTTTGTTCAAGCTTTACTCTGTATGTTTATTCCACAGCTTTTTATTAGTCTTTTCAAATCAGTGTCTTTTCATAACTGCTTATTTCCTTTTCTGTTACAGTAACTTAACCTTAAACTAACCGTGACTCTCTGGGTGTATTTGCCTACACTGAGCTTTATCTGTTTATGTATGTGTTTGCTGCAGGCTCGTAAAGCTGTCACCTTGCTCCTGCGTGGGGATCAACCCTTCTCCTGGCTGACCCACGTCGTTGTAACTCTTCTGATCTTGGCTGCTGTGCTGCTGTTGGCCATCTTCGTGCCGGACATCAGACATGTGTTTGGAGTTGTGGGTAGGTGGTGTTTTAAAGAAAATAAATTTAGCTCGACAGTTTTGTCTCTGTAAGCAGTATTTTTTTTAAATTTTACAAACATAGACATGACGTTGCTTCTTTGTTTTCAACTGCGGCAGACGGTAAAAGCAGCCAATCTCTCTGCTGAAATGTCGGTGTTCAGGAGTATTGATCCTGATGACTAGCATCACAGTCTCCCCTCATACATAATAAATGTTGCAGAGCTGCTCAAACCATTTATGACGCTGGAGACTTCAGACAGAAAATGAATAGTTAGCATTCCAGTCAACTTCTGTGCTCCTTCCTCAGGATCAACCACATCCAGCTGCCTGTTATTTGTCTTCCCCGGCATCTTCTACCTCAAGATCAGCGGCCGACCCTTGAAAACGTTTGACTCCATCGGGGTAACTAACTACACACTGTCCTTATGTTGTGGATTTTTGTTTTATGGTGAAAGTGCTGACGGTTGTTTTTGTTGTGTATCTGTTTTCAGGCTTTGGTTCTGATGATCTTTGGCTTGATTATGGGAATCATCAGCCTCTCTGTCATTATCATCACATTGGTACAGAGCTCCTGACACAATCTACACCCCCCCACCCCCTCTTCCCAAATTCAGAACCAGAACAACAAAGGGAAAAACGTGCCAAAGAAACTCTATACTGGATAAAGAAAGGAAACGGGCAGATTTGAATCAGCTTCACCTCAGGCAGGTTATTTAAGGGAACATTTTTCTGAACACTAAGAGTTTTTTTTCCTTCTTTTTTATTTTTTATTTTATTTTTGTAACTCACAATTGGACCAAGGTTTGCACAAATGAGCTGATGGGGAAACGAGACCTTCTTACTGATTTTAACACTCTTTCTTACACCGGGACTTTGCACACTTTTTCCTCCTTTTTCCCACTTTAAATAAAAAGAGAGCTGATGTTGCCTATGCCAGAAAAATCTAATGAAGTTCAAGGGAAGATGTCAGTTTTCCTTTCTTTTCCTTTGTTTTAAAATTTATTTCCATTTTGCCTTTGTTACAGACTCTGTAATGCCCTGTGTGAAGGATCATGCACTTTATATAAACCAGTGTGATATTATGTAAAAAGGCTGTTGACCAAGTCTGAATCACAAATGTGTCAGGTTTACATTTTCTCTAATTATGTCGAGTTTTACTCTTTGCTGGTTCTGTGACTAACAGGGCTGCTAGATTAAGGGCAAACTGGTTTTATTTTCTTTACTTGATTGTTTTTTATTTTCTTTTAAACTCGTTTTTATTATTCAATCAGTGCAGTGACTTTCGTCACCACTTACAGTCTGAACCTCAGGTACAAGTGTTATTGCTGTGACTTGGATTCTTGAGCTTTAATGAATGTGACAAAAACGGATTTTTTTCTAACTGATCAGGTTTTGTTTGAACCAGTGAATTACACGATGGACTCCATGTGTCTGTATTACCAAAACTGTGTAGTGTTCAACACCAAGCTACCACCGTTTAATAAAAGGGATATTCTTTATATACTGACATGTCGGTTTGCTCATTTAACCACCAACTTGTCTTTGTCAGTGTTGTGGAAAGCTCATCAGTCTAACACGGCACATTTATGGCTGTGTGTGTTTGATTGGCAGGCACTGTGAAACATGTTCCTCGGTGTTGTTCTGTGGGTTCAGTCTGCGCCTAATGAAAGCCACATGCTCGGTACGTTTCTAATCACGATGCTGTTTAGATTGTCTTCATGCTGCTCTGGAACCTACAGCCATCGCTGCTGGATTTAATCTGAGGAATTAGACCCCCACTCCCCCACCCCCCCAACCGCTCGTCCCTTCATGCTCCCTTGAGGAACACTTTACAGTGCAGGAAATATCACCAACCCCCAACCCTCCACTACTCTGAAGGACACTTGTATAATTATAATGCAACACAACTGCAATCACTGATTAACATATTCAATAGTAAGTGGTGAGGAGAGTGCACATAAGAAGTCAAAATATCAAAGCTAATTCTGCAGGAGAAAAGCCAGAGTGCTTTTAGTTGTGTAGTCCTGTGGTTCCCAACCAAGGTGCCTAACCTCTTAAACCAAACACAAGTTCACACTGAAGGGTTTTAAGATGATCAACCAGATCAAAAAGGTGAAAAAAAATCTATAAATCTACAACTTTTCCCAAATTTACTGGATATCTTCCACTAAAGGATGACAAGAAAACTACTTTAATGATTAGACATTCTTTTTTTGGGGGTTGGGGGCTTTACAAATGGCATACTTACATGTGAAATCAATCAGGCAAATAAATCCAATGCCTGGTGTTATCAATGGAAAGATTAAATGTTCTCTAAACTGGGGGGGAAGAGCAAATATCACTCACATATTTTTGTTAAATGTGGGGGGATTTGACTGGCAACCATAAACTGTCAGTCACCATATTTGTTGTAACACTGGGATTAAATCGACCCCTGACTCTTACACTCTCCTATGGGAAAGAAACCAACCAAACCCATTAGCAACACAACATTACCATCTAGTGTCAGACTGTGCTCACAGCAGTTCAGCAGGTCTTCATCCTTTCTTTTCATTGGCATTCCTTTCTTAGTTTATTAAAGCCTAACTGGAGATAACCAGATGCTCCAGTTTTATCCGTGAAGGCAAGCATGTGAAAAAAGTCCAGAGTTGTTTTTATGGAAGTCTTACTGAGGCATGTGTCCCCAGTCGAGGCTGGAGTGTTTTTGTTTGGTTAAACTCACTCACACCCTGGGCTTATGTCCAGCAGTATGACAACACCATCTCCTGGGGTAAGAGGATGGAATGAAGCGGAGGAGCGATGGTGGGCTGAAATTGATCCCCCGCTGGCAGCCACTGCTCTCATATTGTTTTAAGAGGTGTTGGCTGTGTTCTGTGAAAATTATTTTCTGTTTTTGAGAACGGGATTTTCGGGGTAACAGCTGGGCTTGATCCAAACTCAGCTTTGACTTACATGTCTGAAATCAATCAGGCAAATAAATCCAATGCTGGCCAGGGTGTTATCAATGGAAACAGTTTAAATGTTCTTAAGAAACGAATAGGAAAACACAAAAATATTGTGAGCGGATGAAAACTGTGAAGCAAAGGTGTTGCGATTAAACATAAAATGTGATGTGAAATAATCCAAAGGTGCTGTAAATTATGGCTAATGTAATAGGAGCAATGCAAAAGCATGACAAGAAACCCCAATACTAATGTCAGTCATGCAAAAACATGGCAAAGTCATGCAAAACACTCATGAATAATGCAAAATTTATGAAGGGTTATGCAAAAAATAGAATGGGAGGTAACACCAAAGAAGCCTGAGAGATGATGTGAGGAATGCAAAAATACAGTGAGGTGACACAAAGGAAAATTAAACATAAAAGTCATTGAAGATACCTAAAGTTTGAGCAGTGGCGATTGCTCTAAGACTGCAAGGGAAGCTCGGCTTCCCTTAAAATGTCACCCCCCAAAAAAAAGAAAAAGTGGTGAAATACGTACGGCTGTGTGTACATTTCATTAACTAAATACGCACTAGAAAGCCTTCATCTTTTGTTCAGACACTGTGATAAGAAGCTGATAATCACAGGTAACCGGCATAACTTCGTTCTCATTCATCCTCGCAGCGCCTCAGCGCTTTAAACAGCCGGACGCTGGGCTTCTGCTGACTTCAATGTGGAAGCTCAAAGTGGGTTGTTCCAGCAGCGAAACTAGACGCTCATTGGATAAATGCTGGGCTTTGTCCCGCCCATCGGAAGCCCAGCTTCACTGGAGTTCTATGGCGAGAGGGCGGTCCCGACTTTCTCCCGGACTCCAAGCTTCTGCATCCATGATTGGATGAGCTGTCTGAGGCGAAATCCTTTTTTGATTGACAGCTAAACAAGCGAATCAGCGATCTTGAAGAATAAAACATCTACCAGAGCATTTTCCAAGTTATTCATTCCGTTGTTCTTAACTGCTCCGGAGACTTTACCGATCCTCAGCGACTTTTGTCTTTGTTAAAAACGACTGCCGTTGTGTTTGGCGACTCTGTTCTGTTACATACTAATAAACAAACACAATTATGATGTAGGCCAGAAAAATGAGCTTCCCCTCCTTGAAAGACCAGCAGCCGCCACTGAGTTTGAGTGAGGAGACCCAAAGGTTAATTAAAAGTTCTGCAGGCTTGTGTCATAGTAACGTGAGCTTATGCAAAAATATTGTAAGGCTTTTTAGTAGGCCCACTTTGTAGGCTACTCTATAAAGTGGATCATGGCTGATGAAACATGACATGCACCATCAGATTAGATCAGGGTAAGCCTTCCCCTGTTTTCATCAATGAGTTGGACACTGCTACCTTCTACAAACCAGTATTGGCAGAAATCAAATCCAGTGCAGCACTTCACATCAGCATCTTCCAGGATGTATATCAACTAAATCACATCCACTTGGCTTCACAGGTAGAGGTAGTCACGGTTGAGAACAAGCACATCTGCTTTCTGTTTACCCGCATGATCCTGTTCAACAGGCATTCCTGGCTGAAAGGTGCTTCAAGGGTCTTTTCACATAAGCCTTTTAATGCTGGCTGGCATGATGAGTGGTTTTCCAATTTAGTCATGGTAGCAGACTGCAACTCAGCAAATGCCATCAATACGTAAATGTCATCACTGATGAAGTGCTCTCCATTTTGATTTTTTTCGGTCCTTCCTTTCCCTCCTTCCGCCATCACCCCATGCTGCTTTTCTGCTCTTAATCGATTTCCACACTCTATAAGTATACGTGATCTTTGTGTCACACTGAGAGCATTCACGGCTTTGAAGACTCTCTTTATCGACGGGGAATGTGCTGGAATTTAATCTTCTCACACATTATTTGTATTGTAACATTTTTGTGTTAAACTGAATAAATTAATTCAAGAGCAAAACACTCCACCTAAACACACTTTCCTTGAGAAAAGTCATAGAAAGTACAGACTTCCGTAAAGGACAGTACCTGCTGAGAGTGATTGTCCATACACTGTCCCTTACATCACTTCAGCTATATATCTTGAGATCTGTTTGTGTGCAATGTCCTGATCTCGAAGTCTTCATCTGCCTCTTCTTTTTACCAGATGCGTCTCCAACACCTTCATGCTGCTTAGGTGTTAAGAAGTGACGTCCTTCACCATACATCTATTGGATGTTTGGACACCACTAGCACACAAAGCTGACTTCACCCAAAATGACAGTGCTTTACCACCGTGTGCAGAAAACACGTTGGTGTATTGAAAAATTGTTCAAGGTAAGAATTTTCTATCACTCAAATCACCTGCTAGTCAAGAGTCAGGGCCAACAAAACAACAACAGCGTCACAATGACACGAAATAGATTTGACCCCAAGATTGCTGTCACCATAGTCACCCAGACATAACAATCCTTGTGGAGAGATTTTTATTTGTCCAAGAAGAAATCAAGGAAAATAAACAAGGGGGATTGTACAGTGTTTTTGGAAGTGCTGCAGAGCTTGGTTATTTTGGCAGATGATGAGCTGGGGGTTGAGGGTGAGGAGGGGGGATTCATGGAGTGTCAGTGGTCAGCGGCACAGTATGAGGTCCAGGCTGTATTTTTGGGCTGGTGTGTAGGGGTGAGCTTGTCTCTCTGCGATCCCATCAGCCCCGGGCTGAGCTTTTAATGCGGTCCTGACGCCTTGCTGGCGAAGGGGCCACGCTGCCTCACATCTGGAGCCAATTACCCTGGAGGGGGCTGTGACAGAACCCCCCACCACTTTCTCTCTGTCTGCTATGCTCTGCTGTCCAACTCAGCTTCAACCACTCTCACAGTCACATTCCTGCAATTTTCACAACAACTCAATTTTTGTTGGTCCCTCTCTCTATTTCTCTTCTCCCCTGCCCTACAAAACAAATCCTCTTCACTGATCTGGATCATCCTTTGAATTTCTAACTAAAAAGAGGACCAGCTTTTAGCATCAAAAAATCAAACTTGATGCATATTGTCCAATATTTCTCTCTCTGTTTGCTTATAGAGGTTACGATAAAGGTTAAAAAAGGTCAGCAAAGGGGGAATTTTCAAAAGACAAAATCAGTTTCATATGACTCAAACTTTTGAACTTCTGACCACATTCTTGAAGAATTTCTGCAGCTCAGTGCCATCATAAGTCATGTTTTCCCGTGCTGGAGCCCAGGCAGTAAACACCACTTGTGAATAAAGCACATTTACAACCAAATCAGCTTTTACAGGTGTGATTTATGGAGAGACCCTGGTTCCACCTTAAACAGCCACAGGGTAGGGTGTGTAGTTTGTGTGTTTGCGTATGTGTTAAGGTGGGTTTCTATACAGCTTTACCTGTGGAGAGGTTGGGGTCTTGTGACTGCAGGACTGAGGTTGGTACTTTTGAGGCACGGTGTGGGTGTATACTAGCCCCGCAGGATCTCTCTCACCGGGGTCAGAGGAGTAGGGACTGGACTTCACCAAATCTGGGCCATACACTCTTTATTCCCTGCTGCCCTGTTTGGCAGTGATGCTGCGGTTCATTAGCTGCAGCTATAGGGTGTATACCTGGGCAGAGAGCCAGAGGATTGAGCTGTCCTGGGTTACATGGACATAAATTGAACGTGGAAACTCTACAGGTGGCTGGAATAAAGTCAAACACAGAGAAACAGTCGGCTCTGAAATATGGGAGGATTTGGGTTGCCGGCCTTGTGTGCAATAAAATTTTGGCAAGTTGAAGAGATAGATCAGAAGTTTAGTTATGGTTTCCTGTCTGTGTGTGTCTGAAGCATGCATGTGTTTATGTGTGTACATGCACACATGTAGCCAAGAACTCTGTGTTTTGGGTTATGTGCTGGGTCATGTGAAGTTGCAGACTTTTAAATATGAGTGCATAATTCAAGAAATGCCTGTGACAACCTGTTACAGTGGAAGGTTGAAATAAGGAGGAATGGATGCAGGGCAAGGAGCAACTTCTGAATAAAAGAGGTAGAATAAGGTGGAAAGGGTAAGATAAACATGTTTTATTTTTAAGTTGCGTCTTCATAATAAAGAGACAAGCAATGGGAGAGAGGAGGACGGAGGTAAGGAAAGAAATATTGAATGTGGAAGTCTTACTCTGCCCTCTGCTGGACAAATCAGATATCGTAGAAAAAATATTTTTAGACTCAACTTCTAATCTTTGAGCAAAAAAAGGTAAATCTATTTTTAACATTGACCTGTTGGGTCTCCAGGTTACCTGCAACACAAATGTTAAAATATTTCACCTGAATACACAATCCTTCGCTGTCGACAACTTTAAGCATTATTGCTTTTACTGAACTGGTTATCTGCCTGCTGCATCAGTACGACCTTATCTACTCGGTAAGGTCATGTCATAAATGTTGTTTACAAGACAACCTGTATCCCAGGGATGTGTAAGATGTGTAAGCCCGGCTCTTTATTTATAACAGCTGGAGGAGAGAGATGTGGAGTGCTGACATTTGGCAGAGTAAGGTGAGAGGTCAAGGTCAAGTCTAACACCAATAAAGTGGAGGCTTTGTTCATGGCATGTGGATTGGGCAGGCTAAATGCCATCTCAGAGAGAGAGAGAGAGAGAGAGAGAGAGAGAGAGAGAGAGAGAGAGAACAAGGTTAACACAGAATAGAAAATAAAAGGGAATTCATCAGCAAGTACATTTCAATAAATATGATTTTCTTTTTGATCATTGAATTCTTCAGTGAAGATGTCAGAAAAAACAGGAAATTTGTGCCTCCAAACTATCGAGTACAAAACAAAGGTGATTATTTTTTATGAACAACAATCTAAAACTCAATAATATTCCATTTTTAGTGACAGAAAAGAGAAAAACAGCAAATCCTTTTTCGTTTTTTTTCCTTAAAAAAATTACTCAAGACATTGGTCTACTTGTGGCCTAAATTACTAATTTGACCAATCATATGTACTAACAAAACAAATCCAATCCCAGGCTTTGTCCAGAATGTGTGATTGGAAGACGCATCCTTTTTTTATTGCTCAGATTAAACCTTGTTGTGACTAAATAATTCTGATGATTTTAAAAGCACTTTTATGTTGAATCCCAATCACTTAACCACCCCAGTGTCACCTCTTGCTGCTCTGTTTTAATTTTTCATCTGCCTGTCTGAGCTTCCTGAGGGACAGTACCACCAAAGTGTGACTGTGTGAGCGAATGAATGATGTATCCAATGTAAAGCGCTTTGAGGGTCTCTGATAAAGCGCTATATGAAATCTGATGCATTATTATTATTATTTATTAGTACCATACAGTTGAAACCAGAAGTTTACATACACTATATAAAAAGGCACATAACCTTTTTTTCTCACTGTCTAACATTAAATGAGATTAAACTTTTCCTATTTTTTGTCAATTAGGATTACCAAAATTATTTTTATTTGCTAATTGCCAGAATAATGAGAGAGAGAATTTTTTAGACAATTTTTATTACTTTCTCGAGAGTCAAAAGTTAACATACACTAAGGTGACTATGCTTTTAAACAATTTGAGAAAGTCCAGATGATGATATCATGTCCTTGGAAGCCTCTGATAGGTTTATTGACAACATTTGAGTTAATTAGAGGCACATCTGTGGATGTATTTTAGGGCACACCTGAAACACACTGCTTCTTTTTGTAACATCAGGGGAAAAATTAAAAGAAATCTGCCAAGATATCAGGAAAATTAATGGGGACTTACACAAGTCTGGTTCACCCTTGGGTGCAATTTCCAGATGCCTGAAGGTGCCACTTACATCCATTCAAACAATTATATGCAAGTATAAACACCATGGGAATGTCCAGACATCATACCGCTCAGGAAGGAGACGGGCTCTATGTCCCAGTGATGAACGTGCTTTGGTCCAAAATGTGAATATTAATCCAAGAACAACAGCAAAATCCCTTGTGAAGATGCTGGCTGAAGCTGGTAAGAGTGTGTCATTATCAACAGTGGAACAAGTCCTGTACCCACATGGGCTGAAAGGCCACTGTCTCAGGGGGAAGCCGTTAGTCCAAAAGAAACATAAAAAGTCAGATTATAGTTTGCAAATGCACACAGGGACAAAGATCTTAATTTTTGAAGACATGTCCTGTGGTCTGATGAAGCTGAAATGGAACTTTTTGGCCATAATGACCATTGTTACATTTGGAGGGGAAAAGGGGAAGCTTGCAAGCCTGAAAAAACACCATCTCAGGTGTGAAATATGGGGGTGGCAGCACCATGTTGTGGGGTTGTTTTGCAGCAGGAGGGACTGGTGCACTTCATAAATAGATGGCATCATGAGGAAAGAACATTATATGGAAATTAAGTAACATCTCAAGACATCAGCCAGGAAGTTAAAGCTTGGGCGCAAATGGGTTTTCCAAATGGATAGTGATCCTAAGCATTTTGCCAAACTGGTTACAAAGTGGTGTAAGGATAACAAAGTCAAAGTTTTGAAGTGGCCATCACAAAGCCCTAAACTCAATCCTATTGAAAATTTATGGGCAGAACTGAAAAGTCTAGTGCAAACAAGGTGGCCTACAAACTTGGCTCAGTTACACCAGTTCTGTCAGGAGAAATGGGACAAAATTCCTGCAAACTATTGTGAGAAGCTTGTGGAAGCATGTCCAAAACATTTGACTTAAGTCATACAATTAAAAGGCAGCTACAAAAATACTAATGAAATGTATGTAAACTTTTGACTCGAGAAAATAATTAAAAAATGTCTAAAAAATCCTCTCTCTCTCTCGTTATTTTGGCATTTAGCATATAAAAATAATTTTGGTGAACCTAATTGACCAAAAACAGGAAAAGTTTAATCTGATTTAATGTTAGACATTGAGGAAAAAAAGGTTACGTGCCTTCTATACTTATAGTATACCCTATACTTATAGTAATTTTCTCTTTAACCTTGTCTTTTTTAATTTCCCCAACTGGAAAATGCTGAAAGGATATCCAGTCTAAAAAAAATAATACCTCTTAAACCCCAGAGCTAAGCTGACCAAACAGCCTATCAATCAATTTACTTACCAATGTGACGACAGTAGAGTATTCCCACTCCTAAGTGGACATTTCCAATGGTTCACTGTTGCAAACACTAGATGTCAGTGTTCTCAAATCAAGGTAAGGACAGGTGGGCCACACAACACCTTCAGCAGCTACAGCTTTGCATCATGGTTAATAGAGTACTGGTAGGAGACTCTCCACAAGAACTACAAATTGAACCATGTGACACTGCAAACTAACAGTGACAGGTTGAGAAGGTTCATGCTGCTTGTTTTTGGTGTGTGTGTGTGTGTGTGTGTGTGTGTGTGTGTGTGTGTGTGTGTGTGTGTGTGTGTGCTGGGTGACAAGTAATGCGGAACTTCTCGGCGTGGTTGTGTTGTGGCTTCCTTCTCTCTGAAACTTCTTCAAACACGTTCACACAAAGAGAGACAGTCAGGCAGAGCGGAGGTTCGGGGCTGACAGCTCAACTTCGTGTTGTACCGAGAGAGAAAGAAACGTGACTTTAGGATGAAAAGTCCGTACGGTGAGAGGTGACCCTAAGCTGAAGTGTTAAACCATGAATTCATGATAACACTGATGTTTTTGTCTATATGAAGTGAGCGTGAATGCTTTTAGGACGCCTTTTGTTTGTACTTTTTTAATCGCTTTTTGAACGTCTTCACCCTGCGCGTGAGGGTTCGGGTGAACTACCAGGTGTAAAATGAAGTTTAACGGTTACCTGAGGCTGCGGATAGGTGAGGCGGTGGACCTGAAGCCGACCACCTTCTCCCTCCGCCACTCTGTCATCTTCAACAAAGCCGCGCCATCTGCTTTGGACCCATATATTGTCGTTAAAGTGGACGACGACAAAATTGGACAAACTCACACGAAACAGAAAACAAACACACCGACTTACAACGAGGAGTTCTGCCTCAACGTGAAGAACGGCCAGCAGATTGAGATGGCTGTTTTCCACGACACCCCCATTGGGTATGATGACTTTGTGGCCAACTGCATTGTCCAGTTTGAGGACCTTATCAAGACCTCTAACACAGGAGAGACCTTTGAAGGATGGGTGAGTACATAAAAAATAAAACAGGATTATATTTTAATGGAAAATATTGAAGCAAATCCTCTGGCAGGGTAAGAATCTGTTGAGTCCTAGTACCCAATCATCACAACACTGGCCACTTAAAGAGAGCAAAGCTGGGCAAGGCTAAAAACATGTTTGCAATTCAATAACCCATACAACAACAATTATACCATTTTCTCTTAAGCAGTCAGTGCATTGGTATTTAAGCAGAGCAAATCAGTGATTCATAATACAGCGTCCATTCAAAATCTTTGACAGTAAACCGGGCCTGACAGGTTTCCTGGTGTCCATACAGACTAACCAGAGTATGAACCTGAAGTGAACTGATCAGAGGGAACCAAGGGGCTGATTTTGTATCTAAAATAAACAGGTGACTTAACATGTTAAGAACAAATTTATTGTAAAGAAGTTAATGGTAAATGTCTCAGTCATTAAATGACATGATACATTGGCAGAGAAGTGTGGGGTCCATAGATCCTGCACATGAGCCACATGCCAGGATTTCATCTAAATGTTTAGATCATCCATTTTTTAAAATTACCATTATTAAATATAATAATAATAATATTATATTGATAATCTTTATGGAAACAGACGCCAACTAAAACTTTGAGTACCCCAGTGCAAATTTTATTGGAACTTCACTGAAAGATGAAAACATGATTCAAAAAAATGTGAAAAGGAGAAGGATAAAAGTTATCCTTGGAAGACGTCTCTTTGCTGATTCAGTGTTTTACTTTTGAGTAAAGTGCTCGGTGTCCCTTGGACAAGCAAAGCAGAGATGCATATTCAGTTTTATGATTCACGATTCAAGCTTCTTCTTGTCAATTTCTGCCATACGTGAGTACATACACAGGAATAAAAAAAACAATGTTTCTCTCCACCCCACGGTGCAGAAATACAGGGAGTAATTTGGAAAATACAAAAAACATGTTAAGAAGAAATTCATTGTAAAGAAATTAAAGGTAAATGTCTCAGTCATTAAATGACATGATGCATTGGCAGACAAGTGTGGGGTCCACAGACCCTGCACATGTGCCACTTGCCCAGGATTTAATCTAAATGTTTAGATCATCCATTTTTTAAATTACCAGTATTAATTATTATACTTTGTTTCATTTACGGTATCAGTAAATATTGATAATCTTTATGGAAACAGACGCCAACTAAAACTTTTCTCCCATGAGTACCCCAGTTCAAATTTTATTGGAACTTCACTGAAAGATGAAAACATGATTTAAAAATATGTGAAAAGGAGAAGGATAAAAGTTGTGCTTGGAGGACGTCTCTTTGCTGATTCAGTGTTGTGAGTGAAGTGCTCTGTGTCCCTTGGACAAGCAAAGCAGAGATGCATATTCAGTTTCATGATTCACGATTCAAGCTTCTTCTTGTCAATTTCTGCCATCCGTGAGTACATACACAGGAATAATAAAAAAAAAGATGTTTCTCTCCAGCCCAGGTTGCAGAAATACAGAGAACAATTTGGAAAATATGAAAAAAATTCAACAGAGAAGAGTATAATACAGGAGAAGAGTTGTATAGTCTATCTGCTTTACTTCCTGCAACAAGCACTTTTTTGCTGTAGTTGGCGGCCCTTAAAAAACTCCAGTCAGTCCAGCTTGTGTTTCTTTTTATTGGCTTGTATGGAAAAGTTGTTGAGTAGCTGTGTAAGCTGTGTGCGAGTTGTGAAAAACAGCGCTTTAGAGTTTAATTATTGTTTATTTCTATTCAGTCGCTTTCTTTTAAAAGCACATTTTTATTTCAAATGCATACAAATGAACAGTGTAACATTATTTGAGCCTTTGCTAGTTGAAGAATGTCTTAGAAAAGATGTTTCCAGTGTATAAAAAGTAAAAAATCAATTAATATAGCCTTAAGAACCTTCAATGCACATTTACTGCACAGGAATATTGTAGTTTTATCCCTCGAGAGCTTTGACACATGCTTAACATTTGGGAGGATGTTCAGGAAGCAAAGCAGACTATTAATCTTGCCCACAGCACGTGCTGTTTGCACTCAGTGAGTAACTTCGCCTGTGTTGCTCTCCAAATGCATCAACTGTGGCTCATCTGCTCTGAGCCCAGCCCCAACCTGTGCCCTTAAGCACAGGAAAGCCAAAGCAGCCCACTATCACTGACACATGTATTGGTTTCGGCTGTGTCCGCTGGACAGATCTTTCACAGCTTGTGCTTATCGGCTCAGAAATTTTTCCTTTGATTATCAACAAGTGCGGTCTGAAACCAAACAAACTGCTGCCAAGGCGAGGTGTTAATTCTGCTCGCAGGGTGCGCATTCAAGGGGGCAAAGGTCACAATGCAAAACCAGCTCTTTTTTTTTTTAACTACTTCTTATTCATACTAAACAAAATGGATATAAAACAGCCCTCGCAGAAGCTCAGAGTAGAGGTCCTCAGTAAAGCATCATATGTGTATTTTACTCTTCCAGAGATAAACAAATGCTGCCCCTTCAAGCTGGAGTTTCCTTCTGATTGCTAACTTTCATCCCTCCAGGACTTTAAGCCACTGCAGGTGTCAGTGATTGTAATATGAACCTGTCCAGGCCTGGAGCAGGCTCAGGCAGTATCGACTACCAAACACAATGCAATCTCTATTACATGCTGATTTGTCTGGTTTCTACAGCAGCCAATATAGTTTCTGTTAATGAAGCACATTTATCTGCAAGTTTCTTATCTACTTTCTTAAACCTCAAGTAAATTTAATGCCCAATTAAAGTATATAATAATATGCAAAGCACTTCTTGTCGTATGTTTGTGAGGGTAGAGTGTGAAAAAGTAACAAAAAAAATAGTCGAATTCAAAGACCCAAAGCATGGAGGGGAAGTGGTGTGAAAGGGTAGTGTTTGGTCTGCAGTTTCTAAAGAGCTACATTGACAGAGCATCTGACTTTCTCACTTCTAGATGCAAGCTTTAAGCTGTTATCTGCTGTATCTGGGCTGTGGAGAGTTTCTCTGCTTTGTTTCACAGAAGAAGTGCTGCTGGGCTGGTTTGTTTCACACACGAGGCAGCTGAGGCTTCAGACACAAGCCTCCACACGCCCACGCTGCTGTTTATCACATCGTTCCCACCATCTGATCAGCACTTGAGGGCTCACTGTAAAACACTCATACTCTAATTGCTCTTATCCAGATGTTACTCTTTCTTTCTTACATTTTAAACAGCGCGTTAGACCTCCCACAAGATGGATTAAACATACAACAAAGGTCTTTGCTGCTGTGAACTGATAAAAATTAAAGTTAAATCTTTAAGATGGCTAACTTCTGCTTTTAACCAAAAATGAAGTGTCAGGGCTGACACCATCAGTCTGAGAGATGACATTCAAACACATGAGTGAAGCTTGTTTCCTTTGCCGCCCACCTGTTTACACTAAATGACAGCACTGCGAAACATCTCTGACCTGTTTCTCGGTTATTTAGCCTCAAATGTCACAACATGTTAGATGTATTTAGAACTGTAATATTTTTATTTTTGGTGTTGGAGTTCTTTCTTGAGCTGAATTTCAGGGCATTGAAACTGAAAGTGGGCTAAGTATGGCCCACCACATTTTCCAGCAAAGTGTTCTGACTGCTCAAGTGAAACGGGCCTCATCGCCTGTGGCTAAAAAAGACACTTCCTCCTTTGTGATGAGGCATTCAAAGTTCTGCTTTTAACTATATCACCATCACTAACATCTATTAACCATTAGTTACGCTGCTGCACTTTGGTAGATCCAAGCTCAAGCGTTGTTTAATTGAAAGAGTCATTGGCAGCAGTCATTGCTCCTCCCCTCTGTCTTCATAGCAAGTATGCTGTGATGGCTTACTGCTCCGCTTGCTCATGTGTTTTATTTAATTTAATTTTTTTTAAAGATGTAGGTGTTTGAATAAAATAAGCATAGATTAGTAATCAGAAGCTTGAGCAATAAAGGTAAAAGCTACCGTTTTCATCTGGGGTTGAAATTTAATTCATTGCAAACCTTTGCAATTCCCTAATATGCAGTTTTTAAGCACATAAGTCCTCACTAAGAAAACATATCAGGGCTGCACATCAAGGGCCTTACAAAAGTGCTGCCAACACCCTTTCTTACACCCTCTTAAAAATGGCACAGGCGTGAAGTGCCTTGTATTTATAAGTTGTCCATTTACAAAAATCAGAAGATAATTCACAACTAACTGAAAATAGAAGGAAACTTTGTGTGTATGCAAAGTTATTCATTTAAAGTGCTTATTATTTCTGTGACAAAGTTCCTGCTGCAGAAGGAGTGAGGGGAGTCTGGCCAAACCTTTTAAGTCTAGTCTCATCTCTCCATCCTATTTATATTCAGCTTTAAGTGTGACTTCAGGCAGAGTCCACTCTGTAGCTAAGAGAAAGTGGGGAGAGACTGAATTAAATAAAAGGGCAAAGACAGCGTTTCATCTTGTTTCTGTCTGGATTAAAAAAAAAAAGAGGATTATATTACTGACAACCCTGATTTAAAGACATTTTCAACCTAATCAGGTGGACTTTTAACAGGTTAGTAACATGACTGAGTAAAAAGGAGCACTTATGAGAGGCTGACACGTACTGTAAATATGTGAAGAGGTTCATCATTCTGTAAGAGACTGCATAAGTGATGAGTTCAGCAACTTTAGAATAATGTTCATCAACCTAAAATTGACCATGTGGTACATCGCTATCAAGACTGAGAGAATTTAAGGGAATTTCTATGTAAAAAGCTGTGTCTAAGCTGAAAACTAATACTGGGCTGTAATAATCTTCAGCTCTCAGGTAGCACCACATAAAAAAAGTTACATGGCTCTGTAGTGGAAAGTACTGCATTCATTGTCCATGAACAAAGCTCACTGCCGTTTCCACAAACTCAGGTTAAAACTGTACCAAGACGGTTGAGTTCAAAAGCAGGCACATAAAGGGATATTTGATGGTAGGGGGGATGTCCCCATGAGACAGATAACCTACACCTCTGGGAAGACACATCAGCGCTGAATGGTAGAAACAGGTTTTTGAACAACATACTATGCTGCCATCCAGACACTGTTTCCTTCGGGGAGGACATTACATCATTCAAAAAGATAATGATAAACCTCATTCTGCATAAATTAGCTCCATACAAGAAATACCCATGTGAAATGTGATGCTGGTATCAAATTTTGAAATGCGCATATATATTTTACATAAATCAGTACAGTACAGTTTGCTCATTTGATGTCAGCTTTATGTTTTTTTTTAGTTAAATAAGAAGCTTAAAGTGAACCATTATTTTCTATTTTTAATATAGGCATTCTACGCAGTGTCCGCCACGTGTCATCTCTTCAGCTTTGCACAGGAACATTTGGCCCAGTCTTCACTTACGTTGAGATTAATTGGTGTACAGTAAAAAACAATGTTTACACTTTTGATAGTGATAGTTATTTTAGACTCAGAAGTGCCGGTTACAGTAAAATCATTAGAGAGGAGAAAAACTGTCAGCTTTAGCTCATACGCACACTTTTGTACGTGTTGTGGACTTTGCAATATTCAGTGTTATCACTTTTTTTCTCACATCAAGCCGAGTGTGTAAGCCGTCTGTCGGCAAAGGTGTTATTCAGACAAAGGTGGCATGCTAACAGACATGAGGAGGGTGAAATTTCACAAATGTATCTTTTAGGTCTGTGCAACAATGGCCAAAGGCAAAAGTTAAAATACCAAAGATGACACAAACACTGGAGAGGTCCTTGTAGTGGAGGGGTCCAACTGCCTGTCTAGACTGTAGATTCAGACACAGGATATGAGGAGGTCAGTGAAAACAAAAGTGGAGGTGTTTGCGATGAAGTGAAACAAACTCTTCTTTTAAAGGAAGGTTTTATGCAAAATGTGCCAACTCTGTGGTTAACACTGAGTGTGGTCGTTTATGGGGCCTTTTTCTAGGTAGGGGTGCATGTGTTACATAAGAAGATCCTTATTTAAGTGCACTGTGACCCATGTTTCTGTCCAGTGGTTTCTGCGGAAAGTCTATGTTCTGTCTGCTCGTCTCTGTCCTCCTAAAGACCCTCTCTTACATATAACAATATTTAGACATTTGTAAGTCGTCATCTCTCAGCTGAGTGACAGGTCAACACAACCTCTGCAACCAGCCCAACCTGCCAGACCTGCTTTGTTTTCTTTCTGCTTCGGTGTCCAAATTCCTCTGACAGTACATACAGACTTAAGAATGCAAGAATATGAGGCTGCTGCATATTTTCAAGAAGACCAATGCTCAGAAACTAGAAGAATGAATCTAAGAAGTATTCAACTCTAAACTATAACTTCAAATGCATCATTTTTGCCTTATCCCTCACAACTAAAAAGGTGTTAAAATATACTCAATTTAACCAGGTGTGGTTAGTTTTATATTCATTTTTTCATAATGAACTGGTTATGTGGTTGTGTTGACTATGCTGAAATATAATTGCTTTTTTGTTTTTTGCGTCTCTGCAGATGGACTTGGAGCCAGAGGGCAAAGTGTACATCATCATAACACTCAATGGATCCTTCACTGATGGTAAGTCTGTCACTGTAAGTTAAAAAACACAGCCCTGAGTTTCTCACATGCCGAATGGCACTTTGAAAAACAATAGTCCCTGAGCCCTTTCATGGTTGAATATGTACATGTGTAACATTAGAGGCCCAAAGAATAGGCGTATACATGCTTCTGCGTGACTCGAGTAGGCTGGTATGTGTCAGGTATGTGCCTCTTCTTCTTTTCTCAGACGTCATGTCTTCAGAGATTATGTCTGCAGACGTCATCTTTTTGTTTTTTCATCTGTTGTCATCATACTGCACTGCTATCCAAATGTAATGGAAAAGAAAGACGTTCAAAGATATTTGGTAGATAACATCTTGAAGTCAAGCTCATTCAGTATCTTTCCCACTTGTGGAAGTCACCACGACTTTTTTTTTTTAATCTTACCATTGTTTTTATCAGTAAAAGGTAGGTGTTGGAGGAGAGCTGACTGCATGACTGCATGCTTCTTTTTTTTCAGATGCACTATGCTGTTGTGTAATCTGATGTGTATATTTTAGTGTATCTTCTAGCTGTTGAATTTAATTTAGTTGTTTTTCATAACTTTGAAAAGCATTTAGCCAAATACTCCTTAGTTGTACTGAAAAGAAATGATCTCTGGGATGTTCGTTTAGAAGTAAAGCCCCTTACTTCACAAACTTTTCAGCAAACGTCTCAGTTTACTCACCAAACTCAGAGGATAACCTCAGCCTTTTAAACTGATATTTTTTACTGTGTATGTACATACTGTAACAGTCAGCTGAATCGAAGGGTTAGTGTTGCTAAAATAAAAGGAACCAAAAATATGTTTTTTTTTCTGTGTGCTGATCAACCTCAGGGGACAAACAGTAAACAGTACAGAGCAGAAATACTGAGCCATTTAAAGTAAATGGAAATTTTATGATTTTGATGTTTGCAGCAAAGGTGGCAGCAATAAGATAATATAAAAAGAACTTTATTTATCCCCGAGAGGAAATTCGATAAGGCTGGACTGTGCGCTGTTGATTTACAATTCTGCACCTTTTCAATCACCAATGTGAAAAATCTGACTTGGCAAACACAGGACGTTCATATTAAATGCATGTTAATCAGTGAAAGATATTTACAGAGAAAATTGTGCTGGAGGATTTCTGGTGTGAAGCCGCTCTTAATGTGAAGCCCCCCTTCACACATCAACCACATATACATCGTGTTTGTCAGAGGAGGTGAGAACTCAGCAGTTTCCGTGATGTGTGTGCATGTGTGTGTGTGTGTGTGTGTGTGTGTGTGTGTGTGTGTGTGTGTGTGTGTGTGTGTGTGTGTGTGTGTGTGTGTGTGTGTGTGTGTGTGCGTGCGTGTGTGCGTGCACCCTAAGCTCACATTTAGTTCCCTCTGCTTACTGTAACTTTAGCTGAAAAACATTGACTGCAACCATGTGTAGATGTGCACTCGTGGTCGACCAAATACAGACTTTCAAAAGCTTATACCATTACTGATTATGTAAGACCAACTCTGCCGATGGCCGAAATATAATGCTGATATCAGGTCGTTTTGTTGTTGACAACTATTTATTGAGAACAATGAGAAGCAACATTTCTGTACTTGAGGGGATTTTTTCACCGTATAAATGAAGACAGAAAAAGACAAAAAGTATCCGAAAAAACTATCATCAGATATTTAAAACTATTATTAAAAAACAAAAAGATGAGTATTTGGGTTACAACAAAAGATGAAGTCAGTCATTTTTTACTCTTATCTTTTATGAAACGAAACAAGCTCTTCATTTCAATTCTGTGATGGTAAGTCCCCCCAACACAGCACACAGCCAGAACATACTTAACAAATAGAAGCATTTATTTTAATCCCTGCTCTTACGTGTGTGTAAAGAAGGTCTCTGGCTCTTCTCACCACAAAATTCTCCCCTCCTCCGTGTTTGCCAACTTTGTCTCTCTTCTGCTCAGAGTGAAACAGGTGGTGTAAAGTGGATGCGTAGTCGGTTTTAGTGGTGGTTAATGAGAACAGCTGTGACCGAAAATATGAGCTCATCTAGAGAACCAAAACAACAAGCTAAAATGTTGTAACTGCAATATATCTGAGTCTACAAATAAGCCCTCTTGACACAATGATGTAATTTGAACATTTATTTATCATCACTATGACGACAGTGATCTGTCCCAAATGTTGACATATTTCCAAACTGTGTTTTTTTCTGGTATCAGGCCAAATGAAAATGTAGTAAAGCAGTTGTTGTACTATTTTTCCCACAACCTAAACTTTCTCTCCCTATCTGTGTTTCAGATGACGCCGTTGTAAATGAAAAGACCTACAAACCGTTCACAAGGAAGCGACAGGGGGCTGTGAGACGGAGGATCCACCAGGTCAACGGACATAAGTTCATGTCCACCTTCCTCCGTCAGCCCACCTTCTGTTTCCACTGCAAAGAGTTCATCTGGTGAGAAAGTAGAGCAGGGACAAACTACCGCAACCTGCATGTGTCTGTGTGCTCTTCAAACTAAATCTGCTGGTTTCTGTGTTATAGGGGTGTTTTCGGAAAGCAGGGTTACCAGTGTCAAGGTGAGCGGACCTTGTGTCGTAGTCCGACTTTTCTGTGACACAGTTAATAAAACATGGAGAGTTGAGGATTTGTCTTGTTTTTTTAGTGTGTACCTGTGTGGTTCACAAACGATGCCACCAGCAGGTTGTCACAGCGTGTCCACGCATGAAGAAACCAACAAAAGAACAGGTAAGAGGACTCCTGAAAGAGGTCAGAAACATTTTCCCTGATTCATAATAGTTCATCAGAGTGAGTTCAATCATACGATCACTTAATTATTTTCATTTTATAACAGTAATTCTGTCAAACAGGATGTGCAGATGCACCCGCACACCTCTGATAAACACCTGCATGTGCATGTTCCTGTTTTCTGTTGAGCCGATCACTGAACCAGAGCACTGCCCTTAAGTTTACTATATTTTTCCATTCATGCCTGTCTTTTTTTTAGCATTTGTAATGTTTCCATAAATACATTTGTGCTTCTTTTACCATCTCAGTATTTGGTCATTTTTACCCCTTTTACTGTATAGTTGCTGAGCATAACAAGTTTCTCTTCCTCTGGGAAATTCAGGGAAGCAAATGCAGCAAGAAATAGAAGTAATGTCTCACTGTGTCAAAAAAGGAACTAAACTCACGGGTTATAAATTATGTACATGGTCGATGGTTGAGCGAACTGTCATGTACAAAGTGAGATAAAGGGTTTACAGCCTGTCCTCTTTCCACAGCCCATAAACCAAGGCTTCAGCATCAATGTACCTCACAAGTTCAACATCCACAATTACAAGTCCCCCACTTTTTGTGACCACTGTGGCTCCCTGCTGTGGGGAATAGTCCGTCAGGGCCTGCACTGCAAAAGTAAGACACAGGTCAATAACCCTATTCAAAACCAGGAACCCAAAAGTGCTAATTTGTCTGACTGAACTTTGTTTTAACTGTCTTTAGTCTGTAAGATGAACGTTCACATCCGCTGCAAAGGTAATGTGGCGCCCAGTTGTGGGGTCAACAGTGTGGAGCTGGCTAATTGTCTTGCAGAGATGGGTCTACAGGCTGGAGGACTCTCCAAACGTGGCTCAGAGGTAAAGAGCTGATTTTTTTTTTCTGGGATAAGCTAAATGATTGTTACCTTAACCTAAATGTGGCCTAATCCACGTTTGGTATTTTTTTATGGCGCAGCAGTCTAAAAGTGTTTATCAGAAGAGGCCGTCCCCTGAAAAGAGAGAGAGTGTTGAATGTCAACCACAGACCCCCCGGCTAGGCATCTCAGACTTCACATTTCTACAAGTCCTTGGCAAGGGCAGCTTTGGCAAGGTAGGAGAATGACATAAAAAAACGCTCTGCACAAGAAATGATGACCACAGCTGAAAAGAGGAACAGAATAAAATACGGGAAAATAAACTGTTTTAGATCATTTTTTCGGTATTCAGCACAAAGTCACTAAAATAAATCTTAACTCTGAAAGTAAGTGCATGATCGTGAAGCAGAACATTTGAAATACGGTGAATTCTCTGTGTTTTATCCGTAGGTGATGCTGGCGAGACTGAACGATAAAGAAAGGGTCTTTGCAGTGAAGGTGTTGAAGAAGGACATCATTCTGCAGGATGATGATGTGGAGTGTACCATGACAGAGAAGAGGGTGCTATCACTGGCCCGCTGTCACCCCTACCTCACGCAGCTGTACTGCTGCTTCCAAACATCGGTCAGTACAAAGCTTACCACACACGTGCACACAATGCAGCTCAGCAGGTCTAGATTATAATGGCAATCATTGTTACTGTTGAAACCAATCATTTTTATGATGCGTTGTGAGGCAGTTTTGCATTGATGTAATGACAGAAGATAATGGATCATAGCCTACAAAGTGTGTGTGTGTGTGCAACAGTGTCGGCTATAATGAATTACGTGTGTCAGCCTGACTCCCCTAAGCTGACTCACAGACAGCCGAGCAGCTGGAGACAGATGAGACCTTTGAGTGGCTTACACTCAGAGTTAGAAGCACCCACTGTGTACTGATTGGGACATCAGATACCCTGCAGACAGTTTTCTGTGTGATCAGGGTTGAAACATGGTTATTCAATGTGCAGTCTTTGGGGCCTGAAACAAGATGTTTTTTTTTTATTTTTATATGATTGATTGATTTGAAGTGATGATGCTGTGCACTCTCTACTCACTCTCTCTTTCCCAAACACCCCTGTTCACCGCAACAGACACACTGACACTGGGCTTATTGTCACAGTTTTTTCATCAGCCCTGTAAAAGCTGAGTGTTGTGAGATCTCTCCTGTGTACGTTATGTACACAGTGAGAAAAAGACTGAGAAAATCTCTGTAGGCTGGTCTGTACAACCAAGTAAAGGTGCAGGTTTGTGTGTTGCAGGGAGAGAATTGAAGCCCACTGAGCAGATTTAAGTTTTAGTGAGTATTATAATAATAATAATAATAATAATAATAATAATAACAATATTATTATCATTATTATTATTAAGTTGATAACAAAGTAGAGATTTATGTTGAGCTTTGAAAAACCAACTCTAAAAAAATCACAACATACTGTTTGTGTACTCTCAGAAAAGAAAAGTAATCTAAATGGATTGTTTATCCCACCGTAATTCACATCTGTAAGAGAAAGTAAGCTTTTTGTAGCTCCTACGCTAACCTGCATGTGAATGTGCTTCTACTAAGGACTATACAATTTATTCTAGTTTGCTTATTTGGAAAGCACTAGGGATGTCCCGATCTGATATTGATATCTGATAACGGTCTGATATCAGAAAAAAAAAGAATGTCATATTATATCGCTCTGCATCTAAAATCTACGGTATCAGCACTCCGATACCATCAGTCCATTCCAAAATCCACTCCGACACCTCTATCTAGCAGCGTACAGAGCCCACGTGATCACAACAACAGTGTGTACTGATACTAACAAAGTAGCAAGGAGTAGGAGTGATTTTTGCCATGTGGCAGTATTTTTTGTTTAAGTCCGAAAAAGACGGTGCAGCTGATTGCAAAACTGAACATTGCACAATTTTGTGCCAATATCGAATCAATATAGTTATCGGCCAATACTGAAGGCTACAATATCGGTATTGTATCAGAAGTAAAAGTTGTATTGGGACACCCGTAGAAAGCACTTCCATATTTCATATATCCATATATATGTATATATTTATTCCATATATCCATATATGGAATATATATGTTAGACAAAGTGTCCACAGTTAGCTCAACTCTTTCAGGGCTTTGCAGTTGACATACCTTGAACATAAACGTTGATATTTTCACTGCATACAGATAAGGTTCTCTTTAAACTGCACTTAATAGAGTTTCTGCCATTTCCTGGATTGCAGGACATGAACTTGTTTTAGCTTCTTTTATCGGAGTTGGTTGTGGCCCAGAAGCTGCTCTCACACTCGAGCCCATTACCATTACATCTTCATGAGAAAGACGCTGACGTGTTTTTCACTGCATCTATGAGCAGAGATGTCTGTGGATTAATTTCATATGCTGTGGGTAGCCATGCCTTCCCTGCTGTCACCATTGTTCTAGGGTTTTTATTAGCTCAGTCATAAATTTGAATTCTGGGTATTAACACAAAGAGAATATACCAGAAGGAGACATTTAGCTTAATTTGAATCCTTACAAGTGTCTTGAAGTTTACTACATTACAATGCAAACTCACATGCTGTTGTTAACAGCTGGTATGAATTGTTGAAGCAGAGCGTTTGGTTGTAGGGTTGTAATGTACAGATTAACCAGCAGGTGGCAGCGGTGCCCCAAAGAGAAAGTGAGCGACTCATTGGAGGCTGCAGCTGGCAGAGCTGTTCCTCCTGGCGCAGACCACACACTCCTAATCTGCTTTGTGTTTTAACCGTCGCTGACCTACTTCACCTCAGATCAGAATAGACCGACAGGAAGTGAGGAGTTGACCCTGTGACACTGCGCTCCTGACCGATTAGTTCACACACACACAAAACCACTAAAAAGTCTTCGCCCTATGGGAGCACATTATTTCACTTTTTAGGTGTCTCTTTAATCTTTTGGTGTATGTGTTAACTATTTGAGTTATAGTATTAAGATAAGATCTGGTTAATCAGTTAGGATTTTAAACTTTAGCTATTATGTAATGACATGTTGACTCTTAAACCTGTGACTTTGAACCTGTTTCGTGTTTCTCTCTGGTTGGATATTGGAAAAGGGTGAGGGGATGAGAAGCAGAGATGTAATGAGTATTAATTAATCATCTAAATAAACGTAACAGTACTTCTTACTCAGCATGTCTACCGTGCAGGATGTAATGTTAACACTGGCATGAGTACATTTTAACTTCAGCAGAGAAACTTAAAGCCCACCTGCTACAAATGCATGTTTTTGAATTGGTTTATGTTTTTTATTAAACAGTCTTTAGTTGAGAATTATCATTATTTACAGTTATGTGTATTGTTACAAGTTTACAGCCAGATACTCTGAGTTTGCACTGAATGATTTTTCAATTTGAGGATGAACTGAGAGGGAAATAAGAGGTGCCTTTATCTGCCACAGCAGCAGCTGAGGAAAACTCTTTGTTTCACAGCTTGTTACTGGAGTGTTGAGGCATCATTTCATAGACGTGTAGGTAATTAAACTGTGTTAATCCAAAAAGCAGCAGGTTTTTGCTGTGAAAATAAATTTGGCCATCACAGGTAGTTAGTAAAATGTGAAGCATAATCTCTTCAAGAACTTTTATCAAGGGGAAAACAGGGGACATTTTTTAAGAATTATAAGTCCACCTTGAGTTAAAATTTGAAATGAACTTTGATTTTAAAATGTAAAGGTCGGTACGGTACAGGAATATAAATCCAGAGCACAGTTTTAGTCCAGAGTTCAAGTTTCCCATGCCCAGACCACACACACAGAGTTCTGCCTGCCTTTTCTGTGCAGCACAGTATTATTAAACATGTAATCTCAGGGTAACTACCAGCCTGTTGTAAACCACAGAGCAGATAAACAGACTCAGCTGTGGCTGAATGTCCTGATCTCTTCAAGAAGCGTTATAGGCAGATCCTTACATCACGTCCTCCTGCAGTATTTTTTTTTTTTTTCTTGCTCGCCATGATCTCATTTTCTGGATCATTTATTGACCACAGCCTGTAATGAGAAAGAAAGATTTATGGATTTGATCAGTACCTTTTTGCCTGGCTGACTTTCAGCTGTGGTTTGTTGCACAGGATTCCATTAGGCCGACATGAAATTTATGAGAAGTAGACGTGCATCATCCTTGAAGCAATCTCGGCATGGTCATGGCTTTTCAGGCTGTTTGATAACACAGGAGGATCTCAGAGGTTTGTGTGCGCACAGTGTAAATGTCATCTACTTGTTTCCTTTCCTATAGGACCGTCTCTTCTTTGTGATGGAGTTTGTGAATGGAGGCGATCTCATGTTCCACATCCAGAAGTCAAGAAAGTTTGAAGAGCCTCGAGCACGCTTCTACACAGCAGAGATTACCTCTGCCCTGATGTTTCTGCACAGCAAAGGCATCATCTACAGGTGTGAATCAAGGAACCCCAACTCTTACCCAGCAGGATGGGTCTAAAGATGGGTCCATTTTAACCAGACAATTTGACCTTGAGTGTCTCCTTAAACTATCTAGATGTCTTAAGTTTGGAAATACTTATTTTATGGGCCTTAAAAATCCGCTAAGTAATTTTTTGCTCAGTGAGTTTGAAAAAGTCACCCCTTAAAAATAACAAGACTTATACATCATTTGGTTCAGTAACTTGAAATTCTTATTCTTATTCTTGAAACATCTCTTACGAACTCTTGGTATAACAAAAAGGGTATCAGGGTTTATCAAACAAAAGAAAGTTTTGAAAAAGTGAACGCTGTAACAAATACCTCCATTAAGCAGGCATTTTACAGCTCACATTATTGGGTATCGAGTTACTTGCTCTTATCAACATGCAGGAGAAAGTGGCAGAGTTGTTGTCTCCCTGCCAGTGTACTATGATAATAAAGGGGGCGTCATTTGAGCAAAGTCCTGAGTTATATTTGGTGGTCCGTGTCAGCCAGCACCACATAGCATGACTGTTGGGTTAAGAGGCCGCAAGCAGTTTGCATGGCACTACTAAAATAACAAAGCATATGAGCAGAATGCACATCAGGCCTTGCGTTTAAGAAGGGCAGAGATCACGCTGCCTCCTTAAATAAAGGCCATGGTCACAGTTATTGGTTTGTTAGAAGTGCATGTAGTCTCATGACTCTAAACATCACCTGTGTTTTGTTTTTAGTTGTACTTTCAGGCTCTAGCTGGTGCCCCAGTGTACGTGCTGCCATCCTCCTCACGATCAAGTTAAAGCTTGTTCACAGATTTTTAGAAACCCTATAGTTTTCTTCTCTTTTACTTTTTCTGTTTCCTCAGCATTCATTGTTTTTTACAAGTGACAAATAATGATATTTTCATGTACATTTAAATGACTATGGTATGACCCAGATCCAGAGTAAAAATGAAAAATTAATAGGAACATTTTGCCAGAGTTAGTCCAAACCTGGTATTTGTTATCAAGGACTCAAAGGCTTATTTTTTTAATGGCTCTTAAAAGTATTTATAACAGGACTTGGTTTATACTGAGATATAGGAATAGAAATAGTTGGTAACAGAAAGAAAAGTGATAGCAGGTTTAAAAAAAACACGTATGGTGAGAAAAACCATGTAAAGGTTTGTTTTACATGTTCGCAACCTAAAAATCTTAACACAAGCATACAGAGGATAAAACACAGCATTATGAACAGCTGCTCCATGAACACTACTATTGTGAGGTGTGTTGGTACAGTCCAATAGAAGTGTTTTTGGGGACTGAACCATAAAACAACCCAAACTAAAATCCTGATTCTTCAAATACTTTCTTTTCTCTTAAGATGACAAGACCCTGCTGAATCTGTGCATGGTATCACAGTAGTAAGAGTTTATGTGAATGAGGTAGGCTGCAGTAGGATGTTGTTGCTGGCTCAGATGCACTCCTATTACCCCATGACCACAGTATGACAAAAGATCTCACAGACTACGTCACAGCATTTGTCAGCACTTCCTCGTTTCTTCTCTGGAAATTTTCGCGTTACTGTAACTTTTGTCTCACCCAGCAAGTTGTCGGAACTCTGGCATGAACTTAATCTCCCAGCATGATCAAAGTTTAAGATTTAGACGGTTGCTGTTGGTGCTGCGCTGTCTGCCCCTCCCCCCCAAAAAAGAGATCAAGTTAAACTTTCCTTTTTAAGTCGATAAGATGTGTTAATAAAAGAGTACAGGAGCTGTAGTTGCTGTGGCTAATTTACATACCACTCAGTTTTGTGAGATAGTAAAAAGAGTAACAATTTCTCCCTGGACAGTCATACAAGCTTATAAAATTATAAAGAACTTCAGCGCTGGCCACATATCCAGAGTTAAAAAACACAAACATGTACTTAAACAAGAAAGCACTGATTGGTCTTCATTAAGTTTTTTGACCTCTACATCCTCACAACTGTAAACCCCATGGCTCAATAGTCATGACATAAAACCCCCAGCTCTCTCTTTCCTGTTTATTAAGCTGCGAGAGACAGTCACCAAGAGCATCTGAGTCACTGTTGCACAATCTGGTAACAATTAAGAAGAGGGAACCAGATCATACTGACCAAACCAGAGCTGCCTGAGCATGTTTGTACTGGATCATACTGGAAATTAAACCTGGTTCAGTTAAATTTTTTTCACTTCTTAATACAGTCATTCGTTTTCAGCATCAGCCTGTGTTATGTTTTAGTAGCTTCTGTCCTGCTTCATCAGTCTCTTTAAAATAAATGTGCTTCCCAAAAAGGGTTGCCTGATCACAGATTGCAGCTGAACTCCAAAGCCCACACTCAGCAGCTTTAATCTCTCTGTCAGATGACAAAGCAGTACCAGAGGCGGGTATATATTTCCAGAGTTCATTATGAGGGCTTCCACATGCTCAGTCAGCTTTTGCTCATACAATGTATATATTGGTACATCTAGTTATAAATTCAAGTTATATTAAAACTTTTATTGCTTTTTGTGGAGAGTTAAGAATTTGTATACTGAAATCAGTAGATTTTATTGCAGAAAACGTCCTCAGGTCATGTAATATTTCATATGAAGAACATATTTTCTGCTCCTACCTTTCTCTGAGGCAAAATAAATATTAGCATTGGGTTATTTTTTTCCTTCTGTCATCTTAATGTGTCAGACTTCTCCTGGCTGCAGTTTCTGTCTGTGGCTCCTGCTGCTACAGAAGTCTCTCTGTCCTCAAAAGACCTTTTTATGCTTACCACAAATTTCTACCTTCTCCAAATACGAGAAGCAACAACACCAAAACGGAATGTCTGCGAACTGAGAACAAACTTGACATTTTAGGGACTTGCTTCCAGCCTCAACTTCTCGTCATTTAGGCCTGCGTGTGCATAATTTAATAATAATTTCTTTGTGTTTGCTTTGCCTCTCAGGGATCTAAAATTGGACAATGTTCTTCTCGACAAAGATGGTCACTGTAAACTGGCAGACTTTGGCATGTGCAAAGAGGGCATATTTGAGGGTGTGGCCACAGGAACTTTCTGCGGGACCCCAGATTACATCGCCCCTGAGGTCAGTTGCTTACTAAACAAACAATTTCTTTTATATGCACTCAAATTAGATTTTATAAGGAGACAATTTGTTGGTTTAAACACCACACTTGTGATGTGTGAGGCGTTTTTGTGTTGGTCTGCAACTTGTTTAAATTCTGGTTCAGTGAATGGAAGGCTAATCAGTCATTTCTGATGCATATCAGGAAGTTGGGATATCTAGACATTGACTGGCTTTCAAGTCTCAGCATCAAACAATGTGCGCTAAAGTTGAAACTTTTGTCTTGAACAGTTTTCACTGCACTTGCACGCAGATATCCGTTTATAAAGATTAATTCATCATCGTTAGATTACCACCAATGGGTGCTGGAGGCCGTTTATGCTAATTGCACTCCTCCAGCTTTTGCTTTCCAGACGGACTGTTTCTTCATACACCACAGATTGCTAAACCTTGATTGCTTCACACTATTCTGACTAAAAGTATATTACAAATGAAAACCAGAGCGCCTCTCAAAGTAAAAATCCAGCTTCTACATTTCTTTTGGTAAATCTGTAAGCAGTGATTGAAACACCCGTCACTCTGGTTTTTGAATTCATACCATGCACGTCTCTTTCACATCTCCTCTCCATCACAGTACCTCATCAAAAACAAACACTCCGGTCTACTCCCTCCTTGGTGGAAAGCATGCTTAGTTTTCATGATTTGGGATTATGGTGGTCAGTAGCCTCATGTTTAAGGGATTATTCTCTCAGAAGTGTGCATCTGGATTTATAAAAGGCTCCTTTGCTCTCATAAACACTTGCACCTCTGTGCAACTCCTCTGGACTCACACTCATCTGCTCTCTGAAGCCCTCTGTGCCGTGGTGTTTAACATTAATGATCTGCTGTGTGTCCACAGATCCTGCAGGAGATGCTGTATGGACCCTCTGTTGATTGGTGGGCACTTGGAGTGCTGCTGTATGAGATGCTGTCGGGTCACGCTCCATTCGAGGCTGAAAATGAAGATGACCTCTTTGAGTCTATCCTCAATGAAGAGATTGTTTATGCGTCTTGGCTCAGCACAGAGGCAGTGAATATACTCAAAGCTGTGAGTTATTTCTGTACTTCCATTTCTCAGAAAATAGATCATTTAACAGTAAAAACAGCTTCACAAAAGGAGGTTAAGTGTTGCTGTGGTGTTTGTCTTTTTGGCAAGCGTTCAACCTCCTGAGATTTCCTCTGCTGGGCTGTTTTAATGGTACACAATTGGAGGAAATGTCTATAAAGCTTTTTTTAACTGTGCTGATGATAAAGGAAATCAATTCCTCACTAAAGCTTTGACCAGCAAGGTCAAGGTAAAGAAACAGGGTGTTGAATGAACATTTACTAAAGGACAGATACCCTGCATTCCGGGACAGTCACTCACGCCTGTAGTGTGATTCATTAGGTGAAAGGTGGGGTGGGGTTTCTAGTGTCAGGGTTTGTTATTTGTTGTCCTTCAGACCGGCTGACACTCTGACTGCAAAGTGACTCGCAGCCCAATAGCGCTCTGACAGCCAGCTGTGGGGCCTAGGTCTCTTACATAACTATATTAAGGCATGGTCCGCTGCCCAGTCACACAACCACGAGCTATAAATATCGCAACGCCCCCTTGCTCCATTCCTCCTCTTCGTTGCCCCCTGTTCTCCTCCTCTTATGTAATCCCCTTCCTCCTCCAATGTACCCTCACTTTCTCCTCTTATCCATGTTTTCACTGAAACTTGCATGAAGAAGCACAGTGCAAATCTCTCTGGGTGATTTATGTCAGAGCTTCCAGTCGCACATGTTACGTAAAGATACATGTCAGTGGGAGTGGATTTGAACACACTGAACTATTTATACTGAGGGTTGATCCGTTGTAAAGTTCTCCTTGTTCCTACTCTCAAGTTCATGGACTCAAGCTGTCAGTCTTACTTTGCAAGGATCTCCTAAGAAATGCTAAATATGCTTGGCATAATTACTGTCATGAATGACAGAGGGTTTTAAAAAGTGACAAGATAGATCATTGGTTTCATTTTTTGTTGCATAAATCTATTCACAATTAAACTTCTCCATCATTTCAACTTTTCCCTTAGAAATGATAGTCAGATGACACAGAGGACAGAGTGACATCCTTACATCTGAAGTGTCCTGTGCTGTTTTCTAATCCAAACTCCTAACACAAAGATTTAACATTACTGGAGCTGCTAAGTCCCCAGATTGCATCAAATAAAAGCAGCAGGGTATCTTTTTCATCTTTTTGTTTTCACACTTCTTGATATCAACCCCATATGCTACCTAATGTTTTAGCCCACGTATGCAAAGCAACTAAAATCATTGGGTCGTATGTTATTTTTCTCTGATCCGGTAAACCTACTGTCTTGCCAGAGAACGGCTAATTCATGCAGACATGCTGACTCGGCATGTCTTGTGCTCAGGATGGCACAGCTGACGTGTAGCCACGGAAAGATGGCATCAACTTCAGTGGAATTTTTTCTCCTCAGTTTCGTCTCTGTTGACTCCTGAACCGGTTGACCCCCCCACATGGTCTTTATGACTAGTCATTTCCACTTAAAAACCATGGTGGTGCACTGGTGGTTTTTATACATATATTTGAGGTCCTATTAGGCCCAAATCATAGCCTTAATAATGCTCACATTTGCAAGTCCCTGCATGACACTGCTTAAGCATTACACTGTGTTGTATCTTTGATATCTTGGGTTAAATGTCATGTGCCCTTTTTTATCATCCCGCATACCAGTCTCACTTTTTCTTTGGTGTTTATGCCTCTGGTAGTTAAAAGTGTTTGAAGCTGATATGCCAAGGCATAATCAACCTTTCCCAATGACTCGAGGCTTATTTGGAAACCTTCAGAGTGAAGGTGTAGACTCATCAGTTTTGTTGAAGTCTTGTCCAGACATCACCATCATCGGCCCATAGGTGTGCACAGACTCACCAGCCAAGAGACAGGCCTATTTGTTTTTTTCTGTGTGTTCCCAGAGGCGAGTGAAAAGAAACTCAAACTCAATTTTAAGTTTGTTTTATTTGGACCTCTCCCTCTGGCCTCTATTACACCGGTGTTGTGCAGAAACAGTTGAAGCTCAGCAGGTAATTCAATGCTCTATTATTTTGTCGAGTACAACACCAGGAAGTTGAGACACCTTAGTTGCTCCACTAAACCCTGTTGAACTTTGTAGGAGGCGCCAGTCACAGTCCAAGGGGTGTGAGTCTGCGTGTGTGTGTGTGTGTGTGTGTGTGTGTGTGTGTGTGTGTGTGTGTGTGTGTGTGTGTGTGTGTGTGTGTGTGGGTGTGTTTTGTGTGAATAGGGAGGCGGGGACTGACTGTCATGCTGGATCAAGTCCAGTATGGTGAGCCTCCCATAAACATTCTGGTCTGATCTAGTTCTCTAACCTGTGTCACATTCCCTCAGTCGATACAGATCCTAAACAATCTGTGGAAATGTTTGGATCCCAAAAGTTTTGATTCTGTTTGTTTGCTCTCATTCTTAATCTTGCTAATAAATTGTTAATCATAAGACAGATCTTTTCTTACTTATTATGACTCCAGTTTCGATCAATTCTTCCTTTTTTTTTTTGTCCTTACAGTTCTTGACCAAAAACCCAGCCCGCCGTCTGGGCTGTGTGGCATCAGAGGGTGGAGAGAGCGCAGTGACCAGCCACGCTTTCTTCCAGGGTATTGATTGGGAGATGCTGAATCGTAGAGAAATCGAGCCTCCCTTCAAGCCCAGGATCGTAAGTCACGAGGCTTCATTGATGGCGTGTTAGAAAATGATAATGAAAGCGCTCAGTAGACATTACGTAGTGTTTGACTTTGTCTTACCTTGTACTTTTGGCCGCTGCTAAAACATTGCTGCTAATGAATAACTCCTCATTCTTCTCCTCCAGAAAACACCAGAGGACGTCAACAACTTTGACCCAGATTTTACTCAGGAAGAGCCCACCCTCACACCCATCGATGACCCCCTGATTCCTTCCATCAACCAGGAGGAGTTTCGAAACTTCTCCTTTACTTCGCCTGAACTGCTGGAGAGCTAGACTTTTCCTCATTGATCCAGAACTCGTCTCCTCTTCTCCTCAGTGAGGTTTTGTTCAGGATGGTCCCCCTGTGGTTCGAACAGTGTGACACTGTCACATTCCTCAGAGACATGAGGGTGCAAAGTGCCTGAAGAGTCAGCCAAACTCATGCCTTACAGGAACAGGGGCTGCACTCTGAAACACTCCTGTAATTTTCCAGAAGCAAGGCTTTGGACTTTGAAATGACAGATTTGAATATGATGCAGCTTAATCTTCAATCATTCATACAAGTTTCTTTTTTTTTGTCATGCTGATGTAAAACTTGTTTGAGAAGGTGAACCATGTCTTGAATTTTTTTTTGTACATTTGCTCTCATGCTGAGTGATGAGTTTGCCTCCAATTACTCCAAATGAAAAAGAGCACTTAAGAAACATGACGGCATGATTTGTCTCTCTTTTTTCAGTCAAAGGAGGATGAGATAAGTTGTTGGTTTTGATGAGCCTGCCAGAGATTTCAGGAAAACTTTCGCTGTCAGCTGAAATCCTGGAAGGCTGCGTGAGCCATGAGCCAATGAACTAGCTCCTCAGTGATGAAACAAACTCGCACAGAGATGCAAACACAAACTAAGCGGGGGTTAAATCTCTTCTTTTTCAAGATTAAAGGATAAAACTTCAAACAGCTGAACATCCTCCTAAACTCAACTCACTAAACTTGAATAAAGTTTAAGTTTATGTGACAGTAAGACCAGAAATTAGAAGACTTTCCTCTTTTTTTTTTTCTTACAAGCACAGAACAAATTAAAAAATAGGTAAATTAAATAGACACAGCGCACAGGGGCATTCAGACATGGAGAGACTCAAAGAAGCCACACCCCTTGCTCTTTTAAAGCTGAAGACTAAATGTCATTTTCTACATATCAAAGATTGAGTTCGTGATGCTCATAGACAATGTTTTGCACTTACTTTTTTACCTGTGACCACGAAGACCCACAAAAGATGTGGCCCATTTTACTGAAACCCTCTGGAGTTTTTCCAGGGAACAAAAAGGGAGTGAGAAATTGAGTGTTTGATCCAGATCAAATGCACCAATCCCTCCCATAAAGGCTTTACATAAGGACAAAAACAAATGTATTCAAAAGTCTGCCTAAAAATCTCCACTCTTCTTCAACAGACAGGAATGCTGTGAATTTGGACTTGTTATTGGGGATGATAAAAAAAATTTGGCCGAGTTGCAGGTGTTGGTTTAACAAAGTAGGTCAAGTGTGTTACTTCATTATTCACACCCTGTAACCAAAACCTGGCATCCATCTCAGTGACTCTGTGTACCTGAATCAACAAGGCATGTTGAGGATGACATTAGACCTTTACTGGTGATAAAATGATAGTGGTGATTAACGTTGACTGTGTAATATCAGAAAGTTTGGCGATTTCACCACATAGTCACCCCGGTCAGAGGAAGAAAACTTTCTTTGTGTTGAAAAAGTGTAAGAAGATTTCTTTAGAGTACCAGTCATGGCTCCCTGAAGCCTGATGTTTTAGTGTGTGGACAGACTGCATGTGAATGAGGACTCACACAGGGATATTTACAGACATTCAAATGAGGGAAAGTTTTTAGAGATTCTCCCTGTTGGACAGTTAAACAGCTTTTACTGCTTGACGAAAATGGAAACTATTGTAGGAGGTAGTAGACAGAGAGATAACGTTACACTTCAACCCCTGCAGCACAGTAACCTAAATCATCTGGTGGGGGGCGTCAGCGGCTCTTTTCGTCATCACAAACCAGAAGAGAATAAACAGGAAACCACACCACGCCATTACTGTCGCCTTTGATAGAAACAGGAAGAAAATGGAGCGAGAAAATCATACTTTTAAAGCAAGAGCACAGAACATGGCCGCTTCTGGTGGTAGAAATTGAAAGTAATAATGCAAAACAATAACAAAAGGAAAATGAAATGTTAGGAGGAGTGAGTCCTATGTTGTAGCTGCCCGCACATGAAGAGCCTTGACCTCACAGGACGGGGATGTACTCTTCCTGTTGGTTTGAGGGGGGAAGTCATCACATCTGTTAATCTCCTCAGCCCCCCCTCCCCTGTTAAGAACTGTGACACTAAACACTGTAAATTGTCCACTTTGGATACAAAAATACCTCCTGTGTGTTATCTGAAGTTAGAAACAGGCCTGCTCCAGGAATACAATGCTACATTTGCAAGTGCAAGTTGTGTGACTTGGGGCTTTTGCTAAGCTCTTCTTGTCATGCTTTAATCCCTCTTAAGTCTTCAGCTCACCTTAAATATCATTTTAACTCACACGCTGGAGGTGCATTGATCTCAGGGACTTTGCTGCGCTTTAAGCTGTCCCTGACAAAGATGTGTGCGGTGCAAAGAACAGGACATTTAAATGACTTGACTTTTTGTTTGCCCATTCGAGTGCCCCCCTGTCTGGCAGTTTTTCTCCAGTAATGTCTGAATGAGAGGAGAGATTTAGGAGCCCTGTCTCCACGTCCATTACTGAGACTTACGGATTGCTGCCAGCGGTGTCTCTGCACTGCTTGATCAAATCTGTGCCTCAATTGACAACCCCCCACCCCCTCTGAATTCTGCATAGCCATCATCCTGTCCAAGTCTACCTTTCTTGTTTAACTTTGTTTAACTGAGTCCTTTGAGTTCACACACTTGGCCTGAAAAAATGGCCCGCAGTTCCAGGTTTTAACCTGTCCAAGATACCCACAGAGGAGGCAGAATCAAATCAGAAGGTTCAAAGATAATGTAATCTTTCTTGTACATTTTAACATTTCCCTTTCAAAGCTGTGTTAATAGTCTTATCACACAACAGGTTCTGCCTTTGGGGGTTCTCTACATTAACTTGTAAGACATTACAAACATGACATTTGCATGACATGAAAAAATGCTGTTGCCTGTCAGGTTTTGCACACTTGTTAAATGGTCCTTGAGTACTTATCTAACAAGGTGTGCTTTAACAGAGATAAGAGGTAGGGCACACCTTCCATGACAACATGAAGTTGTGTCTACAGACTTCCAAACAACTGAGTACAAATCAATGTTTGGCAATAGCAAGAAAAGTCATGGACCTGGAAGAAACTGTTTCATGAATGCTGTCTGTTGACTTTCTATAACACTGGAGGACCCCAAAGAGTTATTAAGTTAAAGCAAAGCTCATGAACGTCTGCCTGGTCTGTGGCCTGTTTTTGTTTGCCCTCAGGTTAAAGTGTGCAGCTCTGACGCTCCAACCGGAGTGTTTTGCCAGTCAATAGTTCTGGGAAGAGAGAGTAAGCTTCTCATAGTGGTTATATAGCATCCAACATACTCACATGCAAGAGGATGAGAAGTTATTAGCCAGTGTAGCAAATGGGACATTTCATGCGGACTGATCCTCTCTGGGATTTCTGGAAGATGGGAAAATATTTTCCTTCAATTTTCTTTTCCTTTGCCAGAGCTGAATCACAGGCAATGTGAATGACTGCCAAACATGTGGGTAGGTAGGAGGAGCCTGACTGGACAGTGCAGGGAAAAAACCACAACCTTTTCAAGCCAGTAAAGCTTGTGGATACCACTTCATATCCCCCAGATACTGTCATCCCGGTAATACCTAAAAACAGTAACATGTGCATAATTGTTTATCTTACCAAATGCCCTGGCCGCATGTCATTTCTCATAGATCAGCTGCCAAGAATAGCAAAAACACATTGCAAAACAAAACAATCACAATAAAAACACAAAATGATCAATTTGCTTCTCTTATAATAGGAGAGATTATAAACCAATTGTAATGAATTGTGACATAATGGTAATGATAATGATAAGCTACGGGCATTCAGAAAGTAACAGAAGAGAGAGAAAATATTTAAATAAATAAATAACTTAATTAATAATAATAATAATGATCATAATAATGATAATAACCATAATAGTAAAAAAGAAAAGACATTAATATTCACAATTTTGGAGATTGCCATACCCACAGTGGTTAGTCATCAGCATGGTTTTCTGTTAAGTCTGAGTACTTGACATATTCAATAAAGGGCTTCCATATACCTTCAAATATATGCTGTTTGGCTTTCAGCATATAGGTAATTCTTTCCAACGGTAAGCTTGACAACATTGGTTTTTACCATCGACTGGTACTTGGTTGATTGGTATTTTTCCATGGTAATGCAATACATTTTTTGGCATATAATAAACTTAGATCTATAAATCCTTTTTCATACGTAAAAATGAAATCTTGAATCGTTTCAAGTCCCTTAGTCATCCATGCTGTTGTCTTTATAGGGGGGGCTATGGTGTTTTTGAGATACATCTAGGCCACAGGTGTCAAACTCAAGGCCCGGGGGCCAAATCTGGCCCGCAGATCATATCATATTTGTATTATTATTGGCCCACCAGTATGAAGTCTGCAGATTTCCTCCAGTATAATAATGTAAACTTTAGCACCATAATTTAAAATATCCTTAATAAGCCACATAAATCTGGGAAATTAAAGAGTAAGGAAGATTTGATAAATAGTCAAGAATGTGGGGGAAAAAATATTTGGTGTTTTATTTCATATTTTTAGTTTTTTCTCAAGATTACAAGTCAAACATGATTGGATTTTATATTTCACGCTTTGATTTTGTTCAACTCAGTATTTAGATGTGAAATTTTTATACTTTAGATTCCAATTTAAAATTTTAAGCCATATTTTGACCTCTTAAACCCGATTTCAATGTTCTCCTCATGTATTTGCATTATTTTTCTATTTTTAGTATCATGCTCTGATCTTTTGAAAGAATAGATAAAAATAGAGGAAAAAATCAAATAAAATAAAGTTTTCTATCTCAGATTGCCTTTAAACTTATCTTTTTTTAATCTTTTTTCGAATTTCCAAATGATTTTTCATCATTGCTGTATCTCTTGAAAAGGAGGTTGACAGTTTTGGTGAAATGTTGACCCTCTTTGGCCCTCAGGTTAGACCTAAATACAGATTATGGCCCTTGCTGTGGTTGAATTTGACACCCCTGATCTAGGCCTTTCTGTCAGATTTTGCCTGCCAAAGTGGGCGTATTTGCTCCATGGTAAAATGACAGCTGTGCTCGTCACCACCAAGCGTAAGCGACGCAACATAAAAGACCCTTTGTCCTCAAAATACCCTTGAACTCCATCAAGTCTATAAACTGAGATGAATGATGGGATTAAAACTGAAATACACTTAAAGGGATATAATATAAATAATTCTATAAAGCCCGTTTGGACAGCACTTTCATTTATTTAAACCATTTAGATGTTATTTTGGTGACCTATATTTTAGTTCAACTGACCCAAAAACCGGCGCCTTTCATTGAAAATTTCGGTTACCTCTGTGCGCGAGCCCGACAGAAAAAGCATGTGACTGCGCGTGCTCGAGCAGGCAGGGGGCGGAGCCAGTGATCCTCCACGGTGATTGTCTCCGCGCATAACGTGGCACTATCTTTGAAGAAGACGCGACCAACGGACAGCTTTTAGTGGATGAAATCTCAATTTCCTTGAAGAAATATACATAGCGAGAATTTTTATGTAACTCGGTCGAGGATTAAAGGATCCATATCTGTGATAAATCGCGGGATTTTGGTTAATTTCTCGGTGGGCCCGGATACAGCTTGATACCGATAGAGAGACTCAACTCAGGTCCTTTCGTCCTGACATGGACACAGGAATTGTACCCGAAAAGAAAAGGTAACGTCAATGCTAGCTAATGCTACACAGCAGGTTGTATTGTTGTTTGGAATCTGACTTAACAACTTTGGTCGTCGGTCAAGTTGAATTAACACCCTTTTGTTAAAAACGTGTATCTTAATTGAAGGATAAACCTGAAGTTTACCACGTTTGTTCGAGAGAAATGCGCATACAATCGATGCCGTTGTCATTAGCACGCGGCTAACTTAGCCAGACAGCCAGTCGAGAACTCACATTAAGACTGTTTATTTAACATTATATCGACCAGATCAGTCAATGCAGGAACTATGTATATGCATGTTTTAATATTTATTCACCTGATCAGATATGACTTTTCACAGTCGCTGTTGTTTTGTTCGTGTGAAGGGTGTAGGGTGTAGGGCAGCCCAGACTATACGTGAGCTTATTTGACTTTTGTTTTGATCGTGTCATTGTTATGGTACCCCTGTGCTGATGTGAGGTTGATGTGGGTTTGATGTGCCATCATTGACAGTTTTTTAGGCAATGTGGCTGATGTGAGAAGGATGTGAGTTTGCTGATGAAATATTGAGGCTTTCATGGAGCTGCTCTTGGTTTGAAGCAACTTTCTCTTTTCTCTGCAATGGCAGCGTGATCAGGCTGAGCCAAGAAGCTATCACCTTCACTTATATAACCTAGTTCGTTAACCTACTATATGTTACATATTGGCAGAAGTTGAATTGAAACTTAAAGACTTAAGAGTCTGAAATATCTTTGCCTGTTGGTTGGCAAATGGAGGCAAATGTGAAAATGAAGTAGTGTAAGTGTTTAGTGTTTTCCACCTAGTTTTAATAGGATTATAGTAGCCCATGCATAGACTTTATTGTAGAACACACAATTGCACCACCATAAAGTGCCTGAAATGTTATCAGTGGGGAAATATGTAAACTAGAAAGTGCAAAGGGTCCAACAGCCCCATATATATATATATATATATATATATATATATATACACAAACACAATACCATCTTTCTGCAGTAGCATTAGTGCTCTGTCAATTACCCATTTGATACAAGGCCTTAAAACCAAACATGCAACAGATGCATTAAAGCATCAGAGGAAATGGCTGCTCTGGACTTTAAAGGAAACATGGTGTTCCTGGAGAGAGCAAAAAGACTTAAAAGATTAAAGAGAAGGTGTTTAAGTCAACATTTTAGACAACCAGCTCATTGTCATGGTCGGGAGTGCAGATTTTTTTCCATCTTTGGGATCTATGGTATGTCCTGTTGTCTTGAAACCAGATTTCAGGCACTCTAGAGCCGTGCAACAAAGTTCATGACAACATACAAGGTGGTTTAAAATATGATGCGACAGCTTCAAACACTTGGAGACCTGATATTTGTCCCCTGTCATTGTTGAGCTTCACTGCCTACTGGATCAATCCCTCTCCTGCAGTGTTGAAGTGATTCAGCTCAGTTGATATTGTGATCTGCTTTGTAAAAGTAAATCAATGAAAATGATGAAAATAGCCAAGGAAGGACGATTTTATGTTCAACATTTAATTCCTCTGTCTGGCATTGCTGCTGTTGTGAATTTCACTTTGTATCGTGACAGTTGCGCCGTCAGCAGCATAACTTTGAGTTTAAGTGTGCAGTGTTGGGTTCACACTAATTTCATTGGTCTGATAGAATGTTAAACACATTTAATCTGAGTTTTCCAACAATGCTAGCCGGGTTAAACTAGGTTCGACAGAATAAGCTGAGCATGTTTGAGTTTTTTTGTTTTCTTATTTTGGTGAAAAAAGGTTTTGCTGCTCTGTAATCTAGAAAAACACAAGCACTCTTACAAGACTTAGTGTTGGCAGATGATCAGTATTAAAACATTTGATCAGGAGGAATCAAATTTTTATATTCAGGTGATTATGCACTTATTTAATTTGACTTGTGAATATTATTTTCCGTTTCTACTGGGCCTGTTCTGTTAAATGCAGCTAAAACTACGCTGGGCATCTTTAAGGGGCATTTTGTAGTTTTAGTTAATCAGATATCCTGATTTATCATAATGTGGTTGTCTTGGAATTCGTCAATTATTGCAGAATACCAATACATGATAAATGTATGAACCATGGTATAGCGTGAGTTACCCTGAAAAAGAAGTTGTTAGCATTAGCTGGAGAGTTGGAAAAGTTGGCTACGCTCGCTCAGACTCTGCGTCAGCAGTCTACTGATTGTTAGTCATTGACAGACACATTAACCAGGTGGTGAACTTGTTTTCAGACACTTGACCTGGTCAAATTAATTTATCCAATAGTCTGTTTATCTCAATAGTCCTTATGGATCAGCTAACTTTAGTTAGCTAAAGATTGTGTAAAACAACAAGTGTAAAGTAGTGCGTTAGCCGTATGATGCCTAACCAGTACCTCATTTTCACACCAGACAAAAGCACAATAAAATGTCACACTGATGTTTTCCAGTATTTCTCTCCATTAAGAATTTCTTTCTTGCTCCAATGGACAGCTGTAAGATTTGCTTCTCCAAATCTGCTGACTGTTCATCAGTTTTGTTCCTCCTGTCATTGTAGTTGGTAGAAAAGTAATGTCTCCTTGGTGTGCTTTGCCGGTTAAAGAGTTTGCTCATTGCTCTTGTCTCTTTAATTTGCTCTGGTGAATATTGATTGTTTTAGACTTCATTTAATTAGCTAACGGGCTGTTTTCATTTCTGCCGATTGAAATTTGGCAGTGTGTGTGATTTAGGTTAGTGGAAGAATCCCTGAATATGTGTTTAGTTGAAACCCTGGTTTGATTCTCTTGGGCTTGCCCCTGTGAGGTGCCTTGGCAGTATTTCTGTCTCATCTCTTAATCACCAAGGCTTGACGTCAATAGGAGTGGCCAAATGTGTGTACAGAATCCCTGCCTGCAGCTTGCCCTAAGATACTAAAGCACAATACCTAATTGTATGCAGGCTAGTTTGAACTTGAGAAATAAACTTGCTCGTGCAGGGCATGTCTCAAGGTATGTCTTGTATGTGCAAACACTTTCTTAATACTTCATGTTTAATTGCAAAGAGAGAGTGCGATAATTACAGAACACTTGCTGTGATCAGGCTTTCAAATCTCTGCTTTCTGTTAAGTGAGTTCACTTGTTAAAAGTAAAATAAGGATTTAGATCAATAGAAAGCAAGATATTGAACAAATCTGAGCTGAATGTAGTTCATTGATTAGAGTTGTGTAAGGTCTGATACTGGAAGCCGGTTCCTTGTGGAAAGGTTTCAGCTCCAAACTTGATACCAGAAGTGTTTTGTGTAGATATTAGATTACAAAAAAAATGTGTATCTGTGTCGTTTTTTTCCTTTTTTCATGGACAGTCTTTTGTACGGCGCTCTTATAATGGCTTTTACTGAGTGTTACAGAAACAATACAAGGAAGGAAGTTTGAAAACAACACCTGCATAAATCCTCTTTGTCGACCACCATATTTGAATGAATAGAGATGTGTATTAATGTTGTTTCTGACAAGAGGCCAAGATGCCACAAAGTACTATTGATCTGTGCTGAAGAGAACCTATTTCATACTATTTTGTAATTCAGAGTCTCAGCGGACATGTTCTTAGGTGAACAATGTGAAGCTCTGCAGAGGGAATAATAGGCAGAAGCTCTTTGAGTCGAGAGCTGTAAATTGTTGTGGACTAAATTCTGCTTTAAACAAAGCTCAGCAGTGGAGTCATTTTGCTGTTGACGATCATTTAGGGACATCAGACTGTTTTCTAGGCAGTTAAAAACTCCTCTCTGTGGGTTTCACAGAGATACAAGCTTTGCTTTTCCACTAGATAAACCTATTCCCTGCTGACTTACAGTCCCAGTCCTCTGGTCAGAGGTCACTCTGTCCAAAGGGAGTATTTTGAACTCTCCAAAGCCCCTGTTTTTCTCGGGACCCTCATTAGCTGAAGCTTTTTAAATCTTGAAACACATCAGAAGTCTAAAGGAGTGAGAGGCTTGATTGGCTGGAGGAGGATTTGTTACAGTCCACATTACCTGACCCAGACTTGGAAATGTGCATTAGGAGAGACTCAACGGATCCACAAAGACCAAATGTGGTCAGGTTAAGCCGCCTTTCTCAGGATAGTAGAACAACACAAGATGTTTAGAGTTAACAATTGAACTTCCTCACTTAAAGAAGAAGATTGATAGTCTGGTTGTTTGCTGTAAACTCTGTGCTTTAAGGATAAATACAGTTTAGCTGCTGAAACGGTGTCATGGTAAAGCACTCTATCTGTGTCAAGGGTTAGCTTTGTTTAATTTATTTATCAGTTCCCCTTTTTATTGGTAGTGTCAGTTGGCACAGTGTCCTCTTGTTTGGTCACAACAGTTTACACACCTGTTACATGATAGTCCGTTTGCAAACACTAGTACTATGTTCCTCTGTGAAAAGATAGGAGACACTGTGAGCGAGACAGGTCTGATCTTTTTCTTTTGTCTGCACCACTAATGAACTAAAATGAGCACGTTAAATGAATTTGAACCTTTTACTCTTTTTTTAAACTGTATTACTGTCTCCCTTAAAAGCCTGTGTACGAACAAAGATACCTCGCCTTGTTATGGTTAATATAAAAATTGTGCAGCCACTCTGATGTCGTCATTTTCATTAGAGGTCAATTCTTTCTGAGCCAGCCTCTGGAATCCATTTGAGAAGTATTCCCAGCAGCTGAGTTTCCTAAAGCTTTAAGAGTTTCCAGCGACTCTGTTTGCCTCCATTGAGTTTCATTAAATGCCTTTTATGGCTCCGCACTGTTGCTCTACCACTGTTCCTGCTCTGCACAGAACAGCCAAGTCTGCATATTCTCTGACAGTTAGCCTGGAGATGCACCGGTTCTCCCGCTACATTTCAGCAACAAAAGCAGTGTTTACATCAATACAGCCACGGGGCCCATGCAAACACAAACGAGTCGAGGCAGATTGATATGACCTCAAACAAATGAGAGTTGATTAGGCCGACGATAATTCATATTAAACATTGATGCTCATGCTGTCAGTAATCAAACTTCCGTGGCTTTTCCCTCACAGGCATCTAGAGTTATTTGTTCTGGCTTAAAATCAAGGTATGTGGACGCAGTAAAGTTACTCAACATTTAATAAAGTACTCTTTTAGTTCTCACTGTCTCATGCCCTGGATCTAGGTATCATGCCATGGGCTTCATTAATCTGTAAAAGACAGTTATCCAAGAGCTGCTTTGCTTTTACCCTCCAAAATCCAGTCACAGTTTGAGCTGCGGTTTTTCCCTGAACTTGATTAAATAACAGACAAAACTGTTTTTTTTCTGTCACACTAAACGGAGTTGACAGATAGTGAAGAAATTTTCCTCGTGAAATAGGTCAGCCCCTGGTTACTACAGTGGTAAACAACTGTGGAACGGTAACATCAGAGGGGTTTTAATGGCACATAGTTTTCCCATGACTCTCCAGACCACTTGTTCATTATAAGTTCTGTTTGCATAATCACGCCCATTCTTAATTGTCAACAAAACAGTCTCATTTAAGCCAACGAAAGAGCAAACTGTGCAGGGAGCGACCAGGAGAGAGCTGCCGGGCATGCCTGACCATGTGCATTAATGCTGTTATGTAACTCCAGCCCCTCTGCTGGCTTTTGTTTTAACATCATGGGACCTGCTTTGCTTTCTTTGCATGTTCCATGAAAGAGAGTGAACCGCTTTATTATTACGGTCCTTGTAAGTTTAAAAATAGTCAAGGGGCCAACATTGAAATCTTCATAATGGGGCATTCAGTCCTGGATTTTCCTAAAAAGAATCTAACCCAGAGTCAGAAGTTAGTGTCTATTTTTGTTGTACTGATTTTCCTTACTACAATAACTGCCTTTGTGTCGTACCTGTGTTGCTCAGTGGAATATCACAGTTAAGCCTCATTTGAATTGGATTTGCATAACATCATGTGACATAACAGGATGCAGCGACTACAAAGCAAACCATTTGTGCTGCTGAGTTATGTAGCATCCTAGTGGGGGCACAGTTATAAAAAAGCTCTGTGTTTATCTGTCATTAGATCATCAGCAGCTTAACCTCCAGCTTAGTCAGAGGACTCGTCCAGTGTGTCCCCAGTACACTGTGGCTGGATTATTTTAGTTTTTGACATGGTTTTAGATTGGTGGTTGCATCCAGACTCACAGAAACGTGCTGTCTATTCATTCGGATTTGTTGCGTAATGCTACAGTCGGAAGGTCCTCAGGGTGCTGACAGCGGCTAATGTAAATGTTTGTCAATTGTTCTCACAAATGGTAAAACGTGGTCATGTGTGTATATGCTAGGGCTTGAAAGATTGAGATGATCTCTGCAGTAGAAGGTCTGTTAGCCTTAGTTAGGTTTTTTTATGCTTTGTTTGCACACTTCCTGTGTCCCTCAATCATAATAAATCTGATTCTCAAGCTCACGTCTGTGATGCTTTTTTGACTTTTCTAATTTGTTTACGGTTTATGGTTTTGCTCTGACACCACAATGCTTCCTTATCCCACTCTACTTTATGAAAAATCTGTCTGAGCTCCTGCCAGGTGAAATGATCCACTGCTGGCTAAATTTATTTAACTGATCCATTTTCTTTTTAGAGAGCCTCAAATAACAACATGGCCCCGGTCCATGTTGTAAGTGCATAACAGATCAATTTCAATTAGGTGTACATTTCAAAGCCAAGGGCTTTTGGTCTGCAGTCCTTTTGTTGTGATAGTTCGCTGTTTTCCGAAATGCATTTGAGGTCATGAGGTTGTGCTCTGTGAGAGAGATTACGCCATCAGTCAGTCAGCCACCGGGATGACTATTACAATTATGTTGAACACTTGGCCGCTCTGTTTATGTAAGTGGTCCTATGAGTTTCACAAACACAAATCAGTGCTCAGCTTAAAAGCAAAGTTTTTTTCTCTTTCCATTGACTTGCACGAGTTGTCGTCTTTTAAAGCGAGGTCTACTTTGTCCATTTTAAAACACTTTCAGGTCTTAAGACTCGATGTCTGGTGAGAGTCCATTAGTGAAGGCTTTGGATACCTGCCTGGAGCGAGATCAAGCGGAAAGCATTAATGCTAAATAAAAAAGTCATGTTGGTTTGTTTGTAGGATCAGTCTAAGGTGTCTGTCACTCTGTGCTATTGTCTGCTCGCTGTGTTGGTGCCAGTTTTATCATACTCCACCTTGTAGATCAGTTGAGTCGGGCTCATAAATGTCACAGTGATTTGTGTTGCACTGTAACTTGGCCAGGCACCAACAGACAGACCGGAGAATCCAAGCCAGGCCATCCAGCCAATCACTCTAAGGGGCCGGTCTCCTTTTCTTTTGGTCAGAAGCCAATAAGACTTTCACAGGCTGCCGTGTATGTAAATGAGTCAGACAGGGGTCCAGACAGCAGCTGGGCCGGGCGCTTGTTTGTTGCAGACTCCAGCTGCTGCTGCCCTAGTGACAGACTCTGTATACACACTCTCAGTCAGGAAGGAGGGATGTCAGAACTCGCGGTGTCCGTAGTGAGAACAAAACCTGTTTTTGATCGGTCCGTGTCTGACCCAGCACCACCTGTCTCCCATAGAGTGAGTGCTGAGCGGAGGAAGGAGAAGTCGAGGGATGCGGCGCGATGTCGGCGCGGGAAGGAGTCGGAGGTGTTCTACGAGCTGGCTCAGGAGCTGCCCCTGCCCCACAGCATCCGCTCCAGCCTGGACAAGGCGTCCATAATGAGGCTAACCATCAGCTACCTGCGGATGAGGAAACTGCTCAGCACTGGTCAGTGTCCGTATTTGTTTGACTACTTTTTTATTTTTTTTATTCTAGACTTAAATGTGAAGATTCAATCACGTAATTTAGTTCTTTCAGATAAGTTGAGAGAAAAAGTCTGCTTAGTAAGAGGTGCTGCAGAAATGTAAAGAGAACCCTGTTAGATGGTTAGAAACACAAAGTCAGCTGTTCTGAGAATTTGGCTGACACAGTTATTGCTCCTTTTGTAGATACACATACGGGTACAGTGTGTTTTCTGCGTTTCTTCCCTTAAACTTGTTTCTTTGAAAGAGACGTCTTCATTTTCTCTCCTCTATCTCTACCTCTACTCCCCTCTGTCTTATCTCCTCCAGATGAGCCAATGGCAGTGGAACAAACAGAGCTCGATGAGCAGCTAAACAGCTCCTACCTGAAGGCTCTGGAGGGTTTTCTCATGGTGCTGTCTGAAGACGGAGATATGATCTATCTCTCTGAGAATGTCAACAAGTGCCTGGGGTTGGCACAGGTTGGTGTGTTTTGACCTTCTGTATGTGGGTAAAGAGAGAGAGCTTCACATTAATCTCTGACAGAGTCTGAAGTGTTCATTTTAGATGTGTACTGAGATTAAAGACACGTTGTTGAATCCATTTCAGAGCATCTATTTAGAACAAACATAAACGGTTATATTTACTGTACATGAAAAAGCACTCATCCTCTGTTCTCTCTCTCTCTCTCTGGGCTACAGTTTGACCTAACGGGACACAGCGTGTTTGACTACATACACCCTTGTGACCAGGAGGAGCTGAGGGAGATGCTGATCCACAGAACAGGTGAGGGACAAAATCTGAGCAGCAGCACATTTAAGAGACTGGGAGAAAAGCCACTCAGTCAGGTCTGTCCTCACAGCATGGATTCAGATTAGATCTAAACTGTCATATTGAGACAAGGAACCTCTTAGGACAAGTTAGCATCATGTTTTCAGTTTTGAGGTCAAACAGATTATCGTCGGACAGTTTTTGGGGGCTTTGGTGACCTTCACTCAGTGTTACTGGAACAGTGTGCTTCATTACTGGCACTTGTCCTAGTTCTCTTTCACAACAGCACACCGTCTTTCTGTGTGTCAGTGTTTAAGGGACAATTGTTAGAAAAGGAGGGAGACATTCTGACCATTATACCAAAACACGGAGATGTGCACATGTACGCTCATGAGTGTCGGTAGATTTAGTCCCCTCCTGAGGGCAAATCCCAGAACAGAAACCCTAAACTGAAACTGTGTAAGTGGGTCTTAAGAGGAAATTTCCTCACAAGAACAGTCCGTGTGTGAGAGGCCCAGAGTTTGTTATAAAAGGCTGCTCATTGGAGGCCATGTGTGTTTTCTTGCCAGGCACTGCACTTCAATACACACACACCCTTTATCTGTAACGGCTGGCAGCACTTCTTCCTTTGTCTTCCCTGTTGTAGTAAAAAGAAGAAACACCTTTACAGCTTAACAGCAGCACTGCAGGCAAATGTCGTCTGTTTGGCAGTTGACAAAATTTTGACGAGGCAGGGATTAAAAGAGGGGCTGAAACGGTGACAGTTGTCACAGGAAACAACAAAATGAAAACACAGAAAGCGAGCTTCCTCTTTTCGCTGGTGATAAACTTCTGCTTGTGCGATTTCAGGCTCGAAAAAGGCCAAGGACCCAAACACAGAACGCAGCTTCTTCCTCCGAATGAAATGCACTCTCACAAGCAGAGGCCGCACTGTCAATGTCAAATCAGCGACATGGAAGGTAGGCAAAGAGGGAGAGTGGGGGAATTAGCTCTGAATTTTATGTCAAAACTCTCATGACAGTTCACTTCACGATTATTTAGACTGACTGAATTGTTGCTGTTATTTTATCTGTCGTGCAAGTAATTATGAGAGATTATACTTCACTATTTCCCACTCTGAGTCAAATCAATCCACAGTGACCCTCATGTTTGCCTCTCCAGGTGCTTCAGTGCTCAGGACACGTCCAAGTATACGACAGCCAGTCTGAGCAAACTTCCAACAGCCAGAAGGAGCCTCCTTTCCCCTACCTGGTTCTGATCTGTGACCCCATCCCTCACCCCTCCAACATCGAGGCCCCTCTGGATACCAAGACCTTCCTCAGCCGTCACACAATGGACATGAAGTTCACGTACTGTGACGAGAGGTGAGTCTGTCCAAACCAGTGAATGGAACATGTTTAAGAAGCTTATCGTGGAACAAACACCAGAGCAGTACTCTGACTCTCTGTACTCTGACTACTCAGTCACACAGAGCCATCTAGTGGTCAGTTTGCATACTAAGAGTCTCCGTCTCACTCTAATCCGGGATTTGATGTTTTATTTTTCAGGATCACTGAGCTTATGGGTTACGATCCAGAGGAGCTATTGAATCGCTCCGTGTACGAGTACTACCACGCTCTGGATTCAGACCATCTCACCAAGACTCATCACAATCGTAAGAATGAGACTTTGAAGTGCATAGAGTTCAACTTGAAACAAGATTTTCCCAAATGTCTTGACCTCTCTTATGATATTTTTCCTTTCCTCTTAAACCTTAGTGTTTGCAAAAGGCCAGGTCAGCACAGGCCAGTACCGGATGTTAGCGAAGAGAGGAGGCTTTGTGTGGGTGGAAACCCAAGCCACTGTCATCTACAACAATAAGAACTCTCAGCCGCAGTGTGTTGTCTGTGTCAACTTTGTGCTCAGGTACTTTAGAAGCTGTTCAAAGACACACAATTCGAAAAGTTTCTGCAGTGACTTTATTTAAAAAAAACAAAAACAAGTGAAGTTAGAAAGAAATCTTCAATACATGCAGTCTAACAGCTGTGTAACTGTTACAGTGGCATCCAGGAGGAGAAACTCATCCTGTCTCTGGAGCAGACGGAGGATGTAAAGCCCATAAAGGAAGAGCAGCAGCAGCAGCATGACGAAGAGGAAGAACGAGAAGAAGAAGAAGAAGAAGAAAAGGCTGAAGTCGAGAGCAACCAGTCGGACATGTCTCCAACCCTGCTGAAGGAGGATGAGGAGAAGGGTCCAGAGCTGGATGTGGTCAAACTGTTCACTCAGACGGTGGAGTCACGGTCACTGCCGAGTCTGTACGACCAGCTGAAGGAGGAGCCCGAAGCTCTCACTCTTCTGGCCCCCGCTGCAGGAGACACAATCATCTCCCTGGACTTCAGCAACCCAGGTGTGTGGCCTCCTCCGCTCATATTTGGAGAACAAAAAAAAAAGTCCTGGCTGAAGTCATGATTTTCACCTACCTCTGTCTTATTTACAGATTCAGATATCCAGTTCCTGAAGGACGTCCCCCTTTACAACGACGTCATGCTTCCATCCACCAGTGAGAAGCTGGCTCTGCCTCTCTCTCCTCTGCCACCCAGTGAGACGGTCAATACCACCTCCAAGGATGTAAAAGCTGAGAGCTTTACTGCTGCCTCGTCCTCTCCAGTGACTAGCCACAGCTCCTCAGAGGTAAGACGGGGAAGAAACAACTTTTTTCAGATTTAGTATTCATGTGAAATTTACTGTGGTGGAGATAACATTTCATTTCTGTCCCTTTAGACTGACAGGCCCATGGACTTCTATTTCCCCATGGACTCAGAGATGAGCTCGGATTTCAAACTAGACTTAGTGGAGAAGCTGTTTGCCATAGATCCCGAGCCCAAAACCCCCTTCACCACACAGGTAACAATGCAAGAAGACACTTAACAGTTCATGCGGGTCAGATTCCTCTCTGTATTCTGAATCACTGTTTTTCCTCTTTGAAGGCAATGGAGGAATTAGATCTGGAGATGTTGGCTCCCTACATCCCCATGGACGATGACTTCCAGCTGCGCAGTCTAAGCCCAGACGAGCCCCTGTCTTGTGGACCAGTCAAAGCCCTTGAAAGTCCTCCAGTCAGCGTCACGGAGGACATCCAGAGCTTCCCCAGCTCCCCATTCAGTGCACCAGGCAGTCGCACATCTTCCCCAGCTCCTCCTGAGCCAGTAACAGCACCTCTTCTGGCCACCATCATTTCTAAGAGGTAAGCAGAGACAGCACTGTATGTTTACTAAAATGTACCGTAGACTTCTGTTGTAAGCTAACCATTGTTGCCATGATATAGGATCCCACAAGTGGACAAAGAAGTCTCACTAAGGACTCTAGCAGCCCAGAACACGCAGCGTAAAAGGAAACTGTGTGACCTAAAACAGATGATTGGACAGGTAAGTCCTCCACATCAAAGCATGGTTCATAAAGGACTGCATGTTTACAGATGGTGGATTTGAGTGTCCGTACTTGATGGTTTTTCCAGGGAGCTCTGCCTCCAGAACAAGTGGAACTGGGCAAGAAGCTGAAGCCGTCAGAGTCAGCAACAACCACGACCTTTCTTCTGCTGCCATCAGGTGATTGACGGCTCTATTCTGCAAAAACTGAACTGAATGTTATCTGTAATTAATCAAACAGGATTTCATGTGTCTTTTATGTGTTTCAGATGTGGCGAGTCGCCTACTGGGCACCACATCAGAGGGCACCAGTTCCCCGTTCACCCTGCCGCAGCTCACCCGCTACGACTGCGAGGTCAACGCCCCCTTACAGGGCCGCCAGTACCTGCTGCAGGGAGAGGAGCTGCTGCGCGCTTTGGACCACGTCAACTGAGTCAAAACTTAGCCTGCTCACTGCTGAATTAGACTGGACACTACAATCTCTCCCCTTCCAAGACCCCGACCATCCTTCCTTCCCCCGCCCACCTAACCCTCACCCCCACTGCCCCTTATTTATGTGTACGTATGAATTTGACTTTAGTTTGGCTGCTGTTTGTGCACATTATGTGATCTCTGCAGCATTCCACCGTGACAAACACCATAGCAGCATCTGGGTTTTGGAGCAAGGGATTCAGACATCATGAGATGTCCAGTTGTCGTCCTTCGTTTTATTTGTTGTCTCCCCTGCGGGGGAGTCTCTCAGCACACAGCGCCTCGACATGTGACCCCCTTCCAGCAGGTCACCACAGAACCTGGCGCTACTGCCAGCAGTGTATTGTAAGCTTCAAGTCGCACAATTTATATTTTCTTAAAAAGAAAAATATTACCAGCAATATATATTAAGCCTTTTTAAAGTCATTTTAATGGGATTTGAACAATTTTATTTTTTCCTCCCATACTTGTATGTTGTAGTACTCGTACCTAACAAGATGTCTGTAGTCCAGAAGTATGAACATATTGTTTAAAACCTTAGCTGGTTTGAATGTTCTCTCCATTTAATAGTTATCTGTCTTTGAGATAAATTGAATTGTGTAGCAGTCCAGTACATGTCACTGTATTACTTTACTGTAAGTGTGTTACTGTACATATACCAGGGAAATTTTGATTTACTCAGTATGGCTTCACAGCTTTGACTCACTAACTAAGAGTAACTTCACTTTTCGTTGCTTCTCGTCATGCAGGATTGGATTTTGTTAACATGAAGTGAACTCATGTTTTTATTTTTAACTGTGTGTGACATTCTCAAACAGTTAAGATAAGAGGGATCTCAACAGTTCAGATATATACCTGTGTGATCATTTCATCATAGTAGCATATGTGAGTTGTCAGATTGTTTGCTCAGTTGATGGTAGTCAGTTTATTACCATTGATCCATAACATAACGTTGGGTCTCTCATGCTTCTTTGTGCTGTCTTATCATTAAATGGCTTTAATAAAGTGTATTGTTTCAGCTTTCATTCACCTGTACTTAAGACCGTTTTCACATGCAGAGATGAAGCAAAAGAAAGTGGTCTATGAGAGGTAGAAGACACATTTTGTTTATTGTTCTCAGAAATAACCTGGGAATAAATACCAGAGCATAATTCCATCAAAATCTTTTAACGCTGACAAGTTCATGGGGTTCATTATAAAAAAATAACACTAAAGCCATTGTGACATAACAAACCGCTCAGAGGTAAAAATTTAACTGTTAAAATATGAAGTGATAAAAATGGCTTAAAACCTCCACCACTTTAAACTCCTTTTATTCTTTTTCAATTCTTTTCCTTTTCAGTGTCAACAAATATTCAACAAAGGCAACAAATACTGGAGCTCTGTGCAACAAAACCTGCCCGTGTATAACTGTTTTTCAGACATTTTCATCCTTGTGCCGCCACTATTAGGTTTCACAGTTTTCCTCTCCCAGAAGTTCATGCACCCAGAAGAAGTGAATCCGTCTGCTAGGTGTCACTCAGTGTACTCTGGAGTCATGTGCAGGCGAGTCAGCTCGTTTCCTCTCTGCACCACCATGGTGATTTTATCGCTGCTGCGGACAGCCTGGTAGATCTCCTCTGAGGTATTCACTTTCACTCCATTAATCTCCAACACAATGTCTCCTGAGCGCATACCCGCTCTGAAACACAGACAAAAAAATATGTCTTACATTTTATTTCAAAAACAGTCAAAATGTGAAAATACCGGGTTTCATTTAGGTAATTCTAACAAAACAAAACTTAACACATCCTATGTTAGTATTGCTGTGTCTGTAAACTATACTTCTGGATTAGCTGTGCAGGATCCGTTTATATTACTGGCAGAGCGGAAATGACCTTTAACACTTCAAAATTTCAACAGCAAGAGACGACCTCAGTCATTCATCTTAAGGTTTTTACCTGTCAGCAGGGGAACCCATGATCACTCTGTGGATCAGGATGCCATGCGACACGTCTGGGAAGGATGGATCCCTCAACTTCAACTCTGCGATGATGCTGTGGAGGAAAACGATTCAGCAAAACAGCTTGTTTTATCGGTGCCAGTTCTGATGTCACTACACTGTATTTCAATTCAGGAAATTCTTGTTGTCCAGCATTTACCTCTGCGTCAGTGTCAGCATCATCACACCAATGTAGCGCCGCTTTGTCTCTGACTCGCCGAACCAAGAGGCTTATATAAAGATGCACAAGACAAATTTCTGTCATAAGAGTTGGATTCTACAGAGAAAACTGCCATAAGCCAGTAAGTGGATCCTTACCCTTTTTCTTTGCTGCTTGATCGAGAAAAAGTCGGAGGCGATCAGATGGAATGGCAAAGGAGATCCCTGCAGTGACCTTCATGGTGTTAATACCAATTACCTCACCATCCTAATTGGAGAAATGATACCAAATCAGAGAGGATTTTGTGCGTTCATGTGTTGTTTTGCAACCACAGTCCAGTCACATCCCTTTGAGTCACTAAACATCGACAGCTCTCCTGATAGCTGGGATTTCATCAGTTTTGCGGACACAAAATTCTGTGATTTGTGATAAAAACCTGGGGATCTTCATATGATGTAAGACCACAAAGCCTCAAACAATCTTTAAATCTGCTGTTTGTAACAATGTTTAAAGCTACTGCAGTATAAACCTGTTTGGTGATGATTGTGATGATTAATATTCAAACCAAATCTGTGACTCACCAAGTTAATCAGGGGGCCTCCAGAGTTTCCAAACTGCAAAACAAAAACGGCATTAGGGAAAAACATCAGCTTTTACATTTATCTAAACACGTGTTCTCTGCATACTGCCATCAGCAGATTTTCCAGTTTTGAATGCAAACTGATAATGTCTTTATTTAGAAATGTAATCAGGAGTATTCAAGGTTAAAGCTGCTGCAGAAAACTCACATCTATGGCTGCGTCTGTCTGGATGTACTCCATGTTGGGGTTAGACAAGCCCAGTTCTTTGCTGCCTCTCTGCACCGAGCTGACGATTCCTGAGGTGATAGTATTTCTCAAAGCAAACGGGCTTCCCATGGCAACCACAAACTCTCCTTGTCGAATGTCTGACGAGCGGCCTAGAGTGATCGTGGGTAAAGGGTTCTGCATGACAGGGAGAGAAAAAGAAGTTTAGCAGTTTGCGCTTACTTGGTGTGTGTCATAACTTCACACAATTCAAGTTTTTCATTTTGCTAATGACGTGCTAAAAAGCGTTCCTCTGAAGCTGATTCAGATCCAGGTTGAGATTATTGCTGTTTAGTGCTCACCCTTGCCGTGATTTTGATAGTAGCAATGTCAGCAACAGGATCCACATCCTGCACGGTGGCATTGTATGTTTCTCCGTTGGTGAGCTTCACACGGACGCCTCTCTTGTTGGCCACAACATGAGCGTTGGTGACGATGAGACCATCACTGCTGATGATAAAACCAGAGCCATTGGACACTGGGACTTCCCTTCCTGAAAACGGGTGTCTGAAAGATAAGAAAGCAGCCAGTCTTAATAAATAATACACACAAAAAGAAACATCAAATACTTATTTAGGAAACAGCTTCAACAAGATCAGGGACATTTGATTTGGGTGCTTATATATTTAACAGAGGCACATTTCATTTTGTTACCACAAAGCAGATGTCTTACAGATACAGTGAAGTGTTTTGAGGCTCCTGGGGGTCAATTTAAGGCAATAGAAAGTCTCATGGTTGGTGTTATCAATCTCACAGAATAAACAGGATCAGGAACAAAAATGTACTCAGGAACCACAACTTCATGAGAAACAGTTCCTTATTTTCTCCTGTTTCACATCCTGAGTTTGACTGTTTCCAGGGAAATTATAATCTTGTTGTTGATATTATTATTTTTTTTTTGCATATCATGCCGATACTCCAGAATCAGTGTTGTTATGTTTCATAAACTGCCAAAAAGTCCTCACAGTGGGTTAAACTTCAGTAAAATCTACTTTCGTAAACAGATTCAAGACTATAGAGTCCTTATTTGGGTCAGGTAAACATGTCAATCACTCCACGTGACACCTGATGAGTCAACTCACCTGCCCACGATTTCAATATACACGACAGCTGGAGAGGATTTTTCCACCACGTCTGCAATAAAGTTGTATTTAAAGCGTGGACTGTCGGGTTTAAAGGGAGAGGCACACTGGGCTGATGGGAAAAGTAGCTCCAAGATCCAGCCAGGTACGGAAACTCCTCTGTCCGTGGATGTTTCATCTCTTTGATAGTCCAGAAACGCAGCCCCACAGAGTCCCAAACCCACGGAGACCGTCTTCAGCACAGGAGGGCGGTTACTGTCCCCTCCACTGTGTCTGTCCCTCTCCACAGAAGGTTCCGGACTCAGGCTTGTGTTTCCCCCAGAGGAGGACACTCTGCTGGCTGTCCTTTCAGCTAAAGAGTTCAGTCCACGGCTCGGACACTGAGCGTGTCTCCGCAGAGCTGTCAAAAAACACCGACTGAGAGGAGTTGCTGCCATGTTGCATCACTTTAGTCAAAGCGTTCAAAGTTTCCAGACAGATACAAAGCTGTGTTTTCCCGATTAATTCATAATGAGAACGGACGAATTCGTGAAAATTTTGATGGACGGGCTTACCAGATAAAAAAGAAATACCTGCTGAGAGTGTGTGTCCTGAAGTTACCTGTATCCAGCACTTGTCTACCTTAACAGTCCCGGAAACACGGTTTGTACTGCGCAGGCGCGAAACGTACGTCACTTCCTCTTACAGCCATCTTTGCGACAGTTAAGCCTAATTTATGGACTTTTTTTTTATTAGCATATTCAACAATTTACAAAACTCTCAATGGGAGACAAGAGCAATTCAGATGTACGTCTTACTTTGACATAACAACAGTGATATTATACATGAGAACAACACAATGTATAAAAGAAAAAAACACAAAACTTACAGCAAGGCCTGCCTTTGGAATTCATACAAACAGCAAATGTAAATATTAGATAATTAATAATTGATTGAGTAGGTAGGTATAGGTTTTCTAGTTATAGACTAGAGTCTTTAATTCGTGACAAGGAAGCAAAATAAGATTTAAGTTCTGTTTTAAACAATGCAAGGGATGGATTTTTATTTTGCCATATACGTTTATGGATGTGGTATTTACCCATGATTATTATTATATTGCAAACGTTGAAAAATTTGTTTAAATTTCCATACAGCACTTGTTCTAATTTCAAGTGTGCAACTTTATCCATTTTAATTTTCAACCACTTTACCAAATCATGCCAAAAGTTCTTAACTAAGAAAAGTAAAAGGCAGTAATATATACAGACATATACAAAACAGGAATCATATCATATGAAGACCCGATTGTTGCACAGTGAAGACCAGTTTTATTGCACGGATAAAAGACTCATGTATTGCACCGTGATCAATATGATCAGTATATATGTTGGTTGAGGAAGACAGGTTCAACTGGATTTGTTGTTGTTGACTGCAGTGATAGCTCTCGGGAAGAAGCTATCCCTGAGTCTGTTGGTCCCTGTTTTGTGTGAAGCAGTGTATAAAGCAAATTTTGAGTTGTGATAGCAAACAGAATTACTAAACAAAATTTAGTTCAAAGTCAATATGAATTTATTTTCATACGGGAATAGGAACCTCTGGTTTACACGCCTGTATAATAGATGGCGGTAATGCGCCTCTAACGTTGGTTGCCATCCGCCGAAGAAGACAAGAGTACCCAACTGCAGCGCAAGATGGCGGACCGCAAAAGATGAACAAACGCAATGAACTTTCGCAATGAAGCCCCAGGTAATGACGGGTTAACAGGGGAATTTTATAAATACTTTAAACAAGCAATCGCTCCATTTTCAATTGAGATATTTGAAGAGGCTTTAGACAAGGAAGAACTCCCCCACACTTTAAGACAGGGACTGATAAAACTAATTCCAAAACCAAAAAAAGATGAATTAAACATTGAAAACTGGAGACCGATTAGTTTATTGAATAATGATGCAAAGCTGTTTGCTCTCATCTTTGCTAAAAGATTGAAAATAGGATTAGATGATATTATAGATGAGGAGCAATCTGGGTTTATGCCAGGGAGAAATATTTGTAAATAATATTCGTCTGATTCTGGATATGATAGACTATAATGAATTTATACCTGATGAAAGTTTTATTCTGTTTGTGGACTTCTATAAAGCATTTGATACAGTCAATCACCAGTTTATGTTTAAAGTTATTCGATGTTTTGGTTTTGGAAATAGGTTTTTGAGGGCAGTTCAAACACTTTATAAAGGAAGTAACAGTTCAATTAAGATAACAAATGGCACAACACCCAGATTTAATATTGGTCGTGGAATCAGACAAGGTTGTCCCCTAAGTCCCTTTTTGTTTTTGCTGGTTACACAGGTTATGGCAACACATATTAAAAAAAGCAACTTTCAGGGTATGACAGTCGTAGGTAGAGAATTCAAACTAGCTCAGTTAGCGGATGATACAGCTATTTTTTTGTCCAACCAAAATGAACTTGTCAAAGCTGTGCAGTGTATCAGAGAGTTTTCGGAGGTTTCTGGGCTGACAATGAACCTTAATAAATCTATGCTTTTTCCCCTCAAACACTGTGATCTGGCAGAATTAAATGGTATTCCCATTAAACAAACTGTGACATATTTGGGTGTTGTACTTGACAAAAATGAGAAGAGGCGCTCTGAGTTAAACTTTGAACCAATAACTCAACAGATACAAAGAAAATTCAATATGTGGTTAATGAGGGATCTATCTTTACACGGACGGATTCTGTTATCCAAAGCTGAAGGAATATCAAGATCTGTATATCTATCACTAGCACTAGAAATGCCTACTGTAGTCTCCAAGAAATTAGATCAAATCTTATTCAGGTTTATCTGGAAGAACAGACGCCATCATTTAAAAAAAGATATTCTAAGTAATACCAAGAGGGATGGTGGTTTGGATGTGCTAACCTTCGAAATATTGAATCACTCTTTCAAGATCAACTGGCTGAGTAAGTTATGTAGAGAGAAGAACAACCTCTGGAATTCCTTTGCTACACATGTATTCAACTCACTTGGTGGTATACGCTTTATGTTGAAATGTAATTACAAAATTGAGAAGCTTCCTGTTAAACTCTCTAACTTTCACAAACAAGCCTTGCTGTCCTGGAAACTGATCTACAAACATAATTTCTCACCAACCAGCTATTATATTTGGAACAATGAAGACATCGTTTACAAAAACCGATCACTGTATTACAAGGACTGGATGGAGCACAACATTTTACTAGTCGACCAACTTCTTAACAACCATGGCTTTTTACTTTCTTATGAAGAATTTATGTTAAAATTTCAACTCCCAGTCACCCCAAAACAATATGCAGTGGTTTTTGATGCATTACCTCAGGGGGTGCTACAACTTCTTAAAGGGTCTGAAAGAACGGCTGCTATTCCAGGAAATTACACCTGTGATATATTTGTGGGCGGAATAGACATTACAAAAAGACCCTGCTCGAATAGACTGTTGAGAAGCTGCCTACAACCAAAGACACTGCCTAGAGGTCAAACTAACTGGTCTGTACAATTGGGAGAAATTAACTGGAGCAATGCATGGCTGGTTGGTGAAAAATTCTGTCTCAATAACAAGGTCAAAGAAGTCTCTTTTAAAATATTACATCAGATTTACCCTGCAAAGAAAACTCTCGAAAGATTCAAACTGGACATTGAATATTTATGTGATTTCTGTGGACTTGAAGATGAAACCATCTCTCATTTATTTTATCATTGTACCTACAGTAAAACCTTTTGGATTGATGTCCAACAATTTGTGCACGAGAAAACAGGAAGAACGATCAGTTTCCAGGAAAAACATATTTTTATTTATTATGATGACCAGGACAAAGATCTGTGCTTTTTTTGTCAGTTGATCCTGAGCTTGGGGAAATTCCATATTCACAAAAACAAATGGGCCAAATCCAAGCCAAACATTGCACTCTTCAAAAATGAACTGCTCCATTATGCTGCCATGATCAAGGACATTAAAAACAAGAAAGCTACCAAAACTTACTCCATAATGAAGAAATTCTGTACCATTGAACTGTAAGTCCTCTGGCTGTTGTATGGTTGTGTTTTGTTTTCTGTTTTTGTCGTTATTGTTGTGATGTGTCTCTCGTTGGTTGTACTGTCTGTCTTGTTCAATAAAAAAAAAAAAAAAAAAGTTCATTGCGGAAATTCATTGCGTTTGTTCATCTTTTGGGTCCGCCATCTTGCGCTGCAGTTGGGTCCCTCTCCAACAAGAAGAAGACGAAAAAGAAGAAGAAGCACTATCCGGATGTGACGTATGATGTGATGCTACGTCACAGGTTTTGAACCATAGGCGTCGCTGAGTCGAAATTTGAAATCTGCTAGCCAGCGAGCTAGCTGCAAACATGCTCCGCTGATGTATTTCATTCTTGACTTCTACAAACAATGGCGTCATATCACCATATATTACAACACACGAAGCCGCAGGTTGAGTCTCCTGCCAAGGTATTTGCGAAGCTAAAATCAAGAGTGCAGAGGGAGGAGATGAATGCGAATGAGAAACACGGAGGAGGTTTCAGGTCTCCTCAGAAGAAACCAGAGAGCTCAAGGATAACCGAGGAACTCAGGGAGAATCAAAGGTTTGGTCCTTATCGAAGTGAAGCGCAGGTTTTGACCCTCTCACCAATCTCGAGCCCTCTGAAAACCTGCACGGACTCCTACTTCGACATCAGCCGCAAACACGCGGATGAAGTGTCTCCATGGGGTGAATGTTCTTCAAGAAAAGGAGCCTACATGGAGTCTACGGCTGTTTCCTATCCCTTTCCTGTGTACAACACAGCAACACCGATTCACCCAGAACCACCTCAGCCTAGACACTGTGATGGTTTCATGGTGACCTCCAACAGGACTCCAGTGAAGATGCATTCAGGGGAGGAGGGCTGTAGGAGGAGAGGGTATGTGGAGGATGACAAACCTGAGTCTCCAGCTTTGCTTTCTCCATCGAGGAAAAAGATACGGGTACGAGAAAGAAAACTGGAGCCACCGGAGCCTAGCAGCAGCAGCAGCACAAACAAATTCAGAAATAGTGCTTACATTCCGGCTCAGGTAAGGCAAGTCTCCAGCGCTCTCAATGATCACAACGCCCCCATGGAGAACTTGGCTGATGGTGGAGGATCCCCTGCTGACCCATCAGGGATGAACACATTCGCTCATGAACCCATGTTACCACCAAAATTCCCATCAACGAAACGTGAGACATTATTACCGTTTTTAACAAAAATAAGTCTTAAATATAAAATAAAAGTCTCAGCTCAACTTGACATTTTTTTTTACCAAGATGGCTTCTGATACTACTTTTCTGTTTTGGTCAGGCTGCCCGATTGTTCTGGATAAACCCCCTCTAATGTCTCCAGCTAAGATGTTTGCCTACATGAAGGAGAAAAGTAAAGCAGAGCAGCAGGCTGTTGAGGTCAGCAGTAGCACGAAAGATCTCCCCGATGAGTGTGAGTGTTTTACTAAGTTAACAAAGCCAATTAGATCATGATTGTGTGTTGAACATTATGTATATATTTTTGTTTATGTTATCACTGAATTTCTTGTTCACAGGTATATCCCATCAATCTGACGAAACACTTTCAGCAGCTCTGGAAATGGACGGGGTCCGGGTCTTCAGAGATGCTGTTCCTGCTGATCAGTCCCGGGAGATGTCAGCTGAAAGCCACTCTGACACAGATCCCTCAGAGGATGTCCAGATCCCTGCTGGGCCATCACAGCCAATTTTGCTAGAAGACCCGGTTATTCTGAAAACACCACGAATCTCCATCCCCAAGAAAAATGCGGCTGTGTTTAATCGGAACAAATGGCCAGGAATGGCACAATTCCCAAGTGTGAGTGGAAGTTAATCATTAAATAAATACCTGTTAGTATTTATTAAAAGGAATTTGATTTAAGTTTTGGGGTTAGGCAGGTTGTCTTTAGTTTGTCTTCTTTTATGATCTTTTTAAAGTTTCTTATTGAGGTTGTGTTTCTCTTGTTTGCAGGAGAGTGTTATTCATCTCAAAAAATGGTTTCTGAGGAAAAATCACAAAGGCCTGTTCGTTGATGGAATTCACCAGTGAGTTTTTTTTTCTTGAAACCTATTGTTGACCTAAGTTGAGAAGAAGCACACAAGCTTATCAAGGCTCATCGTCAGACAGCTGTATTACCATTGGATCCATCGTGTTTAAGCTTCAGATTCCAGATGAAAAGAATTTGTGAGATCTCTTGAGATCTCCTGAAATCTCTCTTGCTTTTCCATCCAGTGATGAAAACATTCCGTGGAACAGTAACATCATCATTGATCGGGTTTCTAATTCTGTGTTGAAGACCGTCTCTGGCAGAGTTTACATCTTGGTTGGAAAGATGAACTTGAACATTGAGTCTGGTAATATATCATCTATGAAGCATATTTTTCTTATTGAAAATTTTTTTTACAAGTGCACTATTTTCATGTCTATCACTTTCTGTCTGCAGAGTTCCCCAACTGGCTTTTGAAGAAGTTTATTAATGGGTTTCCTGCAAACTGGAAGGCACTGTATAAAAAGTTTCTGTCAGAGAGAGAGTAAGAATATTTATTTGACTTTAAAGGCTGTCAGCTAAGGGGATGGGACTCTTTTTTTAAATGATATTCACAATTCTTTAAGATTTACTTTGTTCCATTTGCTTTATCCCTGAAACGTGTTTTGTTGCAGCAGAGAGACAACAAGGGACAAGGAGAAGAAAGAAACAAGGTCAAAGATGCAATCTGAGGCTTCTTCTGCCGACCTCTCTGTAAAGCAACACAAGCAAAATCCTTTGAGAACACGTAAGTACAACAGAAACTCTTTAGCCTTGCCTGTAAACGTTTCTCAATCTTAAGGTAAGCTGAATCTTCCCAGGTTTTAAAGAGGTCTGGCATGATGTCTACAAAGGCATGAGATTGTTACAATGTAATTTAGCAGATGCTTTTGTCTAGAGCCCCATACATTTGAGAAGAAGTACAAGACAAGCAAGATCTAGGTAGAACAAGACAACATGAATAAGTACCAAAAACTGCCATAAGGGCAATAGGGTATCGAGATGTCATGTAGTATATATTTTTGACTTCATAATAATGTGTAGACATCATGACTCGATAGCACCTGTACAAAGACATTTACATTTAGGGATCACTGGATAGTTATGCTTTTACACTTCACCAAGTTCACAGTTAACTCAGAATAAGTCCTCCAAGAAACAACAGAAATATCACCTTATGGAAAAGTCCACGATTTGACATCAGGTCTACATTAGAAGAAGTTTAGAGGTTGGGATTGAGTCTGCATTGACCATCTTAGGCCAGTGTGTTTACATGGTGATGTTTGCATGGTGATGTTTGCTAAGTAGCAGTGTAAATGTTGTCTGAATTACAGCTGAGGTTGCTGAATCATGTTTAAGCTTTGCAGATTAACTAAATTTTGAACTGATGATGGTGTAAGAAACAGTAGAGTGTGAAGGCAAGTGTATTTATATAAAACTGTAAAAAAAAAATAGCCAAAATACCGTCTCCTTATTGCTCTCAGATAAGGATCTGTATTCCTATTCTGGCACTGATTATCTAGCTGTGCTGAAGACCTTTTTTGTTAACTCGAGGATTGATTGTCTCCTCTCCAGCTGCCTCCTGTCCTCCTGCCCCCATCAACTCGCAGCAAGTCTTGAAGTCTCGAAGTGGTCGAACAATCAGGCCCCCGCTAGAGTACTGGAAAGGAGGGAGAGTCTTTCTGGATGGGTTCATGAATGTTACCATCCATGAGTGTTATGAGACCTCCATCTGCAACCCTGTGAGTCTAAAGTGTAAAGCAACAGCAAGTGTTTCAAATTGGGTAAAAGAAAAAAACAAACAAAAAAGAAACAGATTTCTGATCAACATGATGCTGATTCTTATTTTTTTACAGGTGGTCACAACAACAGTGTCTACAAAGGCACCCAAGGAACCTGTCTGTGTGTTCCTGCCATGTGATGAAGGTGATGAATATTGGGGAGCTGTTGTTTTTAATATAATTAGATAAGTTATGATTCTTATGTTGACAGACTGTCCTGTGTGTGTGTGTACAGGACAATGCGAAACAAGCAGCGACAAAGAAGCACCAGTGAGAAAAGTCAAGGCTCAGCCCCGAAAATCCCGTAAAGCCAAAGTCTGCCCTAAAGAGACACCGGCTCTTTCACCAGAACCTTCAAGGCAAGTCTCAAGGCACAAGACAGCTGTTTCTTCACCTCCAGAGTTCTCCACTGGTGATGATAAAAATCAGTCACCAGATGGTGAAGTTCTCCGTGGGAGAACAAAGAGGCAGAAAGTGCACACAAGGAAGGTCCGGCAGGGTGCTGACAAGTCAAAGACAAACCCTGAAGAGACACCAGCTCTTTCACCAGAACCTTCAAGAAAAGTCTCACGGCACAAGACAGCTGTCTCTTCATCTCCAGAGATTTCCATGGGTGATGATAAAAGTCTGTCACCAAATAGTGAAGTTCTCCGTGGGAGAACAAAGAGGCAAAAAGTGGACACAGTAAAGGGCAGGAAGGGTGCTGACAAGTCAAAGACAAACCCTGAAGAGACACCGGCTCTTTCACCAGAACCTTCAAGAAAAGTCTCACGGCGCAAGACAGCTGTCTCTTCATCTCCAGAGTTTTCCACGGGTGATGATAAAAGTCAGTCACCAAATGGTGAAGTTCTCCGTGGGAGAACAAGGAGGCAGAAAGTACACACAAGGAAGGGCAGGCAGGGTACTGAGAAGTCAAAGACAAACCCTGAAGAGACACCTGCTCTTTCACCAGAACCTTCAAGAAAAGTCTCTCGGCGCAAGACAGCTGTCTCTTCATCTCCAGAGTTTTCTACTGGTGATGATAAAAGTCAGTCACCAAATGGTGAAGTTCTCCATGGGAGAACAAGGAGGCAGAAAGTGGCAACAGTAAAGGGCAGGCAGGGTGCTGACAAGTCAAAGACAAACACCAGTGTTCTGGCAAAGTCATCATCAGAGTCACCTGAAGACAGCCCAATGCAAATTAAGAGGACAACAAAAATGACCCAAAAAAAAGGTGCTACACAAACGAAACGTAAACAAGGCAAATCCACCAAGATTTCACCGCCGGCAAAGCTTTTGACAAAGTCAACACAATCCATCGAGAAACAGACAGCGAGGAAAAGCAATCTGTCAGATGAAGACAGAGACACATGGACTGAAGCAGAACTTATCAGGCTACAAGAGTGAGTTTTTTTTCTCTACTTAATGACAAAGTAGCACTTTGCAGCGCCAGTGTCATGTTAGCTTTTGTATTTTCCAGGGCCGCGTCCCACTTTCCCAAACATAAGGCCGGGTACTGGGCTAAGGTGGCAAGGATGGTAGGGACTCGCTCGGCAGAGGAGTGTCACAGCCAGCACACGTCCCAGGGAACCTACCAGTCTCCTTCCAAGAAGCCAACTAAACTTCGAAAGGAGAAAGTGAAGGCACCAAAAGATCCAGGTGTGATTGAGATGCAGTTAGAATCTTACATTTAAACCTTTAATAAGAGTCCTCAAATGCTTCTGTAGGTTATTTTCATCATGAATTCATTCTATATTCAGCAACTCAGTAATAAATTGTATTTTTTAAAGGCTGTAGCAGCTGGAACCATTTTATTTGACATGTTTCTAATGGATTACAGATCAACCTGCGATTTCTTCTCGTGTGGGAACCCTGAGGAGGAAGCAGGAAGTGCGTCAGTTTTTAGAGGCAATGCCCAAAGAAGACGTTGATGACGTTTTCACCTCTGCTTACATGAAAAATAGGCGGTTTGAGGTGGGTTTCTTTCAGTTTTGTGTATTTTTTGTAGAGATTATGTATGTCACAGTCTCTTCCTTCAATGATTATTCAAAGGATTCAATTCACTATTTCGCTCCCCTTGTATCTGTTTTGTTGCACAGATGCCGTCCCTTTGTTCCAGTGAGGATCATGACTTTGCTCTGTCAGACTTGGAGCCCCTGACCCCCAGGTCAACAGCCTTCCCTGAAGTGATGACTCCACAGTGTCTCCTCATCACACCTGGCATGATGGGCTCTCCTAACAGGTGAGTAAAGTGAACTATTGAGATCTTTTTAAAGAGTTAAATGAATGACAATCACTATCTCGCCTTGTTTCTTGATTTCTAAGGAGCAATGATGATAAGTATGTCTACCAACTCCAGAAGAGGATAAAAAAAAATCGGTTTAATGTATGCTCAAAGTCGCCGTCATCTAAGGTAAATATTAAAAAGAGTTTCTTTGTGAGCTCAAAGATTTTTGCCATTATTGGAACAACATTTCTCTTCTTTGTTCCTCTCAGAAATTCACACACACACCATCTGCCAAACAAACCATGAAGAGCTGTGGAAACACAGGTATGGGAATTCAATCCATTCATACATGAGCAAGAGGAAACTTTTTAATAAAACAGTGATCCTTGATAGAAATATTATATTTTACTGACCTGTTTATTTTGAGGCTGTTGCAGATTTAACAGAAAGGCTTGAACATTTTTTTTAGAGCAGTAATTGGAGGCAATTATTTTCACATTTCTTTGTGTTTTTGCTTGACAGTATCTTTCTTCTTTTTTCCACCAGAAGGCGACACTTTTGTGGTTTGGAAGATGTTTCCGGAGAATGATGTGGCACAGTCTGACAGCGAAGAGGAGGCAGATTGTTACTTTTCAGTCAGTGACTGATGAACCTCACGCCACAGTGTTAAAACATCTAATTCAATCAAAATTATTTGAATTAAAACCTGTGGAATAGGAGAGGGTTGACTTTTTTTGTTGACAACAAAGCTGTTCAGTTTCAGGAATTTAAAACTTGTTCATGACCGTTATTTTATGAAAAAAAAAAAAGGAATAGTTCTACAGTTTCAAAATGTGTATGGGCCAAGAGAGACTTTTGCTTTTCCCATTTTTTTATGTAAATATTGAGTTTATTTTTTTTTTACTCGAGTCAGTTGTACCTGTTCTTTAAATAAATATTGTAAAAGCCTTTCTCATGGTTTAATTGTGTACAATATATTCAGAGAAATTTACAGTTTATGGAAGTAGTTGCTGTAATAATAAAGATAAAAAAATAACACATTATTCCATTAACTATTCTTTGAATTTTTTGTTTTTATCCGTTTGACCACCCTAAGGAACTGTGGCTCTATATTTAAGCTTCTTTGTCACTTCACTCCCATATTTACCGATGGATTTTAATGTTGTTTCTAATAGTTTGCTATGGTGGCCAAGAACCGCCACTGCTGCAAATAAAAAAGAATGCAAAAAAAAAAAAAAAAGCCACAGCGGAAGTTATTTTTGCAAAAAAAAAGTGGTGATGCAAAAAAAAAAAAAAAGTTACTTACTGCTAAAATAAAAGGATGCAAAAAAAAAAAAAGACACAAAGGGAGTGAGCTGCCAGGGATTGATAATGATGATGCCCTGCCATCTGTAACTTTGGTTGTAACAACTTTATTTTGCATTCTTTTTTATTTGCAGCAGTGGCGGTTTTTGGCCACCGTAGCTTCCACATTCAATAACACAAATTAAGCACTAATATGGAGGCAGAGGGTAGAACTTGAGACCTGAGATTGTAAAGTGTTAAAAAAAGTTTTTTTTGCAGTTTGCCCAAACAAGTCCCATGAATAGGTGAACCAAAAGTGAATCCCGAATTGACGTTATAATAAAGTTTCAGGGAACGACTTTCTTTCTTTTTTATTATTTTTTTACTTAGTATCTTCTGCAGAAATATCCTCTCATTGTCACGTTGAACACATGAAAAAAGTAAGTGGGATGCGTACCAGTGTAAATAAAAATGCTGAGTCATTGAGCAGGTAATGATGACTCTGAAATAAACGTCCCTCAACACGCAGTTAACCAAACACAGCAAGACAAGTCCCAGGAATAGTAATTTTTTGTATGGCATGAAAACAGCTGCTCAAACTACAATATAACGACGTAAAACCTTAGGGTATCCGCTGTGAAAGCAACCAATCAAAACAATCAGATTTTTAAAAGACGGTTAAAATGTCACGTGAAGCTGCGTCACGTGACCTCCGCGTTTATAACGTCCTTCCCCCCTCCAGACCAAACAGCGGAGTTTAGTGGACTGCACGAGCCGAGGACACCATGAACACACTGTGAGTTTCACTTCAGAGTTGTTTATATTTTATGAAGACAGAGGCAGACGTGAATACGGACAATGTTGACTATTTTAAGGTGACTTGAGTTCTACCGCTCCGCCTCTCTTTTGTGTCTCTACGGTTGTAGTGACCTACATAGCTGCCAGCTAACAGACCAGGTTTACGTGTTGACATGGAGCAGAGACTAGACTTTTATCAGTCACGACTTGTTTTTGTCGTAAAAGTTCGATTACAAGGTGGTTTATGTATGCACCTGGGTCAGTCTAATGTTTGCTGCTTCTGGGCTGAGTCACATTGAGACTTTGTAACCCTGAGGTGACTCACAGAAGTAAGGTCGTGTTAGTATTTCCAGATATTATATTTTTGATTATTTTTCTTTATAGACCAAGAATGATGAACACATAACATAGCAGTGACATCTTAAAATCTTATCTTTAAAAAGGGGCACATGGACATTAGAAACAGTAACGCAAGACAAGGCAAAAGAGATAATATTTTAATTTGTATTATTTAATGTAAATAAAAAAATAGTCTTCTATAATACCAAAAAATGTCATTTTTATTTACACTTGCAACTTCAACAACCTAAATTTGAGATAAAATCTCATTTAAAGTCCAGAGAGCCCATCTAGATTTGAGTGTAGGTGATTTTCATAACCTCTCTGCTGGAAAATCTTTCTTCAAAGTTGCAAACAACAACAACTGCTTCATAGTTTGATTGCTTACAAAATCTAAACAACTATTGCAGAGAGTCCGTGGAAGGATATTTTTGTGAATTTGTGCTGTTTCATCTTCCACCAGGCTGCTGACCCTCTCCCTCTCCGTGTTGTTCAGCTCCTTGGTGCAGAGTGGATATCTGGAATACGACCAAGATGTCCTGTGAGCAAATTCACTTAAGGAGTCATCTCCTTATCATTTCTTAAATAATGTCAGCCCTAATTATTTAATCTCATTTAAGAATACTTGAAAGCCAGGTTGTTTGGGGCTTTTGAGAGGACTAACCCCTCACAACAACCTTCTTTCAAGGTGCCTTTTGTACAAGCTCTTTGAAAGCTGCTTCTGTAATTTTGTGACCAAGAGTTGGATAGTTTGTTCCTGGAGAGTTTTTTTTCCTCTTGTTACATCCGTCTTTTCTCTGCAGCTGTTAGTCATCAAGTTTGTGAAGAATGACGTGAATTCTAAAAAAGAAATCAACAAAAGTTAGTTGAAAACAGTTTCATGTTTTGATTGAAGATAAATTTAACTGTAGAATCAAAACAAAACTAATTAGTACATTTGAACATGTTGGTTATAAGATCCTTTATGTAAACAATGAAACAAAATAATACTTAGTTATTGATTGTCAGAAAAATTATACTGCATCTGACTTGCAGCTGGCTGAGAAGAACGACAGAGAGTGTTGTCTTCTTTTTCTTTAATATCTTTTTACTTGCAAGGAGTCAGCAGCTTACAACAAAGGCAGCTTCCTCTTACGTAGGAGTTCAGATTTTTACCCACCAACATCATTTCACAAGTGGCATGACATTACAACAGTATCCAAATAGGGCACAGGTTGCAGCTGTGGTCTGCACTGGGAAGACAAGGACAGCCTAGTTCATCATCAGGTTCCTGCTTATCAGTTCAATGTCACACTGCTGGGGAAACAACCTGTGAGTGAAATTATAGCATTTATCTAGTTGCATGGCTTCACCGGAAAACAGATATAATCCTGCAAGCATTCACACCAAGTGATTTTCAGTAAATGATGATTAAAATATATACATAAAGATAAAATACACACGTGATAGCATACACATAGAATTTTTCTTTCATTGATCATAAAATGATGTTCTTATATTCTTAGGATACCAGACGACTGGACTCACGTGGGCCGGGTCGAACCCACAGAGGAGCTGGAGTTGACCTTTGCCCTTAAGCAGCAAAATGTCGACCTTCTAGAGGAAAAGCTCAGACTGGTGTCAGACCCTGACTCAGCGCAATATGGTAGGGCTCAGTCTGGTATGAACTGCTTATTGCCAAGTATTGATCAACCTTGAGTTTCAGCTATCCATTTTGTCCCCTCTGTGCTGCAAATCTGCTCTGACTTGACAGTTTAAAAATAACTTTAAAGAGAGTGATTAAGCCCCTCCTGACCCTCACAGGTAAACACCTCACCCTGGAGGAAGTGTCCACCCTCATCTGCCCATCTGACCTGACCCAGAAGGTGGTGCGTGGCTGGCTGCAGAGTCATGGGATTACAAACTGCCTCACTGTTCACACTCAGGACTTTTTACAGTGCACCATGACTGCAGAGTAAGCAAATCTTTTTTTAAGCGTATCATTTGTTCTGCTTACTCAACAGTTACTCTTGCTTGTTCTTGACACAGTTAAGTCAAAAGACTTAATTCTTTCATACCAACTTCCCTCTTCCCATGCTCTTATCACATGAAACTGTTCCTCTTTTTGTGGTCATTGGTTTAAATCAAACTAACCCTGATCTCTAGGCTTTTGAAATTCATCAATCTAGGTCAAGCTGTTTGGATCTTAAAGAAAAACACTTTCCCCTGAAATTTTGTCTTCAAAGTCTCTCAAATACCTGAACTCTGCATTACTTTTAGTTTTGTTTAGTGGATTTGTTGACATTCCAGCTGTGGTTGTTTTTGTTGTTCTGTTCAGGGTTGCAGAAACACTTCTCTCAGGTAGCAAATTCCACCGTTACACCAGAGACGGCCAAACCCTGGTGAGGTCATCAGCTCCATACTTTGTTCATGATGATGTTCACCAGCACCTGGACTTTGGTGAGAAAGTTTTAAATGTTTGTATTTGTTACTTCAGCATAAACTGAGAGAGGATCTGCTACTTTGCGGCTAACCTGAAAATTCCTCATTTTCCGTGTCCATAGTGGGAGGACTTCACCGTCTTCCTCCTAAAGGCCTTGACCTCAGCAAAGGAAGAAAGCTCAAGAAGTCTGCAGGGGTGCACCTTGGGGTGACTCCTGCTGTCTTGAGGGCTCGCTATAATATGACAGTCACTGATGTGGGAAAAGCTCAGAACAACAGCCAGGCTGTGGCTCAGGTGTGACAGCGTTAAATACTTTAATGCTACTGTAACAATATGTGGACAAATAGCTGAGATAAACTCTACAGCATTGAGACCACTACCTAACCGATCGAAATAAGTACTGATTGCTGACACGCTTGCTAAAATAAAGAAGTTTTTGTTCTTCATCATAAACAAATGTAGTATCTTACATTTTCCAATAGTTGTAGCACTACTGTAAACAACAAATTAAAATTGGGTATGTCCAAAGTATTTGCAGGTATGAGAATATATTACTAAAGCTGCATTAGCCCAACAACCTGATTAGTCTTAAATAATGTTCTAAATCGTTTGTCTTATTGAGTAAACTCTTCACTCTAGCTAGCTTTCTCTTGTAGTTCCTGGAGCAGTACTACAGCCCAGCAGACCTGGCTGAGTTCATGAGCATCTATGGCCGGGGCTTTCTGCATCACTCCCAAGTGGACCGGGTCGTAGGTACTCAGGGAGCAGGAAAGGCCGGTCTGGAGGCTAGTTTGGATATAGAGTACATCATGAGCACAGGGGCAAACATCTCCACATGGTTCTTCACCAATCCAGGTCTGTGTGAGAGTGAAACAAAACTAAAAGAATTTACTGAAACTGTTTACATGTTGTTATAATTCTCTATAATGGAGTTCTGCTTTCAACCCTTCATTGTTCTTTAGGCCGTCATGAGTCTCAGGAACCTTTCCTTCAGTGGATGGTTTTGCTCAGCAACATGTCTGACCTGCCCTGGGTTCACACAGTTAGCTATGGAGATGATGAAGACAGTCTGTCTGCTGCGTACATGACACGAATCAACACAGAGTTCATGAAGGCGGGAGTTAGAGGAATCTCTCTGCTTTTTGCTTCAGGTCAGTGATGTTGAGACACTCGGAAACACTTCTTGCATGTTCTGCCTGCTGAATCTGACCCTGTGAGCTTTACTGAGACTTCTTATCTAACAAGCAGGACTGCTATCTTTTGAGAATGTGTTCATCATGTCAGAGGAGCAGTCACATTTTTTACTCTCAGTCACATGCAATGACTCCCACCAGTTCCTGTTTTGTTTTATAATCCAGTCTAGTCCAGAAAAAAGTCATTTCTTGTGCAGAACTGGATACAGAAAACTGTGAGCTGTAATTTTAGGAACAGCCTGAGGAAGAGCAGATGATGTAACAATAATGAAACAGCCTTGGTCTCTTTGGCAGCATGTCAGCTTTCTGTGGCTTCACTCACCTTTCACTGGCAGATTAAAACCTCCCCTGAAACTTGACTGCAACACTATTGTCTAAAATTAGCACCGTGATCCAGAAAAACATGTTTTATTAGTAGCCTGGAGCTTTTTCCTCATCTTATAGCAGCTCTCTGTTAGATTTGTGCTGCATGGTTAGCTGGTGCACAGCTTCCGTCATGAGTCTGATGTGCTTCTGTCATGTTCTTGTTTTATGTTCAGGTGACAGTGGTGCAGGCTGCAAACACTTAGGTGGGGGAAAAAACTCCTTCAGGCCAAGTTTTCCTGCTTCAAGGTAAACCGTGAAGCTGAATAAAGCCTGCTGTATGTTCTGTAAAAGTTGAATCCAGTGCCAATGATGGAAACGCATGTGTCATTTCAACCCTGCCCTGCTTTTTGTTCTCAGCCCCTATGTTACTACAGTTGGAGGAACGTCTTTCAAGAACCCATTTAAGATAACATATGAGGTGACTGATTATATCAGCGGCGGCGGCTTCAGTAACGTCTTTAAGATGCCCAGCTACCAGGTAACACAACCAGATTATCCAGTTCTTTGAAGCTAAATAAATTCAGATAATGCCATTTATACCGTGTTTTATGTCTCCTTCCATAGACCAACACCGTGGAGGCATATCTGAAGACTGCAGCATCAACACTCCCCCCTCAGTCGTATTATAATACCAGTGGCAGAGCATACCCAGACATAGCTGCCCTGTCTGATAACTACTGGGTGGTCTCCAACAGAGTACCCATCCCCTGGGTGTCTGGGACCTCGGTAATATTACATCATTTTTGTTATTGGGGAACTGATGATGTGGCAGAACATAAAGACAAAAACTTTCTTAACCAGAGCATTTGCATCAAACTTTGATTATTAAATCAACAGACATGAAACTGTAGTTATTTGACTTGTTTATAGTTTTCAGGGTGCTTATTTAGTTGTGTCTGAAGGCCAATTTTTCTATCTAAAGTAGACTTTGGATGGATCATTTTTGGCTGGATACATGGAGCCTGTTCTCAAATAACTTTCAGCCAAAAGAGCTAATAATATGAGTATAATGGGCTTTACTAGCTTAGTAGATCTGAGCTGTTGCCATGCTAGCACCTGATTGGGCTTTCATTCAGATAACTTGGTTGCTAAATGACCTTTTAAATCATATCACTCAGAATAAGTTAAAATTCACTGAGCTGTAAGAGCGACTAATTAAAAAAAAATCACCTGGTCACCCTATAGTGCATTTGTCATGTATTGTTCCCACCCGTAGGCATCGACTCCTGTGGTCGGAGGGATGCTGTCTGTCATCAATGATCAGCGACTGCTAAAAGGCTTGCCTGCTCTGGGCTTCCTCAACCCTCGCCTCTACAAACTCAAAGGACAGGCGCTGTTTGATGTGAGTCATGTTAAAACCGCAGAGGAGCTCGTCTTTAGATTAAATTTGGAGAGTAATCAGATCTTGTGATTAACGTTCTCAGAGAATCATGTGGTCTCTCTTCAAACATTTGAACTCGATTTGCACACTTGAACAGTTTATCAGAATTCATCTCACCAGCTCTGCCTCATATTTAACCTTTTTAAGAACTTAATAATATTCAGATTCTGTTGGGATTGTCAGAAATGTGAGCATTTAATCAGCAATAGTCTTCACTTTACCTATGTTGCATAAAAGACTTCCTCTTTATCCTGTTTTAAATAATTGGGGGAGGAGAAAAGGGAAGGAGTTGGGTGGGCATTACAGAAATTTCTCTCTCTGTTACAGCCTGCCAAATGTATTGTTAAGTTTGAAGCTCATTTCCAAAATCAATAACTGGTTGAAGACTTTCATGTCAGTGTCAGAAAGACTTACTTGTCATCTTCATAAAGTTAAACTTTCTTTAACTTTAAAATTAAACTTTCAGGCAGAGCAGTTTGATTAATTTAATTAAAGTGCACATGCAAATGACGCTCAAGACTCAAATTGAAGAATATCAACTAAATCTTAAGCTATCTGCGGTATTGTCACATGTTGTGTTGACTTTGTTTTTGCTGTCTTTGCTCCTAATGATTGAAGCCATTTGTTCAAAGGTTCCTTCTAGACAGCAGGAAACTCTTTAGCAACACGTTTTGAAACCATGAGCGGCTTCCTTACTGCTGCAGTTTGTTTCCTTGTGTGCAGGTGACTGAAGGGTGTCACCTCAGCTGTCTGGATGAAAAGGTTCAAGGGAAAGGTTTCTGTGCTACACCATCGTGGGACCCTGTCACAGGTTGGGGGACCCCAAACTACCCTGAGCTGCAGGCTGTCCTGCTGGCTGACTGAAAACCTGCAGGTTGTGAGGGTTAGTGCTACACCTACAGGTACTACACATGTTGCCAAACTCATGATCCACTGCCTGATTCCAAAGGCAGGACCGCAAATGGAGGGAAAACTATGCCTGCTGGTCAGATTAATGATAATTCCATTATTTTTAATCTATCATCATCACATCCTTTTATCAACTCTTTGGCTCTTTTATCAGATTATTTTCTCTTTACAAAAGGCTTTAAACTGTTTCTCAAGTATTTTTAGGTCAGGAGGAGTGCTGCTTTGAGATTTTTTACTGCTACACTGAAGCTGCGTATTTCTGCTGTTCACTGCATTTTAACTGACCCAGATTTCTTAAACCTGCAGGCAGACTGATGTTCACGGTTATGTTCGGCCTTAAATTCACAGCTCTAACACACAGCGATGAGAAGTTTCGTGGTAAACTAAAACTTGCTTAGTAAAAGAAACTGAACTTGAAAGCTATGCACAAAGAACATTAACATGGTAACAGGCAGTACATGCACTAATCGCCTTTTAGGTATATGCTCAGACTATTTGAAGATTCTGTTAAAACTTAAATTGTCTTGTTTATTTCCACTCATGGGATTTAACTGACTTCATCAGATGTTGGGATTTTATTTAATACATTTGAAAAGTCAGACTTTGCTGGCCAGATGTGCAATTCTGTCTTTTTTTCACAGCTACTCTGCAGGGATATGCCAGGTTAAAGTAATTGTGTCGTTTCATGAAGAAAACAAATGCATGCTGTTTTTAAATGTCACCAGTGTATTCTGAATTAATCAAACAAAAACATTAAGTGTGATTAACAGGATCTCTTTCAAACTTTATTTTACTTTGGATCTCTTTTAAACTTGATTTTACTTTGTTGCTGTTTGCTCTGGACTAACCAAATGCACTGAGATATGTGGGTTTAAAGTGATTCAGCAATTCTACGTTCTAGCATTGTTGCACGTTTGAACTTTTGCCCATGTAAAGCCTACAATTTTGTATTTGAATGTGAGACAATATGTTTTTGAATTTTATTAAAGCTGGACTTTTAATTGGGAATGTCAGATGACGTTGAAGAGACTTCTCAGTGAATTAGGTAAAAACTGGTCTTAGTATTTAGAATTGGGTGATTATGGAATAAAGTGATGTGAGAATGAAAATGCAGCGGAAGAAAAATAAATTCAAAACTTGGGATTTGTTTTGTTTATTTCATCTTCTGTGGTTGTGAATTTTGTGTTTTTTTTAAACTGTTTGTTGGACTAAAGAGCATCTCGTCGTGGGCTTTAACATTAAGCAAGAACAAAACCTTCAAAAGTATCTTTAATTCAAACCATTTGGCTGTTTTCTGAAAGTTATAACCAGGTTTCCAGAAGTGCTTGGAATCATCCTACAGTGAGCTGCAGTTATTGGTTTAGAATTATTGAAGTATTTAACTCTAAATGTGACACTTCCTCTTTTCTCTGTGGTGTCTTGGGTAAAACAGAAACAAGAAGTTGACATTGATCAACTGGGTAACCAGTTATAAACTTGCGCTGAAAAAATTAGATACTAGACAATCCTGAAAAACAAAGGGAAGCAGAGTTATCTTCATTTTTTCCCCTCCATTGTACTAAAAGATTTCCAGAATACAAAAAATACAACTATGAAACTTGGTATGGTATTCTGTTGACATTTTGTGTATTTTCTGTTTGACACTGATTATACGGTAAAGTGGTAATATGAACAACAGCCCCACTAGTGTCAGATCATCATCAAAAACCATCACTTGTATTTTCTCTTGATACTAAAACAGCAAAATAACTCACACTTGAGTCATAAAAGATGACACTGTGTTGGTAGTGCAAGGGAAAATCATTTTAATCAGTGATCACTATTGAAAAATCACATGGCTATTATCTACAAGGTTCTGATATTGCATTGTACAAAATGAAAATATGGAAAGACCACCCAGCCCCCCTTCTTGAATCACACTCACATGAAGGGGAAAGTGGGAGGGAAAACAAAGTGTGAATCCTCTTCCATGAAGGAAGAACTACAGGGACAGTCTCACTACATACATTTCCACAGAGCTTATATCAGTGTACAATATGCACACTTAGGGGAAAGTAGAAAATTGAAAAGGTGTCATTGTGGAGGATCAATGCAAATTTGACATTTATTGCAAAAACTTTGAACTGGCTGAGTTTAGGTATAAATACGTTTTTTTTTTTTTTAGGTGTAGATCCATGATTTAACATCTTCACAAGAAGAAACCGTAAATTGTTCCATCCAGGTAGCGCCAAAGTAAGGTAGGATGCCTGAGGGGGTTGGGGTTCTCACGAGTTCCTTGTTCAAACCTCCTTACAAATATCAAAGAGTTTCAAAAGAGTTCACTTTAATCTAGAGGTAAAACAAAGGGGACTTCTTCTCTCACAACGAAGCAGGACACAAGTTTGTCAAGGAGTGGAGATTCAGGTCAAGTCCTCCAGTGTTCACTCATCTTGTTCCTCTTAGCACGCCTGGTTCACTGGTTGTTTTTGGCTTTGGCATGTGTGAGGATGTGAGACTTCAGGTTGGTTGACTGAGCAAATTTTTTATTGCAGCCATCAAAAGGGCAGACATACGGGCGGTCTCCAGTGTGAATCCGCACATGTGTGCGCAAGTTAAAGTCCAGGGAGAACCGTTTTCCACAGCCTTCAAATGTGCACTAGAAAAAAAGAGACATGGAGTTAACTTTGAATATTCCGGCATTACTACAGCAAGTGATGCAAAGACCTGGTTCCTTAAAAAGACTGTCGAGCAATGGCTACCTTGAATATTTAAAAAAAATATATATATAAACATTCCTCTGGGAAAAGAGGAAACCAAGTAGAGGGCTCACCTGAAAGGGTTTCTCTCCTGTGTGTACCAGTTGATGCCTCTTCAGCTTTGAACTCTCAACGAAGGCTTTGCCGCACTCTGCACAGACGTGCACACGAGGCCCATGGGTATGCAAGTGCTTCCTCATGGCTGAGTTGTCCCTGAACATCTTGGTACATCCCTGAGAGGGAGTAAAACAAGATGTCTCAAATCACTTGGTAAACATTTCAATTATCAGAGACTCTTGACAGCAGAATCACACAACTACTGATGTTCCTCTGTCTATTGAATACATGTATCTACTCATTAAGGGTTTATACAAGGCAATTACCGTGCAACTGAGAAAGCTATTGTTAATGTTTTCATCCTTCAGTATTTGCTCAAAACTTGTGTAATAAACAGTACTGCACTCACTTTGTGTGGACAGGCTATCGTTCTTGGTGCATCGTCCTCTTTTACCTTTCTTGGTTTCATTCTAAAACAAAAACACAGTAAACAACTTTAACACACAACTCACACAGTTATTTCTGAACAGATTTGATTCCACACAGTTCAATACCCGGTGCAGCTTCACCCACATGACCGGCATTATTTTAATTCCAGCTGTCTTAAATATTTTCTGTATCTGGCTCTTGGCAAAGCAAATAGATCCTATGAATATCTGGTGTTTTATTCCAGTGGTCTCAGTACAAATTTTAGCCAGAGTTCACATAAACCTAAGCACCTACCGTGCAAACTCCGCCAGCTGTTTGGGGTCCGACAGGTCGATGCCGGGGATGCCTCCAGGTGGAAGCTTCTTTCCCGTCATGTATTCAGAATAATCTGGGGGAGAGTTTTCACCAATGATTTGCTCTTCATGGTCAATGTCTTTCTTGTCATCTAAATGAAAGGAAGAGATGAGTTGATCAGTTGAACAGGATAAGATCATTGGGGAGGAACTGATTAAAGCCTATCAGAGACCTCCCCCCAAACACACAGTACTATCTGCCATTATTTAACAACTTATTTATAACTAATACACAAAGGTGGTAAAAAAGCAGGTTTTGTCAGTCAATGTTTAAGCACCTAATCTCTAGATGTCACAAGACATGTGTTATGATGTTTTTACAGTCATCAGGAAACTAATGTTTGAGTATGATTCAAGTTTTGTTATGATAGGGTGGCATATTTATTTATTCTAATGTCTAATACAGAATTATGATACTATATTTGAGTTGTATCAACTAAAATAAGAAATATTTCAAATTCATGGAGATAAAATTTCTAGCTTAATAAATATACAATAAAAATGGAAAAAGAAATATGACAGATACACTGTTTTTACTTTGAAACATTAAATGCAGTCGCTACCTTAGTTTAACCTGTTTATTTTCTCAATAGACAATGCAAACTACTCGCACAAAGAATTACTTAATAAACATGGTGTGCCGTTTCTCTGACTTTCTGTCCTTTTACATTAAGGTGCGTTTAAAGCCTCTTAAGTGAAAAGTACCGGGAGTTCGTGAAGGCACCACCACAGTGAGAGTTGAACTGAACTGCGCCACAGCGGCCTAGCGGAGCCAGCTGCACTCGCTCCCACTCTCGCCGCCATCTTCGTCGGCCAAATAAACGCCATTTTTTCGGGCCGCCATACTTTCTAGACCGGGGAAATATGGCGGCGCCCATCAACACATAAAACATGGCTTCCCATAAAAACAATAACATTTCAAATGAAGTTTCAGTGGCTCAGAGTCGGGAAATAATTCCTAGTTTAGCGGAGGACAAGGCCCCAGCAGGGCCCTGTCACACGGCACACACGCTGAGAACAAAGCGAGGGGCCAGCTTGCAGGATTTCACACAGGACTCTGAACTTACCCGATGCCCACATAGTGACCGAAAACTCCCCCTCCAAAGTCTTTATCTGGACCTGCTTCTGTTCCCACTTTCTGCCCATTTCTCCACCGCTTATATAGCTCTTTTTGCCCGCTTTCTTTCCGCTCCCAGCCTTCCTCATCCGGCCTGTCGTGGAGCTTTTCCCCGCTACAGTGACCAGAGTCTGTTCGATAAAGTCCTCCTCCACGGCTGGGACTGGGATAAGGATTTGATCCTCAAAACCATCATCGGTGTGCAGTTCAGAGTCATCCTCACCCACGACCTCCTCTCTTGTTTGCACTAAAATCACCTCTTGATGCGGGTGAAGTGAGTTTGGATCATCCGTGTCAAGAGGCTGTAAGGCGATCATCGGCTGGTGTTCACCGTCGTCTCCAACAACTGTTGTCTCGATTGTCTCTACTTCGATTTCGTGCAGTTCCACTATTTCTGCTGGCATTTCTGACCCGTCCGTTTCTATGTACAGAGTGTCCCCCGAAGCCATGATCTTGTTGTATTTCTTCCTACTTGTATGGTATTTTTTTACAGTCTCGTTTCCCTCCCAGTCTACTCTCAGCCTTCCTCCTCCCTCTCCGGCAACAACTCTGCCCCACTCAAGTCTCGTCGCCACAGTGCTCTAGTTATGAAGTCTCGCGTGACTGACATTAAACAACTCCTAACCATAGGTTGTTTATAGAATACATAAATTGTATTATATTAATAAAATAAAATAAAATAATATTAATATGTATTTTATACATGTATTAATATTGTAATATATACATTGTATATACAGTCTATGCTCATAACTAAAAAAAAACCGCTGTCTTATTTCATTTTTTTTACTATGAACGTAAAAACGTGAAAAACACACAATAAGCAAACTTTATCAGTCATTTCTACATTTGCTAATGGTTAAACCTACATTTTCGTACTTCCAAATGGTTTATTTTCCACCTCAGCCAAAGTTAATGCAGGAAAAGACTGAGCTGACATAAATGTTTAATGACATTTCACACTAGATTTTTGTTGCAATTAATAATTGACTGTACATGGAGCATGATTATAACAGGTTTTCATTGTTTACTGTTGTTCTGATGATCTGGTAGCAGTTGACTCAATGAGAAACTTCACTATGACACTTAAATAACCAAAAATACAAATAGTTTGGTGTTTTTAAGGACAAAATTACACTTTTTAATTTCAAATTGTTTCATTCAAGAGATAACTCAGTGATACTCTATTAACAAAAGGAAATAGAAAAAGCAGACAAACAAAACTGAGAAGCTTGTTTTGGAGAAAAAATACGGAATCCATTACTCATAGCCAAAACAAAGAAAGAAAATCTATGTAAAAACAGTTTGTAAAGTTTGTGGAATCTATCCACTTTAATTCCAGCCGGGAAACACAGCAGGAAATTATTCTGATGTTTCTGTTTTACACATACTGCAGGTGCAAAGCCCCGCCCCAGCTCGGGGGGGTTGGAGGGATGGGTGGAGTTCTTGATCACACCGTACACTTTTCACCTGCAACCCGTGCGAGTGGGTGTGCCCGGCGCTGTGAAGGTTTGATGACACATACAATGCTGCACAGCCAGTCGCCTGAAACTCAGCAGAGATAGTCATGGGGAAGACAGGTGGAAGAAACGACTTTGAATGGGTCTACACTGACCAGCCTCACACCTCCAGAAGAAAAGAAATCCTGGGTAAGAAAGAGAAAAAAGACAATTTTAACCACACGCAGGAAGTACTGATCTGCTAGAGTAGTAATACCGTGAATTTTCTCTGACCACAGCCAGCTTATAAAATCGTAGCCGGTTCAACCTGTTTACTTGCTGTTGCAAAACGAGCTACAGTCCACAATGGATGCAGGGGCGATGTAGAAACTGACATACATGTAAAGATTATGTCAGACTTCTTCATTGATATGTGCTGTTAGTTAAAATTACAACAAGTTTTAAAAAAGAAGTAGAAAAACTGCAGATTTTAAGGTACACATAACAATTTAAATTATTGTACATGTAAGTTAAAGATGATTTTTTTCTCCTGTTACTTCTTTTCCTGACTGAGTTTCTTTTTTCTCAATTCTTACATTATTTGTGTGAATAAGCTGCTTTTTTTAAGAAAAGGGAGCGTAGAAATAAGAAGTGAGGATTGTAATGAACTCATTCACCTTTATCAGTGCTAAGGCATGACTTTCATTTCCCAAAATATTTCAGTCACACTACATTTTTTTAAACTTGGTTGTTTGGTTATCTCATGGAAGTTCTGACCTACAGACCTAAGCTGTAAATCAAGCGTCTCTCCATCACCCCCATCTTTGACTTACAGGACAATAAGAGCACACTGATAGCAGGTGCTGTTGACAATGCCTCTGGGCTCACTAGGTAACAAGACACATTCCCAGCTCATGACAAACATACATGTAAGGCAGAGTGTGAACTGTGAAAAGAAAGGCTTTGTTAGAGTCAGGGGATCAGGGAGGTTCCCTGTTAGAAAAACAGTCATTCACAAAAACAACTAAAACCACACCTGTTGTTGATGATGATACAGGCTGATCCACAAAACTCTCAAACTTTATTTTCTTGTTTTTTTTATTCAATCTGTCCTTGGCAGATTTATTGTTTCTTTGGATGTAAAACACTTTAGATCAAGATCATCTAGACCTGTTGATGTACATTTGATCCTTTGCTTTGTCCAGCGGTCTCATTGTTGCCCTGATGATGTGAAAGACTAATCTTAAAGCAGATGGGTTGTTTGACACCACTGAGTGTTGAATAATTCAAGCGTTTTGCTTTTATTAAGCTGACCTGTCCATGATGTGATGTGTCAGAGGTTACAGAGCATAACGTCCTCTTACATTATCATGTGACAGAGTTTGATTGGCATGTGTTTTTATGAGTTGAATGGATAGTATTTTTTTGTCTTGGTTGGCATCTCATAAGCTTAATATTACCAGGAGAAGGACATCAGAGTATGCCATCACAGTAGCTGCAAAACTTTGACCTTGAATGATTTTACAGCTCTGAAAACACAATAAAATATTCACTTTGACTTGTGAAATGCTGTTCAGTCTGAAGCTCAGTTGAAACTCGTGGCTGAAACCTCCTACATTTGAGGGGTATACTGGCTTTTGTCCCTCTGACACAGTCAAGTGGGAATAATCTGTTGATGGCTTTACAACATGTTTAGCTAGTTCAAACAGTTTCTTTTATGATGTCTGGTTACTGATTGAACTTAATGTCATATGTGCCTCCTTTAAGGGCAACACCCTAAGATCTGAAGCCCTCTCTATAAATAGGTTCAGCAAGTTATGCATCTGAGGTTGGTTCAAAAGTAGGAAATGAAATATCTTGAGCAGCACTTTGATTAATAATTGTTTTGAAATGAACAGCCGTAGAAAAGAACGAGGAATTCCTCTGAGCTAAACATTAACTGAAATAAAAGGTCAGAAAAGGGGAAATGCCACTGAAACCAACCTCTGGTATTTTTTAAACCTTTATTTCCAATTTGCATAGAGGCATTGCAAAAGCAGCTCAATGCAAAGACACATGGCAGATTTGCATGGGATGTCATGTGATGTCTGATGGCTATGGCTCCAAAACCTTCTGCATCTGAATTTTGCATCAACAGAAACCACCACACCAGAGCTGAGTGGGCTGGAAGGTGTGGTCAGAGAAACAAATCACTCCCAGTATGTCCCAATGAGATGACAATGCTGTGAGTTTCAAACGGACAACAGCCCTTTAGAGTGGTTGGTGTTGCATGACTCCCATGTATCTCTCAGAGTTTCCTATCCCTCAGCAACACAACACCTTTGCCAATTAAAAGTGACTTTTGTCAGCAGGCGTGGTCCCCAGGGTGGGTTTTGTATCATACAACATGCACAATATGGTAACTTGTCAGTGTTGCATGGCGATGAAGCTTTTCACAGTGACCAACTTTAAAAATTAGAGTATTGTCTTCTGGATTCATATCAGTTGCTTCAAACTTTTAAAAACATCATCATTAAAGCCCCAGTGAGGAGTTTTTGAAACAAACCGAAATTAACACCAAGCTCTGTATTTGACATACAAAAGCAAAGTGGACTTTTGAGAAGATATTTTTCTTTCCATCCATACATAAATCCATTCATCTTCTCGGGTCAGGGTCATGATGGCAGCAGAATAATTGAGCTAAACATCCCTTTCTCTACAATATTTTACAGCTCCTCCAGGCGGGTCTCGTAGAGTCCAAGGCCGTGGTTTTTTCTCGAAAACCACAGACTTGGACTTAAATACGCTAACTTTCATCCTAGCTGCTTTACACCTGGTTGCAAATGGCCCAGGTAACCTCTGGCGGTCCCAGCTTCAAGAGGCCAACAGAATTACATCATCTGCAAATGTAGAGTTGAAATTCAGCGGCCTCAAAGTTCGATCATTTCTGAATGTTTTCATGTCTTTAAAAAACTGCTGCAGGATAGATGTCAAAGGCTGAAGAACTCTACTGAAACAGACTTTGTTTGCATTTTTCTTTGTTTGCAACAAAGTGAGATACATTTGACTGTTCAAATACAGCTGGAGGAAAATTTTGTGCGAGGAAAAAAAACAGCTTGCACACAGGACATGATCAGCAAGAAGATATGAATTGCAGAGATATGAAGTTCCTCATAGGAGTATTTTTTTTAAATTAAATTCAACCTGTTACAATTCTCTTTCATTCCTTAGCCAACATTTTTTAACACCCTCCACTTTTAACCCTCACATCGTACTGCTATTTCTTACTCCAGCGTACTTCTAACTCTGACCAACTCCCTTCCTTTCTTTTCTCCTCAGCCAAATATCCAGAGATCAAGTCCTTGATGGGTCCAGACCCCCAGCTGAAGTGGGTGGTTTCAGGCATGGTCCTGACCCAGCTCCTGGCCTGCTACCTGGTCCGTGACCTCTCCTGGAAGTGGATCTTCTTCTGGGCGTATGCCTTTGGAGGCTGCATCAACCACTCCCTGACTTTGGCTATCCATGACATCTCGCACAACGTGGCATTTGGAAACAAACTGGCTAAGTGGAACCGCTGGTTCGCCATGTGGGCCAACCTACCCATCGGGCTGCCGTACTCTGCCTCCTTTAAGAAGTACCACATCGACCACCATCGGTACCTGGGTGGAGACCAGTTGGATGTGGACATCCCCACAGATATTGAGGGATGGTTCTTCTGCACCCCAGCCAGGAAAGTGCTATGGCTCTTCTTGCAGCCGTTCTTCTACGCTCTCCGCCCGCTGGTGGTCAATCCAAAGCCAGTGTGTCAGCTGGAGATCCAGAACGCAGTGGTTCAGCTTGTAGTAGACTTGATTATCTATTACCTGTGGGGGCTGAAGCCAATTGTTTACCTTATAGCAGGATCTATCCTGTGCATGGGACTACACCCCATCTCTGGACATTTCATCGCTGAGCACTACATGTTTCTGAAAGGACACGAGACTTATTCTTACTACGGGCCGCTCAACATGATTACCTTCAATGTGGGGTATCACATGGAGCACCACGACTTTCCCAGCATACCTGGCAGCAAACTACCTCAGGTGAGGGCTGTCAAAAATCACTGCTCATTATATAACAGGTGAACTTTAGACTTGAGTCCTTATTTCTGAGACTTTTGTTAGTTCAGTATTCAAGAACGAGGTCAAGTCAGACTTTTACATCACCACCAAGTGTGGGGAAGAAAAGGCAGGCCTCTCCTTGTCTTTCAAAGGCTCAGCATGAAAGTATTGATCAAAACCACGTTTTTTTCCTCTAACTGTGATGAAAGGTTAAGGTTTGTAAATGATTAACTCTGCCTATCTGGTACCACAGGAGCCCAAAGAGAGTGTCAATTATACAACTCAATCACCAAACAATGTGGGGAAAGAAGGATCATATCAGCCTGTTCTTACAGTTTTCAACAGAATACACTTGAAAATAAAAACAAGTAAAAAGCCTCCATGACAAAAAACCTTGACAGGGCTCAATAAAATCTCATTCTGTGCCATATCAAAATGGACCAACATTTAGTCCCTGAGGTACCTGTTGATAATTTCTATCTTGGCTCAAATGTTTGTTTTTTGTTTGCAGGTCAAGCAAATTGCAGCAGAGTACTACGACTCCCTGCCTCAGCACACTTCCTGGACCCGGGTATTATGGGACTTTGTGTTCGATGACAGCATTGGCCCCTATGCCAGGATTAAACGGGAGTACAAGCTCAGCAAGCAGGAGTAGCCCTAAGACTGGTTTAGCTTTTCTTTTTACAAGGAACGTGAGTTTCAGTCCTTGACAGTCGATGGACTTCGATGGAGCGTAATATTCCCTAGTTGAACTGTTGTTGTGTTTTTCATAAAGGCTGTTTAATTTCCACTGAGCTTAAATCAGCTAAAAAACAGGAAGAGGATTCACATACTGCTGGTTTCCTTTTGTCATTATTTATTAATGTTGTATTCCTGCTTTGAACACAACTCACAACTGTGTGTATTTCCTTGTATGTAGGAGGCGCATACATAGTTAATATTCCCTGTCTGCATCTGTAGCCTTCAGGAACTTTTTGTATTCAACACAAAAACACATTTTGGTAGGATTAGGTCATAAACATTTTCATGAGGTTTTACAGAGATGTCACTTCCTCTGTGGTTATATATTGTTGCCTTTAGCATCACAGCTTCTAATGGCTCACATGATGTCTAGGATGACTGACAGTGATTTTACTTTGATCATGCAGAACAGTGCTGAGGTGGAAAATGAGCAGTGAAACTTACCCTCCAGTAAGAGGAGCCTTTTCTTCAGTGAAGCCCAAATCTGCTCGTTCGCAGCTCTATTGCGCTGTAACCTGATAATATCTGCAGGGCGTGGACAAAATAACTCACATCGTGTTGATAAAAAATTGGTGATTTAGAAGTTTACGATGGGAGTGACCCCACTATCATTTCAGCAGAGCAGCAAAGTATTGAGATTATTACTATCACCTTTGTTCCCACCAGCTGATCACGTATTTTCCTACATTCTGCCTCTTTATCAAGAGTTTCAAGATCCCTACTCTCTCTACACAGTTTTTCTTTGATAGTAGAAAGCAATTCTAAATCTTTTATTATTCATAATTTCCATTGTAGAAATGGTAAATCTTCAATAGATTACCTGCGTAACTAACCAGTGTAATAATGCTAACAATAGATAATAAAAACTTTATCAAATCAGCTTAAGTTGACAAATAAAGATATCTGAAGCTTTACCCAAGTCATATTTACAGCTGAGTTTCTCTGTTTTGCAGTGTTTGTTATTTTGTTCATGTTCTGTATGTACAAATTACACAATGTTGTTTTACAAGCATGATTTTTGTTTTTTCTATTTAAATAACTGTAATACATATAAAATCAGTAAGAAAGGACGAAAGAAAATCGGTGCGTTCAGCTTTTTGTTGTTTGGTGAATTTCAAACTGTGTGTGCATTTTTGAATCAGTTATGAAACAGACTCAGACAAACAGTGATGCTTCTTAATGGCCCCAAAGAGCAAACAAGACCATCAGGAAGAAGACTAATCATATTTATGAGCAGTGTCTTCTGTTTTCATCAGCAAATTTTGACAGTGTGTGATACAGCTGAATACTGAAAGACAGCAGGACAAGATTTGTAACTCCAGTTAACAGCTGCTGCTACAATGATGCTATGCTGCATTATCCTGATGTGGATAAGCACAGTGAGCATCACAGTTGAATTTTCCAATATTTTTGCCTAAAAACTAGAGATAAAGTTGATTGTAGGTATATAACTGAGCACTACATAACCAGCACAGGCATGTGGATGCTAACAATCAAGGACCATTAGTCACACCTAGGCCTGTCACGATAACAAATTTTGCTGGACGATAATTGTGCTACAAATTATCGCCGATAAACGATATTATTGACACCATTTTTTTAATTATAGATAATGATATTATATGGCATAATAATGCGAGTACACCATGTCAAAAGTGATAAACTTTAATTTCCACACGAGAACAACACTGGTTGTTTTCGTTGACTAAAATATTTCCCTTTTCTCCCACGACGAAGACGTAACGTTGACGAGCTAAACATAAGTCGGAGATGACTAAAGTGTGACGAGACGAAAGTGCGTTTACGTTGATGGGACGAGACGAAAATGACGAACAGAGTTGCAAAACTCAGTCAGTTAAAGGCTAAACATACAGGAGCAGCTTCAGTCCGCTCTGACAGCTCTCATCAGCCTGCTGTGCTCCTCCAACACACAGACACACACGCACGCGCGCGCGCACAAACACACGTGGAGTTTTGTGTTTGACGAAAACAAAACTGGTTTAAAGCCGAAATATTCCCACACTTGGGCTGTTGCGTTCGGTTTAGACACCAAAGCTGTCGTGTTCATTCTGTTAGCTTGCTTTTCACTCACGACGCTCACTTGCAGCACTGTATCCAAAAGTCTGTGTCTGTGTGCCTGTGCGCGCCTACGTGTACCTGCGCGCGCGCCCCCCCGTGACAAAGATACTGAATGACTGACAGGAGGGTTCACTAACTCCGTTCATTCCGCTATAGAGCCAACGCCCCCAGGTGCCGAGAAAAATGCGCAGAGTGAGACCTCTTCTCTCATCCAGCGTGTTTGGTAGCGAGAGAGGAGGAAAACAAACGCACGTCAATTATCGCGGCTGGCAAAGTTATCGACCTCGTTTTTATTTATCGAGCGATAAGGCGATTTATTGATTATCGCGACAGGCCTAGTCACACCAGTCTGACATTGTTTCTGCTTTCTAGGTCTTACACTCTGATAAGTCAGCTGGTCTGTGTTTAAAATGTTGTTTCAGATGCTAAGAAATGAACCGCTTTAAAACATCCCTGACCAAATGGACGCAAACCAAAGGTTCCACACATCAGCGTTTAACGTGATGATTTTTTACCCTGGAGGTGAAAACTCTTAAAAAAACCAAACAACAGGACTCAAGTGAAGAAACAGACACAGTGGGATATTGTGTAGATGGTTGACAGGTCTTATTGTTTTTGTTTGAATGAAATTACTTCCAGCTTGTAAATCAGAACGTAGTTGAGAGCGGACAGAGTGGATAGAATGCAACAACCAAGATTCAACCAAATCCTTTCTGCAGAGACATAATAAACTACCATCACATCGGCCTATCATTCACTTTCTGCACATTCTTCTCTAGGTAAAATTTGCATATTGCCAGAACACCTCCCTCCATTCCCCCCCCCCACGATGCTACCATCATCAAGTTCAATATTTCAGTTAAAGAAAAGGGAATCTTCAGGGAAACAAACCACGATAATAAATGTACCACCGTTTGTATTTTTTTATTCTTTTTTCTTTAAACCAAATAAAAAAAAACTAATTGGTAAGAGATGGGGGATTTCATGCATACTTCAGAGGTTCACAAAGCATAGGATGACTAATAGGACTATACTGTTTTATATCTAGGTAAAACCAGGTGGCACATTTACAGTTATCGGCCTGTTTTGTGAATGATCCCCGTGTTTCGATGATCTCACACATTTGAACAGGTAGAGACATCCTCCTTGGTCACACTGGAGTTGTAGAGCGGATTTTTATTGTGTGTTCTTGGTTAATTTCCCCAAAATGTCGTTTATTTGTAATGCCTTGGATGTGAAAGAAAGAGGTAATTAAAGTTGCTAATTGTGGTTCAACATTAACATATTTTCCAACATCTTTGGAAAAAAAAAGGTTTGACACACAACACCAGTATGAACAAGGTCATTGAAAGCCTGTTTTTTTTTTCTTTTTTTCTTTTTTTTTAAATACGCCAGCCGCAGGGCAGGTGAGTTTGAGTTTGCAGCACCGTTACGCCCGTATTGTGCTTTTTACCAACAAACAATTGAGGATGAACCGAACAAAACAAATAAAAAACAATATTAAAGGCTGACATTAATGGTGTGCAAGATTCCTTTCTCTTTCTATAATATCAATAAAATACTCATTGTCATCAACAGCATCATCATCATCATCATCGTCATCACCACAGTTTTTAAATAATAAAACAGTAAAAACTTAGAAAACAAAAATATTTTCTTCTTAAGACTCGGACTGAACAGAGAAAAAAAGAGTTGCAACACCAGGCTGACTGAGTCTATAGGTGCACAGAGAGGACCACAACACCAAACTCAGCAAGAAAGTCTGTCCATCAGTTCATCTTTTACTTGATTTATCATCCTCTGTTTGAGTTCATCAGTCCTTTTGACTTTCCTTTATCCCTCTGCTCCCGTCCCATCAACCTCCTCCTCACTCTTTCTCCTCTCGGTTTCCTTCTTTACATTTTTTTTGCTGTCCAGCAGACTCAAATGTTGACACAAAGTCTCTGCACCTTGCTTTGTGGCGTCACGAGGTCACAGAAACATTGAGAGAACATTCCCGGGTCCTCGTGTCTGTGCATCTGCATGTCTGTTTTCCTCCAGCTCCTCCTCTTGCTCTCCTCCTGCCGCTGCTCAGGTGAGATTAGGACGTGCTGATTCTGCCAATTTCTTGTCTGATGGCTGTATAAAAAAGACATTGTTGCACTTGAATATTTAAAAAAGTAAACTTAACAAATGCACCTCATATGGAGGGAGAGAGTAAAACTGAATTTTTCAGTTTTAATAGGAATTTTTATGTAAGGATTTGACTATACTCACCATTTATGATTTCATCTTTCACCTTATGCAACTCACGAACTACTTCATCCAAGATTTCCTGCAAAACAAGAAACACAGGGCGTGTGAAACTGTTGGTTTGCACAGTACAAAACCTTCACACATCCCTTAATGATGGAAACTCACTCGAAAATTATACCAACCTGTTTCATCCTGTCAAACTCTGTGTCTGATTCACTGGTGCTGCCAATGGGTCTCACTCTGCAGCATAGAAGAACAAACTGGGTGAATATAAAGGCGGCCATGTTTATTTCAGCACACCACTAATTTAGGGATTATGTCAAACCAATCTGCTTTTATTTCTGTCACATGCAACAGCGTTAAGTGCAACAGAAGAGATTTATAGTAAAAAACCACAAGGTTAATAATATTATTACAATTTATTTATATAGTGCTTTTCATAGCACTAAAAGACACTTTAAATAGAAGAAAACACATAAGTAAATCAGATAAAAATATAGGCTACAATACAGGTGCATCAACAATTAAAAGCAGATTATGCCAGAAATGTTATTTTCTATGTGCTGGTTTAATATTTCAAACACTCAATCTCAGCAGTCTCACAGACCTGGACACCAGCGAGGACTTGTCTGCGGAGTTGGATCGCTCCCATGGCTTCTTCACAGCATCTGGTCAGAGTTGAAAGAATAAACATAAAATTAAACATTTTTCTGAAAAACTCACACATCACTAAAATGTTGCTGTGCCTGTGTTATACACAGTAATGTTAAAGTACGTTTCTCTGTACCTGTTGAGTTCTGCTGACCTGGTCCCCGACCACTAGAGTCATCCTATGGGACAGGGAAAAGTTCACAAGAGTGACACAGTTCTTACCAGCTTCATGGTAAAATAACATTTAAAAACAATAGTTTTGAAAATGCACCTATTCAATGGATGTCAAATGAGGAAAGTTTTATATGTTACAGCTGCTGCCACTCACTACTTGGCAAAAAACTACTACTGCTGGTCACATTGTCTCAGATATTTACATTGAAAGCAACTATCTCTGACAGAAGGTACTGCACTTACTTCATCAGGTTTCTCTGAAGCTTTCCGTCTATAAGAAAGAGAAATGAGGAACAGTGACATACATGTGCAGACAATGCAGAGAGACGGACTCATGTTTTATGAGCTTATTTCCTTTAGTAAAAGTCCATCTACTGCTCTCAAAGCAGAACCAGGAAGACTGACATGGAAATATTGACAGAAAGGCTGACAGAACAGGTATTTTCTCATGTTTCTCTGCATGATTGATTTGAAGCTCAAATGAAGGCGTGTGTTTGTATAGCTGCTTTACCTGCGAGCTAGTAAGGCATTCATCTCCTGCATCAGGCCCTCCCCACCACCACCACTGCCACCGCTGGACCGGTTGGAGTCACTTTTACCACCTGATCCTGGCGGACTGCTCTCATCCTGAGGGACACATTTTAAAAATGAGTTTCAGGTGTTCTATTTCAGGTGTTATCTTTAACTAGCCCGGCCCTAAAAATACACAAACATCATGGCTGTAATACTCAACAGACAAGGTAAAACCAGAAACACTGGACCTACATCTTCTGAGCTTTCACCACGTCTCACCCTATGTACTTTACGTAGTTTGGCTCCAGCCAGTGCTGCAGCCAGTCCTGAGGGTTGGTGCTGGACCCCTGGCGGGCCCCCAGGAGGCCCTCCACCAGTGGGCAGTGGAGGGGGCATAGGTGGGGGCACTGCCATGGGAGGTGGTGGACCTGGTGGAGGTGGAGGGGCTGGAGGACCAGCCATGGGTGCTGGAGCTGCAACTGGAGGAGGAGCCACAGAAAGCATGGCAGGGTGACCTGCAGAGACAGGGGGGCCTGGGAGGGGCACAGTTTGGTACTGGTTAATAATTATAGGGGTTCACTGATCTTCTTTTGCCCCTTGGAAGAATGTATTAAGACTGTATCACGGTTAAAACCTACAAACTGCTGCTATCAGTGAGCAGCACTGAAGCAAAAGTGCTCAGTGAGAGAGAAAGTTCAGCTAAATAAGTTTTCGATCAAATCTATAGTTTGATTTTGATTTGATTTTTTGGTTTTCTACTTCACAGCTGTTGTTTAATTGCAGAATAAATGGAACTTTATGATGTCATGATAAGACTGTTACGTAAAGGTACAATTGTGAGAAACAAAGCTATTCATTAACTTTTTACAGTCTGTGTTGGTGGTATGCCTGTGAAAGTGACAGCGGCAGCCAAATAAAACCATAAAAAATTCCTCTTTGTGTCATTGATGTGAGCTAGGAAAACAGCCTTTGCCTCCAACTGAAAAACCATGTGACAATAAAGTGACTCTGCAGACAAGCTTTAAAGCTACAGGACAAACTAAAAAGAAAAAAAAGTGTTTGTGCCACTGTGGCTCACCTGGTACGGCATGTACGATTTCAGGTTTAGGAATTGCAATGGTCTCAGTTCTAACCTTGGCTCTGTGCTGCATGTCACCCCCCACCCCCCACCCGTGTGTCCTGTCTGTGGCGCAGCAGCTATAAGGAACTAAAATAGATGAAGTCAGTCTTTTTGCTGAGGGCCTGGTTTGCTTTTGAAGGTGGAAATAAATGCACAAGAACTCCTCAAGGTTGACATGAGCAAAAAAAAAAAATGTTTTCTACATCAAATAACTTGCAGACGATTCTGAAACAATGCTGGTATTTCTGGGCAGTTTTTTCAAGGAGGTGAAACACCTGCTGAACTGGATTACATGACCAACTCAGCTAGTAAAAAACTTTCAAATGCTTGGCTGTATGTAAAAGTGTGTTCACAGAAAACCTCCTGACAAAACAGGAAGACTAGCAAAGATACGCAACACTCGAATTCCAGATCGCTGCTTCAGTTTCAGGGTCATGTAAGCTTACTGTCACACTTTCCTTACTGTCATTAGGAAACCCTTTCATTTAGTGTTTGTGGTGTGAACATTAAAAGCCTTTAGTCCTGCTTCATTATGCTATACTGAAGCTCTTTGGTTTGTGAACTGTTAAAAATGGGTAAATTGTGGTTATATTGTAACATAATTAGATCTACATTAAGCTACACATCTCTAGGACACCTGTTCCTAATTATGTTCTTGTGCACCTTAACGAGCAAGGTGCTATCACTTAAGTAAAAATACCCTCTTCTGAATATGACCCACCCACCCACCAACACATCCACACATACAAACACACATAAACACAGCGAACACATGTAACATCCCTCTGCTGAGAGACTACCTCCTCCTCTTTCCTCCTCATACTTACTGCTGCTGGCCATGGAGGCCTGCTGGGGGACTGGGGAGGGGGTCTTCTTGGGCGAGCCCCCGTCAGATATGGCAGTGTAAGAGGGGGGCGAGGAGGAGGAGGAGGTGGAGGTGGTGGTGGTGGGGGGCTGGGCCTGCTGGTAGTACACCTGCTGCTGCTGCTGCTGTTGTTGTTGTTGTTGTGGTGGCGGATGTTGCTGCTGCTGAGGGTGGAAGGTGGATGGGTACTGGGGGGCGGGGCCTGGGGCTGTCTGACCTATCAGAGGAGGCAGGGGAACGGGCTCGCAGTACTGTGGAGTGATTGGCAAGTGCTGAGAGTGAGGAGAGTAGGAGTCGTCTGGTTGTCCGTTGGAGTGAGGGTGTGACTGGTGCTGGGGGTACTGGTGAGGGCCTGATACAGTGCTGGGGTCAAGAGGTGGGGGCTTCATTCTGGGGTTTAAGGGTGGGAGGGGGTGAGCCATGGGGAGGACGGGCTGAGGGGGCATACCCTGCTTCACGGGCATGGCCATCATAACTGGAGGGGAAGAGGAGGGGGGCATCTGGGCGTACATTTGCTGTAAATGGGAAGCGGACCAGGTGCCGTGTTTTGGGGGGAGCATGATCTCTTGCTGCTGCAGCTGCTGTTGCAGGTGGAGGTGTCGGGCGGCTGTGGGGGGAGACAGGGGAATCTGACGGACCTGTCGGCCCTGGGTGTTCACTCCCGCCTGGACTGGGGAAAAGGCGGAAGCAAGCGAGGTGGAGAGCTGAGAGGAGAGCTGGGCCTTGTCCCTAGCAGCCCCAACCTCTTTCTCCTGCGAGGGAGAAGAGGAAGAGGAGGAGGGAGGAGAGGAGGAGGCCACGCGGACGTAGGAGGGTGGCAGTGTGCTAGCCCTGTACTGTCTGTACTCAGGTGGAGTGTCTGGGTGGGTGGGAGGGGTGGAGACTTTATATTGGAGAGTGGAAACGACTGTGACGGGCAGAGATAGAAAGACAGAAAGAGGGGAGAGATAGAGAGAGGGAGAGAGAGAGAGAGAGAGAGAGAGAGAGAGAGAGAAAGACAGAGAGACAGAGAAAGAGAGGAAGAGGAGATGCAGATGAAGAGGAGGACGAAAGGAGGGCAACAAACAAAGGAAAACAGAAAAGAGAAAAACGTGAGAAGAATGAAAAGCAACCAACTGAGCAACCAAGCAAGTAAAAGATGAGAAAATTAGGAGCAATCCAAAAAACGGAAGCCAGTAGCAAATAAGAAAGAATCAAAATATCATAAAAAATAACAAGCAGCAGAATGCAACATGACTGAGCCATGGTAAGAAAAGCATATGGCATTTCCCCCCAACAGTAGCTGGAAGAAAGAGATGGCAGTAGAGCATGTTGCAGGGACAGGAGGGTTCTGGTATTGCCATTGACAGTAGGGACAAAGGAGGATGTTTAAGTCTGTATGTGTGTTTAAGGGGCAGACTTGAACATTTACATGTGTGCATGGATAAAAAAGCATAAAGGCGTACAGACCAGGGGAGCCGCGGTTGGTTGGGACTAAGGCGGGAGACACTAACACAAAGCACAGAGGGGAAAGCCTGTTTACCTCCAGGAACCTACCGTGTCTGGGACTGGAATCTCAGGTATTTATTAATGATGAAATCACCTGTTTGCTGAGGAAAGGTAAAGTGTGCTCTGCCTGACCCGACACTGGTAACTTCCCTCATTAACACAGCACAACAAGAAAGAGCAAATATCCGATGACACCCCTGCAAGGTTGTTTATTGACAGTTGGAGTGTTTTGTGGCAGGTTTTTTTCTTTTTTTAAATGTTTGCATAGCTCGCAGCAAACACATAATCTCCAGAGCAGTGTGAGGAGGACCAAGTGTGAGTGTGTGTGTGAGTGGAAAAAAAGCTGGGTGTGTGTGTGTTTGTTTAGGCCTCACCTGATCCAGACGTTCGTCGTTCTCTTTCCTTGTGTGCCTGCATCTGGTGCTGCTCCATCATCCTGTGAATTGCATGGATGTCACTGCTTTTACTCAGTCTGTTTCAGTGAATAAAGCTGGGAATGGCCTTTATCATAAAGATGATTAAAGTTAAGAGATTGCAATGTGTGTATAGTGAGGGAAGGGAAATTCAATTGTCTGTTGTCTCACATAATATGTCTCTAACAGTTATCTACTATTTACACAAGAGTCCAACATCTGTTGGTACACAAGATCTTCTGAATCTTTCTGTCCTACAGCAAAGAGAGAGGAGCCGTCCACCACCATTGGCCCTTTGGTCCATCAAGGTGTTGTGAAGTGGGTGATCCATGTTCTTTAGAACAGTCTCCACCTTCCTCAGTGTAGATTTTAAATGTGCTCATATGCTGAGAAAATAACAGCTAAGGCTGGGGATTGGGAATTTAATTTTAATGCTCCCTGTGGACCAATTGGTACATTTTATTTCTTTGCTAATCCTTGACTGTGTTTGCATAAGTAGAGCTCTCCCGATGTCAAATTTACCGACCGTTTTGAAGTTTTACTGCTGAAATGTGAACTGAAGTACTTCGAATCTGTGAGCTGCTGTGAGTATTGATCAGTGGTAGCAGTCACAGGCATCAAAAGTGAATTCAACTCTGGTTTGCTTTTGTGGGCCATGAAGAGGCAACAGAATTCATTTCAATCTCTTTCATAACCACAAAATAACCCTACAGGAGTTGAAAATCATTTATGTGACGCAAACACATATCCATGTTCTTGTGTCTCGTACCTTCTCTGTGCCTCGCTTTCCTCCGAGGAGGGCCCATTTTGGCGCTGAACGACTGGACCTTAAAAAAACAAGGTGAAAGATCAATTACAAAGAAAAAACGAACAAAAAACGGCCAACTTAATTCATTTATGTTTGTGTGTCTGACAGGCAAATGAAGCTATCTTGGCCTCTGAGAAGTGGGGATTGGCTTTTTCAACATTTGACTGCAGCTTAATAGACAGTGAGCTTGATTTGAAAAAAGAATAGCAGACAGTTAGAGACTGGGTTCGTCCCACATAGTTCCTGATGATAATACAAAGCTAAAAGGTTCCCCATCAGCCCTGAATAAAGGATGTTAATGCAGCAGACACAATGACAGACTTAAGTACTGCAAACAGAACAACACAAGAATGTCACTTCCTTTTGGTTAAACTTGCTCTTTCACTTCTTGTTTGTATTTGCCCTTCCCCCTCACCTCCTCCAGTTCCATCTGTTTTCTTCCTTGTTCCTGTTCTTTTTTCCTCTATTCTGTCTGCTGACTTCCTTCACGTCTTTTTATCTGTTCTCCTTTTATCATTTTATCTAAAGGTCTCATTTACACTGTTTCACCCCCCTTTGTTTTCTGTTATTTCTCAGTCAATTGCCAATGTATTTGCGTATAAAACAAAGGGTTTTACATCATTTTTATCTTATAAAATAAATGTGTGCCTTTGTCATCAGTCCGAGCTGATAAAACCTGGAGTTTTCCTCTGTATTTAGTGTGTTTTTAGGATGCAGAGACTCCAGCCACATGGGTTTCCAGTTATAAACCCCAGCAGAAGAGCATCTAAATTTTGGGATAAAAAAAAGTGAAATATATTTAACCTGAGCTGAAGTATAAAAAGCTTCCTGCTGAGTGACACAGTCTGAGCCCTAGACTTGAGCATCTATTAACAGGAAGCATCCGGGAGAGCGCCTATCCCATTTCACCAAAATACCAGTCATTAAACTTCAACGCCCACTGTGACACTAAGAACACCCATGGGTGATATTTCCGTTGACTGTGTCTGTAGCATGGGGGTGGCAGCAGGTGGGGCAATGGGGGCAGTCAATATGAGGAGGAGCTGAGGCTTCAGGCTGCATGACTTAAATCATAAAACATTGAATTTTTTTTAATATCTTTGTGGACCAACACAGCATTGGCTTTTCACTTTAGACATCCTATTCTGAGTTATTTCACTTTAAAGGGCTCACATTTACTCTCAGAAAAAAGGAGTATCTATTTGATACTTCTTCTTTCTTCCTAATGCTGGTATCACTTAGGGACACATTTGAACATTTTCCGTCAAAGATGACTTGATGAAAGATGAAACAACTATGCTGAGAGGTCTAGTCTGGCTCACTCTCCGTCACTCCCCTGAACTCTACTTGTCATAATAATTACATAGCTGAACCCTGAACATACAATTTACACAAAACATAGAACGGGAACAAGAACATGATGTTATCGGTTTAAAGTAAGGCCTAAAAACAGACAAAAATCTCTGTTGATCACATACAATTTAGCATCAGAACAGACCATCTGAATCAAACAGTAAGTTTCACATCAATAGATAAGAGAAGACACCCTCTCCTACAACCTGCAGCCTTCATAAACACAGACTCTGTTTAGGTATCAGCATGTGATGCCATTTTTTGAAGCACCAGCAGCAATATTTGTTGCAGAATTAAGAAAGGAATACATATACAGCAAAAGTTATTTGTTTGTTTCTGTGAAAGGTATTTTTTCTCAAACACTTCATATCCATGTCTGTGTAACTATCTGCTAACATGGTGTGGTGCTGGTTGTTGCCATGGTGAAGGTCAAAGAAAGCAGGAAGCCCCCGGGACAATGAGGGCCTGACCAGACTTGTAAACGTAAGGCGTGTGTATCCATGTGTGTATTGTCTTCATGTTATTTAAATTGAATTAATGACGCAGCCTGTTGTAATTTGTTATTCTTTATTCAAACACTCACACAGCCACTCAACTAAAGAATAAGAAGGCTCCTCAGAAGCAGCAGCAACACGACACAAACAGACAGACAGACACATGAACACTCTAGATTTATCATATGGAAATAAACTTGTTTTCTCATTCTCTTATCTTTACACAAACTCCTGATATTATAACCTCCTATTGATTTTAAGATGACATGTCTTGGCTGCTTAAAGCTCCTGTGAAGAGTGTTTTTTACATCTGAGAAATAGTCTGAAATTTATATTAGTGTTATTTTTACCATTTACAAACCCAAACAAGATCATCTGCAATTTTCAATCCCTCAAATCAGTGCAAAGGGCAGGAAAAGAAACAGCACTGTTACAGCCTTTACACATAAAATACTCATAATAAAAGGTACAATTGACTGAGAATACTGCTTAGAAATGCAGAGGGCAAGATAATTCATGACTTCTTTGTCCACAGGGGGCACCAAAATTGATACAAACTGAAATTCCTCTTAGGAGCTTTAAGTATCAAAGCAGGACCCCTTTGTCTTTGCCACGTTCAGTCTGACAGATTTTTCTTAAATCTTGAGGGCTTTTTTCAGCCACAAGACATTATACAAATCATACAATAGTCCGTACTGTATGTTATTCTGTAAGCTTATTATAAGCTGTTTTTTGTGATTCTGAATCTGTCAAAAAAATAAGAGCGGATGTAAAACTTCCAGGACAAAAACTAGAGAGTAGCAACGTAGCAAAGACTAGAATATTTTTCACACACCTTCACTTTGCTAAACAGCTAGTTTATTTACTTAACTTTGTACTTTTCCAAGGCTCTTAGCAACATATTGTGCAACATCCCGCAACAAAAGACCAATATTCAACTTGTGAAATGCACACAAATCATTTCACTTACTGAGGATGATGATGGCTGAAGAAACCCTCCTGAGAACACCAGGGGAAAACTCTGGAGTCAGCATGGTCACAAACTCACTCTACAGAATATAACGCTTTCTATGTAACTCTGTCGCTTCTTTCAGCGAGAATTAGCACAAGAAACAGGGTTGAGTAAGTCAGAAAGCTGTAAACAGAGACACTTTTGCCTTGCATGACGAGGCCCATGATCCAAAATCCAAATGCACCCAAAAAAAGTAGGGCTGCAATGTGAGCAGAGCAGGGTACGACATCAAGGCTCGGTATGGGATATTTTAGCACCCAGTGGGAGGGTCAGGATGACAAGATGGGGTGTCACTGCAGTTAAACACTCACAGATATTTTCTCTTTATATGTTTTACACACAAACATACACAACCTGGAACACACACTCAAACACGCACGACTTATAAGTAGCTCGTAACCAGAGCTGGTCTGGAGCTATTTAGTCAGCCAAGAGTAGGCGTCTGTTTGGCTTCAAATTCTTGTGAGATTCAAACTTAATTAATTCACTGGTTATGCTCAACCATCTCACAACCCTCGACCCTCTAACATCTATAAACATCGATATAAAAATCTATTAAACAAGTCTTTTGTAACGAATTTCACCTAAAACATTTAATTTATTAAGATTCTAATGGATGCAATATAAACTGTTTTGTATTAAAGAAACAATACTGTATAAATTGTGGCAGCTGCTTGTTTTTTTTTTGTTTAGTTTTTTTAATAGCGTCTTTGCAGTATATTTTTTCACCAGCAGAGGGTAGTAGAGATCATTTAAGTAATTGAGGGGCAGCTGGCAGGCTCACAATACTGCAGAGGATTTAAATGCAGAAATCATCAATATTTTATAGAAACATGCTCTTTAACGTAAAACTCTTGACCAGCCTCACTTTACAGGAGCATTTGTTGAAACAGCATACACTGAATTGAGCTCTTATTGATTAAATGAGCATTAAATGATATGAATCACATTATTCTGAGAGCAAAGAAGATCACGGGTGTCAGCTAAAGACAGTTGGATGTGATTTAAGGGAAACAGAGGGCTCCTTTAGCAGGTTCAGACACCTCAATCTTTAATCATTTTATCGAGGAGATGCATTCAGTTTGACTTAAACCTTTAGAAAATGACCATCAAAGCCTGCCAGCGACTAGAATAATTGAGTGGTCCGTTATAAAAGAGGGAAAAATCTGTGATAGGATAGTTATAAAAAAAAATAACTCCATATATGATGAATAAATGAATCAATATACCTCCACTGTCAGGCGAGCTGAGGACATTGAGGGCGAAAAGCATGGCGTTGGAGAAGGTGGTGGCCTCCTCTTTACTGGCAAAATTCAGCCCATAGACCTGACGGGCGTCACGCCACTGATGGAAGGTTGGGGTGGCCTGATTGTATTTCAGGCCCTTCACTATAGAGTAATTGATCACCACCTGCAACACGGGGAGAGAATTTGTCAAACTGAGGATCAGAATGTTTCAGCTGACTGGTCATTCATAAGAGAGGGCATGTTGGTCGAGTTGATGTCACCTTCGACTTCAAACCCTCCAGCATTTTGTGACTCGTACATATATGTCAAAGATGGAGATTACAGGAGGTCTACACTACTCATCACTTTTTTTTAAAGAAAGGAGATTATGTGAGCTCTGTGAATGCTTCTCATCACCAAGAGTGTAACGCTGATTATTTTCTCTCACCTGCTGGTCCTGCAGTTTGACGCCCACCACTCTGAAAGTGTTGTTGGCAGTGTTGTGGTAGATGTTGATGCGGCTGAAGCCCTGCTGCCCAGGCTTGATGGGCACCCACTTCTTACTGGCATCGTCATAGACCATCACTGAGGCTCGCGCCTGGCAGATACTCTGTTCACTGAAGAAAGAAACGGAAAGAGCAATCAAATACTGTTACATTAATCTGGCTTCTTCTTCACTCCTTACTTTCCTTAATTTTTAAGAGTTTTTTTAAGTGTTGTTTGAATGACAACAATGCAAATACAAGTGGCACAAGTTATAATGAGCAAAGAAAAGCAAGTAATTTCCCCCGCTGTTAGATCTCATGTGTTACCCAGAGCTGTGCAAATGTCATGGCGGTCAACTAAGTAAAACCAGCGTAACAGAGGAACTGTGTGATTATCTGGTTGGCTGTTAGGTCACTGGGGAGCCACACCTCTCTCCATATACCGCCAAAAGTCACCACATCAGGAGTAACACACTGCCACTGTGGAAATCTGACAGCTTGTGTGTGCTGTGGAGAGGCCGGGTTGCCATGTATAAAAGCCATAAACAAAACCTAAACCTAAAAGTGAACCGTGGAAATTCCCCTCTCCCTCCTGGTCTTTTACTGTGGCGCGGCAGCATCATTATAGGACACTGAGAAGTGTTTAGAGGCACCCGCACAGAAGGGTGTGTGCCATGTGCCGGGTAATGATACAGTCTGTTCAAAATTAAAGTGTTTGATCTGCAAGTGTATCACCAGCTGGAGACCTGTTTGGTAAAAAAGGGAGAAGTCCCACTTCCCAAATGAGCACATGGTTGTAAGTAAGCGTAAAATCATAATGTTCACAACCACAAAGCTGAGAGAAAATGACCTCAGTGAAAAGACATATTTGCATACAAGAGCCATGAGATTCATTTATGACTGCTGTATAACCCTAGCATCACATATGCCTGAAGCTGATAAAATGCACCAGCAAGGAAACACAGCACAGCAGGTGGTGAGGTGATGTGGACTGGCAGAGGTGAGGTAACCTCTGTGAGGTGACTAAATGCTTTAATTTTCACTTTCAACACCTCGGGGACTAGTGCTCTCTGGCAGCCAGACTCACATTATCAGCTGGGAGGTGTGAGGGCCACGTAAAGCAAACTACAGAGAGTTTTTGACAAGTTCACTGCCTGCTGGTATTCCTTCACTTTTGTTGGTTATTTACAAAGATTAAACAGTGGATAAATAGCAGCAGCAGATGGGCTCTGACAGCAAAAGTGACAAATTAAAAGTCAGCAACATTTCTTGAGGCTGTAACTCAAAATGACTGTCATTATCTGTCAGGGAACTATTTGATGAACCCATTAAATGTTTTACCCCTGATGTTGAACCTGTGAAGACCCCACATATTACTAAAAAGCACTACTTCTTTCACAAGAGTTGCAGGCTTTATACTGCATAATCTCAAGTTTGAATACTTCCTCAAACAGTGGGATGTGCATGTTTGTGTCCAACAGTCATGTTTTGCACATCAAATTACAAAAAAGGTTACATAAGAGACTCGAAAAAAGCTGCAGTGGTGATATGCACAACAGCCCGACAAAATAAAAGCAGAGCCTGAGAGCAGGATAAAACTATGACATGAACAAAATCATGATGAATTGTTCTATTATCTAGAGAGCCTGCAGTAAATGGGATTGCACGCCATAATGTTATATCCTGGTAATTGAGTGCAGTTTTCTCTACAATGAAAATGGAAGAAACATAAAACAAGGAGAAAACATGTGAACGAACAGATCCATGAGACTGTCTTCCACAGTAATTATCAGGGACTCAAGGCCCTAAGGACGCCTGTAACATTCAAATGCCAACATATCAGCCTCCCCCCCGCTGCAAGAACGCTTCCTGATAGGAGGAAGACAGCACGACACCTGAGAGACCCCCCTCCCCTCTCTGACACATGGTTCAGTCTCAGTCGGCTTCCTCTCACTTTCCTGCATCATCTGCCCTCAGGCTCCCTTGTGGTTGTCTGACTGGCCTCAAATAACTCAGCAGTGATGAGATGGGAGAGAGTCTACAGGCTACTAGGCTGCGTACTTTTTAATAGAGATTTTGTTCTTGTTATTATGATTTAAGAAAGATGCACAAAAATTTCAGACATATTTGGCTTAAATGTAGAACTGAAAAAGTGAAAGTCCCTCCACAACGAGAGGGCTTCAGATCAACTTTTTTTTTTTTTTTACCTTGGAAGCTTTTTATCACAGGGAACTTAATTCTTAATTCAACTTTTGGCGTGCAGCACTTTTATACAGAGACATTTTCTTAAGTTTGAGTGAGGACTGCACAGTAATTTCCTCCTTCAAAGCAGAAACTGACAGATGGAGTTAACAACTCGCAGAATTAAAACAGATCTGTCTGACAAGTATGCGTCATGAGGAGTTAACCTGCAGCTATCATATAAAAGTATTATAACACAATCTAGTCGTGACTGTGACTGCAGCAGAGATTTGGATAAACTGAAAAAAAAAATGATGTATGGGTCAAACAGTAGATACATTTGTGGTTTGAAGGAGCAGATTTGAATCTGAAGTTCTTTAAATTTAGACCTGGCTTAAAAAATTTAGTCCAGATAACATCAAAAACCGCTTCGATACAGACATAGAGTGATCTAAGCCTCATGCAAGTGTAATCTCACTCCTTATACATCAAGATTAAAAAAAAAAAACACTTAATATGTTTTCCACTGGGGAATACTAGTACATTTTTATCCCTGATACAATCTCAGAGGTTAATAACCTGCAAATTCAAGAAGGAGCTCCTACTCTGAACGCAAAACCATGAGAGATAAATACAGACATCATGTTTCCTATGTTTCTAAATAAGTAAAAGAGACTCCTAATCACGGATAGGTCACTACAGAGACCCTGCAGACCACCAAAGTCTCACTGGGAGGGGAAGAGGGAGGTGGCTGCAGCTCAGTGATAGATCTTCTTACAAAAACAGGCCCTATTTCTGGAGCAGTTTGGGCAGGAGTGCCTCAAGCTTCACGCTGATGGTAAAGCTCCAGCTTGTCTGTTGCTGCTTTACATAAAAGTCAATAAACACACTCTGGGGTGTCGAGCAAAACGAGATGATAGAGAGAATCTGTCAGAAACGGTTTATGTCAGATGTTTTGGTTACATGGTTCACTTAATAGCTTGACTAATGTGGGCAAAAATAAAAGGACTTGTCACCACTTGTGACACTGTGCTAAATGCTGGTGATACAGTTACCCACTCCCTATTGGTCACATGACATTGGGCAGACAAGGCACAAAAGGGCACATGATAGTTGCTCAACTTCACAGTTGCTTTGAGCCAGAAAACAAGGGAGACCGAGAGGAGAGATGACAGAGATGAGATGCAAAGAAAATAGAGCGATCACGTTTGTAAAGAAAGGGACGCAGGAGATACAGCAGAATCTGAGAAAGGTCAGATACTGCTGAAAATCACAATCAGTGACATTAAAATAATGTGATGAATCAAACAGGAGTGGGCAGAACAGGAAGAAGTGAAGGCCAAATCTAAGAGCATGTAAAGGTTACCTCAAAAATATTGAATGCAAAGAAAACACCTCTTAATGTGACAGAATCCAACTGATAAAATAGTGAAAAAAAAAATTTGCCCCAGGATATGATGCCAAAATTCAAATGCTTAGATGCGCCAATAACATTAGAAAATGTCCAAATGGTTTCATGGAAAATTGTTTCAGAGGTTCGGCAGTCAATACCAGAGCCATTTGAGTCGCTTACAAAATAACATGCAGCCATCAAAAGTCTAATCAGCTCTACCAGAACTCTTCTCTAAATATTATTAGTTTTAAAGTCTGTTTCTGATTTTATTCTACTTTGAAGCTTTAGAGTACAGCTGTCACCATATTTGATATTCATCTCACCTTCATCAAAATCTCACAGTAACGATGGAAAAGTTAAAATCTTAAACATCACAATAACTAGAATTGAGAAAAGGCAAGAAAAGGTTAGAGCAACATATATCAAACAACGATGTAAACCGTACATATGTATGTATATGTATATATGTCTTACCTGCCTTGTTCTTTTCTAATTATTTTGTATTATGACCGAAATAAAATCTATCTATCTATCTATCTATCTATCTATCTATCTATCTATCTATCTATCTATCTATCTATCTATCTATCTATGTGTTTATAAATTTAAAAAGTCCAAAATAATCACAAATTAACAGAAACACATAAACTTGTGTTATGTTTGGTTCTGTTTAAATGTATGATTTGTCCACATCACTGGTGGTGTAACATAAACTTCTTTCAGGAAGACATTGTCTAATAAAATGATTTATTGACATGCTTTTATTTTGTGCATTTTAACACTGCTTTTATTTTGAAGAGTAAGCTACTTTCTGTAAGCGAGTTATGGAACTGAATGGAAACAGAAGAAGAGTCTGAAAGTATAGATGTTCAACTGATTAGTGAGTCAAGCTCCAACATTGTTCTTGGAAGCACTAAAAATCAAAGTGCCTCATCATCTCTTACAGAGCTGCTTCACGAAATTTCACCAGCAGTCTGTCACTTCCATGTAATATGGTGTTGGGCAACCAGACCACCTCTGTTTGCCAATTGTTAGCACAATACTAATATTTAATAAATCATAAAAACAGTCACAGTCAATGTCTGTGATGTCTGGTCACCATTGAGGTTGAGGATGTGCATGTTCAGTCAAATAAGCATCTAAACATCATCCCCCTTAATTGTAGCCTCAAAAGGCGATACAACTGTAGATAAAGTTGACCTGGGCTGTGGCATGCAACCACCTGACTGGAGCAATACATGACTCGCACAGGCAAGTGAACATCAACCTGTAAGGAGCACCAAAAGCTGGTGGTGCTGGCTCTGCTAACATTATTCACAAGGCAGGGCAATTTGACCTTGTTTACACCCTAGACTCTGTCACCTTAAGTTCTCAAAACAGCCAAGTAGAAACAGAGAAGTTGAGCCAAAGTAGTTGCTGACTAAGGCAGGATTTCTCTGCATATCAGTCTGCAATCAACCCCTTTAACATCAGTAGTAATGTGAACCGTTATTGATACAAAATTATTGATTATTGGTGCAGTTACTCTCAGCAGGCTGCTCCATTCCTCTTAAGGGTTCAGCCTGCTAGTATTTTTTGCCTTGTGTTTTCCACAGGCTACATCTTTAAATATGTATAGGTACTTCCCCAGCAGCTCATGAATAAAACAAGCAACACTGTATGTTTCTCACATCATGCTGACAAGCTAATATGATGAGCAGAAATCTTTATTTTATTTAATACATAGCTCAAACTCTTCCTCGTGTTATTATTATCTCATAATATATCTAAAAGGGAGGAGGCTTATTCTGGATCCGAGAGATCAGTCTGATGCTTAAAACACCACAAATGCTGGACATGATTTCTCCAACAGTCTCTGTCAAAGCACGTCAACTTGTTTTTGCTACACTAAGCAGATTTCTCAGAGGGTGCTAAGGAGTATTGTCTTATAAGGAAGTCTGTCGGGGAGAAGGAGAGAACAGAGAAGGAGAAGCAGAGAGAGAGAAGGAGATGAAAAGACGTCAGGGAGAAAAACAAGAGCAGAGAGAGGATATGAAGGCTTCTGCCACACTGAGCACTTCCTCATTTCAAATAAGCCTCATAGGCAAGCAGTGAAAAGGAGGCCACATTCCCAGGCTTTTGAATTAAGCAAAGCACTTCCCTGCACACATGGTTAGACATATGTGCCCTCCTCTTACCCCTCCCTCACCCCACCCTGCTCCACACAAATCCTATATACACACTCTGAGTGTGTTTTCAGTCCATTAGCAGAGAGAGAGCTGAGCGCAGGAAGAAGTGATGCCTGAATCTGATCTTTTGCAACAAACAACCGTACACAAGACGTGTTTTTCTGTGGGACCGGCTGCTGCAGGATTAGATCTCTGGATGTATTTAGGTTGGGAAAGTGTTTCTTTGGCAAACTGGGGGAGTGGTTTGGGTGTTAGGGTGCATGTGGCATTCTCTCTCTCTGGGTAGCACCCGAGGGCAGAGCTTCTGTTATCGTGGCAATTAGCTTTTGTTGCAGGGGTAATTGTTTCATCGTGCTGGTTCACAGTGGAAGGCACCCGAACGGACCCAGACACATGATGAGTTATCCAAAGCAGCCCCACATGGCCGGCTTGCAAGGGCAGTTCAGATTTGTTTGGATTTTGTTTCCGTGATGGAAATGTTAAAAACACAGCTAAAGATTACCGAAGCTGCAGAGAAATGTCAGCAAACGACTACAGGTTAAACTTGTAATATTTAACTAACCATGAGTATTGAAATAGAGAGTTTGACTGCAAGACATTTCCCTACTTTCTATGAATCTTTCTGGAATAGCGTAGTTAGCCTTGCTTAGCTAAACTACAGGTTATTTATGTTGATATGTTTCAGATCCACTCAAGTGTGGCTTAACAGATTCTCAGGCATGGGTGGCTGATCTAATTCAGTTGCATCATTTATGTAGTCCCCTTATTTGACTGCAAAGAGAGATCTGGCGAGACATGATATAGGAAAAGATGGTAATGTACTGAACAGGGAGGCATGCAATGTATCCAGACTGAAGCTTTCTTTGACCAACCCCTTTTTGCCCCCATCTTCAACATCCCTGTCAGTGCTAAACAAGCTAATGAGGACAAGACTGATCCAAAAATGAAGACCAGGTAGTTTGATTTATACAGCCAGGAAATCATAACTTCTGATTATTTGGTATATCTCAGAAGAGCAGCAGTCAATTGGCACAGCTGGCGACAACTTCATCCACCCAATTAATCATTTCATCACATGCTAATTAACTCCCTTTCAAAACATCATAACCCCCTGCACAATAAACAAGATGGAAGCATCCAGAGAGGTTTCGGGTGCAGCAGGAGTGATAATTACAGAGTTTTATGCATCCCTGGGTGCTGCTTTAGCTAATAGAGACATACAATCAGGGTGAGGGGGGCTTGAAACACAATCACAGATTTGGTAGATAAACAAAGCCATGCTCAGGTAGACAGTGTTTATCTCAGCAGTGCAGTGTGCAGCCATGTCTGAAAGTCGTTGGAAGAGAGGCTATACAGTCTGTGTTGTCTAAGTTACACATGTTGCTTCAAAATTTCCTTTAAATTGTGAAAACAGTGAAGATGTCTTCACGAGGCAGAAACGTCCCTAATTTGTTGTTTTAGATATTTATAATATTTACAGTCCCCACAAAGATAGAAATACAAGCACACGCAGATACAAATACACAGTAGGTTACTGTGTTTGTAGGTTAACTATACTGGTTCATCTACACACCAAAGTTCACCTTGTTGTCTTGTCTATGAGGTGAAATAAAGACAGATTCAACAGCTCCCAGACTTCTGTGAATGTAAATGAAAAACAGAAGGTAGTACTTCCACTCATCTTGCTTAGGCATCTGCCCCTCCTCAAACAGGAATAGAAATATATAATTATACACCCACACACAGTATAATATGGTATTCATACCGTACATACGCCCAAAATAACAGTCACAGATATTTTCGGTGAAGGGCCAGCTTAGGGCACCAGAGACAGATAGCCACTCATTTGTTTGTCTCTTACAAACAACACTGACATAATGCGACTCAAAGAGCCAAACCTTAACCAAATAAATGCTGAATTCTTCCTCTTAAACTGGACAACTTCTCTTTTAAACTTAACATCAGCCTTACTCATACACTACACCCCAAACTAAGACTTAACCTTTGGAAATGTCCCTTTAAACGAGCAAGAAAAGCTGTTATGTCCTCAATATGTTGTTTCAAATCAGTGGTCCTCACACAGACAGGAATATGAGTCCTCTCATACACACATATTAGTTACTGTGTATGTATTCAGTTCGGTGTCTGTTATCATTACGCTCACATGAGACTAAAAGCCTCAAGGGATCACAGGGAACTTTGGTTCACTGCATTGCACCGCCTGAGTGTCATTTTTTGGGGGATGTATTTATGAACCTGTGTGTGTATGTGTGTGTGTGTGTGTGTGTGTGTGTATTTGGGTGGGTCCTGGGGTCCTTTAGAGAGTGGGAAGAGGGCTGTCTGACTCATTGGATTAGAGGTGGAGCCTTTCAGGCAGATCATTTCCTCACGGCAGTCTTAAATCTAAATTAACCAGGACTTAACCCTCGTACACAACCTCTAATCTGCTCTGTAGGGAAAGTACTGCTCACTAGCACAAGGCAGGAGGAGGAAGAAGGCCTGCTGGAACTAAAAACAGCACAGGGCAACTTCATTGAAGGGAAGCAGTGTGAAGCCTGGTCATTTGTAAGTGAGAAAACTAAGCACAGTAAGCCCGTCAGAGAGAAACGGTGGGAAATTAAATGGACGCCAGATCTCAGGAACTGCAGTAATACTTCTGCACTGAATGTAAAACTGCATCTAAAATAAAGCATTTTAAAGCTATTCATTGTTACAAAAGAAGTCTCATAAAACTACATTATTCCATAGAACTGTTCCTATCTCTAACCAGCAAACAATAAGTCTGCCATTCTTTTACTTTGTTTTTGGATGGCAGAATAATTTGACCTGTACAAACTGTAATAGCTCACAAACCACCAGACCGATCGAAATGGAAGATTGTTTGGATAACCACCTCCCCTCTAGGATGGATTATAACATTCACCTTTTTAAAAATACACAACAATCTTTATGATATGTAGGAAATATCCACAGGAGTTGTTTGTAAGAGAGTTAAAAATGTCTGAATTGGTTAAACTGGATCCAAACAGACTTCACTCTGCCAGCTCTAGTACAGAGTCAGTGTAATGTTCGATTGAGCCGATTTGTGAACAGAGCAGGTAATTGTCTGGAGCTTTAACACCAGTGGAGTGCCTGTGCTGATGAAGTGGAACAGAGTGGGCTCTTGTTTGCTTTCCTGTATATTGCTTTCAACTCTTTCCTAGATACCGCGAATACGTCTAAATACAAGAAATATCGTTGTCGACACAGAAACAGACACAAAGCGAACGAGTCCTCCCCCTGCATACTCAACCCACTCCCTCCTTCGACGTAAGGGAGTATTTTCAGCAGGGCAGGTCTGGTCTAATATAGAAAATCTCGTTATGTAGAACAAATATGAAGAGGCGACCCAAACTCATAGAAGGAAAGGCAGCTAGACAAATAATGTGAGCTAGTTTATATAGAGGGCATCAGCAGGGCAGCAATCTCGCTGAAAGTATGTTGTGATCAGGTTACCATGGTTTGGCTTTGGCTACGTATTAAACATAACTACACACAAGTTTTATTAACTTCCCCTCTAAGTCTCAAAATGAAACAAACCTTTTATTTAGCCTCCAAAATCATTGAGGTTTTCTTCATTATTCCACATTTGTCTCTCTACTTCAAGTATGAAAACATATTAGACTAACTTTGTAGGATGTCAGTACTCAACGTAATGTGTTAAGAAGTGTGCTTCACCATAATTATGATTATGACCAGAATAATAGGGATTCAAAGACTATAAAGTTAAGCTTCAGTGGCATCTCTTCTGCTAATGCATCACAGCAGCCACCATTTTATCATGTAGTGGCATAGAGCTTCAGATTCTCATAATCTACACAATGTCAGTAAAGCCTCAAAATCCCAGATCCATCATTTTGTCCAGATTGTGATAACTGATAATGGCAGAGAGTTTATCTAACCTCTGCCCCAGTGATCCACAAAGTATAGAGCAATACTTTGGACGGCGCTACAATTAAGCCCCGAATGGGTAAAAGAGAGACTGAGAGGGAGACTGAGAGGGAGAGTGGGAGAGCAGAGCACTGCCGACTTAATGGCATTAATGCAAACCACATTAATGTGCTTATGTTCTTAGCTAAATGTCCCAGTTGTTTTGTGCAAAAAGCTCAATCTCATGATATAACCGTTTACAGTGCTGCTACTCTTGATTCACACACAACATGGCAGCAGAAAATGCATGACCTATATACCGCAATTCCCTGAATGTGCTCTACATCTGAATTATAATAGGTTGAAATATGTGTAATCTGATGAGCTGGCGTGGAAAAATAATCAAGGGAATGTAAGGACATTAAATTTCTTTTCCTTTAACAACAAAAGAAATCATTGAAATATGTAAGTTAATTCCTTGTTCGTATAAAAGCCACAAGAATTTTATCTAGTGTAATATTATATCATGTTTACTTCATTTATTGTCAGCTTTTGTCCTTCTGTGTCTTAGTAATGTGCTTTTTTTATTACAGTGGGGTCCATTATGGGTTAGAGTATACAGTTGGTGTTTCATCCGTAGTCATGTGATCCAATACATTTTCCAAGAATAAGATTTACAGACAAACTACAGAAATTATGGATGTTTGATGGTCTTGATTTGACAAGCTAGCATACCTAACTTCTGGTTCAGGGAAGAGGGATTTATCTTGGTCAGAGGAATTTACCTGATTGACAAACTCTGATTTGTTTTCATTGCTGGTCTTGAAAATATGAGCAGTGTGGACATATCACACATCTATCTGAGCCGTGACAAGACCTGTTTCATGTACCAGACAAATGCAGCTGTCAGTAAGGCTATCATCCTCATGCAGAGAACATCAGGTTTACACAGACAAGCAGGTTCTTGTGTCCTGCACAGCGTGTGATCTCTGGTTAGTTTTAAGCATCAGCTGCACACACCGTACATATGAAACCTCATTGTCTATATTTTTAAATCAACCCCCTCCATCCACCACCATCCCCCCTTCATCCTTCCTCTCCCTCATGATAACAAGACAGCCAACAGCGCTGTTTGATCCTGCAGTTCTCTTCTGGGACAGCAGCAGCAACATCAGCACAGCCTAAATCTCCCTCCTTTCCGTTCTCTATTTCCTCTATCCTAAACACAGAGAGAAAACGTGAAAAAGAAGGGCACTGGCCCGAAAGGCAGCGATTTTTGCCAGAAGCCATGCTGTCTTCAATACTTGTGTGTATTAAACATGTATGCAGCCCATACAGAGCCCCTCTATTCAGAGACGCTCTGTGCGAGGCTGTGAGTGTTTAGAATAAAAGAAGATGCTCAGCGCTCACAGAGAGCTGCATCACTCGTGCAGCATCTCTGGTTTGGACTGAAAAGACGCAGCCAGGCAGGAGGAATAAAAAGAGGATGATCAAAACAAATCTGGGTCTGACGCTTAGCTCTTATTTAACACAAGGTAACAATAAAGAGACGTTTTCTTCCCAGCTTGGGTTAAATTAAGTTGTCTTCACACATTGTAGAAAATCCAAAATAACCTAAATACTGTGTGCAACTGGTTTGTTGAAGCCAGATTAAGACTACAGATTAGTATTTTAGCTCTGATTAAAATACAACAAGGAGAGATTTGACCGTCTGTGCTGCCATAACATAACAGACAGCAGTGAAGCTCTCCCGATATAAACAAAAACCACTAAGTGAATTGAATATCAACTTTTTCATTTCATACATCTTTACTTTCACTTCTCTTCTTAGCCTTTAAATGCTATCACATACTGTAGAGGTATGAACAAAAACACACATTCACACAGTGATCAGACTCACAAGTCGTTACAAACCTGGCAGATATGTGGCTGTAAAACAACCCTGAGTCACTGACGCTCTGAGGGAGGCAGTAACGCAGAACTTGGACCCGATGTATGTCCATTTCTGGTAAAAAGATTTTAAAAAAGGAGAACAGAAGCAGCAGCAGTCTATGACCCAAAACCCAGTCCGTACTGCTTCACTACCTTAAAGCTAGAATTCATTAAACAGTTTAATCCTCCTGCTGAAAGCCAGATACATAAATTAAAAAAGCAGTTTGCAGCTGCACAAATAATAAAAAATATCTTTCAATTAATGACAAAAAATATCCAAATTGGTCCTCAGCGTTTGAATTCCTGTACCGCTGCCTCCAGTATCCAACCAGCAACAAAGAGATGACTGACAGACAGACCGGCAGGGATGAAGTCATTGACCAGCCTGTTGTCTGACCGTATAACAGATGAGCATCTGTGTGTGTGTGTGTGTGTGTAAACCTCTGTACTATCATCATACTGTTAACCCAAGGGAGATTACCTCATATCCTACTAAAATGGCTCCTACCCCTCATCCACACACACTCATATGTAGAGAGTTGGTGGGGAGTGTTGTTGGGGTCGCTACTGTTAAACCCCCCCTACCCCCCGTCGGCTGCAGCCTGCCGTTGCCATAGCCACCCAGTATTAAGCAGAGCCTGTATTAACAGCCAGCAGTCTATACAGTGGTCAGCCCATATCGATCAGGATGCCCTTTGCCTCAGAGGACACATCATGTAGCTGGTGATTATACACCAACATGTACAAACACACATTAGCTGGGAGTGTGTGCGTGCTGAAGGTCCATTAACATCAGGCGAGTTAATTACTGATTGCTAACGTTCAATCAGGGTTTGCATCACAGGAGGGGAGTTAGTTTTATCATCGACTACAGGGACTTGGTTCTTATTGTAGTCCAGATCAATTCAAACCAGAGGTGGACAAAGGGAATGGGCCTGTGTAAACTTAGCCTGTAACAAGAAATTACAAGAAAGAAAAACTGAAGGTAACTTAGAGACTCTATCTTGTAAACAGTTTATCCTGATGGCACTGACAAGCTGAAACTCAGGCTAGCTCTGTGTCGCTCTGTGATCATTTAGGGTCCATTATTTTGGCACAGACCAACGTATTTATAGAAAGGAAACAAACCGTTTTTTTTTTTAAGTATAGTGTTTCATTTTGTTTAACTTGGAAAAAGCCTTTCGTGTATCGTCATAGGAGGGAGTCCCCTTCCTCAGAGACCAAATAACCCTGTGTCGTTGTTTTTACTGTAGCACACTACGGACCAAGTAATAACAATTGCATTTTCTGTACATAGTGAGTGCCCATAAGAAATTCAGAAGAACAGAATGGTTGCTGTGCTCACAAGGATTCACACTGATAACTTTTTATGGTAAACACTTATCTACTTATCATGCTTTCTTGCACTTGAAGGCCACCGTTGCTGCACTGATGGGAGGGGTTGAGCACAGGGGAATTTCAGTCTCATCTGACTGCTAGATGTTGCTAAATTTTCATTTCTATGCACTGTACTGTGCCAGCTTCATCATTTAAAGACTGCAACAGCCCTGTAACCCAGTTCCACTAGCATCCTGCCATTGTACTTTCACGGTAATTAAGTACAACTTTGTCCTACCATCCATTGTGACATTAGTATTGGAGGCAAGATGTTTCAAGGGTGTAAATATCTGCCTTGATTTGGCATTACAAGAAAGGTTACTGACACAATCTCATATTTGTTATTCCTCTGTTACACCTCTGTTACTACTAAAACTCTACTGCTTTGTTAACATGCCAACTATGAAGACCTGCAGCAGCAGAATATGTATTAAAAAAAAATTAATCAAAGCTGGCAAAAAAAGCTGTTGGTGCGGCAATAGTTTTCCTGTCTTATTCTTTTTTTGTCAAATGCCCTCCTTACAACTTGGCAACAACTGTTTAAGCTATTTAAAAATGTTTTACATAAAAAAGAAGGTATAAAAAAGCTAAATAAAATTAAAAACACTTTATAAAGTCAGCAGAAAAAACTGCAGAATCAGCGATCAATACACTCCAATATATGGATGACTAATACACTAGAGCCACTCACCAGGGTTTCCTTCTACACACACACTCGTGCAAACACACACACAGTCCAGGGACTGACAGTACTTGAGCGTAGGGATGATAGAGTATTACCCTCTGACCTTTGACCTCTTGCTGGACGTCACACTAATAGCTGACCTCATATGTTGCTGTGACAGCAAACAACAGTCACACCGCCACAGGGCATACCAGTTCAGCATGCAGCAGGAAATCATGTTGTGATTGGTTAAAATGTGGTCACACTCACAGTGATTGGTTGAACAGGAACATCTGCCAACAGAGATTTAGTTTTGGGGGCTCTCCGTAATTTCTATGCCAGACTGAATTACCGTTTGCTCCTGTGTGAGTCTGAGTGTCCAGCTGGACTACAGGATATTCCTGTGACAGGCTGAGCAAATGTTAAAAAGCTCAGAGAAGGTTTTGAAAAAGACAACAGGCCAAACAAAATTGCAGTAGGGGGAGAGATTACCATCAAAAATCTGGACTGATCCACTCTCCTTCATTTCTAAGAGTAACCTGTCAAAGATGAGGCATGAATTTCCTGTATATGCATTCTTTTTGTTCGCATGGTAAAATTTGGGTCATGACTGAATAAACTGTATAACTGTTATGACACAGTAGATAAATAAATAAATAATGTGGAGAAGTTAAAAACTCACAGGATTGTTTTCCTAAACAGTTTCTGAAAACATGAGAGATACACTATCAACCATCTTTGGAGCAATACTTAGGGTCAGCTTGTTTGTAGACTGAAGTCTGACTGCTCTTTACACTTCCATTAGGTAAAATTATGAATGTCTGTGGGCAGAAATGCTGATTTTTAAAACTTTCTCTTGGTTGTTTCTCCTGGTAACATAAAATGTGGAAAATGTCACAAGGACAAATCGGCTTTTAAACTCATTCAGAGCCTTTAAAAGATGTCCAACCAAGGAGAAATAGTGTTTTTCATATCAATATATATTTGATAAACTGAGTAATTGTTGATTAAAAGATTCATTAGGACTCATTTCTCTACACACAGAGATAATTTAGCAGTAACATTTCAACAGTGAGCACAGTGACGCCTCACAGTTAGGAGTCAGCATATCGACCCTTATGACGACATCACTTATTAATTACACCCTGCTATAGACGCCAGTTGGCCCCGGGCTAACTGTCATGGACACATAGAGTACAGTATGGATGGCAACCCCCTCTTTAACACCACCCCTCCCCCACCCCTCATCTCCTCCTCCGCCTCACTCCACCTTCCTCAGCCTTCTCTAGTCCGCGTCCCGTCACTAATCCTGATCCTTAAAGGGAAACGCTGCTTCCATTCAGAGGACAATGCTTCATAGAGTGACATGAACAGGGGCAAAAACCACAGACCAGGAGCGGTTAAAATCCAACACAGCTCAGATATACTGTAACTCAGTCAGTGCAGCATCATACAAGCCTGTAGACTTGTGGTGTTGGGTGTCATTCAAGATTCAAGATGTTTTATAGTCAATTTGTGCTATATTTGAGTACATACACAGGATTTAAAAAAGACTGTTCTCTCCAGCCCATACAGTGAATATATCAAAAGTACAACAAAAATACAAAAGAGAAAAGTATGTTACTGATTTACCGATCTGTCCAGAGGAAGAAGAGACATGAAGCTGTCAGAGAAATGTCAGAAAAATGACAACTAAATGAGCGGATGGTTGGATGGTTCAGGTGAAAAGCTGATATGCTGATAAATAAATGTTTTACCTGCACTTTGTATTTTTGCAATCTGCATACCATGCTTGTGTGTAAAAAAACAACAACAACAACTCATGACTAGTGTTCATACTGAGGGAGAAAGTTTCCCCTCACATGCACTGTGCTTTACAGTAGATTACTAGAGTGCATGTGGTCAAGCGTAAATCTCTAAAGTTATCTCATCTGCCCCACTCAGCTTCCACATCTGTATTTGAGCTTTAACAAATCACCCCGCCCCACTGTAATCTGCGGAGGCCACATTATTACAGAGACCCCTCTCTTCGTGTTTCATCTGGCTTTTGATAGTCCCACTCATCAGCCATTCAGAGATTAGCACTCTATCCCTTTCTTCCTGCCGTCCTTTTTCACACATGCAATCAGAGGGGATCCATCCGACAGAGAGCAGCAGCTGAGCTGACACACAGACAGAGAGAAACTCATTCCTTCTTCTCAGAAAAAAAGGCTGAACCAATGAAAGATGTGCTAAAGGGTAACCAATCAGGCTTCTGTGCTAACAGCTGGCTCCAGAGAAAACACAGACAGACGAGTGGAAAGAAGGAGACACGAGAGAAAGTCAGCAACCACTAGAGGAGATTTTTCCTCTCCCACTTTTCCTGGATTCCTCTCCAGCTCAAGCCACTTTTTTCTTTGCAGTTGCATACAAATCCTGTTTGAAGAAGCAAACAGATTCTGCGGTCTGAAAGCTGAGCCAGGCTTTAAACAGAAACACCAGAGAGAGGAGAAGGAACATGAAAACCGCACACTCCAAGGCCAATTCTACCTTTTCACAACACTCCAAAAGCACAAGAAAACCTGAAAATGACAGAAAAAGAGGAGATGTTGCCTTACCCAAAATCATCCAGGGAATACATGTCGCAGAAGAAGACAGTCCGGTCCCCAAGGAAAGGATGAAAGGGAGTATAAAAAGGAGAGATTATGGAGGAGAGGGGGAAGAGTCAGCCTGAGAGGAGAGAGCGGTATGCATACTGTCCTTTACCCTTTTTTACATTCTCCAAAGAAAATAACCTTTGAAAAAATCCAACACGCTAACAGAGTAGACATAAGACGGAGACAGAGAGAGAGTGGGAGGAAAGGAGCGGGCGAGAGAGAGATGAAGAGTGTTGCAACTGAGTAAGGGAATGCAAGAGAGAGAGAGAGAGAGAGAGAGAGAAAGAGAGAGGGGAACATGTGACTCGAGCAGACCAGTCATCTCTCTCCACTCGGAGGATTGGAGTGCTGTCTTTCAACCTCCAAGGAATCATTTCCACTGGATGGAAATTATATGTTAGCCTATATAAGAAACAGGAGCGCTTTTTACAACCCGGCTTTTAGTGTGAAAATTTTGTCTGTAGCTTTAAATAGATTCTACAGAAGCTGAATTAAAAAATGTATCCAAGCCACAAGCCTAATAAGCAATTAACTAGAGAAGAGGAAGACAGAGAGTGAATTTGTTCACTCAGCTCTGCTTGAAAGGAAAGGACAAAACATTCAGGCTCAAAATTGATCAAAGGTTGTAGTTTTGGACTCTGGTTGACTTTTTCTAGTGCAACATTTGTGGGTTCTGAGTAATTTTCTTTAAAGTTTTCCCCAATAAGTGGTCCAGCTGGCTAATGCAAACTCAGAGTAATAAGCTTCTTTGCCAAAGTGAGCCGAGGTGTGGGAAACAAACGAAGAGGAGACGTCGAACAGATTAGCTTTGTTTCTACAGAGAATACCAAAAATTATCAGTAAAGAACTCTGGATCTCAAACAAGCTTGGTGAATCACAAGATACATATAAAAAAGGATGCTACAGGGTTATGCATCCATGACTAACAACAATCCTTAGACAGGGTTAAACTGTAGGGTACTGTAGGATCAAACGCCTGAAAGGGAGAGACAGAAAGAAAAGATGTGGCGCTCAACTGTGAATGCTTTCACAGTATGCGGTGGGGTCATCTGATACAGCCTGTTTGACCTCCATCGGGCCATAAAGACACATGATACAGATTCATCATCAAAGCTCCAGCAGCACAAAGCTTGTGTATGTATGGGCTGTGCTGGAAAATGACCAGATTACTGTATGAAAGCTATATGCAAAATGGTTTGAGCATGTTGAGTGTAAGAGAAGAGAGAGGAGGGGGTTTGCAGGGATTGTTTATTATCAGTGCTTCATATTGTCTGTTGTTAAGACTACATTTTCTGAGAGGGTTTTTTCCCCCCAGATAAACCTAAGTAATGTCTGAGATCTAAATATATTTCCCTTTCTATTAGTGAACAGGTGAAACCCAAATAGACATATGTTTGATTACAGTGATATTGCCTAATGACACAAATACAAATTCTGTGTTGTCTTGAATTCTGAAGTTGTCATTTACAGATCTATATATAAAATTGCTATAAAGGTAGACTCTTTCCAAGAAGCTGTCACCAAGATACTGTATATTTGGGTAAAAGTCTGACAATTGTTCAATAAATTTAAGGTTAAGATAGTATAGATATAGTAAGATAAATCAGCATTTTAAAACCTAGTCTTTCCAGTTCAAATATGCTCAGAGAATAGAGTCACAATGGAGCTCAGAAGAAAAAATAACACTAAAAAACAACATGTTCAGAAGAAAGAATGTTTACATTTTCATGTTCACCACCATCTTGGTCAGGATACTTGCACTGGACACGTGGCAGTAAAAAGTACCCTAAAGGCCCATATTTTTTTTAAGCCTGAAACCCTGATCTATCTGCAGACTCATGTTCACGTGCTCTGAAAGATGTGCTGGTTGAAACTCTAATCAGGTTCCTACCGAGACATAACTGTTGCCTACCAATAAAGGTCGGCTGTGACTATCGTAGAGTCACTCTCCTCTCAATCAGAAGGTTAAAGGTTTGATCATAGGTCCTGCTGGCCAAATATCTAAGTGTACTTGAGCGGGAAACTTAACCCAAAGTACCTTGTGATGGTGTGTAAATGGGATGAGATAATACTTACGGACTGCTAAAATATCAGCCTCTGTTATCTGTAAATAAATGTGGTTTGAAGAAGTGCAACTTAAAGCTCCTCCTTTCAGCTTGCATCAAATTCAGCGCCCCCTGGGGACAAAGCAGCCTTTCATCTATTTTGTCCTTTATATGTTCAAGTGTTAAAACCTTATCCTGTTAACATCTGATAGTCAAATATATCACTTACTGTACATTCTTTTATGTAGAGATGTTTAAAAAGCTTTGTTTTTTCAGCTGCACCACCCTTGCATAGGTTCCAGACATTAACAATCAAAACGTAAAAACATTCAATCTTATCACTGATGGTCATATTTGATTTTGTATGTCATGGAAAGGCATCAATATGAGCTTAAGCCCATTCCATTAACATAAAAAACTCCTTACAGGAGCTTTAAATTCAGCCCATTTACCACATTATAAATAAGATCTATGCACAGCTGAGGCTTTTTTTTGCAAGTATCCACCAACATGTTATTAATTATATGAACTGACAGTAGTTTGTGTTTTATTGAATGTAAAATGTTTGATACTAATTCAAGGGCTGTGCATGACAGCCGACTGCTGTGTCTCAAGTTTTATTGCTCTGTTTGGCTGTGGTGTCATCCAGTGGGATGTGAGGACCCCCCTGGTAGAGTGGCACAGACTATGTCATTACTAGTTTCTCATGATAATTAAAGTTGCATGTTCATTATAAATTACAAGTTTAGATCGTCTCCACTATAAGAAGTGCGATTATAGCTTCTTTATTAAGAAAAAAAGTAATTTGCATTTCCCAACTTCTGACTAGTCCCCCCTTGGAAGCTGCATTAGTACTGAAGATCATCCCAGGCGACGGAAGCCCGCAGGATGTGAGCATTGTGGCTGTATGTGGTGTCGCTGGCTCACATGGGGCTGCTCTCTGATCAGCAGCTGCCTGCAGTAAGATGCATAACTCAGCATTTTACCTTCTGCTGGCTGCACTTGCTCATTCTACCTTTCCCTGAGATGAGTCACCACAACAGGCGCAGCAGACATCCCCTCGTGTTAATAGCCAAAGAGAATGTTTCACTTTCTGCCCACTCACACAGACATGGTAACACACACAAACATACATACACACAGACACATGACAGGAGTCAGTCTGACAAGGGGTTAGAGAGAGAGAGAGAGCATCCCATAATGAAACTACAACAGTTAGGAGACTAAAAATAACCCACTCACACTCATGTTAGAGCAGAAACACACACACAAAAATGTGCATAAAGGCAGCAATGGATGCAGTGAGGCTGAACAAATGATTCCATTGAATTTAATCTCTTTTTTTTCTTGACTCTGCAGAAGAATCTCAGGTCACCTTATTGCTGCTTTGTGGAGATTTAAGACTTCCCTTTTTGGGCTTGCGTCAAAGAACAGTTCTGCCTCTAGCAAAAACAAACACTCAGGACAGTACACAGGCAGCTTTAAGGAAAGAAGAAACAGTGTGTTCACTAAAGTGGACCGCAAGATATGAATCTTACATGTTGACTGTCTGAGAGCAAAATTATCCAGCTGCTGGCTCTGGGTTGTGTGAGGTTACAGGAAAAGCTTGATTTATTTGGATCAGTAGATGTAGCGTAGTGAAAAGATATCCAGATGTGAGAGCACCTTGGTCTACTTTTTTTTTTTAACCATTTCTTTCTGCCTCCTTTGCTGCTTTGAAGGGAGTAACATCACAACTACACACCCCGACAGTCTCACTCACACACATGCAGACAAACACCGGTAGCTACAGTAAAAGCAGAGAGAGAGGAGCATATCCGAGGAGAGCTGTCAGGGTGAATCTGAAGCAATAAAACAGAATGGTCCAGGCTGCATCTACAGAGACACGGAGGAGTCAAACTAAAGGCAGCAGCAGCAGGGGGGGGGGGGGGGCCCCAGAAAAATATAAAAGGAGTGCTTCATAAATAGAACAGAATACAGACTTTGCTGCTAGAGAGGATTTGGGCCACGGCGCATTTTGCATACCAGGGTGATAAGAGAAATGCTCAAAATACCGTCTATGACCACAGATACAGAGAGAGGATTTACACATGAGGCACATTTTCCATTTGTGCATGAATGGATCCGTTATAGAGAAGAAGGCTTATTTAGGTGTCAGAGAAAGAAGAGGGGGTTGGGGAGGGGGGCTCTGATAACCTGCCTGGCAACCACCAGAATAAACACCCACCACCACCTCCACCTCCTCCTCCTGTCATATGGGCCCTCACTCACTCACCCCTCACTTTGTAACCCCACCACCTGCAGCCACACACACACAAACACACACACACACTGACCGGTGCATCACAGTAACTAACTAGCGTTTAATTTTACCGAGTGCACCGTTCAGCTTACGGGGAGAAATACATGATGCTGTCGTTTCCATGACAACATTAACCCGGCTTAGACCCTGCATTGAATAGGCTACACTGGGCGGGTCCAGGGGCGACAATGGAGGGCTAATAGAGGGGAAAACACCACAACTGATGTACATTATTCGTCTTGAGTGTTAGTATTGTGATGGAAATGGTAAAGGACGATAACTGGGCTGAGGCCCGGTGGGTGGGCCGCATTATGCCTATAATAGGCTACTGGAGAACGTGGCAAATAAGCCCACACTGCTTCACAACATCGTTATCTCAGATGTATCTTAAAAGCAAATGTGTAAATGTGGATGTACGCTGGAGGCTGAGGGTTGAGTGTCGCTGCGCATCTGTCATGACGCGTCAAACTGAACGCGTGCTGCCGGCCGCCGCTTACCTCATTTTCAGTCTTTAATTCACGCGAAGATGACGGTACCGATGAGTTTGGTGTATAACACCGACAGTCCGCTTGATTTTTCGTGAAATGAAGTCCGGGAGGCTGTAGCAAGCTTCCCCCCTTGTGTTCTTGTCCGCCTCCGTAGAGAAATAACACAGGCAGATGACGAGTCGTGTTGTAGAAACGTTAAGCGACAACACGAGCGTTGTCTCCCATCCGCTTTGTGCTCCGTTGTCTCAGTTCTCCTCGCGCGCCGCTGCGTATCCTTGTATCCATGTTCAGCCTGGGCTCGTGCTCGATAAAAGACGGTGTACGGTGGTTCTGGCCTGCCGCCTCCTTCATGCCATAGTTTCTTCCCATTCGGAGTGTTTTGGAGAGGAGAAGAGATTTGGGGGGTAAAATGCTAATACTGCGTGGTGGAAGAGGAGGGGGTGAGGACCGGCTCGATGCTGCCCACCTGCGGCAAAGACGCTAACGTGCAGCTCACGGACGCCCCCCTTATTTCAAATAGGCTAGATATTACCAGGCCTACAATTATTTATCTAAAGAAGCTTTAATCTGGTCTTCCTGTGCCAAGTAAACCTTTTTTTTAGTGATGTTTTAAAAAAGAAATGTGTGTCTAATAGTGCTCAAAATGTCATTAAAGGGAGAATTTAAGACACATTCTCAAAGATATATCATGTTGCATTTACTTTTCAGACAAATGTTCAGTGGTTCTGTAGCCCCAAGTGTTTAATGATGAGATAAAGCATGTTACATTCACCCTGCAGAATGGTGACTTTATCACTGCTGCTGTAAGATTTCACTGTTTTCTCTTGGTCAGGTAAGTCAAAAAAGTCATCCAACCTTCAACACAGCAACACCAATAAGCTTCATTTTAGTGGCAGTTATGATTAAAATCTACTGAGCCTCAGTCCATGAAATCTTCAAGAATCATGCACGTGTGTGATATTGACTTGCTTTCACAATACAATGACGAGTGCAAACAGTCAGTGTACAGAGAGTACACATCTCTGAATGTTGAAGCATACATCACTGGTTCATGAGAGGTTCCAGCAATTGCTATATAGTGATATTCTTGTTCTACTGTATAGGTGAAGAGACCTGATGTATATTTATTAGGCTGGAGCAGTGCATTATTGAAAAAAATAAAATAAAATAAAATAAAACACCTCAAAAAGGTTCAGTTCAGTTAAATATGTTGCCAGTGCCTGATGGTGCACATCAGACATAAACAAACAGTTACAGTGTCATGGTCTCAGCCTTCTTGTTCCTAAACTGATCTGGGTGCAGTACAATGCAGATAGATACAGATTTGAAAAAGGCTTCACATCTTAAAAAAAAAAATCATACATGCTTCATTTTCATTTTCCTTGCAAATCAAGGCAAATAAAAGATTCAACAACTCATCCCAAAACTCTGAAACAGTTTCAAACACTATATTCACCCAAATTCTGCTCATACTAGTTTCAAGCTTCTCAGTTTATTCACACATTTGTGTTTAAAAGGGATTTTTTTTGTAGGGAAGACTTGAAAGTACTGAAATTGGCAGTGACGGATTTGACTTGTGGTCAATAAATAACAGAAAAGATGAGTTTTTAAGACGTGGAAGCACAAAAAGGTAGAAAAGGTTACAATGAAGTTTAGGAGAACGGTCTGAAATGAATTATTAATTTAACTGGACTGTAACTACTTTATCATCAGTGTCACATAAATGTTGAGAACTGCTAGTTATCACTTCCAAATTTTCATTGCAAATATAAGACTAATCCTTTAACAAATGCTGAATTTGATATTAATTGTTGGTGATGCGTATCCATTTGTTTAGGTGAGATATGTTGGGGCTTTTTCTGATATGTTGATGTTAACCTGCATCACGAGTGCTTTCCTGAGTTGTTACATACAAAATACAAGAAACAGTTTTCTTTTTGTACATAGCTTTTGTTCCATTGCTCTTGGATGAATGATATTTAGCCTGAAAACAAACTTCTTTGGTTTGTTTTCAGTAGCAGGAGTGTGTAAAGTACAAGAACGGTAAAATGCATTCAGAGCCTTTGGTTCTGTTTAGGTGGATTTGATCCTTTTTGTTTAATATCATTGGTGTGTAGGTTTGAGTTAGATGTAAGACGGAGACATTTTTACGTGTAGTGTGAGTGAAAAGAGGGGGTAAATAATCACAACTTTTGTGTTTCAAAAACCCACACATTAAACTTTCAAAGGTTCATCTCAGGAAACAAAACTCTGATCCTCTTCACTTTGGGCAGATCGACCTCTACGTTTTTAGCGTCCCAGTTAATTTCAGTTTGGTTCACTTAAGTTAAGTGCAGCTCAGTTTAATTCACTTTGTGTCTGCTGGCTCTTGGGCCCCGATCAGAGGCAGCAGTGAGAAATGTACAGTTTATGTTTCTCTGTGTTTCCTCAGACTATTCTCCACTGCATCACACTCATGTCCTTCCCTCCGGTGGAAACCAGGTAGCTGTCATCGTACAGGAAGCTCACATTGGTCACGTGGCTGCTGTGGCCACCGTAAACATGGCTGGGAGCCTGGAAAGAAGTTAAAAACCAAATCAAATCCATCACGTTAGCTTAATTTCCTTCTTTGAATCCCATATAGATATAGTCAAACCACAGTATACAAATTCTTACCCTGAACTGTGAACAGGGGTGTGAGAATAAATGAACCTTTCCAAAGTCATCCCCGGTAACCAGCAGACTCTTGTCAGTGGATCTGCAGGCAGCATTTACGTCAGTGCCGTCTGAGCCATCAGGCCACAAACCTGAGGATGGAGAAGGAGGTGCAATCACATGTTAAGTAGACATTAAATACAAAGATACATTGGAGACAAGGAGGCAAGGAGATGCCACTCACCGAAGACGTGGAAGCTCAGAGTACAGGTGTAGGTGGTCCACTTGATGTCTCTAGTGGTCTCCACACTGACCACTTGTTTACACACTGATGGAATCCCTGTGGAAAAACACACAAACAGATGAAAACGACAGTTTTTGGGTTTAGGGAAACAGCTCAGCTTACCCCGCTCCCATGGTCAACTTACCCCATACATGGGGTAAGTTGACCATAGGACCATAGGACCATAGGAGACCACTTTTTTTTCGCATGCTACATTATCAAGACACTTATGTTTACACTCATTCTGTTGGTTTGCAGATACACTAGTTAGAGACAAAACTATGATTGCCTTGACGTAGTGATCCAAAATATGAAATATGGCTCATCTTATCCCACTCTCCCCTATACTTCTTTACACTCAAAAGTGCAAAAGGGGTCCCAGAACAGAGCTTTCAAATGTACAAAGTAACTTCTTTTCTTTACATACATATCTAAAGTAGGGGGCTCAGTCAGAAAATATTGATGCCACATACTTCTGTGCACAAATCAAAGTTTATTTCATATCATGATGTAATGATGGTGATTGGTCTTTTTACTTGCATTAGGTTTGAATGGAGCATGTTTTCACCCTTAACACAAAAACAGTCGTAGATGATCCAAATAACCACATCTGATAAAGGATGACAGTGGTCATACTTACAATACAGTATCTCATAGTCCCCTGAATTTGACACCAGGTGTTGGGAGTCCTCTGACCAGTCCAGGTGGGTGATAAAACTAGAGTGACCCTAAGATGTGAGATCGAGCAAGTTAGACTTTTCTAACAAAACACTCATAATCACAGCATTCCCACAGAAGTAGCAAAATAAAACGTCAAGCATAAAAAATAATCAAACATGACTCAGATGAGACTAAAAAATAAATAAAATACAGCTCGTATGATTCAATCTGCTGTCATTTATGATTTTCCATTTTCTTATCATCATGCAGTGAGGACAGACTGTAAAGAGCAGACACCCAGATATAGAAGCTGGGGAGGGAGCTAAATATGAAGATGATGCAGGGGGAACTAAAAATAAAAGAAGCCATGGATGAAGGGGGGATTATAAATACAGGTGCTCACCGAGCATTTCCCCACTCGGCTGTACTTCCTTCCATTTTCTGCCACAGCGTAGATATAGATGTAGTTGTCGTGGGAACCAATGGCCAGGAAGTTACCATCTAAATAAAATCAAAAATGTACACAGTGATGTTTGCATATTTATGATGTACACTGTGTTGGCTGGACTGATAGTACTTGTGACTTCATACCTGGACCAAAGCTCATAACAGACAGCTGTTCATTCCCATCTGTGTGAACTGTGACAAGATCCTTAGTGTCAGTGTCCAACACCAGCCACCTGTACGATTAATGGTAGACTAATCATTAATCTTCTCTTAGACATTTAATCATGATAAAAATCTTTTCAGAAGAAGCCAAATGAAAATATTAATACTAGAGGAAGCAGATAACCAGCAATCTTTTTAGTGATGGGTCGCCATACCTGCCGGTTTGAGTTCCTATGGCAACCACAGCTCCAGATGGGTGGAAACCAGCTGATTGAGCAGAGTCCTGTCAGAAACAAGGAAATGACAATATTCTTAGTAATCGTGTACTCGAACATGTGTTTTCATACTCCATTTGGGTTTGCAGTTTACTTTGTAACTTACGGCACAGGCGGAGTTTCACACAAAAATTAAGTTTCTTGCACATGTCTGACTATGACAAAAGTTTACCCGCACTCACCTGAATCTGAATATGATTTAAATATCCAACATAATCTTAGTTCAGTCAGGATCACTTTAGTCAAAATTAATTATTTATTACAAGCAAACATTTTTACATTGGTGGTATGGCTCTGTTTTGAGAGTTCCCTGCCCTTCCATGCGCTTGCATTGAATGCGACGGCTATAAGAGCCCCTCCCCTCCCTGCCATTTGCATACATGAAAAGCCAAGGCAGAGAAAGCAGCAGCAAATAAATATGATTAAGATAAATAAATTAAAATCCCCCCACAGAACAGAACAAGCATCAGTGACAATACCTATGACACTGGTAAGAGCAGACACAACATAAACAGGAGGAGCTGGGATGGAGGTGGGTTGCAGAGTGCTTGCAGCAGGCAGAGTAGGCTGGAGAAGCTGTTTAAATTGGGCGTCATTTTGATATTAGCCAATAGGTTGCGTAGAGGGCGATTACCTGAGCTGTCAGCTGACTGAGGGCTGGCTTAAGATTAGCTGACTGTAGCCTTTAGCTGACTGTAGCCTTTAGCTTGACTCCGTGTCCTGCCTGAACTACCGCTATGCTTCATTTTTCATCAGATTGGACATTTTTTTTAATAAAGACACCATTGTTTGAATCAGAACAGCTTTAAAAGTTGAAAATGTCAGGGGGGATTATTACTACTGAGCAGACAAGTTTTTTCCATGTACATCTGAGCATTTAGTTGGTCACATGATCCTACAGCTGTCTCTCAAAGACTCTATGACCAGGGGCCCATCTGTACAGTACCATCTGCAGGGTGTTGTGTAATTCTTCTGGCTGACCCCAGAGGGCGACATTGACTAAACTCACCTCCATGCTCTTTGTCCAGATGAGCTGATGGGAGCTGGAGTCCCACAGACACACTTGCTTGTCATAGCCGCATGTTAGAAAGTGAGGCTTCCAGGGGTGAACAGCCAGACCCCACAGCTCATCAGTGTGACCCTGTGGAGGAGAGGAGTGTGTTTCCTTTACTTTGTCTAGTGCTCAACAACATCACAGTGAAGCTGAAACAAATGGTGGTAAATCAATAATAGGTGAATCAAAACTTGTTTTGCTGGTACCAGTTGGTCTGATTGAAAACTTGCCACTTTTTCTGCTACTCATTCATAAACAACTTTTTAAGTGATGAGCTTTAGTATGAACAAAAACATATCGTTTACCCAGAGATGGTAATTTTTTGTCTATTTTCTGATAAAACAATAGCAAATTAGCTCATTAATAAATCTGGATATTCATCTTTTAATAAAGCAACTATGTATGCTTTGATGCATTTACCTGTGTGATAGGAATAAACTCTCCATCCAAACTGCCCTGCAAAACAAAGTGCTTGGTGGTCCCGATAAGTACAGTCTCCCCTCTGCCCTCTGCTATGGTCCGGATGGGACCAAACAACTCTGGTACCTGAGGGAGATTCATGATAACCATGATGAATAACCTGTTTATCTGTATCAGACATCTTCCAGACAACACATAAACTCATGATTTACCGCTTCATGTGGTCTCCCTGGAGCAAATAAGATATAACTGAACCATAATTCTTATCGGTACGAATGGTCATGAATTTCATTTAAGGTTAAAACCCATCTCATGCTCTGTAATATTGATGACTCGGTGCAGTGTTCAGAATGCGAAGTATGAAGCCTTTGGCCAGGGAGCGATTTCAGGCTAATGGGAGCTACTAAAAGCAACTTCAAAAGATGGAGCTGGCTTTGCAACTTTACACCTGATTAGAACATAGAGAAATATCAGGATCTTCAGAGGTCTGCACCAAACATTCTGTAAGGACCTCTGTTGGACTTGTCTTTACCTCTACTGTCTGGATCTGCTGGTAGCTGCTGTCCCAGGACAACAGCCTGCGGTCTTTCCCTCCAGACACCAGCGTGCCGTTCCTCAGCATGCACAGAGCAAAGATGCTGCCCTCGTGAGCTCCCTGGATGACGTGGCTGATGCGATTAGTGCCTGCGTGACGGAGAAAGGATGAGAAGGTTCAGCTGGAGAAAGTCGGACATAAAGGTCAACTGTTGGAGGCGGGCAGATTAACGGACAAACACACAGACATAGAGGCAGACAGGTTGATAAACTAATAAGAGTAGAAAACAACACATGCTTCAAGATTACTTTGGGGTTTTGCCTTTATTGTTCTGGGTTCAGATACCTAGTAAAGGTCAAAGGAATAAATGAATAAACTTACCTTTTCCCCAAACCAAAATGTTCCCACTTGAGTCTCCTGTGATGGCGTCTCCATTTTCAGCGAATGTTACACACAACACAAACTTGGGCTTCTCCTGCTTCTGCAAGAAACACAGGAACACACACATAACCATGAAGTAACCGCTGGTTATCTGCTCCTCTCTTTACCAGTTTTTATTCTTACTTTCTTGTTTATTAAACTCAGCAATAAGGTGTCTTACCTCAAACAGGCCTTGCTTTTTCACCAGCGTGCCTTTCTCTAAGCTCCAGAAGTAAAGATGGGACTTCCCACAGGTGACTATGACGTTGCAGTCTGTTGGGTGAAAGTCTGCAGCAAACACAGACTCGTTGGAGCACTGCAAACACATAAACCACAAAACTTCAGCTGTTTGACTAAAATACCAATGTGCACATATTTAACTTAGATCGCGTATTCATATGGCGACATAACACACAAGCATACCTTAACCTCAGCCAGTCTGTCCTCTCTCTGCCAGTCCCACACAGAGAGGACATGGTCATTTGAGTCATCAACGACACATAAAGTGTTCCCTCCATTCTGGTGTAAGGAAAAATAAATATTACATATCCAAAGATGGTCAACATCGTATCAGCAACTGCCTGAGAGTGTGTCAGGGTTGTTTTCTTACCGACTTGGAGAAAGCCAGACAGACCAAAGCTCGGTCAAAGAAGCCTGAACCCAGAACATGAAGGGTGTTGAGGCTGACTGAATCCCAAACTCGAACATGAGGAGCCAGCTGCTGCCAGGAAAGAAACCATGGTCACCAGGGAAAGCAGCATCAGTATGTAGTGGTCTAAAGCTTACTAAATGTGTTTCTACATCTCAGCTTGTTCATGAGGAATAGAACCAAAAACTGAATGATTAAAAAAAATAACAAAAAGAGACCTGACTTACTTTTCCATCTGCAGAGGTGCCCGCCACCTGCCCGGTTGCTATGGTGATCTTATCAGGGTGGACAGCCAGGCTGGTGGAAACAGACATAAAAAGAGTTAAAAGCCTTTTAACATCAAACACAGTGTGAATAAAGATGAGCAGTGCACTCACAGAATATGAAAGAGCTCATTTGGTGAATCAGGCTTTTTTCAGATATGAAATTGATTTTCATTGGTTACCGTACATCTCCACATCTCTCTGTGCTAGTGTGAAACAACTCAAAATAAACTTAAACTCAGAGGCTGTTTGGAGCTCTTACATTTTGTCTTGAAAGACTGTTTGTAGTCGATGCTTTGATCTGTTTTCTGAAGTGCTCAGTTATAATTTGAACTTTTGTTAACCTCAGGGTGTGATCACGCCGTGTTTGTCAAGGTTACTCTAATTGCATCGCTCACCTTCCCACAGATATTATTCAAGACAAACACGGATATGAGGATGACAGAAACAGAGATAACATTAACTTCAGAATCCTGTTTTTCTCACCATTTAATGTCGTCTGTGTGTCCTGTGTAGTGTCTCTGCAGCTGCTCGTCCACGTTGAACAGGACGACCACTGAGGCTATGAAATACACTGTTTCTCCAGTGGGCAACAGGTAAAGGTTGGACCGACAGTCCCGACCACGGTAACCATAACTGGACATTAAAGATGGGTCAAGGAACAAAGGACAAATGAAACAACGTATTCAGATATTAAGTTTTTTGGTTTTGGACTTTAAGCTGTCACAAACCGTTTTGGACCATTTTCCAACTTTTCAAAACAATCAAAGATCAAATTAACAACAGATACATTATTAGCAACTATCATGACAGTTTTACACCTGATTTTAATGTATTTATTTACCAAAAATCCTCAAAAGATAACACACACTTTTCTATTTTTATGACAAAAATTCATCAGTGATCTTTTTCCTACTGTGTTCAAATATACAGACTACACACACAGACGCCCACTTACATTTCCTAGTCTGTATGTTCTTGCCTCAGATCTAATCTTATCTTTGTTTCCTTTATTACGTTTTACGCCCTCTGGCTCTAAACTCAGCCACACACCTTATTCATTTTTCTAAAACCAAATGAGAAGAGAGACAGAAACCACACAATGAAAGGAAGTAAAAATAACTCAGCACAAGAGGAGCTGCTGACTCGTTGTGTCTCTTGCTGTCAGCTGTGTGCAGGTTATTACTGAATGTAGGCTGCAGAGATGAGCCCAGATCCACTCGCTGGAAATGAGCATCTAAACAGAGTGCAGAGTCTGACAAGCAGCAAGAGCAGAGGCGACACATTTCTCAGCTTCCTCTCTTTACGCCACCGCAAGCCTAATCTGGATTTAACCTCCTCTGGAAGACTGCTTTTCTAAACTTTTTCAAATCACAAATGCAGAGGAAATAAAAATAAGACTTCAGGTGGAGTGATTTCTCTGTAAAAGGATACACCCAATCCAGTTTGAGCTTCTTGCTGGGCAGCTCAGCACGGGCCTCCAGGCAGTAGGTGTCCACCTGCTCTCTGGGCATGTACATGGTGATGGGACGACCCTTCAAGTACATTTTCACATAACCCTCCTCTAAAAAAAGCGATAGAGAGGAGAAGTGAGAAAAAGAGCTGTGCCTGCAGAAAACTCAAATGTATGTACTGGAATTTTATCAGTTTTGAGAATCATTTTTAGAATTTGTATGAAATTATACGAAAAGCACAAACATGATACTAAAGCATAAATGTTACAATGCAAGTGACAACAGTGACAAGGATGAATGTGCAACAGGATTAGAGGATAATTGATGGATATGATGTGGTTTTTTCAATGGAGAAGGCAAAATTAAAAAGACAATAAATGACAGAATTTTCAAACACAAACAAATGAACTTTTAACTGACTTTATTAGTCATTTTAAAGACACAATGACAACAACAACACAGACAGAAAATGAACTGCAAACACTTCAAATCTCATACATAATCAGCTCAAAGCAGAGGTTAACAAAAATTAAATGCAGACACAAGCATAGCAACGAAAATGATATGAGAAAAAAACAGTTTTAAGTTTAGAAAATGGAATAATGAGAAATCCTTTACTGGTCCGTTAACAGTTTAATGCAGAAAATAAAATGAACCCAAACAAGCTAATGATAGCATGAAACATTCGTGTAAGCTAGGAAGTGGCTGGATATATAGATTTTCTCTGTTATTTTGTGCTTTTCAGCTAGTAACAAATCTGAAAATACTGGCTTGGAGACTTAATGGGGCTTCGATAACTAGGTGTATCAAGGGAAGAGTATGACGACAAACTTCCAGACTTTCTCAGCTGGATGCTAAAGCTCGGGGTCTTTCTGGCTGGCGGCAACTTGACGGCACCACCCTTTCTGACAGTGCTGGCCTTGCTGCTTTCTGAGGTTTGTTTGGGGTTGGTGTTGGCTGAACAGGATGCTACAGCCATAGCCGCAGGGCTGCCACTGGTCCCAGTCCGTTTGGCAGAGCGGCTGAGGTAAATCTGTACTGTGACTACGATGAGGAGGGGAACAAGAGGGGCCAGTGGTAGAGAGGGAGGTGGAAGTTAGGTGGACGCATAGGCAGGGCAAAGGAGCAAGTAAAGGCAAAGGGTGGAGGAGGCCAGAGTGAGTTAGAGAGACGCAATGGCTGTTTGTGTCATTAAAATTAAGCATCATGAAACACAAACAAAGAAAACTATGGGGAAACTGAGGCCTAATGTGAACAATAAGGATGTTTCTTACAATCACAAATTATTGTATATGTCTCATTTAGTGGTTAAAGCTCCTATGAGGAACCTCTGCGTGTTTAAATCATGTCTTCAGTTAAAAACTCTCATCGTACTGACTTGTGATGGTCACATGTGTCCTTAGTGTGAGTATTTTTTACAAAAATTGGAAAGACAAGGCTGTTTCTATAGCTGCTTGGCTGACGCCTATCCTCTCATACTGATCTGAGACCTTCAAAATAACAACACAATCTTGTCACCAATGATCTTGTTTGCTTTTGTGCATTATAAAAAAGTATCAAAATATATTTCACCCTGTTTCATGAACATAAAAAAAATCCTTACAGGTGCTTTAATTTGTATGCATGGCTGTTGTAAAAGTGTGACTTGAAACTTGAGGGTTGGGACCTGTAGAGCCTAAAATATAAAACTTAGGGTCTCAAAAGAGTTGAAAATGGACAAATCCCAAACTTCTAGTACAGTGTATGATAACTTATAATTAGTTAAATATGTAGTCTTGCCTAACACCAGTGGTTCTCAATCCAGTCCTCGAGCCCCCACTGTCCTGCATGTTTTGGATGTTTCCCTGCTCCAACACACCTGATTCAAATGATCAGCTCGTTATCAAGCTCTGTAATGGCTTCATAACGAGCTAATCATTTGAATCAGGTGTGTTGGAGCAGGGAAACATCCAAAACATGCAGGACAGTGGGCCTCGAGGACTGGATTGAGAACGACTGACTAACACTAACATGCCACTTGGTAACTACATTGTGCACTTATATTTCAGTGATGGTAATTCTGATGGTAAAAGTCTTGGGTTAAAACCCTTCTTTTATGTATCTAGTCACAACACAAAGTGTAGACTTAAAGGACATATGCTTCATATATTACACTACTATTTTTCTTGAAACCAGAATGCCAAGAACCGCCGGACTGGATGCTTTAAGAACTAATTATCCAGTAACACAACTGGGTAAACAGCAATATATCTGTGGGGAAATGAGCCTGAACTCCAGTCTCTCTTTATTTCTTGGCAGCTTTGTGAATACTTTGCAGAGGGGAGCTACACACAAACGGGGGACACTTCATATGAGAAAACTACAAGCAGGAAAACCAAACAGACTTCAATAGGAACTACCCAGAAAAGAGCCTGAATGTGTTTGTGATGCAAATATTCATTTTGAGGGCAGGAAGATAATAAGAGCAACGCCAAATTGACTGGCTCTGAGCTGGAATCTCAGCACAGAGGATTTAAGCGCTCTTAGAAAAAAAACTCAAAGCCACTGTGAGGAAGCCAGTGTTGAAAATCTTTGTGTTGTTACTATGGTGACAGAGACTAAATGCCTATAAGCAAAAAGAAAAAAAAAAAAAAAGTAAGGCTTTGGTGAGGCAGCAGCTTCATCTGCGGTTAAACAAGAAGCGCGGAGACACACAAGTGAACCGCAAACACTGCAATCACACTGGTGTAGCTCCCAGTGGAGGTTAGATAGGATGTGTGCACGTGTGTGTTAGTTTATAAGGTCTAAAAACAATCAAGGGAGGTAACTTCAAACACACACACTTTGTCAACCCACTCCTGCCCCTGTCTGGACAGCTCTCTGATCATTGAGCCAAAGAAAATCTCTACATTTTTAGACTCACTGTTGTGAATCTTTATGAAGAAAAATAGAAAAAAAAAATAGTTAAAATTTTCAAATACGAGTTTTGCTTTTTATTCACAGCATGTTCAGAGAGCTGAGAAGGTGGGGGGGGTCTTTAGGGGGAGGTGTTATGCCTACCTTTGCAGTGGGTCACACGTCGCATCCCTTGTAAAGGTCACAGAGAAAGACACAAGCACCAGGTGAGGGGTGGCATGGCTTCCTCACTTCCTGGTCTGTCCTAATATGAGCTCACTTCCTGTTTCCTGGTGTTAATGAACAGCAGCCTCTGTGCTTAATGCTCTTTATGAATCAAATGCTCTAAATTAATCAATGCTCATTTCCTGGATGATGGTGCCCCACCCTCTGATCTAATGCGGAGAGTCATTAAAAATAATTGCCCACTTGTTTTTCACTCGTATTTCAAGCAAAAGAACAACACTCCTGCTTGTATTTTTCAATGACTTTTAACACTGTTTGTTGTTTTTTTATGATTTTAGTAAAAGCTGAAGGCATCTGTGCTTGCACCAACTTGTAATTGTTTCAAATGAGCAATGTCCTCAATTTGTTTGGATTGCAGCTAAGCATTAGACTGGCAGTATTTAGTGTTGCAATTATCAGCTTTATTGGTTATTAGTCACTGAGAGGCGATTTATAACCATGACACTGCCTTCGTGTGCAGCTCAGCAGGAGATTATTTGATTTTCATTCATTTCAATGTCCACTAAGAGGTTCACATTAGTCATAATTAACTTGAAGCTCATATTCTCCAACAGTCCGCATCTTAAATCAGGTAGCACCAGTATTTGAGGTCTTTAAAGAGCGTCAACAGGGTAAAGGTTTACAGTGGTGGGTTGAGTTACACGTCTGCCTGGACACATGATGATTCTTAATAATACAACATCTCCACTGTGAGTAGGTCCTCTTGGCTATTAATGCAGCTTGAACCAAAAACATCATATTGGATTAAATGACTTGATTGTGCTATAAATACTGCCGAGACAGAGGAAAAAAAAATCTGGAACCAGGTGTGAAAACCAAATGAAAAAACAAAGGCTTATTTCATACAAAATCAATACCACACTGGAGGTGGAGAATCCGATCAATACTAATTCACTTCAAATTCAGCTCTATTGTGTTGTTGAAATGTGTTTTAAGACTGAATTTACCAGAGTTAATAAAAAGTAAAGACTGTTATTTGGCTTATTTTGAGCTTTTTCAATCCTTGACTCTCTTTTTTGAACATCTCCTAACCAACAAGCACCAAAAAGATAAAAATGGGCTACTGCTAAAGCTGTCTTTTAAAAAATGTAATCCTCTAGTTTACTATTTAAACCCTTATACGAACAAACAAGGTTATCTCAGCTAGTATGTTAACACTCCCTGCTTTGAAACTGGAGTCAAAGACGTTGGATAAATTTCTTATATTTCAGTTTATCTTTCACAACAGTTTTTTCTACTTTAACACAAAAACAAACAAACACAGATTTAAGGACCAATAGAAAAATAAATAAGCTATGAGACCTTGACATAAAAAATATTATAATATTAAAATAAAGTCATTCATATTGTGCAGAACCAAAGCTTTATTCAAACAAAGCAGAAAGAAGTGACTGAACAGAAAAGATGGATGGAGGTGTGGAGGTAAAGATGCAGCAATGAATGAAGTGGGTTGGTTGCTTGTTAATGAATGAATTTTGAAATGGATGAATGTTCGGCACTGATTGGTAAGACTCATCATCATGTGTTAAGACTTCAGAGGTCTTCTGTGTGCAGAATACAGATCAATACACTGACTCCATTTGATAAGACATCAGTTTTCTGTCTCATTTTGGGGAAAATACTGAATAGTATTCAGCAGGATTTTTATTTCTGGTAAGATCCATGCATTGACCTCATCTGACACAGGAAACCTCTGTGTGAGTCTGTGTTGTGTGTTGACTCCCTTAGAGTCGCTTCATATCATCAAACCATCGTAACTGTCAGGCTACAGAGCCGTAAAAGATCCTCCAGTTCTTACCTGCATTGAACACTGGATCCCTCTGTTTGCTGCAAAGTAAATGAGTAAAGATACAGCTGTCATTTAGTATCTCACCTCCAGATAAACCATGATATGCTCTTGATTTGAAGATGCTCTAAACAGAGATAATGAATGTGTTTTCTGCTTAAACAAAGCAGCCATCTATCTTGTGTGAACAGAAAGTGTCAGCGACTGTACAGATGTGTAGGAAAAAGATGATTTTTGAGGTGACGTTTGTCTTACCTGTCGCTTCTTTTGCCGCTGGAGTTGCTGCCGGTGGATCCAGCACGAGTCCGGTTGCCCTTTGACTCGCCTGAATCTTTCCTCGTAAGAGTTCCCACATGTTCATTTGAGTTGGTCCTCCTCACAGTGCTGTGGTGAGAGGAGAAAAAATTAGGGCAGAGAAACACCAGAAATAGGTTATGAAAACTACCTGACTGTACGTTTCTAAAAATGTCCCTAGGTAAAATTTCATCCAAGAGAAAGTTTTTAAAAGTGAGTATAAGAGGGGGAATTAATTTCATGACTCGGCTTAAATATGTTTTTATAAAAGTGTAACACAGATGAAGAAACATAGCTTCCTTACACTCTCTGTACTCTTTGAATACAGTGTCAGAGCAGACCTGTGCTAATCTGCATATTGAGCAGACAGCCTGCCTATTCACAACAAAGAAAAGGCTCCATCAGCAGTCCAATGGCCAGTAGGCCCGGTCACCTAATCCACCCTACGGGAGAAAAGTCTATTCACATCCTAAAACTGTTCGCTGGCTGTTAGCCTTTGTGCGTTTGTCCAGTAAAGAGCAGAATAGACGAGAGACAGGAGCGGGTGAGAGAAGTGTTGTTTGCTGAGTTATCCCAGGAGGAATCACAGTAATTGGGCCACAGGGCATTGGGGAAGGCTGCTCTGTGTTTGGCAGAGCTGATGGGATTGTGACCAACCTGTACTTTAGACTAATCCCTGACACACATTGTAAACCAAACAAAAAGAGCACCAAAAGAGGCAGATCAGGAAATTTAACAGTAAATATTAGAGATGACAGAAAGAGTGAAAATGGGACCTGGAGCCGGTTTTAGTAAAATAGAGAAATAGTTACATGTTTGACAGATATGATGTGTCAGCGGTTATTTTGTGACCATGAAACCTTACTGTACTTGTGTTCTCCCTCACCTGAGGGGCAGGTAGAGGTATCTGGTAGAGCGAGACAGAGGGGACAAACTGGACAGACTGGAAGGACATCACATGGGAAAATCGGAAACATGCAAGATATTGCCTCATGGTTTAAGAGGACATATAATCAGACAGAGACAGAGCAAGGACATGGGAAACAGGACAGATGGGGAAGACATGACAGAAAGACAAACAGAGGAATAGTAATGATAATAAACTGTTTATTATTATTATTATTATTATTATTACTATTATTACTACAATTATCATTAATATTGTTGTCATTTTTATTAATATTGTTGTTGTCATTGTCATTGTTTTAAGTGTCATTGCTATCATTGTTATTATTGTCATTGTTATTGTTGTGATTGTTATTGTTGTCATTGTTTTTGTTGTCATTGTCATAGTTATTGTTCTCATTGTTGTCATTGTTGTTGTTTCATTGTTGTCATTGTTATTATTGTCATTGTTGTCATTGTTATTATTGTCATTGTTTTTGTTTTATTGTTATTGTTACCATTATTGTCATTGTTGCCATTGTCATTGTTGTTATTATTATTATTATTATTAGTAGTAGTAGTAGTAGTATTGTTATTATTATTATTACTATTATTATTATTATTATTTTCATGATTATTTTCATTATTATTACCATTATTACCATTGTTGTTACTGTTGTTGTTGGTATTATTATTATTTTATTTTTTTTATTGTTATTATTACCATTGTTGTTATTGCTGTTATGTTAAAATGCTTTGGCAATATTGTAGTAACAATCATGCCAATAAAGCTAATTAGAATTGAAATTGAAATTGGAATTGACAGATGACAAGTCACAAACGGTAAATCGACTCCAGTCAAATTTGGGTAAGCGGGACGATGACTTGAGCATTTTATTTCATTAAGGCAACTGTGTCCAAAGAAATATAGTCAGTGTTACATGTGTGACTTGTCTTTTGAGTTGATATTGTAAGTGACAGAAACCTTGGTGCAGATAGACTCAGACAGAACCACAAGAGGATTACAAGAGCACCAAGAAGATACATAAGACCATATCATATTTTTGGTCTTGTGGTTTAAGGTTTTGTACAATCCCCTTCATACTGATTTCAATCTGCGGACCCTTTTCTTTGCTGTCCTCCCCAGGATTAAAAGCACCCCCTCTCTTGGTAGTGAAAATATCTAAGCAAAAACAAACTCAGGCAAATGGGAAATAAAGGGCAGCACAGAGGAGTTAACAGCTGTTTAGACTAAAGCTTGTCCTCACTGTCTGCTGTGCATCATCTGATTATGTTAATATCATCCAGAGATGGGAAATAGCTGTTGTTCCCCTGACAGAGAAGATTGATAACCTGTGCACCACATGCAGTATAAACAGAGAGAGCGAGCAGAGAAGCACCGCAGTGATGACAAACAGCTTACGAGTGCTGTTAAATGTCAGTTGTTTTGGCGGATAGAGAGCCAGAAACAGGACCATTTGTGGGACAAATTATGTGACATGGCACAGCTGAAAATGTCCCCAGACAAATAAAATGTCTGGAAATAACATCATGACACATGCAAAAACCTCACACGACCTGGCTGCATTTAGTTAACTGTGGATTTACAACAGTGTTAACAAGATGCAGCGGTTCAGAGAAGTTAAAAATCCACCAAAACTGGCAGAAAACACTCGATTTAGAGCCACTGGCTGCTTAAATGTTGTTTTCCTCCTCCTTACCTCTTGTTGCCTGGTGTGCTGGTGTCCTTCCTGGATCCTGGTCCAGACGGGGAGGGAAGAGTGCCGCCGCCTTTCTTTGGTAGGATGGTCCCGTTGTTGACTGTGGGCCTCAGTGGGAGGGTGGCAATCATTGGCCTGGCTGGGGGAGAGAAACAAAAAGGCACATTTAGTCTAAAAGCTCGATACAGGATGTGGTCATAAAAATGCATCTTCTGATGTTAAATCATCTTCTTCATGAGTGTAATTAAAGAGATCGAAGAGGGGTGAAACGCCTCCTGGCACACACTGTGGGGTAACAGCTTTATGGACATCCCTCTCCCTTTTTTCAATCTTCTTTTAAACATTAAGAATGTTACAGTGTTTGATTTATTTTCTATAATGTTCTCACTCTTCCTGAAGCCCATCTGTTGTTATTCAAGCACCGATGGGGGGAATATAAAGTCAGCTGACAAATGTTATGGCATGTTTCTGTAATAATCCTTGAGATATGAATGACAACAGCGCCACTATAAGCAGTAATATTTACTGACATTTAGTTTCACTGGAAACTGTGATAAATAGAAGAAATCATAATGTGAGTCCAAACCAAATTCAGTTCGTCGAATTAAAAAAATTTAAAAAAATTATAATGAAAGTTACTACATATATACATGTGGTTCATCTTATTTTGTATGCTGTTAATTTGTGCAAGAATTATAGAAATAAAAAACAGATTTTTACTCCAATCCATTCAATGGTTTGACGGTGAAAAAATAATTATTACAGTCATAAATAAAAAAAAATCACTACTCAGCTAAAAGAAGTTAGTCCTCACCTCACCTGGTCTTTTGTGTATGCATCTCTGTGTGTGTGTGTGTGTGTGTGTGTGTGTGTGTGTGTGTGTGTACATATACATTATATGTATGAAAAGTGCTTTAAAAATAAAGTTTGATCGATTGATTTATAGTGCCAAATGTAATATGAATAAAACAGAGGCAGCACACATAACATATCATCTATTGATAAATCAGCTCTAATTTTGTTACGATATCATTCTTTTCAGTAACTTTTATGTGAAAATGACATACTGCACGCTACCATTCATTTGAAAGAGGTTGACAACACAAAGAGACATGGACAAAAACACACAATCATGCACACACATGTTGATGCACACACACGCATGCATACACACATGCCACCGAGGCTGGCTTTGGAAAGACAAATCCAGGCTGCAGCTTTATCTGCAGTGATGAATATTTAATAGACTCTTCATTCAGCAGCACACACTCACACACACACACACATACACACTGTTATCTTTCATGTACTAACTACGCAGCAGGGGGCAAACCGAGGTTGTAATTGTGTTAGCATGTTAAAGAAGACTAATGTGTGCATCCTTGTACAGCCTCTGTGCATGGGTCTATCCGATCATTATGCGTCAGCTGAGAGGTGCAGGCTGAGGGCTCCCTGCACCTAAAAGTGCAGACCAATAAAAAAAAGCTGAGTCTGACTCATCCTTCAGCTCTCAAATCAAAGTGAAACTTCATCCGTCTGCACTCGCTCCAGAGACTGAAACTGGCAGCAGCTCAGAATCACAATCTGTTTCTGTTTTGGTGCTCAAAAGCACAATCGAAGGCTTAAAAAGGCATCAAGAGTGGCTGACTTCTCCACAGGACCACCAAAACTTTCTCATGAGGATGATATTTAACAGGAATCAAACACACTAAATCTAAAAAATTGACACATCATAACAAAAAAAATTCTTCCTAAGTCGGTGAAGAGCTGCTAACTCCAACATGATGCAGTTTGCTTTGTTCAAGTAGCTTGAACTGAGTAAGTTCAGGGCTGCCTTTGTCCCATGAGGAGACTCTCTTAAACTCTTTTATACACGTCTTCTGTTTTTATTGTATTTTGACAGAAAGGTCACATTCACAGGGGTAGACACAAACTTGTCAACGTCGTGATGGTTCATTGGTGCCTGTGCCTTGGACATACACAGTGCATTGACTGCAGGCAGTGAAGAACTAAAAGTGACTGTGGGTTTTTCTTTCTAAACACAATATGGTGTACAACAGAACCTCAGCAGGCAGTGACTGAATGTGCTTTTTGTAAACACGACACCAGGCCCAGTTAGTGCAGACAGACTTCACAGTCGGCCTACCTGACTTCCCAACATTGCTGTCCACTGAAGGAGACTTTCTCATCATAGCAGGGTCTACACACGTGACGCACAACATTTTAAACAACACAACATGTGCCAGGAGAAGGAAAGGAGGAAAGGAGGAAAGAAAAGCTAGTCAGAGAAAGGAAACTGAGGGTAGCATCACCAGGAAAGAGAAAGAAAAATGTGGAGAAAGCCCAAAAAGGATTCTTCCAAAGTCAGACGATGAATAATTGATATGGGCTACTAGAAAAACCGCTGACCCTGTAGCTCAACACTCAAAAATAGGACTGGTTTGTGTACGTGTTCTACCTTTGGTGGGTCCTCTGCGTGACCCCATCGCCTGCTGCTCTTCAGACACGTTGAGCCGGCGCACCACATCGGCCAGAGCAGACTTTAGCAGCTGAATCTCATCCTCCTGCATCTGGACCCTCTGCTCCAAGGAGGCGATGCGGTCGGTCACCTCCATACTGCTGGCTGCTGACGCACTGTCATCTGAGGAAACACAACGAAATCAAATCAGGGATGTGACACAAAACGGATCTTCACAGGAAATCAACTAGAAACCAATAACAGAAAGTTAGCAGCAGATCAACACAGATATGAGAGTTGTAGGAATCATTTCATCAAACTCTTGACAAAACAGGGAGAAAAGGTCAGAAATTAAAGGTGTATCATGTTTTTTAAAGACTAAACTGCCTTTTCACTGTTTTGGGAATCTGTGTCTATTGTATTGTGTGTTGAGCCACACCACAGGCAAATTTCTGTCACAGCAGACAAAGTTTTCTGAATCTGAATCTCAAGGTTAAAAATGTTTGTGTTCAGTAAAAAAAATGTGAAATGTTTCCATTTAAAGGATTCAAATATCAATTTAGTTGCTTCCATTCCGTTCAATCAACCACTTTTATTCTGTCCTTTAAATAAATGCATATAGAGGAATAAAAAAGGGAGAAGCAGGGATGAAATACAAATAGAAAGCTGCCCCTTCTGTTTGTACAGAAACCAGGGGCTCTTTAATGCTTTTATGCTTCCTGTCTCTTTGACTGTAAGAGATTTAGCCTTGTCTGGTTCAAAGAGCAAAACACATTTCTATTAAAATCTTTATTCATGAGCCTGTTTGTTCATTTTATTCAGTTCTTTGAGTTTAAACTAACTTAACACGTTATTATCGACCTCCCCACCTGACACCCTGATAGAGGCCAGGGAGCCGCCACCAGGGTCCACTCCATTAATGATGACAGACACACACAGACGCACACACACACAGACACAGACACACACACAGAGGGTCTCCTCCTCCATTAGCACTTTGATGTCACAGTGGCCCGATGAAATATTAATGGTAAGCACTGCTATGTTTTCCCTGCAGACTTGTATTAACAGTCTGATGCATTATGCATCAGAGCGATCGGGCATCTGGTGATCAAGCAGTTCTGCAGCCAGATCTCCTCCTGAGAGTCTGAGCCTAATCCTGATTGTTTACATGATATAATGGACATCCTCTGTGGATAACCTTTTCTTTTTTTTTTACAATCAAACACATAAATCTATTAAAAGCAGTGAGTGAGTCTGAACTCAACAAACTGTTTTAAAAATGCTGTGATGGTGGTTTTACTCTCTTACATAAATAAAAAGTGCTTAGAGGCACGGGGCTTCCCTTATTTTCATAAACAGACTTTGTATTTTATATAAACACTAAAGAGAACTTTTTGGTGGTGCAAAACTTTCGCTCTGAAATATGATGTAGCTAAAGTATTGAAAAACGTTGCGTTGAGTCCCTCAAAACCTACTTCAGGACAGCTTGATACAAAAACAATCATGTCTGCTGCATCTTTCTAATTATGCCTTTTGCGCTTATTGTGTCTATTGTGATAAAAGAGAAATCGACTTCTTATTTCTTTTGTAATCTCTTGCCATTATTGATGGATTAAAAAACTGTCCTGAAACTGTGACAATGACCAGCCACTGATTTCACACATTTTCTCCACACTAATCCTGTCCTTGTAAAACCTACAGGTTGAATTTCAGTTCGGGAGTCAGATAATATTTTATTGTATTTTTCCAGTAGAATTCACACACAGAGATCCTTAACTGGTAGTCCAGCCCTGACATTTCCAAATATCATTTTAGTCCATCTCAAATACCATCTGATTCCCTGCACTATGATAGTCTCTGACCTAAAGGTGTCTGAGCAAATCTGTTTTGTTAAGACCATGTGCTTATAAAACATGACTGGAAGACTCTAATATAACACCAGCATGCTTCAAAATGCACACATTTTAATCTTAACATCCATGTCACAATAAAAATTATGTCTTTAGTTTTATTTGCACATACTCAAAACAGGCTTTTTATCTATAACAACGAAAATTCAGAAGAACATAATCCCATATAGTCGAATGAAGTCATATAGTTCAATTGGCAGAACAAACTGGAGACCAATTTGACAAATTTGTTTATAATTGGACAAATTCCATTAGCCAGCTAAGTCCTCTGGCTTTGAGCTGGTTATTATAAATTGTTGCAGTCAGGGGGACCCTCCACCAGACAGGATGCTAAATTGGTGCATTAGGCAGATGGGACGCTTGACGCTTGTAGCAGAAAATGGAAATCAGATTCAGAATGGTTAAATCAACACAAGAGAGCAAACCAGCTAGTCAATTAAAACACTGCACAAACATAACTGCTTCTGTGTGATATTTAGACTGTTGGACAAACACAAAGCTCACTAAAATGTTGCTTTATGTTGGCAAGGAAAACACCAACCCATGAAATTCTACCATAATATCTCCCCACCTGCTGAAATTGAACAGATAAAACCTACAGGAGCACAATTCAATACATTAAACTCCCAGCAGTCAAATTCAGCAGGAAATATGTTCCCTTTATACAGATTGTTCAGCAGGGAAATGCATTTTTCAATCATCTTTCTCATCTATACACACACACTGACAAAGCCTTTTACGGAGATAACCTTCGCTGGTAATAACTTTCTGCTCACCTGAGACGCAGCCTTTGTTCATATTCTTATGCCAATATGTGTCACTGAGTGGATATCCCCAAATAAAGCTTCTATTATCTGCTCAGCATCTGTTGTGGGTCTGCTCCAAACACTGACACAATGACTGCATGATACCATCAGTGCTTATAGTACAATGACTGGCTGTCACGGCTGTGGATCTGCAACCCCTGTGCGCTGACATCCTCCGTCTGTCACCCTACGCCCTGATTCGAACCAAAGTAAACACATTATAACATGTTTGAAGGCGCTGCTCTGGTTTGTGTTTGTTCTTGTACATTAGGATGTGTGAAACTGATGTGACCGCAGCAGAGTCAGTGACACTCCACCTCACAGGGGGCTCGGGTCACGTTGTTCTCATCGGTACGTTCAGAAACAGTAAGATGTCAATCTTCATTCCACAACAAATCCATCAGCACACAAACCCCTGGACCCTCGTGTCTTTCTTTCATCCCCACAAAGCAGATCATTACACCCCACCAATCTCCCCTCGGCCCACTGCTCTGTCACACCTGTCAGCTCAATGCTCAGATGACTTCATTTCTGCTTGTCTTCCCTGTCGCAGCATCTCTTCTCCAGTCTTTTCCCGTCCCCATTTCATTATCTTGTCAATGTGTGGCCCAGGATGACTCTCCCAGCCTGTCTATCATCTCGGTGACACGCTGCTCCCTATTACCTTCCTCGGTGAGACCACCTGCCTGCTCGAGTGTTTGTCCATCTCTCCAGCCTCAGAAGCTAAAATAGAAACAGACACTCTCACTTCTGTTCATCTTTCCCGTTCTTAAATAACCGCGCCTGCCCCTCTTTCTTTAAATCTCAACCTTGTTCCTGAGTCATTTACTGACCTCACTGCCATCAATAATGAACAGTAGAGCGTGCACACATGCTCTGACCCATTTCTCCCCTCTGCACTCTCATCAGCCACATAGATCAATACACTGAAGGAGGAAAGACTAACATCGTGCAGGGTAAACGCTCCAGATCAACAGAGATCGCCCAGTGACCTCATGCTGCAGCCTTACATTGATCTGCACTGTCTGCTGCTCCTTTATGTAGACTTATCCTCCTATATTATGTAAGAAAAACCTTAAAAAAGCACTTTTAAAGATGAGAAAAAGTGCTGTTAAAGAAACGTCCTGATACCAGCTGTCTCACCATGTGTTCCTGCACACTTCCACAAAAACCCCCTGACATCCACAGTGATTGATGTCTATTTTCTTTCCTCTCAGTGGTGCGGAGAGGCCAAACAATAAAGATCAATTGACTTTATGGAAAGTAAAGCAGCAAGGTTAAGCTGCGTCACAACAGGGTGTTTTGAAAACTACATTCAGTGTTTGAGAGAAAGAGGCAGGCTGCAGGAAACAGCCTGTCACAACATTATGCCCACAATTCCTGTTTTTTTTTCTGTGACAGAATCTCAGCCAGGATTCCCACTCTGCTGGCGCATCTATCTCCTCACAGGATGCAGATAGCACACAGCACTTAGCCAACTGGTTTGGGTTTCGCAGCTTGAGTGCACACGGCCAGGTGGTGCGCTGCCATAGTTCCAGCTCAGCTGCAGCAGATTATGCCTTTAGGAGACAAATTTCTCCAAAACCACTGAGTCAGACTTATTAAACAAGCTGACCTCAGTCTGAAGCTGGAGTCACTAATGGAAGTCCAGACATAATCATAATCAAGTGCCATGCCAGGTTTCATTTAATGCCAAGAAGTAAAAGGGAGGGAGGTGGAATGGCGAGGTGGAGACGGAGTTAAAAAAGTGTGTCTAATAACATCAAAACGTGCTTGTTCCTCCATAAAGCTGTACTTGGTCTTAACTGGGTTTTAGCTTGATGCTTGAATACAAAGAAGAAAAATGCTGTCCACCAGCCATGGCAGATGGTTGTCCACCAATAAGCTCACGACTGCTTGATGTGTCTCCCTAAAAAAAGATTCGATTTTACGACTGTTTCTAACTGCATGCCCATTGGTGGATTAAAGGTGGGGTAGGCAGGAATCCATTAAAGAAGCATCTTTTTTTGTGGTGTATATAAAAAAAGCTTTTAATATCAGTCAATAGCTATGAGTTATTAATGACATTTGGAAATAAAACGATATCACTGTGTTCTGTTATGTCTGTGTTTTGAGCGGCCCACTCTTTCTGACTGTAAACAAAACTGTTCTCCACCTCCCCGACCTGATTGGTGGACGCTGCTCCTTAGTGCTAATTAGTTGTGAGGCAGATGCTGCTTCCCCGTGTTGTGAAGCATGCTCCACTAACGTTCACGTGCCCGAAAAAAGTTAGCGTGCTACAATGTCAGACAGTAGAAACCAACCAGAAGGAATCTTTTGAATCTTCCTTTGGTCACGACTGCCAACACCGACAAGAAAACAAAGTAAATATCGGAGACTCTGGTGGAATAACGAGCACTTAAAAAGGAAGTAGACCACCCGGACAAGAGCTAAAAAGCTAGGACAACATTGATGGGAGACGCTTCCAGATCTTACAGACCCTGTAACCTCTCTGCTGGACAGATAAACCGTTTTAACAAAGTAAACCAAGTGTTTGCTGGTAATCTGTTGGCATCTACAGTAGCACCAATGCTGTTTACTTTCACATTGACTAAGCCCTATTTGTAATTATCTGAAGTATTTATCTGCATCTGAAATTAACTGAACCGATATGAGTGAGCAGGAGCGTCTGTTTGTGGGCGGGGCTTGATGGAGCAGAGAGGGAGGGGAGAAGAGGAGCTGAGGGGAAAACTGGTTGGGAGGGGTAGTGTTTACATTCAAGATTTCTCCCAAAAACTGGCACTTCCTCAGATCCTGCCTACCCCACCTTTAAGTCCGGTCTGTGTAAACATGATGCCAAATACCTCCACTGTTTTAAATAAAAATTAGTTGGACTGGATCAAATTTAGCAATGCTCAATGTCCAGGATTAATGTTGAGGCATGATAGCATCTGCTAATTTCTTTTAAAGCTCCATCGAAGAACTTTTTGGCACCCCTCAAAGGACCAAAGTGATACCACTTGTCTCTTTTGTTGATCTTCTCCTGAAGGTTGTTTTCATCGTAAATGTATCACTCAGTATGGTTACAAAAAATCTTTTTATTGCCTCTGTCTGACTGAAACCGGACTTTAACATATGCTGCATTTCAATTTCAGGGATAGAAAATGTCATTTGTTAAATCGCATCATTGTGAAAAACATGCATCTGCTCCTGCTGTGACTGAAATCATCCATCAGGTACATGTCAGCCTGAGTGAAAGACTATAAAAACAGGTTGAGTAGAAGATTGGAGGAAGAGAAGAAAACGAGGGAAATGGAGGGGAAATAGCACGTTACTTCATGTACCATTAATCTGTCACCTCGAGCGAGCAGTGGATGACCTGTCAGAGGTGTGTTAGCTAATCAACCGGCAGATTAAGGAAGAGTGACAGTGTGTTTACAAGAAGCACTGATGGATCCTGCTGGACTGGAGGCTTGGGGGTTATAAATAAACCGAGGTGGATCAGAGAGGAGGAAAGCCTCGCACATGACTTGAGTTGAGACAAAGCCGGAAGAAGGAGAGGATAAAAAGAGACAGAGCGGACTGAAAAGGGAAAGAAGATACATTTGTTAGTGTGTGTGTTTGTGTGTCATAAAAGTGTGTGTGTGGGTCAAACAAGAACACGAGGAGAGGCTGAATGACTCCCACGAGATATCCCGCCGTCCTTGTACGAACACGTTAAACCCTTCCTTCCTCCCATCAGCTGCATCCTCTCAGGTCAGACTCAGGTCAAAGAGGGTACAGCTTTCCTCTTACTATCAGTCAAACTCCAGCCACACACACATACACACAACATGCTTGCACACTCAACAAAATAATATGTCAAGCCCAAATGAAACCAAGTTATGCAATAAGATGATACAGCAAACAGCATCAGCACTTCTTTCTGCCTGCATAGAATCCTAAGGGACTGCAGAAAAATTCCAAACACTCTCAGGAAATTTGAGTAATTTTCAACAACTTTAGTTAATTTTTTAAGGGAAGTTTTTGGATATTTTTATGGTAAATAAATCAACAGAATTTAGATCAAATTCTGCTTTTTCTTTTTTTGGTGCATAGTTTGTAAATTTCCTGAAGGACAACTATGCAACATATTTTGAGATGCTGAAAGATTGAAGGTTGTTGAAGTTTTTATTTCCACCTCTAAATTTGAAAAAAAAAAAAAGTCTGTTTCAGGGTCTTTTAACTTGAAGACAAAGTCCTAGTCCTGGTTTCGGGGATTTGAAAGACAAAAAGAGAGAAAGACTTGGCCCATCGGGGCAGAATAACTCCTCCACTCTAACACATAATGCATGTACATCAGAATCCCGACAAAACACACACACACACACACACACTCCTACACACTCCTTATTCAAAGAGGAAGTGTTTGCAGCGTGGCGGGGGGATTATGCTGGATATGCGGAGCAGATCTTGCTCAGTGTTGGTGATCCTTAAACTCAGGGGGTTTGAGCTTAGCAGCAGGCTGGATTTGTATTCTCTCCCTCTCTCCGTCTCTAACCTTTTTCACCTCTCCCTCCATTTGTCTGTCTCCCTCTTCTCTCTGAAACTGTGCAGAGATGGATATCTGGGAAATAATCCTAAAATGAACTCTCCATGAGGGGAAAAAAAGAGAAATATGCTTTGTCTCATTTTATCATTTCTCTTTATTTTGTTCACATTACTCAAAGTGCGGGATATCTGGAGCATTGATATGCTGGTCAGAAAGTGGAGTGCAGAGTAAAAAGATACACCAAGTTTTAAAACAAGGGCAAAGACAGGATTATCAAATCTCAGCAGTAATCCTTACATTATTCTTTAGATCAACACTTGTCCATGATAATATTCATAGTGGGCATAGTTTACGTAGTTGTCTTGTATTCACATTTACATAATTAGATCTCTTTGTATCTATAGCAGGTTTTTATCCTCGTCCTTCACAGGCATGTGACGAAATTATGATTCAAAAGCAGCAGCAATACAATTTGTTTCTCCTTGCATACAGAAAAGGTCAAAACCTTTAATGGCATTTCACTTTAATTCATCAGTTCTTCATCCAGGTGAGCGGTGGCAAAAGGGGATGAAAGATTAGTGCGCCTGCACCAGACGGATAAAATAGTGACATTTAAATTAAAGCAATTCCACGGCGGCCAGCCTCTAAAGGGAACTGCAAACATTTTATTTTGACTTTGATGTCAAGTGTTTTTCATCACATCTCTCCCCTGAAATATACATTAGTGTGGCTGCATAAATCACAAGGTGCCATAATTTAGGGAGTTTTGTTAGGTATAGAAATACAGTCCTTGTTTCTTTTGTCGGCAAATCCAAAAGTTGATGTAACATTGTTTAAAAGTCCCTCACTGATTAAGACTGGACTATTTGAGACTTTTGTAGGACTAAGAATTTAACAAGCTGAGCCCACTAAAATTGAAACACACAGTTGAACAGACCGTTGTTCTTCTTGCTGTGACTTTTGGAGCAGAAACAGACCGCAGGAGCACTAAGTCATGCTTGGCAGTGACTCCAGTCTTTGACACACAACAAGCCTCTCTCTTAGTCCAAAATGTCCCACACATAAAACAGAGCTTTGTTCCTCACTGACAAACAACCAGGAAAGAACAGGAGGCGGGACACTCCTTCTTTCCATGCATACGTGTATGGTGCTGTCAGGGAAAAACTGATTTCCATAGTGAGAATTGTCTCCCACATACAGAGAAACCCCATCCTGTTAAACACCCAATCTTATATCTGCCATCTGCAGGAGACAGAGCAGACTATACCTCCCATTGTGCTCTCGCTGAATGTTTGTGACGTTCATTTGATCTCTTTTGAGACATTGTACAGCGCTCTAGTTCTCCAAAACAGCTCCATCTGCTTTAATTTGGAGCTCATTTTCACAAACAGAGACTAGAAAACACACCTGAGCCGTTCACATCTGTGCTAAAAATACATTTTTTAAACTGAGTTGACAACAAGGCAACAAGGAGAGCAATCGCTAAATAGTCACTGATTTCAGGGGTGTCACATGAAAATCCAAAAGGTTTTGAAAATAATTTGAGGAAAAGAGTGGTCCTGCAGTTAGAAACAAGCTTTCATGAATCATAAATGGGATTTTTGAGAGTTCCTGAGTCATCATTGACGTTCTAGAGGGACTGATCTGCACTTATTAGGCCTCTGGTCTAGTTTATATTTGGATTCATTTATCTGAATGCCTTAAAGCTTTAGGCTCCTCCTTCAATGGGTGGAGTATTTTCATAATGTAACAGGTCCGTGTTCAGGCTGGTTGATGATGATCTTTACTGACAGCACAGAGCTGCATGACTGTTGACCTTCACTATAAAAAGCAGCTGCCTTTTCAAACAAAAATGTGACATTTTCCACTGATGACTATGATAAAAGATCTCTGAAATCATGCTGGACACCAGCTGGACTAAACCACTAAAGGATACTAAACAGCACAGCCTGGAACAAAAATACTCTCTAACAACAAAGTATGGACCTTCTATCAACCTCTCACTGAATTTAACAAATGGCGTAATGGTGGAAATAAACAAATCAAATAACCTGGTTCACGCTCTTTGCTCTCATCTCTGCACCTGTGTTCTTGATAAATCTATTTTTAATGGATTTTCTAATGGGATTCTCCTCTTCTCCCTCCCCATCTGTTACAGACGCGCTGAACACATGCAACAGGGGATACACACACATGCACACATGCAGAGGCCGGACCGGGGCTTCCCTCAGCTCTATTAACAGCAGGTGTAAGACACCAATTAGGTGCTGTGCAGCCTTTGGGAGGTACACCATGGGCTCCAGGAGGTTAATTATATCTGTTCACATCACAACTGGACAGATGAAGAAGTCCTGGAATGGGAGCGACCAAATCAATGAGCCGAGCCTTTAGGCTCATAGGAGTCGATACCCTGATGGAGATAATTAGCATAAATACAATGAAGGCAGCGCTCACCTTGTTACAGTATCTGAACTGATCTTTAATTAACCTTAAACGGGTTGATGGCGTACAGTAGGATTACAGGGGAGAGTTATGCATGCACATTTATATGCACAGACATGCATGTGCACACTAATGCACTGATGATCAGTACTAGCAATTATTTGCATACTAATCTGAAACACATGCTTACGCATGACTGCACTTTGCAACGTCTTCGTGTGCAAAAACACCTTAATTAAATCCATTTTCTTTACTTGTGTGTTGACAGAAAAGCTTCTTGGATACTTCGAGCATCACACTGAGACTAAAAATAATGGCATCTCTGTGGGATTCTGCTGACTTGCATGATTTATTACAAGATACCCTCCCCCTCAGGTAGAAGTCAAAGCACTGCAGAGCACATTTAGTGCAGGGAGAAAGCATCCTACACCGTTCTGTTTCTGGCTCTTTCATGGTATTTTTAAGTATCCCTGACATCCTGCTCAAGGACTCGTGCAGAATGCGTCTCGTCTCTTGACCTTGTGATGGTATGCACTTGCACACAGAGTGAACTTGAAGATGGACACAAATAAATTCACACACATGACGAGGGAGTGCTCCTTTCTTTCACGTTCAACTGCCAGAAGCACGGGTTACGCATACACACATGCAGAGCACAGTCAGTATGTATATTTAGCACAGTAACTCGCTCACTTGCTTTACATGCCTGATTGTTTTAGTGGGTCATGCTGAACTGAGCGAATGTGTGTCAGTGGAGGAAAAGATAAGAGAGAGAGAAGAGAGAGAAAGAAAGAGAGAAGGAGAGAGAGAGAGAGAGAGAGAGAAGCTTAACACTCAGTTCAGACAACAAATGGCATCTCCTACCCGCTGGCTCACCAAGGGGCGGTTTCCATGAGCACATTGAGTCTGACCTTGTTTCTGAATAAAATGCAAAACATCAAAGATATGCACACCAGGCATGACAGAATTTGTGTAACTGAGGAGGACAAAATACCTCCGAGTAAATACAAACTGTGCAACTCCCAGAGAGAAAAGGATTTTTTTGGCTCAAGTTCAAAATCTGCAGAGGAGGATGAACTAAAAAGGGTGTAATAATGCTACTGCTAATATGCTAAGAACTACAATGTTAAATTATGTGACCGGTTCTGAAAACATCTGAATTAATCTTCAGAAATACAAGGATCCTTTTGTTTTACTGATGTCACTTTTGTTCAAACTGCGCAGAAGCTTTGGTGTTGGATGTTAACTGCAGACACAGGTTCATGCACAAACTTTAAGGGCCTGTGTCCATTTTCTCAGTGCTGTCTATTTTCTAAGCACCAGCAGTGCAGTTCAGCATTTTTAATCCTCAAGCAACCTAAGCAGTTGTTTTGTCACCACACTCAGCGCTCTCACCTAAAACAGTTCAACTGCCTCAAATGTTAGTTTCACTTTTGCTGCACCAACCAATCACAATCAAGAAGGGGCGGGACTTGTGATATCAAATTTATAAACAACAACAAGCCTGGTTAGATGAGTGTAGAGGAATGGCACTACCAGAATGCTGTACTGCTTTCATTACACAGGTGGCATCATTCCTAAGCTGGCAGCGAGGGTGGCCTCGTCTCTGCAGGCCTTAACTGATCTCCAACACGCACACACGCGCATTAACACACTTACACAAACAAACAGACATGCACAGCTTGACCCTCCTGCCACACAATCTGCCGTTACAGACAGCACACTTACAGAGCAGGACGGTCTATCTGCTACTGTCTTGCTTCACACGCTGGTTTTTGCAGTGTCATGTTCACATATAATGAGCTCACACTGTCAATGTGTGTATCTGTTTGCAGTTGAAAAGTGCAGGGTGAACCCTTGCTAGGGAGGGAAAAAAAGCGCGACTCGTGACTACAGAAGAGCTCAATATCTGCTTGTCTGGAGATAAAGAAAGGGAAGCACTCTGAGCTCCACTTGGGGCTCTTGCAAAAGATCAAACAAAGAGCGTGGGAGAGTGTGATGGAGGGATGGAGAGTGAAGAGGAAATGAAGAGAAAATGAGGAAAAGGAGAGAGGACAGAAGGAGGCAAGGTGTTAGAAATTAAATAAATCCAGCGAGAGTAAGTGAGACAGGAGGATGTTAAAAAAAATAAATAGAGTAGGTCATGCTCTCACTGGCACGACAATAGGAAATCAATGTGGGCCTTTAAATGAATCAGCAGCAGTGGAGGAGATATCCCATCCAGGTCGATTTTTATTAAACTGCTGCTCTGAAACATGTTACGAGTTTCAGGGAAACATTATTTCCTAATTTTTTTCCCCTCTCACTCTTGCTCCATTTATATTTTGGTGCAGATATTACAGTTAGACAGCAATTGTTTCAGCAGTTTTGCTATCTGAGTATCATGTAGAAGAGAAAGGAAAAGAAAAGATATATATATATATATATTGTGTTAAATCAGAAGTTAAGAGTCACTTTACTCAGCGATATTTGACCTTAAATAGGTTCAAATTTAGAATAAATCCAAAAAGAAAAAAGGTTCTGTTTTACGTCTTTAGCCAATGTTTCATTTAACATCTAAGTCAAGGAAAACAGATGTCGATCCTAGAACAACACACAGCAAAAAACACTAACACCCTCCTCTCTCCCTCCCTGGCATCCTTCCCTCCTTGGCTGCTGTGCTTAGTAACGTGAGCCTTAATCCTAATCCCTCCACACGTGCCACCGGGAATCAAGGTTTGGAAGGAGACACCTATAGATGCGCCGCCAAGATGTGGAGGAGACTGCATGGAGTCGTGTCATCTCTGCTGTGAATCAAACACCTCCAACCAACATCAAATGAACCCCCATCTGACTTCATTTTCACCTCTCTACCCTGCAAGTCTGTCCCATTCGCCTTCACAACAGCTGACTCAAACTTCCGTCCTTTTTCTCCCTTTCATGCACTTTCAGTTTTTTCCCCTGCTTCCCTCGTGTCCTCTTCCCTTACTGGCGAGTACTGGTGCCATTATGGAGGGCTGTGCCAGTGAGCCTGTGGGTGCACATCGCTTAGTGTGGAGATTAAAGGATGTAAGATCCAAATCTGAGCCGACATCATTAGTTCAGAGGTAAAAAGAACAAATCTCTGGTGAATGAAAGCAAAGGATCTGATTGGATGGGGAGGCTGAGTGCTTTGTGATGATCATGGGAGTGTGATCATGAGTAATACAGAGCTGTAAGAGAGCTGATTTACTTATCAACAGATTTTCTGAATTAACACATCAGGAGCTTTGAGTGCTGTGGGAGCGAATGAACAAGAGATTGTTTTTACTTAAGTTTTTCCTTCCAGGACTTTATAGGTTGCTCCTTTTGCATAAACGCTAGTCATAAGGGCGATTTTAGGACTTCTGGTTTTTACTTTTGGGGCTGATACTTTTGGATTAGTTCTTTTGTGATTGAAACATTTCAATGTTTTACTCACAGGGCTGATACTTTCGGGATAAACTTTTTTGTAACTGATATATTTGAAATTGATATACTTTGGGTTGATATCAAGCGGTCACCCTTGGTATTGTGGAATTTAACTGATGCTGAAGAGCTAAAAACTGCAGTTTCCAGGGTTTCCACTTGAGGCTGGCTGCAGAATCACAGAAAGCCATGTAAACACTGAGGCAAAAAAATAAAAAGTGGTTTTGGAGCAAAAATAGACACGTTTCCACGGGGTTTAAAGAAGTGGATACTTTTTTGAATTATATCTATTAGATTTATACTTTCATTTTGAGATTTTATGGTTAATAATTTTGCATTTAACACTTGTTGGTCTTTTTGGGATTGATTGAATTGAATACTGGACTTTACTATTTTCATTCATTTTGACTGAGTTATCAAATCGAACAATGACAAAGAAGAGGAATACGTTGATCATTTCCAGCCCTCTGGGGTACATCTAAGGTTGCACCAACATCTTCTATACTGTGTCAAAACTTGCCTTACCATCAAAGACATTTAAAGCTATGACAACTTATCGCAGAAATACAATTAAATACCTGACTTTATAATCCAGACAGAGGTCTATTTATGGGCAGGTTGGTCCTTTATAAGTTGACTAAGCAAACATCAATAGAAACCTTTAAAAACCGATGCAATCAAAATAAAGGTGCTTAGGATATTGGTTCATGGTAACTTAAAAGCTAGTAAACAAGTGAAAACAACCTGGATACCCCTTCAGAGTGATAACAAGATTAAACAAATGTCCCGTCACTTTCGACGAAGGAACAACAATAAATTCAGTTAAAAAGAAAAACACAACTGAATCAGATTACCAAGAACACAACACCAACTAATCCAATCAAAGCTGTCCTTTTCCCCTGGACCACCAGACTGCAAACGTAATTCAAGTGATCTAACACGGAAAACAAGAGCTACTTCGATGAATTCACTTCCTCCATCTGCTTTAACCGGCATGTGTGCTGGCGTGTCCGAGTGTGTAATGAGGCTAATTTTCAGTTAGCCTGATGAGCTACTGTAGCTCTGACCTCCTGAGGACAAAGCATGCAGCCTGGGCGTGTGTCTGCGGTTTAGCTGACCTAGTCTCTGAACATTAGCTTGGTTGGATGCTCCACAACACTCGAGCTGGGAGAGAGGGGGAAAGAAAGGAAGAGGCCATGAATGACATCATTGACTTTAGCTTTGAGTTGAGCTGGGTTCAGCTGGACAGCAGTATGATATCACTTCGCCTACAGGATCAACACACATGCAAACACACAAACACACCAGGCCTGCAGATGTGTGCGCTTCTTCCAAATGCTCAAACACACACATCTGAACTCGAGCTCACCTAATTGCGCAGTCTGTTGGAACAACGAACAAGCCCTAGTTCCCCTGCTATAAATTTATTGTGTGTTCAGGTTTTGTGTGTGTGTAAGGGAACGACAGACAGGGAGATAAAAAGGAAAGAAAGCAGGAGGCCGGAGGTTGGAAAATCCCTGGCAACAGGCCGTGAGCAGCATGTCTTACTTCATCAGCTTTCTCTCAGAGAGGAAACATGACATTGTGACGGATTACAAACAACCTTGCAGCATAAGAAAACTTAAAGGCTCCACTTCTGGGTGTGGGCCATGACTTGGCAACGTGTCCAAATCTGTCTAATCTCAAGTTAACACAATTCAGACTGGGTGAGGACTGGACTCTCTGGATCCAACAATATTACAAAAAAAACACCACAAAAGCATCAGTGGATTCACAAAGTGACTAAGCCTTCAAAAAGATTGATGTAGTTGTGGAGGAGTAAAAATGAAAAAGGCAAGTTTGTTTTTGTGGAAATGGCAATGTACAACTTATTGCTAGGTGGTGACTTCCTGTTAGCCCTAGCTATCATTAGCCTGATGGACTTAGTTTATGACACATGGCTAACTTTCAGCTGGAAATGTTAACCAAGAACAGCTTGGTCTGAGTCATCTTGAATGGATAGATGGATGGATGGATGATGGAGGATGGATGGGTAGGAATCCAACAAACACACACAGCAACAGTCAGTAATGTCAATAGTTTTCTTGGTCTGTGTTACTCTGTTGTTTGGTAAATTCAAAATGTAGATTATTTAGTTTTTGGTTTGGATATGTTTGTGGATGGATTTGTTCAGATTACATCTTTTTAGCTTAACATTGTCTTACAGAATAACCGGGGAACAACTACAGGGGCTTAAGACCTCACTATCAGGTACTTCTTCATTAAATCCCTCGGCCTGGAGGGTGACGTGTTCACTGACATACTGATATACTGTACCTTCTCCTGCACTGTAATTCCTGCGGTTGTAAAAGGTGGACGTTTTCCTCAGAGTAAAGACTTGAAGCTATTCTGAGACTGAAAAGTGACTACTGCACCTGTTTTTCAGGTCAGTCCAAAAGACTCACCTCTGCTGTTATCTTTGGCACTGTCAGCACTTTGTTCATCACATAGGAACTCAACACGTGAGAGAAGAATGTAGAAATATCTCCTCTCTTGTTTTAGGTACTTTGTGTCAGAAATAAGCTCTGATCACTGGGGTAGTGGTCCTGAGACTGTCCCTGTTTTCCGCAATGACACTGGATTCAATCCATTCTCTTATCTTTGTAACTTATTCTTATCTCACAGTTACTACTTGACCTACCTTGCATGCCATAAAAAAACAAAGACAATGAGTCATCCTTTGTTTAATGCACTTGATGTGCCAAGAGAAGTCATCCAGGTTCACAAATCTGATTATTGGTACTAAACAGTCCAAACCTCACAGAAATCTTTTCATTTTTCATGACCCACATCTCAACTATAAGCCTACAGCTCTGTTTTTCTTTGTCTGCATCGCTGTCTCTGCAATTACTATAAATTTAATGAGGGGAGACCACCAGGGATAAAAGCTTTTAACTAGATTCCCCTCATCAGTGATTCATGAAAGTAGAGAGGTAGCAGCAGGCGTCCAGGACAGGGGACACCTCTCTATATATCACATCTATGATTTGCTCTGATAGACACCAGTATTCCCCCATTCCATCGGCTGATGGTACTTACACAGCGCAGTAAAAATTATGGATTTTTTCATTATCCACCAAAGGCAATTACGCTACTACATGCTTCAACAGTTACACGTGTTAACCACATGGTCACTTCAAGTGCAAAGGAGACGCTGAAAATGTTAGATATCCATTAAAATCTATAAGGTTTAGTAGTGTAGTCGCAGCAAATCTGCTTTAATCAGCACTGCAGCCTGTTTTAAAGTCCACCAACTACTGTGATGGTCTCTATGGGAGACACAGGTCATTGTGTTTGGAATAATCCCCTTTGTGCAGGGGGCTCACTAACTGTACTTTGTTAGTATGCAGACAGTGTGCAACATACTGTAAAGCCTCACTCAAAAACACAACTGAATTCGGTGTTTTAGACCCAGATACATGATTTCAGTAGTTTCTGCGTTTCCACTGATAAATGTAGAAACTAAATGAATAGAAACTACAGCTTCTTAGAAATAACTCCCATCTGATGTCATTCTGATGTGTCATGCAGCTTTTCTCCTTCCCTGAGTCACACTCTCTCCTACCCATAACATCACCAGCCTGGAGTACCGTTTCTCCCTCTACAAGCCCATAAATTATATTATTGCAGCAGGCAACATGAGCAGTAGTGTCTGCCCTGTTCTGTCATTCGTGTTCTGCCAACAGGGGGGGAATATATTCATAACAGAGCCCTCATCACATCAAGCAGAACCAGAGTAATCAGGGCAGCGCTGTGAGCTAAGGGCTGCTCCTCTTCCTCCCTCTGTCTTTGTTTATTGGCTCTCCTAAAGGCTGCTGGCTGACATTGACTGTTGACATTATTCTGGCCTTGATTTCAAAAGACTTTCCTTAAATTTTACAGTGTGCTTTTCTGTAAATACCCACTATCCATGTGTTTACAATCAAAACTTTCATTTTGGTTTTGAGCTCAATCTCTGCCAGGTTACAAATGAGGGAAAATATCATGGGGTGTAACTTAAAAGAAGTACCCTTTTCCACCCTTGACTCCAGGGCATATCTGTCAATCTAATCACTTATGTAAATTTCTATATTAGTAGGTGTTCATTTTGCTGTGAACTGTTTAAAAATAAAGGAAAACTGCAATACTGTATGATATAAAACATGAACTTTTCCCACCCATGAATCTGTGACATTCCCTTCACTTCAACAGAATCTATTTCTTAAAGCTCCCATGAGGAACTTTTAGTCAGCGTTTTAGTTGGCGGCCCCTGTTGACAACACCATATGCATTTTTTTTTTCCATCTACATGAAATCCTTCTTTCTTTGACAGTAAAGTGTATTAGTCATTCAAAAGATTTTGCTGTAAAAAATGTAAACACAGGCTGTATGATCATTTATCAATTCATCTGACACCTACCCTGCAGCAGCAGTTCCTGGCAGTTCAATTAAATCCAGGAATTGCATATTTAAACAATGCCAGAAAGAATCTGTTTTTATGCTAATGGTCTAATTTGCTTTTAAAAGCCTGGAAGAGGCATCAATGTTAATTTCAGTCTGTTTCATGACCAGCCAAAACTCCTCACTGGAGCTTTAGATTTCCTCTATGTGTTCAAAATTGAAATGACATTTTCTGGGTTAAAAAAGAAACATGTAAAATGTCATGCACTCAAACACAAACAAGCTTCTAGGGAGTTTTCTAATATTTCTTAAGTTTTCCCAGTAAATATCTTCCAGGTTAAAAACTGAATAGCAACATCATGCACCATAACATAGAAGATCAACCTTTTTTTCCCCTGAAGCTAAAATAGCTCATGTCTAGCAGCACAAACACACACATACACACACGTCTATTTGGTGTCAAGTTTAGCCAGTCAGCTGGTGACATGTCAAACCCCACAGAAACAACATGCAGCAGAAGGAAGGAAGGGGGGAGGAAGAGGATTAGGGAGTACCGTTGCAGAACTGTAGCAGTGATGAGGTGTCATACAAGCTGCTGTAGCTGGAAAAGCCGTCCTCCATTCTCAACCTCTGCTCCGCTCCCCTCTGCTCCCTCTGTTATCCACCCTCCTCTTCTTCTCTCTCTCTCTCCTCTCTCTGTCTCTCTCTCTGGTGACTCCCCTCCGTTAGTTTAGCGTTCACTTGGCGCTCCCTCCATTCACTCTGCACGGGTCAGACTCCCTGGGTGAGTCACCATGGCAACCCATTCACTCTGATTTTGTCATGTGAACTCCAACCTCTCCTCTTCACGACAAAAGTCCTGAACTTGCGCAGAAAAAAACACTCCCCCGTTAAAGACCGGGCTGATCCAGAAACAGAGACAGAAGTTAAGAGGCTGCTGGTGGTTTTGTTTTCCTCTTCTTTCGTTTTCTCCTCCCTTCTTTTGCTCGTTTCTCCTCCCTCTCTTCTCTTCTTGTCCTTCTGTCTCCGGGAGAAGCAGCTGTGTGTCGTTAGCTCTCGCTGATCTCCGGCAGAAAAACAGCTTTAAGAGGGCTTGAGCTGAGCGCAGGGAGGCTCTGTGTGTGTTTATGTGCGTGTGTCAGGAGCTGAATGTGTGTGTGTATGTGTGTGTTTAGATAAAGCTCGGGACAGCCCAGCCTTCCCCTGTCACACACTGTGGACGAGTCAGAGCGCAGGGGGGGCTGGGCCTGCCGGATAGACTCTCCTCCTCCTCTGTTGTGGAGGGAGAGGAGAGAGGATGAAAAGAGAGATGTTAAGGTGGGCTAAAAGAAGGGAAAAGGAGGGATGAGAGGAAACAGGAGAGATAGAGAACAGAAGAGGATTTGAGGGGGAAAAGAAGGAAAGATATAGGAGGAAGTGATAGGACAAGGTACAAAAGAGGAGAGTGAAGGACAAATAAGAGGAGAGGGAGTCAGGTAGGAGATGGGACAGTAGAGGAGAGGGATGGATAAATGAGGACAGGTGGAAAAGAAGAAGGGGCTACACAAGGAGAAGAGGGACAAGAAGAAGGAGAGGAAAAGAGGCAAAAAGAGACCGGAGAGGAGAAAAGGGTGAGGATGGAAGTTAAAAATATGAAGGGCAGAGAAAAGAGAGGGGACAAGAAAAGAAGTGAGGGAAAGGGGGTAAGGAAAGGAGGAAGAGCAGGTAGAGAACGAGGTGAGAAACATGAGAAGTAAAAAAGAAAGTGAAAGAAAAATAAGAATGATTCATATAAGAGATAAGATAAGGAGAGAAAGGAGAGAAGCTGAAAATAGCATAGGACAAATGGTTAGGGTGGAGGTAAGGAAATAATGCAGCGGAAAATAAATGCAAGAAAATGAGGGAAAAGGCAAAGAAAAGGGGGAAATATTTTAAAGAAAGGAAGGGTTGAAAGGGGATAAGGAGGTAAGGAATAAAAGGAGCAGAGGAGACAAAGAGAGGACAAAATTAGTATAGGAAAATAAAGCAACAGAAAGGTAAAAGAGCAAAAGAAAAGAGAGAAATTAGGAGGGGGCTGGAAAGAAGCAAGGAGTAGAGGAAGGCAGAGGCTGAAGAAGTACAAAGGAAAGGAGGAAAACTACAGAGGTCGAGGTAAGAAAGAGAGACAGGACTGGGATGCTGAAGGCTGAAATTAACTATCCTTTTTCCAGTAGCTGGTTGAGGGACTGTGTTATTCTCCTTTCCGTTCTACACAGACACATAGACCTAACACACACACTCACACACTCACACACACTAGAGTAGAGTCATGTGGGGACACACTGTAACAAACCAGCGTCACATCTCTCCTGCAGCCACACACTCAGACTGAGTGCTGGCAGAGCATCACTACTGTGGCTAAAACGTGATTATCATTCTGTCCTCTGTGCGTCTTATCTGCCACTCTGCAGCCTGCACAGAGAGCGAGGGATCTTTAAAACAAGGCCGAGAGGGGGAGAGAATGAAAGGGAGACTAAAGCGGGACTGAGAAAAAAAGAGAGGAATAAATGGGATAGATGGGGGAGGGGGGAAGAAAGGGAAGGGAGAAAGAGAAGGAGCAAATTAAAAAGTGAACAGGGTGGGAGTTTCGTGCAGGGGAAAAAGGGGGATCCCTTACAGAACTGGGTTTTGTACGTGCATGTGAAGGGAGGAGAGGAGAAAGGGGGGGTTCTTTGCATTATTTATAGATCAAGCTTGCACAGGAAAAAAAAATCAACCCCAACAAGACAGAGTCTGTGGCCTATATTCACGCCTGAAACATTCCCCCCTTTTTGTGCAAGATCACAAGACGGAGCCGACGAAAGCTCCATGAAAGGATTTGTTTCTCCCCCTGTTTTCAGAGCAGCCCAGCAGGTGTGATATAATCTGCAGGTATCTGTCATAATGCCCACAATCCCTTTTGGTTCAAAGGTGGCCCTGACCTTGGACAGAAGCATGAAAGGGATGCAGTGAAGCACCTTTTAATGGTTGATCGGTTTCTGGTTCAAGGCCTCTATGATGTTGACCTCAGAGCTGTGGCCGAATGAGAATTCGCTCCTTCCTCCTCTCCCTCAGGACAACACTGCACTCTGCTTCACTTATTACACAACAGCACCCAGCCACCAAAGCTCTGCAAGAGACAGAATTATGTGAGAAGACAAGGTGCTCTTTGTAGACCCGTGTCGAATTTACACACTGCAATGGTTGTTTTCCAGAATCACATGGATATTACATTTCAAAACACACAGACAGTGATGTTAAGAGTCAACCTTTACACTTTTAAACCTTTATTTCTGCAGCTATAGTTAATGCTCTTAAACAAGAATGTGGAGAAGTTCAGCAGACTTTATATTTAGAAAGAATGCAGTCAGCTTTATCAAATGAGAATAAATAAGAGATTACTTTATTTGTGTTTTTGTTCTGTTTTAGATGCATCCAAATGCCTCACAGCCTATGTTTTGATGCAGATATAAACAGGAATTTCATGCAAGCAAGCAACACACCCTGTAAACATCCTTTGTGTTTGTGTTCTTCAGCCTAAAACTCACGCTGGTGTTGTGTCTAAAAGGGTGGTCAGATTATTCCAAATCTCATTGTGGGCCAGATTTTCAGTGTAGATTAAGGACAGGTCTGGTTTTGGTGTCTCTGTGTGTATGCTCACGTGAGAAGAAGCAGCTCAAACAGGGGTACATTCTCTTCAAAATCTCTCCCCCTCCTCCCCGTGGGTCCCTAAACCCCACCTCCAACCCCTGCGGGTGGCAGGTGGTGGAGCTGCTGCTTCTGCTCAAAACCCCTCCTTACTCCACATGTCCTTTTGAACTCTTCCCTCCCACCATCAGTCAGTAAATCCAGAGGGTGCACAAACACACACACACACACACACACACACACAACAATATAAACAGGATAGTGCTGTCCAGAGCATGAGGGAAATCTCACTTCTACTCACAAATACTAAAAGTTTGCACCCCACAATAGGCAACTTGTGCTTGAACCACATGCATGGACTAGCTAAAGATGAGTAGTTTACTTCGGGATCCAAACTAAATGATATAAAAACAATTCAAAACAATAACTCAGTCACTTTTGAAGCTTCCTCAAAGTGAGTTAAATCTATCACTATTTTGTGTCTTAAGAGTCTGTTTAAACATATGTGTACTGTAACTCATGCTTGAACTGTCACGTGTGTTTTCACTGAAATGGGTGAAATACTGACTGTTCACAATCTGCATCAGTTGACAGTACCAGGAATTTGCATGGAAACTTATCGCCTTAACCTGTTCTAGTTTATACACACTGTAAAAACAAATGACATAACAAGCTTTTCAGAGTATTCCTTACTCAAAATTATTAGCTCACATTCAATTAAATGTGCTCTGTTCTTTGCCCTTTTCCCTTAGGAGTTATTATAGATGGAATAGAGAGTAGCTTAATATTGGATGTAGGGTTAGCATTAGCACACTCTCTTCAGTGATACCATACAGTGTGATAGGATACAATATAATACCATACCATATCATACGGTATGATACAACACAGTAATACTCTACATCATGGTACTATTGAGTAGGGCCCGAACGATATGGATTTTTGGGGGCCGATACCGATTATTGGGGGGTGGGGGGGGGGTCGGTCCGGTTACCGATCAATCGGCCGATTTTTTTAAAAAAAAATTTATGACTGACTGATCAAACAGAAAAGCGTTTTCAACAACCTGAACTCCCGTTACTCATTTCCGGTCCGGTCTCAACTGGAGACATGCAGCTGCCTCTGTAAGAGAAGTAGCTCGATCACGAAATGTGTACTGTTGTTTATACTACCTGTACTGGCACGGCTAACAATGTAGCAAGGCTAATAGCGGATGGCTAACTCAAACTTTAGCTTGCATATTACATGGTGCTTCACCATTAACTCGGTGTGACCGAGACTAGCACAGCGGGGAGTGGGTTGAACTAAAACTTGTTGACTTAATGAGTACTTCACAAACTGGCTTATTTACCGTTGAGGCGGTCGACTCTCCTCCGTGCGTTCCGAGCTGCCTGCCACAGATCCGTCACTCTGCTGTGCTGTGAGGTACTTAGTGGATGAAGATTGTCATGAGGTCGCTGCGCCATCTACAGGATAGGTCGGGGAAGTTTTCAAATGGCGGAACATTTTCGAACTGAAACCGAATCTTATTCTCAGCATTTTATTTCCGAAAATATCTGCGAAAATCGGCGAGTTTTGGCCGATTACAGATTAGTCTCAAACGGGCTAAAATTGGCTGATTTAATCAGCTTGCCGATAAATCGGTTGGGACCTACAATACAGGGTAAAATATGATTTGATATATGATGTATATGATACTGTATGATACCGTACAGTACAAAATAATATGATCAGTATGGTATGATAATGTATGATATGCTGTTATACGGTGAAATACAATGTAATTTGGTACATATATAGGACATAATCAGATATGTGATACGATATATGATTTGATATGATACAGTATGTTGTGATATGATATGTCATGATATGATACAATATATGACACATTACATGATATATGATATGATACAATATGACAACGATACAATATGATGTATGATACGATATGATATGATCAGATACCATATGATGCATGATATGATACATTATGATATATGATGTGCTACATTATGATATGATATGATACATGATATGGTATGATGAAACATTATAATATGCTACAATACAAAAGGATGTGATATGATGATATAGTGCAATATGGTAGGATATGTTGCCATTCAGTAGTCATGCTTGTTGAGATACAAAAGCTTTCTACATGAAAAGTGTCAGAATAAGCAAAAGATTAATGTAAACCACATTTTTAGAACATTTGTCTAGCTGTCTCATAGTGTGATGTAAACTAAAATTTGAAACTCAAAAACGACCTAATTGAAGTCAACAGCTTACAGAGCTAGATCAGAATCTGCCTGTGGGGTCAGAGAACATGCACATATCTTATCATAATACATCTTGAAAAAATAAAATCAGTGCATTGCTCAAGTGGACTTAAGCAAGAATTTCTTTGGCATCAGGCCTTCTTTGTTTTCTCCCCCAGCTTGCTGTTTTTACAGCTTTGGTCCTCAGGAGGCACCTGAAGGTCATGTTCAAACTGTGTCAGTTGCACATTTTTTTTTCTTCCAAAGAGAGAAAATAAACTGCTGACATTAGTTTTACCCAGAGATGATCAGTCAGCCTGTCAGAGGGCCAGGATTATACACAATCAAATCCAGATCTGAGGAGGAAACAAGGTCAATCCTCTGTACGATCCAGCCACCATCTGTGAGTCTGTCCTGATTATTGGGCTGTTTTGTGCTTCACACCATGAATTAATCCAACTGGACTCCTGATGATTCACACAAACACTAACATTCAAAGTAATCCTGGTAACATAGATCTTGACAGTCAGTCATGTTTGACAGAGAAAGATTGAAAACTTTTACTTGTTTTAGGCTGTAAAGTATGAACAAACTAGTTAAACATTACAGGGACAAATGGAAAGATGCCAAAAATTCACAAGGCTGTCTTTTATATCCTCGCCAACATAAAAGAAAGTATAACTGAGAAAAACAATTCAATTTAATATAACTAGAGTTCATGAATAGATGCCGACCCAAATTGCAGTTGTTTACTTTGTTATATAAAAAGAGGAGGAGGGTAAATGTGTATAAAGTAAATCATAAAAGAAGCTTGTGACAAC